AACAAGTCTGGGGACGTTGGCGCTTTATTTAGCTCCTTCGATCTCGGCCCCATTTTTTCAACACGAACTTTGTTGCAGGGTGGAACGATGGAAGTGATCCAATGGCCGCGACAGCGCGACATGCCAGCAATTCTGATTCTGATTCTAATGATAATACTAGTGCTCCAGCTGTTTCAACTTGGAAAGTTTAAAAAGAAAGATCATGGGGGGGGGGTGAGAGCATGCATCAGAGTGAGTAGGTAAGATTTACTAGTGGCGATATACACTTGCCAAAGATCTGTTTCATTGCCGCAGATACTACTAACTCTATGCTTGACAGATGAAAACCGTTACGCCTCTACAACTTTACGCCAACTTAATATTTACCAAGTCATTAAGATTGAGAACAAAGTTCCCTTAGCCGCTCCAAACATAGGCCTGAATTGCAGCGTGGATATCGCAAGTCATCACGTAATACATCCGTGAAAGTCCAAGAAGCCGAACTCCTTTCTTTGGGAGTGGCGTGCAAGAAGATGTCGAGCAATGTGTCTTGTTTCGATGTCTACCAGCGTAGTAGCAAGCAGTACCTATACAGAATGTTACTACTAGGTACGACCTCGTATGCGCCCAGGATCGCCGCTGCATCATGCACATCATACATGCCTCATGGCGCATCTCGGAGCCTTGAAGGCATCCATGCACACAATCTGGTGTGCCCAATGAAGCCTGCAAGTCCATGCCAATCCACGCTTGCCGGAGATTCCAATCAGATCGAGTATCCACCCTTTAAATATACGATACATATCCAGAAGGTGTGGAAAATCGGAGCTAGCCATGCGAGAAGCCGTTCAGACAACATATCTCAGCAGCCACCAACCTCCGAGTGGGGACATCTTGATCTCTCTGATAATAGGAAATCGGTATGATTGATTTATGACAGAACTGGAAGTGGCCAAGTGACACTATCTCGTGTTGCTTCTCCATCTTGCAGAGCATATCGGTAAACAACGAGGTGCTTCTCCCGTCTACGAATCTCACTGTCTACAAGGGGTCAGAATTGACGGGAGAAAAGTCTTCAAGTCTCCAGTCTCCGTTCAAAAAAATGTAGAATGTCTATCTAATATCCTCCAGATCCAGTTACCCTATTCCTGTGATCCAATCCCGAACGTCAACCATTCCCATAGGCCCGTCATCTCATGAATGCCAGTATCATCTTTTCCCCCTTTAGGTAGAGCAAATGCAGCCGTCAAGACATCGTAAAGGGAAAGGACAATTGAAGGCGTTGCAAGGAATTGCATATGGAATGATTTGTAGGTCATAGTAGTTGGCTTCCTCAACACGTTGCTGCTCGGAGGAAGTAGGGGTACCGTGAACCAAGGCGGCGGCGCCAAAGGCAATGGTGCAAATAATAGCCTTGAAATGCATTTTTGTTGGTAATTTGGGGGAAATAAAGAATTGCGTAGTCATTTTATAGTGGCATTTCCGGTAGGCTGAGGTTTAAGAGAGATTGAGGATGATAGGTAAGTGTAATTGCGCCATGAAGAGTTGTTGGACCTTTTTGTAGCTGGCATCGAGCAGTCAACGTTCACCAGAGAGATAAACCGACCACCTCTTTATCTTAGTTTTGGTTATTTAAAGATTTAGAGCTGTTTCCTTGGTTATAAGCGTTTGGCGAGGACTGAGACAGACAAGATTATTGCATCGATCTACACCTCCCACTGCTGACGGTTTGACACGAAAGCCGCTACATATGATACACATGTAGAAAAGGGAAAATGTATAGGTTATTCCATACTAGGCTCCGAATCTCAGTCGATTCTGCGAGGTTCTTGTTAATAGGTTGGACGGTACACACTCATGTAGACAAACTGCATCATAAAGGCAGTATGAGATGAAAGCTGCCTTGTAGCCAGGCTGTTAACCGTGAACTCGTTTTTAAAAGTACAAAGTATTCAGTAATATTATGCAAGCTCTTTGCTCATATGTACGCTAAACTCCTATTGATATACTATTTATTCATCATTCATCAAATACACGTTTCACAGTCATAATCGTACAATACGGTCGGCACCGTAATTGGAAAATCGAAAACTTGCTGCCAAAGCTTTACCGAAATTGATTCACATGTTCCTCCACTGCTTCGTGAGTGGGACACATATGAGTCCAGATTTCGTCTTTCAGTCCATAGTCATGAAGCCCACCATTGAGATCAGCGACTTCACGGCCAGCACAAATAAGAAACCGCCAAGTTCGTCGAATCCACACCCGCAATCGTACGGTAAACTCGTTTGGAATCTTCAACCGTACAGCCACCCACTTATGATCAGGAGCGTAGTCACTTCGAAGACTCTCTTCAGGCTCTGAAGGAGGTTCTGCCGATTGTAACAACTTCTCATCTGCCCACATGCTGTACTTGGTTTGTTCTGGAGGCAAGATGATTTTCAAAAACTCCAACGAAGCCGTCGTAGTGAGGGAAACTGCTCGTAGTGGATCGACCATGGACTTCATCAATATTGACATCCATTGTGGGTAGAGCACGGCAAGATCAGTCATTGCTAGATGAGTCGATCCAACTACTGTGAGCATCCAACACAGAGTTCCCGAGTCACGGGCTTCGTTGCTGAACTCGACCACTTTGTCGAAATTCTCTTTCCAATGCATAAAAACCTCGGATGAAATCGATATGATGGGCTTGGTGATTCTTTCTTTCAATGTCTCCCCGCCTGAGGGCGTTGCTTGACCCCATGCATCAAGAATAATGCCTTGGCCCAGCCATGTAAGAGAGTCGTCTCGACAAATCTGAACCGTCGTTACGCCTCCGAATGAGTGTCCCATCATAGTGACTTTGTCAAGGAACATCCTATTCTTCCAATCCTCCCATTCGACACCGTTAAGCCCCATAGAACTAGAGCCTATGTTTCCCTTCCTTCTGAGATTCAAGGACGCAATGTCGCTACCGCGGCCGGAGTTTAATACTTCGAGGACATAAAAAGCTTCCTTGACTTCTTCCTGTCGTAATTCAATCTGGGCTGACCTTAGAGTGTGATCGACGCCTCTGCGGTTATGTGGAGAAGTGTCCTGTGCATTATCTTTGGGCAGTATATAGTCCATCACATAATATGGATTCAATCCCTTTTTCCTCTGACGTTGCACTTTTTTATCTCCAGCGCGTTCTTGACCATCATTATTGGTGTGTAATTCGGCAGTTGATGATTCGATAGCGGCAGCCTCAACATTGCTCGGAAGACTGACATATGTCCTGGCACCACTGCCATCCCGATGCTCTATCGCTACCACAACAAATCCGTAACTCGCAAGCTCTCCACATATTGAACTGTAGCAAAGCCGTGAGCCGCCAAGACCATGGCTAAATATTATAACGGGAAATCTCGGCCGACTTGTCGGATCTTCCTCTTCTTCTCGGGCTTTCTGTCCAGTTGGACCGTCGTCGTTGCGTGTGTCTTCTGGCCAGTGGGCGGCCAGTTTAGCGTTTCGAAATGCAGGCAGTTTCGTGAATAAAGAGGTACAGGCGAGGTAGGCAGTGACTGGAAGTGCTGGAATATGCAAATACTTGGCGTAGCCTTTGGCAGTTGCGGCTCGTGGTCGTGGCATCCAGTCGACACGGTGAGGTTTTTCGGCGCCGTCGTGAGATTGTAAGTCGCATGGATAGTATACTCCCATGAGGATGGTATCTAGTCGAAGTACTGGCTTTCCATTTCTTTTGAGATTGGATACAGGCCGTGGTTCGCGAACTGGAACTTCAATATCCATATATCCAACATTGTACGGCCCATTGTAGTGAGGAAGGCGATGCAAAAATAATTCTCGGAGTGTCTTTCGTGGTTTAACAGCTGCTCTCCGAGGAGGCTTTGTGCTGGCGTGTGGACGTGATGTCATTGTGAAGCCCGGCTGCTCTGGAGCACTTATGGAATTGCATATAGGATCTTTGTTGTATAATACCGAAAAAAGAGAAAATAAGGCGTGATGTTTGGCTTCAGCACGAAATATATGGTGGTGAGGCGACTTGCCTTGGTTCGTGACGTCAGAAATACTATCGAAGCCGGAGCAAGCTTCTCTGCGGGTCTAGAATGGTGCACATCGTCACTGATACCTTCACATGCTAAATAGTAAACAAAGAGATCGGAAAGTGTCAAAGGCATCGAATTAACAAAGATCAACGTCAAAGCATTGGTCAGATGATAACAACAAATATTTCTAGTTGCGAAGTAATTTAATATTGCATAGCTGGATGAACCGCATCATGGAAATGCAGGCTTGAAATATGTTGTTCTTCTTGTTAATAGTTGATATGTTCACTCTAATCTGCTTCAAGTGCATCTAGCATGCACACATGATGTTGCGCTATTGGCTCTCAAAAAAAAAAAAAGAGTTCTCTATTTTTAAATATTTTACAACTACAAATTTCATTATCGAACTTCTCGTCCTTGGCTAAAAACAAGGGATTGGCCATTTGCTACCGAATATTCTGGAGATGCATCGGTCGTCGATCTGGACCATGCGACTCGATGCGAACAATAACCAGACTATGACGACATAGTGCAGCAACCGCTTTAAAGGTCCGTAGCGAGCTGTAGACAAAATTAGCGAGAGTGCAGACCAGTAAAAGGGTGTACGGCTAGATAGCGCAGAGAAGATGTTTAACTGCTCCCGCATATTTCGGTTCTATTCATTACTTCTAAATTCAATAGCATATTGATATTCATACTTTACTAATAGCCATCAGCTCTATATTGAAATACTGCACCAAAATATGCCCTTTGAAGTCGTTTCGTTGTTTTTGTCTACTGTTCTGGTAGCGTGGGACCGTTTCAGTTGAAAAGGTGGATCCTTGAATAGCCAATGAGGCGTCTTCGGCGAAGAAGCAAACCCGAAAGAACGGGCATCGGCTGACTCATCGCCGAAAGCATCGGATCACGTAATTATCCGGCAGGGCAGTCCCCGCTCACGTGATAGATACCTGTCGCCCACAATCATTTGGCGAAATCCCCAAAAATCTCACCGCGCCACCGCAGACTCAGCGTCCACATCATCGCCAAACCAATCTATCACCATGGGTAAAGTTCACGGATCTCTTGCCCGTGCCGGTACGTGAAACCTCTGCTATACCATCTCGCCTTTCTTTCTTCATTCGCTGACTTTCTTTTTTACAGGCAAGGTCAAGTCTCAGACTCCTAAAGTACGACGCATCGACTCGCTTATCCCCGCTGACGAACCCGAAGACTGATGATGATTTTTCCCCCTACAGGTTGAGCCTCAGGAGAAGGCCAAGACCCCCAAGGGTCGTGCTCTCAAGCGCCACAAGTACACCCGACGATTTGTCAACGTCACCCTGACCGGTGGCAAGCGGAAGGTAAAAATATTCAAGATTTATAGCATTATCCGGGACTCCGTTGCTGACGACGGAAATAGATGAACCCTAACCCCGGCTCATAAACAAATTTCAACATGGCTAGGGAAAGAAGGATTTGAGGATTGACAACGGGGCCGTTCTCCGATGGTTGTTTTATTTCAGCATATAGGGAAATGGATTGAGTCGGGTCGATTGGCTGGCTGAGCATCATCCACAATTTGAGAGATGCGACGAAGCGCGACGACTGTACTCGGCGTCTGGTGTCGTTTGTCAATATAACGAAGATTCGTCCGCGACCACACACGTTCAGTTCATGACATTGCCGGTGATGTTCTTTTTATCCACTACGACCACAACCGTTCCAACGACCAAACTTTACGACGCCGTCATTCCATTTCAGTTCGTGGAGTATTTACCAGTATGTTATTTTACGACACTGGCGAAACTTGTCATAACAAGACTCTGCTTTTCTGGCCAGGATCCGTATCCGTTAAGTTGGCACGGAGACCGTATTATCTGCACCCGTATATCGTAGAAGTAAATGAGACGATGTTTAGTACCAGTCTTCCTAAGATAGAACTCCGTTTTAGTTAAATCAGTTGCAGCCAAAATACCATGGTTCGTATGTTCGTAGGATTCTGGCTGGCGATCTTGATCACGTGATATGCGCGCTTCGCATCCAAACTTCTCTGCCCCGCGGTATGTTAGCGGTGCCAGTTACTACCAAAGCTTCAGTTCATCCATTCAAATCCCATTCGCCTTACACACGTTATTCCTCGCCCAAGATGGCCGACGTAGATATGGAAGTTGACGACGCTGTGCCGTCATCCACGCGGAACGAGTCCGAAATGCAGACACACACCAAAGCAACTGCAGTCCGATCAATCGAGGGCTGGATTATCATCGTCACAAACGTCCACGAAGAGGCCGACGAAGAAGCTTTGCAAGATAAATTTGGAGACTACGGAGAGATTAAGAACTTGCATCTCAATCTCGATAGGCGTAGTGGCTACGTCAAGGTACGAGATCACAATGGCAGACCAGATTTTGTAAATGGGGCATCTTGCTAATTTCTGTTCCATAGGGCTATGCTCTGATCGAATATGCGACACTGGAAGAAGCCCGAGCGGCGATTGATGGAGCACACGATACAAAACTGTTAGACCAGACGATCCAGGTGGATTTTGCCTTTGTCAGACCTCCTCCTGGCAAAGGCGCCAGGCAGGGTGGCGGCAGGGCTGGAGGCAGAAGAGGCCGCAGCCGAAGCAGGAGTCCGGACGCAAAGAGCAACGATGCATGAAAAATTCGAGAAAACAACAAGACAACAAGTATGCTGCCGATGTGATGACCCGCAGTCACGACACGTCGGCATATATAATCTAATTCAGCGAGGTATGGTTATCAGAGGCCTAACAAGCAGGTTCATAGCTTATTGAGTCTATTAGGATGCCCGAGTCAAGCTCGAAACAGATTGGATCTCATTAACAGCACTATCAATGATCTAAGGAACACGGCATCCCGGGCCGCTTGTCGAATTGTGAGCGTGACAGTTGGCAAATTCGGGCTTCGCCTCCCGAACCCAGATAACACCTCAAATCGGGAGAGCGCTGATTAGCCTCTAGATTCCCTGAGAAATACCAGGTGATCTTTGCTCTAAAATAATATAATATTGAGCAGGCCTTTGTGTTTGGACGTGGTCTTCTTTTTTTAAATACTTATATAGGAGATTACTTTTACTCCCTTCAAACAAACTGCATTACTTCAAGTTGTCTACCAAGAGTGCTGTGAACGAATGCAATTTCTACATGCTCCCGGCTGATATCATTTGCGCCAAAGCAGAATGAGAACCTGTCCAAACTCCAAAACTAAAGCAAAGCCCTACCTAGATGCCTGGCTGGCCACATGATCAGATACCTACCTAGGCAGCCATGTGGTAGTACAGATATAAGTGAACCATCCGTGCTTTTTCTCGATGCTGCCCAATCCGTAGCTGCTCACAAGTATCCGCAGGTCTCAGTACTTTGCATGCCTCATGCTTCCAGGGCCATGGAATTCCCCGCGCTCAGCAAAGCACTGGATTTCCCCACTACAGCAGCTGCCTCAGCACACCTTAGGTCACCCACGCTAGATTGCTAGCATGGCGGTACAAGCCTGTACCTGGCCTTGGGGTCGCAACAATCCTCCTCGGTGACTTCATATCGTCAGGCACGAGTGCGACCGAGCTGGCATTTTAAGCGTCAACACCACAGGCCGCATGGCCATTGATTCGGCCGCGCCGCATTTTCAGCACGCAATTGAGCCCTTAGTATATCCCTTCTTCCACGCGATGCGCCATTGAACCGACTGGCATGGCTCGCCAGGCGCACTTCGACTCCAGGATCATGCGCAAGCTCCTAGGCAAGGCAGCCCCGGACGCCACCAGCGGCGACCTTGCCAACAGCCAAGCGAACATCCCGACTATATTTCGTCCCTCAAAGTCGCAAAATGCCGTGTACCCCGTAGGCAGCCCCATTTCGTGCCTCGATGTGACACCCGATCACCGGGCCGTGGTGCTGGGCGGCCCTCATGTCCTCAAGACGATAGTGACGGATACATCTGGCGATTCCAACTTTGGCTTCAAGTTCACAGACGGCGTTGATCTAAGGGCGGCCATCACGGCGCAGAAGTCATCGGGTTTGGCCAGCAATTTCGTTGCAGACCAACTCAACATTCGCGACGTCAAGTGGCAGGGCGCGTCGACTATATTTACGGCGTGTGCGGCTGGCAGAATCTTCGCCTACGACGTTGCCAGGCTTGGTTCTGGCGGTGTATCCGATGCCCCAGACTACATACAAATCCAGGAAGATACCCGACAGGTGCACAGTTTGGATGTAAACCCCCATCTCAAGAGCTGGCTGCTATCCGGAAGTCATGATGGAATGGTCCGTGTTTTTGATGTATCTGCTCCTTGGCAGACGCGGGCCGGTTTCCTGACTTTTCGGCAACGGTACTCAGCCATGAAGAATAATGAGCCCGTCAGGCAGGTGAAGTGGTCGCCCAAGGTCGGTCATGAGCTGGCCTGCTGCACTGAATCCGGAGTCATCTTGAAATGGGACGTTCGGCAGCCTTCTCGGCCTTTACTGAGGATCAACGCTCATGAAAAGTCTTGCTCTGCCATTGCGTGGCACTCTGATGGTATACATTTGATGAGTGCTGGCTGGGATGCGAAGCTACACGTGTGGGATTTTGGAGGGACCGCAGACAAGCGGCAGAAACCCAAGTGGAGCGTGACTACACCGGCACCTGTGACGACAATTGCCTGGCGGCCCGGCCTTTGGTCTGCGACTGCTCAGAATCGACGTCTTGCTCAGGTCGCCGTGACCTATGACGAGACGAGCAATCGACGGTATGGCTCCTCAGTTGTCCACATCTGGGACCTGGCGAGGCCCGCAATGCCGTACAAGGAGATTGAGCGATTCGACAGTTCGCCATTGGCACTTACATGGCTAGACCAGGACATGCTCTGGACTGTTGGACGGGACGGCATGTTTAACCAGTGCGATGTTGCATATGCCCCTAAAGTTATTGATCGCCAATCTACTTCTGCCATGGCATTTTCATCTCGGGGAGACGTAGTCATGTTTCTTGATGAACGACCACAGCCTCCACGGCCGCACCCGTCTGTCACTCATGATTCAGACGTGATACCCCGAACTCCGTTTAGCACGAGCCCCAATACCCCGATGCTTAGCGTCAGTCGAAGCGACTCGGAAGAAGACGTTCTAGGCAGCTTTTTAGGACCTCGCAGGCGAACAATTCGCAAAAGGCGTCTTAGCACGAGGTCTGGCCTACCAATGAGCACCACTCCACCATCTTTACCCAACTTACCGGACGACGGGAAGCAAATCCTTGGCTTGGAGCAGTCCATCAACGTTACTGGTATATTCAAGACTCAGCAGGGCATGGCATCTGGACACGTTCCAGCGGCAAAGTCCGTGAGCGTGTACCACTATCTTTCTAGCAATTACCTTGAGATCCTTCAGAAAGAATTACCTCTGGATGGTGGCGAAAAGTCACTAATTCAACGAGTGGCCGACATCATGGAACAATATGCTTTGGCTGCTGAGAATGTCCGACAATACCGATTATCGCAAACATGGCGCATTCTCGCTTATGCCATGTCACTCCTGCTGGAGAAACGAGCGGAATACCACTTGCGCCTTAGAACGGAGAAGTTCCGTAAGAGAAGCATTGACGATGGAAAAGTCAATATTAAGAGGACACCAAGCCACATTCGCGTTAGCCATCTTGCTAATGGCGATGACTCGTCACGCAGGCCATCCGGTCAAGCTGGGAGCGTTGATGGGCGCCTGCCAATGGCGAGATCACTACTCGCAGAGGAAATCGAGAGCACCTCTAACGTGCCGACTCCCCTTGTGAGGCCAGTGGGCGAAGGCACTACCATTGAATGGGACGAACGACATTTTCCTCTTGGGAAGAAACTGACGCCCATCATTGAACCCGAAAGCCTCAACTTGGGCCCTTCTGCTCATGGATCATATCGGCTAAGCCCTCGACAGCGTCATGATTCTGCGCCGATTTCAGAGATGAGCCATGATAGCGAGGCATCTAAAACTTCCATCACAGAAGGATATGACTTTTATGACACGGAAGCTCTGGCGCGGGCCATTGACGTGCCAATGACCAAGAACCCAGAAAAGACAAGCTGGGAGTATAGTGAGGCTGAAAAGCTTCAACGACTCAAGGCTATTCGACATGATTCAAACGATAGTTTTGCCCAAGTGTTTTCTGCATCTGATAGCAGTGATCACACCTCACCGAGGGGGGATTCATTCAATGCCTCAAGCTCTTTGAGGCCCGAGTCATTGAAAATCTCAGCAATTGGCAACGAAATTGGTGTCAAGTTTGCAAGTCAGGCTCATGAAGATGGCCAACAGAAGTCGCCGAGGCAAACTCAGAAACCATCCAAAGGCTCCGCAGCAATGCCTCGGGCAGATTCGCCAGAAGAATTGTTTATGATCTCGCAGACAACTGCCACAACTGATGATACTTATCCATCTCAAACATCATTTGCCTCCCAAACAGAAGACTCGGAAGTCCATCATGAGGGCTTTGCTGGTCACCGCCCGACCCCATCAAATGAGATTACAATGGCTCGGCCTACCAGCCCGGTTCCAGTGGCTACAGCTCCCCAATATGACCCAAGCCCTCATGTAGTCGTAACCGATTACTTCCCATGGCCAGAAGACGGCCCCTACCCCTTTCCAACTGATTCACCAGACTCGAAATCATTCAAAACGCCCAGCATGCCTGCTTGTCCGCTTGACCCCTATTCTCTCTTAAAACGCGCCTTGGAGTTCGAGTCACGGACTTCAGCCCTCAACGCTTCTGCAATGGTGCTTTTGCTTAAACCACTGGTGCCTGAATCTGTCATCGACATCTATCAAGCAACCGCCATCTTACGACAGCACCACTCGCGCCTCATGGGAATGAGCCTCTTTGTCGAGGCTGCACTCTTGCGAAATCTGGCCATCAAAGGCTGGCCCGCTGGCCTGCCTGACTGGGGCGAAAACTATACCTCGTTATTCACACCAGCTCAGCAGGGCGTCAAGGCAGGCTTCATGTGTTCAAACTGCCGCAAGCCCCGCGAAATCAACCGCAGCAATGGCGATTCTGCATTTTGGACCTGCGAAAAGTGCCGTCAAGTGGTCACCCCCTGCGCAGTTTGCGGTCACCGCGATGCCGAAATCGCCAGCTCGCTGCCTACCGAAGTCACCGATATCCCCAGCAAGGAGTCGTGGATGACGGCGTGGTGGTACTGCCCCAGCTGCTGCCATGGCGGCCACGCTTCGTGCATGCAGACTTGGCACGCCGCCCTCCGCCCTTCTGAGGCAGCGTCGTCGTCCTCCTCTTCCTCTTCGCCAAACGTCTACAGCGATGGATGCTGCCCCGTCGACGGCTGCGGACACGCCTGTCTTCCCGGCAAATACAGGGGAGAGACAGCAACAGCCCGGTCAGAGGAGCTCATCACTCGCATGCGCGATGAGTTTGGGAAGACTAGCACTAGCAGAAGATCCAGTCCCGGGCGCTCAGGCCCGAGCAGCATGACCATGGATCGCAGCATCAGGAGCGATGCCAACGACGTGCCGCAGAGCAAGGCCGTCGGCATGGCGAGGGAAGCTCTGAACAAGGGGAGCGGCGGAGGGATTTTGAGTTCTAGCCCTGGACGGACCATGACTGGCGAGAGAGAGAGGAGGAAGAGCGTCAAGTTTGCAAGGACGGATCGCTAGGCCGAGCTCTCAAGATGGTGGAGCTGGTCAATTTTCTTGTTGGCTCTGGGGGGGGGGGGGGGGGGGGGGGGGGGGGGGGTTTCGTGATATATCTTTATCCCGGTGACTTGATTGTTTCAGCAAGGTGTTATGGAATTGTTTGACTACTAGTAGGATGAATGGCTGATAGGGAGGCACTCGTAGTGGGTAAAGGCGAGATGTTGGGGAGGTTTGCTGTGATGAAATACGTATTGGTACAGGCACAAGCGAATATACATACAGTCGTTTAATGGAGTAAACAGATTATTTTTTTGGATGATCCAGGAGCTACACCCCCTGATTCTCTATCAATTCATTCGCTTTTATATTACGCTGATTCTTATGTGAGATAGCTAATTAGTTGCGCCAGCAAAACGCCGAGGAACATCTTAAAACTTCAACCTTTTTCCAACTTCCAGAGTATACGAACCATGCGATAGATCCATTCGGCGGTTCCCAGAAGCGAAACTCTAGCTGTTGATTTGTTAAGCCATGAAAGAGTTTATCCTTTCACCCCGCAATGTTCTCTCGGAGGCCCTTTGTCCTTAGAGAGAACTTAACATCGCCAGTCGCAAACGGCAGCCCCAAGTCTCCATCATGACTCCGCAGCATATCAGCTGCATCGCCCCCATTGCCATGACCATTGCTGTTGGTATTACCATGCCCATTACTCTTGGCAATGGCATTCCTCAGCGCATCGGCATGCTGGCTCGCCGCAAGGTCGCTATCCGAGCTCCCGCGCCTGCTACCCGCAGCACTGCTTCCCTCCCCATCCAGCAGGGACGGCACGGCCGAGAGCCTCCCCTTAAGCCTCCCGACCCATAGGCCCCTGACGCCGCCCTTTTTCCGCGCGGGGACTTCTTCCGAGCCGGCGCTGCAGACGTAGAGGAGATACTTGAGGTTCGGGAGCGTGTGCCGGATGTCGACTACTTTGAGGCCCTGGGAAGTGCATAGCGTTTCAATGTCTTTGTTGAGGAGGAACCAGGCGTATTCGAAGCGCCATTGCAGGGCGGTGGATCCACCTCGGGGGAGATAGAGCGGAAACTCCCTACGGGAACCGCCCTTTTCTGTAAGAAGGGAGATGTCATCTTTTGCATATGAGCGGGATCCATGGTGGTATAGCGGATAAAGGAGCGGCTGAGACAGATAGAGTTGCAAGTGGCGCGTGAGCAGTGTGACCAGGCCCAGGCCGGCCGAAAGAACGTCTTCGTTGAGAGTCCTGGCAGTAGCGGCATCATATGTTGAGTTTGGTAGTGGCACGTTGCAGATTTGAAAGGAGAGAGGCGGTGCGTTGGGTACGGGAGTAATGGGAAAGATATCGGCTAGCTCGGAGCATATTCGACGGCGCTGGCCACGGATTTGCTGCTGTGTCTGTTCCAGCAGCTGTTTGGCTGCCATGAGTGTCTCACGATTATTTCTAATGTCTTCGTCTACCTTTTCTTGGAGTTCTCTGCCTGTGGCGATTGCAGCCCTCCGCTTGCGCAGCGACTCCTGCAATTCGTCTCTTCTCGCTTGTGTAAGTCTATTCGTACGCTGTTGCATAGCAACATATTTCTGAGCCAAGGCAACCTCTTGTTCAGCCACATCCGGCGCATCGGTTGTAGAGTCATTAAGAATATCGTTTATCTGCTTCATGATTCGCTGTTGAGTCCGCATGGCATCTTCGATGGAGCTCTCGAGATTCGCCAATTTCATCAATGCGTTATAGGATGAAGTCGCTACGGGAGGAGCGTTTCTCGGCCCGGATTCTCTGGTTGGAAAGTCAAAAGAGTAGACGCCATCCTCGAGATGAAAGATGAGCGCATTCTGGGGATACTGGCGGTTCAGCAGCGTGCCAATGAATTTGAGCTCTCGGAGATCAACCAGCTCTTCCAGCAGGAAGGTCCAGGTTGTCTGCTTCTGCCGCCTGGCCCATACTCGGATCACAAACTGGCACGATCTGGAGACGGACGATCCTTGGGACGCCAGTTCGAAGAATTGGAAGTTGAAGTTCTAGAGAAGAAAAGAGAAGAAAGCAAGTCAGCGTCGGAGCCTCAGCGATCGGTAAAAAGTTCCGTAGAGTCCGTGGCTCATACCGCCGATCTCTCGCGTGTTTCGCTAACGTAAACAGGCTCGTCGAAGCCGTTGACGTGCAGCGAGAAGAAGGCGTCTCCCAAGGTATCGTCCAGCAGCTCTTTCAGCCGCTTATGCTTCAGGGCGGGACTCGTGCTGGCGGCGATCAAGCTCGTCCTCCGCGGCGGCTGCGACCTCGATCTCTCGGGCCGCAGGGCATCCTGTCGCAAGTTGTCCGACGATCGCGACCCATGCAGCTGGCCGGCCTCCTTCAGCGCGCCGAGCTTGTTGGGGCTCCTGTTGAGAGCGACGTCGTCGGCAGTGCGCAGCTGCACGGGCTCAAACGAGAGATTCCGCAGCGAGAGGCCCTTGAGGTGACGAAGCTTGCGGTTCTGCGGTAACAGACGCGGCCGGCGGGGTTCGGAAAGCGAGGGCATGAGTGCGAGGCGGAGGAGATGATGCGGCTGGAAGCATGTCGTCAAGAAAGCATTGAACGAGGCTGGGGCCAGCTCTTGCGACTGCGGTGCGCGCACTATGGGAGCATGTCAGGGCACAGCAGCTCTCGCGAGTGAAGTCGTCATTGGGTTGCGTCTTGGCTGGAATGGAGCGGGTGGGAAGCTCCGAGGCCCGCCTATAAGCATAGATGGAACCAGCCCTTTGGCGGGCGCTGGGAGATACCTAGTAGATACACTGGTATAGAGCATAAGCGGCCATACTGAGCAAGGTACTTTGTAGGTTCTTTATGTATGGATATCTACATAAAACGGTAGATGAGCTTGGAGTGACCAGCAGAAGATGCAGGCAAAGTGAAGATGGAAAGAAAAGATGACAATGTGCATAGAGAATCACGCCGCTAAGAGCAGATACTCGTAGCCTTGCATTTCTATGCTATGCAAATGTGAGACGCGTGTGTCACCATGCATATGTGCATGTGCATGCTGCAGCCTGAAGCTTCATTTCGCCACAACCACATCAATTACAAGTACGCATACTAGGAATGAAAATGATTATATAAAAAGGACACTCGAAATAAATGAGATTGAAACAGTAAAATAGATGATGTTTTATCTTGCAGAATTTACTGTCTCATGTAAAAGACGACTGGCTCAAAGGATGCCATGTTCATGAGCAGCACCCACTCGGTCTACCCTAGAAATTGCCTACAAGCCTCGCATATTGCCAAGACCAAACATAACAACTATACAAAATAGTATGAATACAAACCTATCTACATTACGAAGAAGATTAATAGAAGCAGATATATGAACCCATTTAAAAATGTTTGGCTTGGCTAGGCCCCGTTATATATCTTCCTCCTGTTGTGGTTCTGATCCTGCTGTATCAGCAGAGAAGTAGTCGACTTTGTGATTGATGAGTATGGTATATTCCCTGTCTCGAGCCTCAAGCGCACTAAATTCTTGGTGCTTTCCCGTATGTTGAAGCCACGCCTTGAAAGCCATTCTCTTCTGCCTGGCCTCAAGTCTTTCAAATTGATTGTCTCGCCACATCTTTTTCACCCGCTCCATCCCAAGCCTGACGGCCCGGCGGCCCTCTTGTAGTTGTGCCTTTGTCATCCTAGCGTTACTGGGCTGCCTTGATACATTATCTTGTTGCTGGCTCTGGCTCTGGCTCGCGGCCGCGTGGGAGTTACCGGTTGGTTGGACGGGGCCACCGCGGCTTTTGCGACTTGATAACCTCTCGAGACGCCGATCTCTCTCAACTAACAACTCCGGCATACGAAGAGTAGATGCCACCATGGGCAGGAAACTAGGTTTAGGTGTCTCCCGCTTCTTCTGCAGCTGCGAAAATACGCTCACGACTGATGATTTCGCACTGGGAGGGAAAATGCCAGATTCCTCGAACCCTGAAATGATATTGTCCTTCGTAAAGCCTTTATCATGCATTGTTTGGAAAGCTGTGATGAACTCGGCTTGCGTAAAGGTTAAATTCCCTTGGGATAGCGATTTTGGCGGGAATTTTGATTGGGCACGCTCAAGAGGTTGGAAAACGCCAACATCAAGCGGTTGAAGGATGTGGAAGTCAGAGGGAAATGCAGCGACGATAATGTCAAATTTGATACAGTATTCGAAAACTTCAAATGTCGTATGACCAGTGAAGCCGTCAATAACAAGAAGTCGATATATCTTGTCTTCTGCAGGCCGCTGGACCGGCGGTACTTCAAAAGGCGGTGCCCAGGGCTTCGCTGGATCTCTCAGCCACGCATCGCAACCAAACCAGTCCTCGAGTCCTTGACCAGATTGTTGGGCTTGGATTGATTTCTTCCAAGACCATAGATTGAAGTGATGAAGCCATTCCAACGTAATTTCAGAATTTGAAAAGCCAGTTTCTGACTGAGCAAAATAAATCGCTCCGTCGGCATTGATTTTCTTCCAGTCCTCGTCGGTTGGGAAGGCCTTGAAGATAAGCCAGGGCGGAATAGACTCGCCGGCGGCGTTGGCCGCGCTGATGAGTGCTGTTGTTGATTTTCCATTTCTTTCATCAAGAGCCCGGGGCCGCTGAGATTGCGTTGTGCGTGCAACAAGCGCCTGAAGCTTTTGCCCACGAAAGCAGCGGAGCCAAATATCGCATTCGTCTTTATTCCAGCACTCTGAGGCGCCGATCCGATAGTCGGAAACGATATTCTTCAGGTTTTCCAAAGAACTTCAGTAGAATTTCAGCACTCGAAGCCTCATATGACACCCCAGGCTTATTCTCGGGCTTAAAACAAGACTTTTGAACCTCGGGGTGATCTTGAAGCCACCGGCAATACCAATTCTTGCCAACATCCTCAAACTCAGGGTCACGGCGGCGGCGAATGTCATTGGCAGCGCTCACAAGCTGCGACTTCGTTATCTGGAAGCCTGCGCGTTGGAACCACATGACAAAGGCAACAAGAGCCTCATCTTCGGCATTCATCAGCGACCGCGGCCGCCCTGGGCTGCGAGGAATAGGGTCGGGCTTCTGAAGTGAGGACAGCGCGCGTTGAACGGCTGACGGGCTTGTGTTGAACTTGACAGCGGCGTTGCGGATAGAGAGAGGCTTTTGGCCGCGGATTTGGGCTCTATCGCGGTCTGCCAGTATCGCTGCCGCAGCTTTGAAGGCAGCAGGGAATTCGTCCACTGGCATTTTGCGCCATTGACTTTGATGGTGGGCTTAACGGTCAATTACATGTTGTTGTTTGTAAAATACGCGTTGAGAGGGTGTGTACCGGCTTTTGGGGCGTTCCTGTGATTGATCACGAAGAGTGGAGCCAGCGAAAATGTCATATACACATGCAATAGAGGAACAGAAAATCATGCATGTTCTTATGCTCTACTAGAAATTGATAGGTACATCCCTATGGAAGCATTTTACTTGTAGGGCTTTATACTTGGTTTCTATAAATTCTAGATGTACACTGCCACTTGCAGAGACTGGCAGATAAATCCACGTGCATTCCCAGGGCTATATCCTTCACATTTCCAATATTGACACAGGCATCGTCCCCGAAACTCGCCCCGAAACGCCCAAGCCTCCGGAACCACGCAGCCCCACCCTTCCCCGGAACAGACTGTCCACAGGGACTCGGAGCCACAACAAACGCTGTAACAGACCAACAGCTGGCTGGCTCATCTAGAAATCTCCAATGTTGATTGCAGGTACTGAGCACCCTCTTTCTATCACAGGCCCAATAACTAAAGGAACGGGCCGAGCCGCTTGGCTTGGGGTTCGTGGTCTCTTACTCTATTTTATGCAAGATGGATTAAAGTGCATGTTGAAATATTCCAGTCTGCTCACAGGCGTACAAAAAGTTGAAGACCTAGCCAGTTCCTACACCTACGGAAAACGGAAATATATACATACCAATACTGGAACTACGTGGCACCTACCCTATAACTTGGGCATAATGCATCTCACTCTACTCAAGGGGAAAGGGAACAAATATACCACTAGAATAAGTTTATCTTGAGTGAAAGAAATATCTTGAAGGGAAGTTGATTCCCTCTGCTAGCCGCATCTTGAGATTGTTATTAATCTAAAACAAACAAACAAGCGTACAAACGTGCTTCTGAAGCTATACCGTGCGCTCTAAATCTAACCCCATCTAAAAAGTTGCAGTCATTTATCCACCACATCCCTTTCCCTTTTTTTTTTGTGCCTTGACCGTTTATCCCAATAATAGTGCCGTGATTCCTCCATGGAAGAAAAGCAAGTAGTACAAAAAGCTCAAAGACAAGAGCAAACAAACAAAGGTAGAACAGAAAAGGAAGAAAAAGAAAAGAGGGGCAACCGTTATTCTACTTTACGTGTACAAGGCCCACCGTGGAAGCAATAAAGCTGGAGAGATCGGTTGCCTCTGCGGCGACTGATTGCTTGAGTAGGTTGACCAGAGGAAGAAACAGCTCGTCGCCAGCCGGGGCGTCCGGTTCCTCTCCCTTTGCTTTCTTCTCTGCCTTCCTGATATCCGCTGCCTTGTCCATCTCCGCCAGCTCCTTGGACGACTTCCATGCCCACCACATGCATTTTTTAGGTTCCATGCGCTGTAAGAAAAAAAAAAGGAAAAAAATTCCCCAGCGTTAGCTCGTCAACTCTAATTTCACATCCTTGTAGCAATAGAAAAGAGGGGGTTTGCTTTACCTTTGGCTTGGCATCAGGATTCTTCATGGTGCAGATGATCCAGGTCGTGATGTAGTGTTTGGCCTCGTCGTTAAATACATCGTTGGTTATGGTGAGGATTCTTTCGGCCGTGACCTCCAGACCGGTCTCTTCCATTACTTCTCGCTCCGCAACCTTGTAGAGTTGTTCTTCACCAAAGTCTATGTGACCGCCTGGAGTCTGCACGGTGCCTGTATCATTTTCGCCATATCCAGTCAGCAAAAGCCCCATAACTCTTGTTTCAAGCTCTGCTCTCTGCATTTCTAACCACCTCGGAGGTACATCCCCCTTTCCGTTTCCATACCTTAATCCACTACATATAGAGAATTCCACGAGAACCAGAAGGGGGGGAAAAGAGATCTTACCTGCACCGTGGCTACCCATTCTCTCGCCAACGAGGAACTCGCCTTTCTCATTTTGGATAAGAGCTGAGACACCAACCCTGGGGTTTGGGCGAGCCTTTGGGATAGCTTCTGCGGCGGCGAGTGCGACATTTCTCGGGAAAGCGCTTATGATGGCGGTTGTGAGAGTCTCGACGATTTTCTTGATATCCTTGGCATCGTTGGTATCGTTGGTATCGTTGGGAGAAGACATGGTTCTTCGTCGTTTTTTTCAGCTAGGATTGATAGAGAGTAGTATCGACAAGAGGAGAGTTTACAGAATGGTATTGAATGTTTGATCCCACGATTGTGTTGATTCTTGCCATGAGTGAAATGCAGTGCAGATAAGCGCGCCTTTTTATAACACTATCACCGCTCTATAGCGCTATGCAAAATGGATCTTTGTTCAACTGATACGTCAAGGCATACTGGGAGCACAGGCATTGAGCAATGTTAATGCACTTAACCTCTGTCCGCTCCGAGTTCAGAATGGGCTGTGCACGCAATCACCGGTGAACAAGGTGCAGACCTTCAAGGAAAGATGTCGCGCACTGAACAGTGACTGCCTGCTCCTCCGGTAGAGCTAATTGGAAAACATCAAAAGGACTGGAGACGCGTGATGCGATTCCGCTTTGAGGGCCGTGGCCGCTTCTCCACCGCAGCAGCGTGGCTGAGCGACGGCAAAGGGCCATGGCCTCTGCTGCCTTCCGGCCGGTCATACTCGAGTTCACTGCTTGCACAGCCCACATCCATCGCATGAATCATTCAATATATTTATTGCAGTGTGTTTGCTCTGATCCTGAGCTGTTTCGCCGCTTGCCACGCTTCATGGATGCCACGCTGCTGCTTTCGTCAAATGCCGACCTAGCCCTAGAAATTTGAACACAGGCAGCCTGCCAACCTGCCTAGGCCTACAGCGCATCACTGGCGCGAGACCAACCGCTGAATTCGACCGCCCACCTGAACACCGGCGATGATCAACTGCCCGGTTCAAACGAGGCAGCAGCTTCGAACCGACGCGAGGAAAAGGATATGAGTGAACACTGTAGAGACACTTTTGTTTCCCTGAGCCCTGCCCTCACCGTTAGGCGTACAGAGGGCAAGTAATGCTGGGCTGTCTCGGCCAAAAACACCCGGTGAGACACCCCAGCCCTCTGGTAGAGGATGGAATTCCTTCGGTCTCAACCCTCCACGGCGAGAGGAGCAATGCCCCGCGACTAGCATTCCTTCTCACTATTCCTTCTTGTAATTTGCTTCTTGTGATTTTGTTGTTTGCGTTTGTTGCTGTGCAGATCTCCTGTTTCGAGGAGACGATGTTGACACAGATTACTACAAACTAGCCAAGCTTTGCACTTTCTGAACACAAAAACAGAGAGAATACAGTAGCACAGTAGATCTTCGTTACATTACTTTAAGCATCAAATCAATAGCCGCTGTTGGAACGGCGTTGTTCTGTTGCTTCTAGCGAGTAAGTTACCTATCGAAATTCAGCCCAGGCAATGCTAGGAATGGCGGGCAACAGATAGACTCCCTACTATTAGCCCTATCTCATCAGCTATTGGCTCAGCAGAGAAGCACTTCCCTTCCAACTAGGAAACCAAGCAGATTAAACATTTTACACATATATCACAAGGTATTTCGCCTTGTATGTGGGCGCCAACCCCACGTTCCTCAAGATGCAGGAACAACGCGAGATACTCGATACATCCAAGACTGTGCCCCTGTGGTATTTGACAGCTGGGATTGAATATTGAGATGCAAAAAGGGAACTACTCAATGAATGCGCTCGTACCTTAGACACCGGCGGGTTTCCTCCGCGGCAGACCAGCGAGAGTCCGAGACATCCAGGGGAATGCAGGCCTCGCCAGTAGAGGGCACTCCCGCCTCCGCAGAGAGGCAAAGGGATGGATTAGTAGACGGCCCTGCAACTGCCGATCTGCATGTAAAGAACGGGTAGCAACAGCTTTTGTGGACCATTTCGGAAAATATTCGCTGTCAGTGTAGTCTGGCATATGCAGAGTATCGGTCTGATCGTGAAACGCAACTTGATGTTTTATAGAGAGTTAATCAAACATGGGTTTATGAAGTCTAAATTGGCACATCACACGAATCTGTATTTTAATCCGAAATCATATCCTGGACATATTGCAAATAGGATTATCGTGGGTGAAATACAGTTGAGGGGTAGTAGGGATAGGGGGAAAGGAGGAAGGGAGTAGGAGGTTCCTCGTGAGCTGACTGCACAAGATGCTCAACAAGAGGAAATACTACTGCCAAAGCACGCATCGCCGATGAGTGAGCCTACTCACACTTACATGTACACATAGCTGCCCATCACATCTAGGGCAAAGCCTGGCTCGACCAATACCAAGGGTCAAGCCTGAAACCCCAAGCCTAGTCTTGCCAAATGTTTTACAGTCCTTTGAGAGCAAAAACCCTGAAGCGGAAGCAGCAAAAATGCTTCATTTAAAGTTGGAATGCATCGCCGCTTATGTTGATGTTTGCAGAGCGCAGCAACCTCTTCATCAGGCTCATTGCAAGAGTGGACTCGGACACAATCGTGGCGTGTCGCGCAGGTGCTTAAATACACATCCATTTCTCTGCTCTTTCGGATGCTTGGTCAGACCGTGCTCTCATCATCCCAACACTCATTCACTCCTTCATTCGCTTCTTTCTAGTTTAGTTCGTTTGTTTACGTCAAAATGGTGCGGTCTCTTCGCCGCGGCCTCCTGACGGCGGCAGCCGTATGGGCGGCATCGGCGGTGGCCGGCAGTGAGCAGGACAGTCACGAGGGCGACAACAAGTGGCTGGCCTCGATTGTCACCGTCACGAGCACTGCCTATCTCGACCTCAAGGACTATGAGCATAAGTGTACCCAAGGCCATTACGCCTGTGGCCCTACTACTACACCCTTCCCGGAGCACAAAGAGTGCCATGAATGCCAGAAGGGCAAGGAAACACCCCCGGCCACCTACAACAAGGACCCCGGCAACTACAATAAAGACTCTGGCAGCTACAACAAGGACCCCGGCACCTATAACACGGCGACGGGCACATGGGATAAGGATCCCAGCAGCGAGCATAAAGACTGCCATGAATGCCAGGAGGGCAAGGAAACGGCCCCGGGCAGCTACAACAAGGACCCCGGCAGCTACAATAAAGACTCTGGAAGCTACAACAAGGACTCTGGTAGCGACAGCAAGGACCCTGGTAGCTACAACAAGGACTCTGGTAGCTATAACACGGCAACGGGTACGTGGGAAAAGGATCCCAGCAGCGAGCACAAAGACTCTGGTAGCTACAGCAAGGACCCCGGCAGCTACAGCAAGGACTCTGGTAGCTACAGCAAAGACTCTGGTAGCTACAGCAAGGACTCTGGTAGCTACAGCAAGGACTCTGGTAGCTACAACACGACGACGGGTACGTGGGATAAGGACCCCAGCAGCGAGCATAAAGACTCTGGGTCCTGGAACAAGGTCCCCGAGAACTCGGGCTCCAAGGACTCTGGAAGCTATGACAAGGATTCCGGCTCCTGGAACAAGGAGACCGGCACTTGGGAACAGGGCTCTGGCTCTGGCTCTGGCTCTGAATCTGGCTCTGGCAGCTGGGGCAAGGAGTCCAGCGCTTGGAACCACACCTGGGGAAACTGGTACACTGATCCCACCGACGTCTACCACGGCCTCTGGAGAGGATGCGGCGCCACCGAGCAGCACTGCCCTAGCGAGTGCAGCTGCAGCTCCAAGTCCATCTGTGAGACCCCCAAGGGCCCTCAGTGCAAGTCTAGCACCGAATGCAAGACCGGCGAAATGTGTAACTCCAACGGTGTCTGCCAACCCATCCCTGGTCCTCGCTGTGAAGGAAAAGCCTGCGAGGTTGACAACGGCGGCAAATGTACCACTAACAAGGATTGTGAGCACGGTCAAATCTGCAACCAGCGCGGCTACTGCCAGAAGGTTGTCTTCCCCGACTGCGAGAAGAACTCGGACTGCAAATGGGGCCAGATCTGCACCAGCTGGGGAATCTGCAAGACAGCTGATACTCCCACTTGCCAAGACGACAAGGGCTGCAATGACGATCATCTTTGCAACTCCCAGAGAATCTGCCAGAAGGGTGAATGGCCCAAGTGCAAGGCCGACACGGAGTGCAAGGGCGCTGAGGGCTGCTTCGATGGTTCCTGCAAGTCCAAGGAGAACAACAAGTGCCGTGACAACCGACAGTGCGAAGACGGCCAAATCTGCGACTCGGAAGGCCGCTGCCGCCGTGGCGATCATTTCCGATGCAAGGTCGATTCCGAGTGCAAGTTTGACCAAGTCTGTGACATTCACGGCCTGTGCCAGAAGCGCGCCATTGGACCCGTCTGCGGCACTGACCGCCAGTGTACGGATACCGAGTTCTGCAACGCCTTTGGCCACTGCGAGAAGAAGCCATTTGACCGATGTGAGAGGAATACTCAGTGTCTTCCAGGCGAGCTTTGCACCAACCACAGGTGCGTTCCCAAGCTTGGCTGCAGCCGTGAGGGTGACTGCCACAGGGGAGAAATTTGTGAGAACAGTATCTGCGTCAAGAAGTCTGAATGTCAACACGACTTCGAGTGCTCCCAGGGAGACCACTGCTTCAACGGCAGATGCCAGAAGAGACTCGATACCTGCTCTCGGAACCAGGAGATTTGCAGGGATGGCAGAGTCTGCCTTGACAGGCAGTGCGTTGAGTGCACTCCGGATCTCATTGGACTTGGCAAGCGAGCACCAGCAGCCATCCCCAGATGCCCGACAGGATACGACTGCAGACTTGGCAGATGTGTCCAGGACACCGGCCTCTGCACTAATGGACAGCTTTGTGAACTCAACAAAGTGTGCTCTAACAGCACGTGTGTGACCTGCAGCAACATAATTGCGTCCAGGAGGTGTCCGATCGGATATCAATGCAACAACCAACAGTGTGTCCCGGACACCGGCCTCTGCACCAATGGACAGCTTTGTGAAATTAACAGAGTGTGCTCCAACAACACGTGTGTAACCTGCAGCAACATAATTGCGTCCAGGAGGTGTCCGATCGGATATCAATGCAACAACCAACAGTGTGTCCTGGACACCGGCCTCTGCACCAACGGACAGCTTTGTGACACTGATAGAGTGTGCTCCAACAACACGTGTGTAACCTGCAGTAACATCATTCCGTCCAGGAGGTGTCCGGCAGGATATCAATGCAGGGGTGATAGATGCCGCTCGTTACTTGGAGTCGATCCTGGCGGCGAGCTCGGAAACTCCGTCAACGGTCTCCAATGGGCCTACTACAAGTTGAGACGCGCGGTCAGGGATACTGTAACCCTCGCCGGCACCATCCCCTTCCGTACCGCAGACGCCCAGACGGCGCAGAACTGGCCCATCCTCCACTTCCAGCCAGATGTCGCTCTCAACGGCCAGGTTGCCCTGGACTCAGGCTTGACCCAGACTCTGGGTATTGAGAGAACCTGTCCTCCAGAGCATGCTCACGTTTACGGTGACGATGTTGGAGTTAGCATCGATTACAGCATCATCCAACACATTGGTTACTTCCGTCCTAGGACTGCCGGTACCTACACATTCCAGGTTAGTCCTGGCCTTAGGCAAACCGTCTATGTGTGGCTCGGCAACAATGCTCGAGCGGGTTGGACAAACCTCAACGCCAATCTGATTGCCGACGGCAGCTCACCTGCCGGCCTCAACGCTTACTTGAGGGTTGTTCCCGAAGGAGACGTTGGCCGGTACATTCCCATCCGTGTCCTGTATGCCAATGCTCAGGACTGCGGCCAGTTTGAACTCACCGTCCTTGGACCGAACAATGCCGTCCTCGTCAATGAGGATTTGAACACGGACGATGGACAGTTTGTGTCCCTCCGCGTCGCCTCGGCACAGATCCCATCCATCGGCTTTGCCCCCATCTTCGACGTCGATTTAGGCCTGGGCAATGATAATCTCGACATCGGCATCGGTGCGAACCTTGGAAGCCTCGGCATCAACGCTGGCGGCATCAATGTTGGAGACACTGGCAATGTCGGCGTAAACGTCGGTGGCAATCTCGGTGGCAATGGTGGTCTCGGAGCGAACGGGAATGGCAATCTTCTCAACTTGACCGCTGGAGGCAACGGTGTTGGAGTCGGGCTCAATGGCAGTGCTCTCGGTGGTGGTCTCCCTGGCGTCGGTGCCGGCCTTGGCGTCGGCGCGGGCGTTGGCAATGGTGGTCTTGGCCTCGGCGCGGGCGCGGGTGTTGGCAATGGTGGTCTTGGCCTTGGTGTGGGCGTTGGCAATGGTGGTCGAGGAAACGGGAATGGTAATCTTCTCAATGTGACCGCCGGCGGCAATGGTGTTGGCGTCGGGCTCAATGGCAGTGCTCTCGGACTGGGTGGCCTTGACCTCACCGTCCCTATCCCCCTCCCATGATTTAAAGTCTAAGAGGGGCGAGGCATTGGCTTCTAAGAAATGTATTATTAGTTTAGGATAGTTCTTCATATTTTCTTTGTCTTTGAATTGAAGTGGGTTGGTTAAACAGGGCTCGCCTTCGTAGCAGTGATCTCACCTTTGCCGAAGTTGTCATGTTGATGTGTATTTTGATTCAGAGCTTCCAAGATTCCATTGTGTAATGCCATTTCTCAAAGATGTCCAAGTTCCACTTTCATCAACAAGTTTTCTTCGCAAGGCGATTGAACTGAATTTTCGCTCAACGATGAGGATATGCATGTTTGAGTGAGCATAAGATGGTGAAAACCGCCTTTTCATGTACTCGATGGAATGGCTAGTCGGCACATAGGTACGATAGGGGCCTCGTTCTTATCAAACGAGATTCCCAAAATACCCATCTAGATATCCTTGTAAGGAAATTCTGGCGCGGGGCATTATTTCACAGCATTTTTAATCTCCCCCCAAGGCCTCACAAACACGCAGCCTCTCCTTGGTGTACGCCAGAGGCTGCCGTCGTCGTCGCCGTGATGTATCTCCTAGGATAAACACATTAACATGAATAGAATCTCTCGTTTAAGTCACCAAACATAAGTTAGTCATATGCTTTCGCCTCTGTATGACGCTTTGTCTTCTTTTCGTTGTGTGTGAGCTTGGTTGAGGGTCGAGAAGTTTTCGGCAAGAGAGATATGCGCGTTTGTGCAAAGCGCGGCGGCTTAGGTAATGAACATTCGCTCCGTTGTTGCCTGCTCTTCTCTGAAAATAGCCGCCATGTTTCTCTTTCTTTCTTTTCTTTTCTTTTCTTTTTTTTTTTTTTGAAAGACTTTATTTCGTCATATGTCTAATGCTACCTAGCCAGCGTTTATATCTATGCGTCCTTTTTTATATGTATAATGAAGGCATTGCTCCTGGGGTAGATGGATGCTGAAGCTCCAAGCAACAACCCACTCTGACCATGCTATTCTCCTCTATATTGGCCAGTAACAACCAGTCAATTAGTATCTCAACGGCTCTCTTTCTTTCTTTTTTATACTCTCCCGTCATGGCATAGCGTACGAACAAGTCACCCCGGCATCAACCGTCATCGCCGTCCCCGTAATCCATCTCGCCTCATCGCTAGCCAGGAACCTCACCGCAGCGGCACAATCCCAGGCGTTTCCCTCTGTTTTCAACAAGCCTTGCCTGCGACGCTGGTCGCGTATCTCGTCTGACATGCCGTCACCCGCAACCATGGGCGTATAGAGGAATCCTATAGTGACGAAAAGAAGAGTCAACACTGAGACACTCTACGTGTAAGTGGTGTAGGAGGGATGGTGAAAACAACAGCAGCGTAAATAAAATCTCTGATGGGGAGCAGTTCTCTTCCCTTTGCTTCCAACGTACCTGGACACACGCAATTGACCCGTATACCTTCATGTCCGTGATTATACGCCATCGCTCTCGTCATGTTCACAACCGCCCCCTTGCTCGTTGGATATAACAAATGCGGCGTGCCCCCCTGCAAACCCGCAATCGACGCCATGTTGACAATGCTCCCTCTGATGCCTCCATCGCCAGGCTCGTTCTTCAACATCAGCGGAATCGCGTATTTCGCCATGAGCACCATGCTCGTCACATTGATGCTCAGTCCCCGATGCCACTCGTCAACATCCGCCTCCACGGCCGTCCCCTCTGCACCCATGATCCCAACATTGTTGATTAGAATATCTAATCGCCCAAACATATCTTTTGCTGCCGCGACTAGTGCCTCGCAGTCTTGTTCCGAGCTCACGTCCGCATCTGTTGAGGCTGCTTTGCCCCCTTCTTGGACAATCATTTCCACCGTGCGCTGTGCCGTGGCCAGATCTAGATCTGCGCAAAGAACTGTGGCGCCAGCTTCGGCGAGAAGGATGGATGTTGCGCGTCCATTGCCGAGCCCGTCGCCGAGACTGCCTGCGCCGGTGACGATGGCGACTTTGCCGTCAAGTCGTTGCGAGGGCCGTGGTGGGAGCACGGTAGATGGAGCCATGTTGAGATGGTGTCAATACTAGGGAGACGCTATGCAAAGGATAGTCAAACAAATAAACACAGAGATTATAAGAGAAATAAGTAAATCTTATTCCTATATGATATTTTCCTAGTTATGAATTTCCATGCAACTTGGACCATCTGCTGTATTCATCTACATGCACAACCCCTCATCCAAGATGGAGTCAGCTGCATCCAAGTCGACGTGCCCCTCAGCAATGAGACATCCCACAGCCTTTGTTCCAAGTACAGAGCTTCATGCTTCATTACTTACCGTGAAATACGACAGTTTAATAAAATCACAAAGAGAGACTGCAAAAAGATAATCGATTCCTCACCTATTACACAGAAATGCTTACTGCTTGTGAGCAATTCCTGCTTACACTCTGAAAGGAATCACCTTCATATTTATAGATTGCACGCCTCATGACATGTTCAAAGGCACTTTGGCCGAGTGGTCTAAGGCGCCGTGTTCAGGTACAGCTCCAAGCAATTGAAGCATCCTATTCGCGGTCTAGAAATAGGCGAGGGTTCGAATCCCTCAGGTGTCACTTTTTGCTAGTTCCCGCTTGTCAACTATTTTTTTTTATCCTACTCCTACCATAGATATTTGCTTATGGCATCCCCTAATAGACAACAATAATAGCATGTATATAAATTGAGAGTTGAATGCATTGCGTCCTATAACAGTCTGTTGTTGTATTATATAGAATCCAGTTCTATCAATGCATCGCAAAATAACCAAACCGCTCATCCCGCAACGAAACTTCCTATCGTAGAGATGAACTAGAGTAGAAAAAAAGCCAAACCCTTCCAAAACGCCAATTTCTGCAAATGAAATATATACAGAATGTTACAGATTGTATCATGAATATACACCGAATGTATAATGCTGCGCTCATAGTTCGTCTCTATCTAAATTCGGCAACTTGAATGTATAGCGCCTCGGTCGTGGAGGCAGACCGATCCAAGTACGATAGATTCTTGATGTCTCATCCGACAGAATTTCCCAGCTAGTAGCTCTGTTAGTAAATGATTTCTTTTCAAACCCGTTTGTATCGTTATGTAGACTTACATCATTCTGGGGGCTCGAATCCAGCTCTTCAAAACAATCTTGACTGCCTTCATAACGCGAGCAAGCTCTTGGTCGACTTGGTCACTCAACGGATATTCTGGTCCAAGACGGCGCATCTTAATAAACTCATTCATGTCTTCGTCCTCCTCCTCAACAAGCTGATAGACTTCTTCGGGTGTAGGTAGTTGCTTGTTAGATCCCTTATCGCGCAATTCGATCATGGCTCTGAATTTGCCATTGGCCGCGAGCGATGAGCTGAGTCTGGCGTAAGTGTTGAACAATGCTACTAGCTCGGTTCTCTTCAACGACGGGGGTTTCTGATTCTCGTGAAATTCAAAGAGCACCTTCAAGGCGGTTCCATAGCCGCTCGTTTGGATCTTCCCCCAGAGACGGCACTTGTCGCAACCGACGCAGTCCATAACTCGGCTGACGTTGCGGAAACGATTGCGGAAGTCTTCTTTGAGGGATGGGCCTTCGCCATTCACAAACATGACGCCTTCGTCGAATATTTGAGGGACACTGGCCGCGTGTTGGGTAACAGCAGCGACCTTGTCTCGTGTGGCCTGATCCTGCAACAAGTCTCCTGCGCAGAACGTGTAATGCGGTCCGAGGACGTAGGGACCCAACTTCGCAATGGCGCGAGTAACGAGGGCGTAGTTAAAGTACAAGTTGCTGATACGGTCGGGGAATTTGTGCAGTCGGCTCTCGTAGCAAGCCAAGTTTGGCTGCCACTGTCCAGTGCTCTGGTTCAAGTAATCCCAGCACAGATGCGTGCTAATACTGGCATGCATGCCCGAGACAACTCGATAGAATACTCGCTTTTCCAAGCATTCATCCTCGACCTCGTAACCAGTATTGGCAACAAAAGGAGTATCCGGGAAACTCTGTCGCTGCTGCTGAAGCTTGGCCTGGCGTCCGGCAGAGTCCAAGACGTGTTTGAAATCCAAGGCGGCAGGCTCTGCTGGGGTATTCGAAACTCCCAGATCAGCGGATTTGGGGAACGAGCTCTTCTTGAAGCAGTTCTCCAAGTAGATGGCATCCCAGACTGATTTGGCACTCTGGCCACTGTATCCGGTAAACCGCTCTGGGTTGTGTAGCAAGTTGATGTAGTCTCCATTGGACGTCGTGCCCTCGTCTTCGGGAATGCAGTAGTCTCTGTCGTCGCACTCGTCGTCATAGTCCACCACGCAGCTCTCCCCAACGTCTTCACCCAGCTTTCCTTGTAGCGGTCGGTCGGGATTCTGTTTCTGCATCTTCTTGCCGGGGTGCTTCGCTCGAGGGCCTTCCAGCTTGCTGAGTTCGCTGGCCCTCCAAATCTCGGGAATGTCTTCTTCGTTATCCAGGGTCTCGACGGCGCATGCGATGTTACCGCACATGCCATCTTCGTCGTCCCAGAACGGACATGTCTTGTGAAAGAGGTTCAGGCGGTAATGCGAAAAGAAGTCGGTTGTGCGAACGAGGTCGTCGACTGCAGGCTTCACCTTTGAATTGAGTCTATCGAGCGTGGCATACGAAACGCATCCATCGTCAATGATGGCGTTTGGCGAAAACTAGAAGCGACAGATTGTTAGCGCAAAGGGAACATTGGAAATCGAGGCGGAATTGGATTGCCATACAGGACAGGTGTTTGCAGAGTCGGAGCATGTTCCCGATGTAGCCAAGAGGGCAAACACGGAGAGATAAAACAGCTTGCTTGCAGACTTCATCGTGGACGCAGGAAAGCCAAATTCTGTTGCGGCGGTTCTATGTAGTTAATGTGAAGCCCGCAAGGTTGGCATCGCTTCAGGAAGCGAGGGACCGAAACAACGGCAGAATGAATAGGAGATGTGCCTCTCCGAGATGTCAAGGCTTTGGAGTCTCTTCAATTAAGCCCTGTTTGGGAGTCTCAACGAATGCGACCCAAGCAGGAGCAAGAAAAATCGAAAAGCAAAAGAGGCTGACGTCTAATTGATAAAAAAGAATGTTTGACTTAAGCCTATCGCCAAGCCGCAGCCAGTAAGTGCAACTTAGTCGGAACTGCAGCTTTCAAAGTCGTACCGCGAAGGGGGGGCAAAGGCCAGTAGCGAAGGGAATATGGAAAAACTTATATAGATTAAGGAAAAGAAAGTCTGCAAAAATAGAAACAAGAAGCTGCGCCGGAGACTTTTGGACAGAAGGACAAGTTCTTCTGCTGACATATCATGAGATGTTCCTGAAACGGGAAAGATGCCACGCTGGCGATCTGGATAACTGATTAGAAACGAACCAGACTTTTTTTTTGCTTTTTTACTTTGCTACAGAGCCACGGCGTACCAAGTACCGGCCTAGCGGTGGCGGGGAAAGGACCAGAAGGTGGCCAGGGGCGTCTTCGGGCGCTGGAGCCGACCAATGTGGGCGCTGGAAAACGCAGTTTTTGACGCCACACACGCCAGAGAAGTTCAGGGACCTTGGAATGTGGCCAGAAAGGCCGCTGATGCGGTAGTTGAAAAAACAGCCTTTTGCTACTATTACGAGCTGCATACGAATTCCCATCCCAGCTGATCGGTGTATAATATATGAGACACGCCTTGCATCTCCAAGTGAGACCATCCATGGCGCAGAAAAGGCAGAATCAGCCCACCCGACCAGCCGAGCATCGACTCCAGACGCCTTCCGCTTTGGGTGCATATCGGCCATGGCAGCACCGTTCACCTACCAGACTGGTGAGAAGAGGCGCATTACTGCTTACATACATACAGCTGGCATCGAGTGTGCCCCGTATTCATCATTAGCATCCAGCAACATGAATGCGTAGGTACTCTGTACATGTTGGTTCAGTAGACGCAGATATACAAGGTTCTCTTGAGGTAGGGAACAGTTGATGACTCCTCTGATATCATCCTCTCTACTCCTGATATCGACATGTATATGCGTGATTCGTGGCGTGATATAGGGCAGCAGAGTTCAGTCTATCGTATATGAACAGGATGACTTCAACCTCTCGCATAGAGGCCACGTAGACAACAAGACGACTCGATTGTCGATTCTTGCTTCAAGGGAATTGACGTTTGCTCTGCAACAGCGCAACTGGCATCAAAACCACGCAGTGTACTCGATCTGCTCTGAACAAATTGCTACGGCTCTTCAGTTATAGAATGCCCGTGTTAGGCGCCCTTCTTGTCGTTATTTCACACAGGAACAAAGACTTTGATATCTTGAATTGCTCCACTGAAGCGAGAATTGTGCATTTAATAGTACAGCGACACTGAACAAGCTTTCCCACCCCAATGCTCAGAAACTGCGTCTCAAAGCAGCCAGCCCTTTAACAAGAAGCCTCTTATGACTAGGCCGTGGTTTGACTGCTAGAATATCTCCATATAAGTATGTATGTATGTATATATTCCTTAGACCATTCTTCAATTTCTTCAGCTACCTCTACACAAGGCTAACCAATCGCCTAATGCGCCCTTCCTGCAGCACTAATCATCTTCCTAAGCGTCAACTCATTTGGCCGGCTTGCATTCAATCTGCAGGCATCTGTCTGGGACGACATGTAAACTTTTGTAGATGAGTGCCATTCGTCTGCACTTTCGGTACAGGCACCTACGTGCCGTTCACTGCCCAGACTCGGAACCAAAGCCAGTGTGCAGCTCCCGATTGCCACAGCAGACATTGACGCGAGTGTGAGTGAGTGTTGGTAGTGTTATGAAACAGCGCTCACCCATCTCATAGCTTATTAACCCAACATTATTGTAGTATGCAGACCGTAAAAATCGTAATGGGACATTAAAACAAAGGGACTCTTCATGCATCATGAGTCGACGCGAAAAATTCGAGGTTATCGTATACAATTTGAGCAACGGCCTGTTCGCGCATGGGCTCACTGCGGAGGTTGATAGTCGAGAGGGCGCCTTTCGATCGATTAGATGGCTGTATATCAGTCAATAGCGATGGCACTCACTTGAAAAGAAGGATATGCGGCTCCGGCTCATGGACTTCGTAGTGCTCCCAGCCGAGACTCTAGGAAAGCTAGTGTCAGTTGATGTTGCATTGTTTGGCGTCACTCTTCCTTCAGACCGTGGGGAATCCGCGATAGGAAGAAAAAAAAAGTATGCCCCTCACCTGTGTCATTCCCATAGCCCTCCATTCTTCTTCCCAAAGAAGCTTTAACGTGCCCTTGGCAGAATCGTGGTATTCTTTGGGAATTGCTTTGAGCATCAACTTCGGTAGCTGGACATGGCGATACTCGTATTCGTCATCGTGATATCTGTTGGCTATCAGCTCTTCAATTCTCATAATCGCTGCTTCAATATGCCCCTCGACGAACTCCCCCCTCCAGTCACAATCAACAACCACAGCAATCATTTACCCACCTCTCTGAGTAGCGAATGGCATCAATAAACTCTTCTAGTCGAGCCCGCTCCGAATCCGTCAAGGGCCGGGGGCTCTTGTTCCGTCGGCTCATGTCGATATCCATTGGCGACATGGTGTTATAGAGATTTTAGTGCTGCAGAAACCGTCCACCGCGTAGCGCGATCTCTTCGTTGATCGGTCGTAAAGTTGGAGTACCGCGCCGGATAACTGGTCTGCAGTTTATCCAATTGCTATTGGCTTCGCCTTGAGCTGTTTAAGAGACTGAAACGCCGAATCGGATTCGATAAAATGGACAAGATAGGTTGTTGGCGGTGAAAATCGAATGCAGAGAAGCGCAGAGTCTCGATCGGTGCGTGCGAAAAAGCTGCGGTCAAGTCGAATCGAGTCGAATGAATGGCGGGGTCGCGAGGCGCGTGAGTCACGAGGGACGTCGGTTTGTACAGAGGAAGGCGCGACAAGAGTGAAGAAGCAAGAAAGAATCGCGAACAAGCAGAAGGAAATCGGCACGAGACCTGGCGGATGCGCTGGCGGAGGGGTTGAAGAAATAGGAAGAACGGGGGAGGTTCTGCAGTGGATCAAGTAAACAAATCCAGCGGTGCTTGCGACCAGACGATTCTCGAATCGAGCTGCGATACCCACTGGAGGGCCACTAATCGGCGCCACTGCCAGCGACCTGGGGGCCTAGGCTGTTGGCAGCCAGGGCGGCAGGTCAGTTGACTGCGATATAACTGACCGCCGTTTTTGTTACTGTGCCCTTTTTTGCTTCTTCTGAAAATATCCTCATCCTCATTTTCTTGCCCATTTTTCATTCTATTTGGGTAGCCAGAGATATAATGTTTCCATGGAGACGCATCGTGTACTTCGCTGCATGTTGACTGTGGAGTAGCGGGAGTTGATCCTTCCCACTGCGACTGGCACATATTAGAGAACCTTGGAACTTGTCAGTGTAAAATAGGTGTAAAATAGGTATTATTTTACAACTGATCTATCCAAATAGTAATGAATAGTCTGTCGCTACTAAATAAAAAATATGTACTCGTATTCTACGAGACATCAACGCTGAAGTACAACGACGCAGAAAAATAAGTGGCAATAGCTTCCAGTCTCTAAATCAGGGCGCAGTTGCTCTAAAACACACGTCTACATGCAATAAACCATACCGCTTTCTAATGCTAATTAGTTCTCGATGCCTACAATAACAGTAAAGGCAAAGTGTAGCCATGAGGCTCTCATAGCCCAAACAGCGAGTTCGATACGTCCTTTGAAGCTGCTAGAGTGGTACCCGTAGACAATGGCAGATGGCTTACAACGTTACCAATCTTGACCTTGACTCCAGGCACCTGAATCCTCCACGATTTGAGTGATTGGAACTCGGCATCGTCAAACACTTTCAGAGCTTTGTTAGATGCTTCATCTACTTGGAGATTCAGAGCCCATCCTATTGAAATATGGAAAGCTTCGTCGGCTGCATCTTTCCCCGGGCCCTGATATAGCACAGGCTGGCCGAAGGACCCAACTGTGTCGTTGCATGTTTTCAACAAGCGCATAAGCTCTGGATTTGACAATGTTGTAGCGCTCTCTGCGGCCAAAGAGCCTGCTACCTGGAGGACAAGAAACGTGCGGTTTGAATCGGGTGATTTAAACCATATCAATCTTTTAGGGCTGACTGAAAACTGGTGCACGTTACTCGTGTTGATGGCAGATGAGATCTGGTCAAGGAACTGGTCCTTATTGGAGGTGGTTAGGGAAATAGGCCTCGACAAGCTTATGTGAAGCGGCAATGGTGTCCCCAAATCGCTTGTCATGAAGCTGTGCAGCTTGATTTGGCCAATGTCCTCATTGACTCTGCTTATCAACTGAATCAGCTTCTCCTGCTGCTTAGCCAATGGATGCCCTGGATTTATGCAGGCAGCATTAGCCTCTCAGCCAAAACACAACAGAGCTGGGCTGGCTTTACTTACACTCGACGTAGAGATGACTGGGCCAGTTGCCCACAACATGAGGAATCAGCCTCGTGCGGCCCTGATGCAGCGCCGGATCATCTACAACGCTGTGACGGACCGTGGACGCATACAGGTCGTGGAATGCTGGAGGCAGGGGTGGCAGGCTGGATTCGGACCCTGACGGAGCGCTCGGAGGGCTGGGCTGAGCCCCGGAGCCATCCCGCCTACGCCGTTTGGCCGGTGGTGCCGGCAGCGCCTCTGGATTCTCGCTATCGGAACCCCCTGATGATGACGACGAGTAGTCGACAAGAGCCATTGAAATGGGGCGCAGGTGGGAGGGAAGGGGAAAAGCCGTGGCAGAAGCCGGGGTGCTCAAGGCGACAGCATATCAAAAAGGGAAAAGAGAGACGGGATTCTAAGGATTCATACAGCTTATGCCTCAGTGGCACTGAATACGTGTAGATGGAAAGAAACTGAGAGATGAGATGCCATGTAAACAAGCCGCCCAGAGTCGAGAGTACCAAAAGTCTCCAACGCCTGGCTCCCTGGTTCGAAGCACAGATCTTCCCTTACATAAGCTAGCTTTCCCGTTCCGAGCCACCTTATCCAGGCCGTCGGGCTGTCAGTCCCAAAATAGCTGAAGCTGCCTGCCTGCCTGTCTTGCTTCCCATCTTAGCCGAAAAGAACGAGCGGGAAGGCTGACGCAACTGACGTAGATGAAACGTGATCGCATCTCTTTCTTATCTAGAATAGAGACAGACAAGACGCCTTTGGAATTATTATGTCACGCGCGTGTAAAAGCAATAGCAACAGCTGTTTGGGGAAAAGAAGAAGAAAAAAGCCACACTGGCGTGACGCAGACCCCTGTCAGATAACAAATGTTCCCTTTGCAGTGCGCTCGACTGCTAAGTTTTTACGACGACTGCAGGGAATATAGAGAGGGCTTGGCATGCTGAGAAAAGTGTGCTGGAAAAAGAGTCCAGACGGCAGAATTCAAAAGGATTCCCGGGTAATTATTTAGCTGCCTAGAGCGGGATGGACGGTGTGTGACAGAGCTTCATCATTGCATGTATCTATTGGGCGATGTCTTGTGTTGAAAAGGTTGTTGGGTGATGAGACATGGGCCGGACAAGGTGGATGAAAGAAGCAATGGCCGCGGGCATCATCTCCGTACAGTAAGGCCGGAGAAGAGCTGATTAGCGACTATTGCCAATCACATATCTCGTAAAAAGAAGCCATATAGGCTGGATAGTAGTGATGTACGCCTCAATAGATGCCCAGGTCAATACATGTAAATAATATCTTGTGGCATGAATAACATTTTGATCTGTGATATAGGACCCTCACAAGCTACAGCTTTAAAAATAAAGCTTCAGGCGATGAAACATTGCTGCCGTTAAACTCTCACTGTGGCCTCGCTCACATGGCACGTTCCCCTCTTTCAATAAACGTTGCCCGCCAGCGCAAAAGCCAAAACCAAGCCCAGCCCGCGGCTCCTGCGAATGGAGGCGTCTAGCTCCACTGCTCGCCATCGTCTCCAAACCAAGCCAGTTACACCATCATGATACACTTGATTCAAAGTATCCAAGGAGAAGATTTCGCATCAAAGGCACAAGAAGCATTGCAGCGCCCAGCCATTGCGGCTCAGGAGTCGGTATTCCAGTATTGGTGCATTACGACGAATACGACTTCTTATACGCCAGCCAGAATGCTCCCAGGCCCTTGTCCTGGTACTCCAATAGACTTTCCGCAATGGCATGCGGCGGGCTTTTAGCGCAGGCCACAAAGCATGGCACGGTATTATTGCATGCTGCTAGACATGTTGGTGCTACTGTAGGTCCCCCTCAACTCAACACACATGAACCAAACATGGCACACACGCTTTGCCGCAACTAGCAGCGGCATGGCCTCGACCTCGCCACTTTGCCCAGCTTGGGGTCTCTAATGTGGTTGCTTATTTTTTTTTAAACCTCTTGGCTCTCTCACCGGAGAATTTTACTAAAGAGGTGCCTGCAGCTGACGCGTGGATGTGACCAAAAAAAAGGCTCCTCGCACTTTACAACGGTCTGCGACTCGACTCAGTTTAAATAGCTCCCGCTACCCCATTTACTCCAAATGGCTTTTCTCCTGTCAATCGTCTCTTCTCACAAGTCCAGTCTTCTCGTTTGACTGTAGCTTGTCTTCGTTACTGGCTTGTTGCGACGCTTGCTGCCTTGTTGGCGGTGTTTCTCCTCATTCGCTTTTCGTATTGAATAAGACTGTCTACCTTGATAGCCCCAAATCAAGTATACGTTGACAACGCGGCATCCATTCGTACAACCACCACCAGCAGACTAATCGAGTAGTCTGCTCTCCTCTCACTTTGAAGCTATAAGCACGCTTTTATTCGAAGCGTCTAGGAACAGACGAATTTGGGACGATTTGGTGTTGCGTCTCTCGTTCATCCACTTTTTCCCTCTCGCCGTCACGTCCGGACGTCCCGTCTATTAGTCGCAGTCCACATTAAGAAAAACCACACGAGTTCCATCAGCTGCGACATTTTCCCATCCTTCTATTCTTCGTTTTTCATCTGTCAACATGGACGACCATTTAGATAAAGATTGGGTAAGTTTGCTGCAATTCACAGCTCCCTCCTCCTATCATCCGTCAACACCATCCTCAGCATGCTACCCTGCTCCATCGCCGATCTGCCGTCCATCACTTTGTGCCCTGCCAAGCAGAAACTACTCCGTCTCGTCGTCGCAAATGCCCTTCGTCACCTGCAGTTGATCCGCGCCGATCGCAAACCAGGGTCATCCCACGAGCGAACCCTGAACGACGCAACCAGGCAAGGATCCCGGATCCCGCCCGCCCACCGAGCCTGGAGCGCTGCGTTGCGTCACCAATTCGGCGTCAGCGGGGCATGGATAGCGAAAAAAGGGTTTAGGTGGACCTGCGCCGATCGGATGATGCTGCTTGGCTCAGCAGGCTTGATGCTGCGTGTTGTGCCGTATTTGCTGCTTATTGTTCGATCTGGCAAGGCCATCGAGCCCTTCTTCTCTTTTCGCCGGTCTTCGTTCAAAGCTTCTTGCAGCGTCCCCTGTGATTAGCCCGCAAGCCATTTCGTCATTCCCCACTTCCCACGCCTTATATCAAGATGCTTTGTCTCCATCGCATTGGGCCTTCCACTTACACCGGAATTAAATCAATCTAGCACGTCAATTGCGTGTCATAACACGAGGAAACTCTAAATAACTGACACGCTTTAACTCAGGCCCGAAAGTATATTTTAGACCCTCTCACTGCTCCTGAGCCAAACCAAGAAACTGGGCCTGGATCCTCTCACTTTAACCACTATCGCGCATCTCTGCAAGCTCAATCGTCTTCACAACGACAACAACGACAGCATCATCGCCAGGAATCAAACCCAGATTCTCGCTTCAAACATAAATCCATGAGACTGTCCGGCGACACAATGCAGCCAGAAATGAGCGACCAAACTGATAAATATCCCACACCACCCCAATCAGGGAGCCCAAACCGAAAGTTCCACCCGTCAAATCCATTCGCCTCATCAGACGGATCAGCCGACATGGTCGAGGATAAGACGCTCATCTCTCCGCCTGATTCTCCCAACGCAGACCGCGCGACAAGAGCGCATCAACGCCAATCAATGAATAGCTTTTCGCCAACCCATCGACAGGGCCCTCGTTCAGATCCCGGTCACGGTCCCAGCCGCAGTCGCTCTCTCCACGAGCGCTTCCCCGGAGACTTGTCCCCAAGGCCCCTGGACGTCATTAGGAACGATGCCCGGGCTGCTGAACGGCCGCACCGCCACCGGAAACGCATCTCCGATGTCGACCAGATTGATGCCCTCGATACCATCGGCGGCACGTATCACCACGGCGGACCGTATGATGCTACGCTCATCAGCCGCAACCTGAATAAGAAATATTCGCCGGTTGCCGCAGTCCAGGACTCAAACATGGAAACTCTGCGAGCCACACCTCGGGAGTTCATCGTCGACAGCTTGGAGCGTCATCTGCCCCTTCAAGGGACTGCGACCGTTCCTTCTGGAGGCATGGATCTTTCCGGCAGAAGGCTGAGCTACGAAGAAGGCCCCGACCTTATGCGGGAACCAGATGCCCCCGGTGGCGCATACAAGCGTTGGGATCATATGGTACTACCACCCTCCTTTTTTCCTCTGCCAGAAGAGACTTTTGAAGCAATGCTTACACAGTTTTAGAAATACCACCCCGACGACCTCAAAGGAAAAGGAGAACCTTCTTATACCTTTGAAAAGGACCTGAAGGAAAAGAAGCGCGTCCAAAGAGGCGAGCCCGATGAGATTGAAATGCAGTCCGGCCTATACAGTCGCGGCGGTCCATCCAAGCACCAGCGCAGCATCAGCATTGCCTTTCGCGACAACTCTTCGTCTAGCGGAAACGCTTATAACAACAGCGACTTGCAACGCCGGAACTCTACCGGCAAAAAGTTGAGCAACGGTTTGAAGCGACGATGGGGCAGTCTCCGTGAGAAGACAAAGGCATTGGTCAGCGAGTAACCTCGGCGAAAAACTGAGCTCTCGTAAAAATGGCAAATGTCTACGTTGTGTATATGTTTTACTATGTTTTTTTTACAAGAAAAGGGTCAAGGGCTTTTCATGTGGATATGATTTAAATACGGCGTATCAAGGCTATGAGATTGGTTCCAAAGGTACTTATTGTGTGGAATCGGATGTATTATAGAGCGCTGAATGGCAGGTTATTATTTTTTTGGATCAGGAATTATATATATTTATTCCAAGTAAGGGTCAAATGAAAACAGTCGATCGAGTTATCTGCTGTATGAATCAAGACCTGTCACCATGTGCTGTCCTTTAATACATCACCTCTGTAGTTCAAAATACGTCCAAAGTTTTCATTCCATGGCTATATGATATATTGTCGAAGCCATGTCCTATTCCTATCGCGATCAAGTGCCAATTTTCAACGCTTAAGCTATACTCCATCCATCTGCCATGTGTATTCATCTCAAACATATGCAAGCCCACTCCATCCCAAGACAGCCTCCAAATCCTCTCTCAACTCCATCACGCTGTCATACCCGCCCCTGCTCGCCACCTCGGCCCTCTTTGCGGCGCCCAGCTCATTCCACCGAGTCAAGATTGCGCCATCGACAATGGCGCGGCCAGACGCGGCCGTTTCGACGCCGACCATGCGCGACATGCCGCCTCCGCCCTCAGGGGCGCGGTGTGCTCTGGCGTGGAGGCCGCCGTGGGGGACGAGGGCCGGTAAGAGCTGGTTTGTGACGGACAGGAGCCGCCGGTATGCCGATTCGGGGAGGGGCGTCAGGGCGGCTAGAGAGCCTGATGGGGAGGCGAGGAGCAGCAGGTGAGGTTGTGGGGTTGAAGAGTCTTGTGAGGCCGTGGCGGATTGGGATGCGGGAAGAGTGCGTGGGAGGAGGAGAGTAGAGGTGGGAGGGTTGGGGGTCACGCTGAAGGTGGTGCGGTGAAGCAAGAGATGGCCCTGGAGGGATTTGGGGTCTTTGAAAAGAAAGGTTAGCATTCGTCAAGTTTCAGCTACAGTCAGTAGCAAGACGAGGGTAAAGAAAACTTACGTTCTGGGTTGAATTCGAGAACATGGATATCGCCATCCGCATCCACAGCAACCATGGACAAATCTTCACCATCGGGGAGGAAATCTGCTACCAGCAGCGGTAAAGACCCGCTACTCTTGCCAAGCACCTTGAAAGTATACGGCTCCTCGGTGTATCCAGCAAACCACAGTCCCTTAAATGCGTCTGCTATCAGACACAAGCCGGTGCCGGGCAACTCTCGTGCTGATGCTACGTGGCAGCTCATGTCTAGGAAAGCCACCGGAAGCAATGAGCCGTCCTCCTTCAGACCACGCACCATGCATTTCTGGCCTTGCGCCATCAGCATGAGGCCTTGAGTGCCAATTTCAGACAAAGCCGTCACACCACCACGGGGGATTTCCTCTTTGGCTAGAAGCTTGAGTTTCTTGTTCGTCTCTGGTTTACCCGGCTCAGGGATGACGGTTACAATGTCGTAAACCTGTACGCGTCCTCGGGTGGGGAGATCTTCGCCCCTTGTCAGGGCAGTGCCCACTGCCAGAAGCATCCTGCGTTCTTTTGTCTCCTCCGATACTTCGAGATGCAAAGTCTTCATGCATTCAATGGACTCGCCAGGCTCCATGTCGATTGAGTGAATAACAGTCCATGTGACGGGGCTAATGAGCTTGAGGCTTCCTCTAACCGTGGAAGGATGGAACGAGAGCGATTCTTTGGCCCACTCCTTGTGGTAATCGTCATCCTTTGGCAGCTCAAAGCCTTCGGTCACTGCGCAGCCTGCTATGTACGTTTCGGTAGGATGGTGGTAGGCAACGTGGCGGACATCGTTTCCTAGTGGAACCTTCTTGACCGAGACGCCCAGCTCTGTAAAATTAGTTTTGCTCGGCAGCTGTGTAACCCTGGCAATTCCCTCGGAATCTGAGTAGATGAAACCCCTATCACAGCCTTCGGTATTAAAAGTGCTCATGCCGCGAACGCCAAGACCTTGAACCCCAACCACTCTGGGGACGCTTTTGCTGCTCTTCAATATGAAAGCTGGCGAAGGACCGGGAAGGAACACGGTACTGTAGCCTCCCACATTTGCGCAAATCCTCAGGGGAACATAGCGCGGTTGCTGTGCGGTGTCCTCTAATGGATCTTCTACGGTGCTCTTAGCCAAGATAGAGTTCGCCGATTTTTTGAAGAAGAGGGTGTCCGATAAGTTGCGAGTAGGTGAATCGGTCGGCAGGCGAATGGGCTCGTAAATGGTGAGATCATCAGTAGAGTGACGCAGCTAGCGAGCCTTCTTGTTAGCTATCGTCAACAGTTGATAACAGAAGGATACATACAATTAGATAAGGAGAGTAGTGGACGGTGTCTCCAAGGTCTGCCACGACAAGTTCCGTCAGGGCTTCTCGTGAAGCGACTTTCTTGGCCACAAAATCGGCTGAGAGATGGGGAGGTATGGATGAGAGTCCCTCAGCTACATAGACAGGCTTTGAGAGATCCGGCAATGCGTAGATCTGTAAGAGTTAGCTCGTGTGATAGTAATCTTCAAGTCTTCCTAAGCAAATGCCGCTTACATGTAAAGCTCCTGCGGTATTGAGCAAGAACATCATGACCTCTTCACCTGATTTCTTGGCTTGATCGCCCTGATTTGCCTGAAAGACGCCCTTGGTGTCCTTGTATAAGCAACCGGCTGCCCACTTTGTGGATGTAAGGCCACTGTCGGTCTTCTCAATCTCTTCAATCTCATTGTTGCTGTCGATTTGTGCGAGGAAAACACTTGCGTCGTCACGAATGATGAGCAAGTAGGGGTCAACGATACTTGCACTGACGGCACGGGGTTCCGCGCCGGTTTCTTCGTCAAGCATGGGTAAAATTTGGATCAAGCCCAGATCTTGATATCAATTAGCAGCTGCACTACAGTCTCGGGCGTCATTCAACTTACCTCCATTATAGCACCGAACTTCCGATTTGAGCACCTGGATCACTACCATTTGATTTCCCATTGTGCCAGCCTCAACCGTAAATCCAGCAGCCGGCTCAAATTCCGTCTCTTTCAGCGTCTCAAAGCCCGCAGCTGTTAGTGCATATACGTCGGAGGTTTCGTAGCCATCCAGATCGACCTTGGCAACAATCATGAACTTGTCATGCTGGATAGGAGCGTCGTAATCGCCCGCTGCCCCGGCATTCGTGCCCAGTGATTTCGGAACTGGCTTCTTTACACACATTGTCCAAAACCCTCTGGCTTCCGGAAACTCAAATCGGCCAATAACTTTGGGCTGGATCTCGCGGTTGATGACTGCAATAGAGCCTGCCTCTCCACGTCCAACGGCACAGGCAAGTTGCAAGTCAGCCGAGACCCCTTTATTTAGAGTGGCTTCTTCGCTATCAGGTAAAAAGGCAGACTGCCCACATGTGATGTCTTGAATCGGCGCAATGCTGAGTAGGGTGTCGTGTATTCGAAAAGATATATCCCCGGACTTGACCGTTCCCCCATTGGCCGTTTGGTTGGGTTTAGTGGTAGCAGAGTCATCTCCGTACAAGTCATCGTCTTCTTCATCGTCTTCGAGGTCGAGTTCATCCACATCCAAAGCTAAATCTGTGTCTATCAGTCGGGATTTCCTGCGCTTTTCTTGCGTCTGCTTTCTCGACCATCCTAGCACGACTGAATCGCTCGTTTCACTCCCCAGGAAGAATGCATTCTTGCCTAGTCGAGAAATGCATGTGACTCTACTCTTGATGATATTGCCACCGCAATCTGCGCCCACCAGCTTGACGCCAAGACCAGATACCGTTCGTCCATCAATCTTGAAAGAAATGATGCCCAATCGACCATCATTTAATATTAAAAGTAACTCGCCGTTTTCGATAGCGAGCAACTCAATAGCACAGCTTTCAAGGCGCAAATTCAAGTCTGATTGGTCGGTCAAGTTAAAGGATGTTGCTAGCTTGGCCATAGGATTGATAGCCACGCCATTTGGTTTTCCAGACTGGTCAACATGGATCAGCTCATTCTGTCCAACTAGCAAAGCACCGCCAACAGGAGCAGGCAATGCGATGACTTTGTAAAGATCGTGCGGCAGGCCAGTCACCGATAAAATGGTTGTCGATGCTCTCTGTTGTAGGTCTAGAGTAAACACTTTGTACGATAGGTGGTCTTTTGAGCCTAGTGAAGAAGCAGGCGCTTGACTGGAAGAAAGGACACCGAAGGTGGGCTCGCGATACTCATGCAGAAAGGTGAGGTGCACAGGATGAAGCAGGCTCGGGTCTAGGAGGGGCAGACGCAAGACGAAAGACGGGGTATAAGCTGCTTCTACATTGTTGCCATCTCCGTTGGCAGCTGCTGTATGTTCCTTAACTGGCCGAGGCCCGTCTAGATCCTCGTCCCAGTCCTCCATCTCCAGATCCTCTTCAGACCGAGTAAACGGCAGAATGGCAAGGTTTCGAGTGCCGAATTTGAATGCGGCACATCTACTGCCAGGGTCTGCCTCAAGGTAGTTAACATACTCCCCAAAGACTTCTTCCCATGGTGATCCCTGCATCTCTTCCTTTTCATAATAGTGAATGGAGATGGTCTCCAGCTCGTTCTTCTTCGGATCCCATTCGGCCAGACACATCTTGGCCGCCTTGTACGCCAGCAACAGAGCCTCACCACCAGATGCGGTGTTTTTGGTCTTCACCCTTGCCAGCCCAATGACGGTTCCTGCGAGTGGAATCTCTGCGATGAGCACCAGCTTCGTATTGTTCGTCCGATCGGTTCGCATAAACATCGATTCGCCGCCCAGGAAGGAGGATTCGAGGCCATCGTCATCATTTACCTGGCGGTCAAACCGCGTTTCCGTCTCAGTCGGTTGGCTGGGCTGGAATTCGGGGTCAAGCTCGGTCGAGATAGCCTTGACTGTGAAGATCTGTAGTAGAGAGCCCTTTGCGACCACCAGATTGTTCGCGGTAGCAGATGTAAGAGGTAAGCTCAGGCATTGCGTAACGGCTGTGGGAGCCGTGAGCTCTGTGTAAACTTGCATTGCTGCAAGAGCATTTCCTCCGCCGTCTGACGAGCACGACTGAGTTTTGCTGCTATCAATGAGACCAGGCTTGTCGCAAAACAATTTCCGTTGAGGTGGGTATGTGCTATCCGGGGAGCTGCGTTGAGGCCGGCAGTGGCCTCCATAGCGGATCAACGCGCTGCCGTGCCGGGCTGCTAACAAACAGGCATGTGCTGGCGCCGGCTGTACCGAATACCCAAATTTTTGGCCATAGTACGGTAACGGCGCAGAGTCGCTACTACCCGGCCTTGCTTAGGCTGCCCCTTCAGCTGCTGTTGTGGGGGCTTTCAGCTCTAGCTCAGGCACCAGATGTGCCTGAAAGAGCTCTAGAACAGGGAGTGCATGTGCTGAGACAGCTCGTGATGCTGGCATTGCGTCACAATCCAGACAAAGTCAACGCCCGCCACGCGTTCCGAAAGAAACAACACGGAACGCTTACAACAATCCCATGACAGATACATCAAACTGAAATTTGCTCGCCATCAAGGAGTCTTCAAAAATAGCACGAATCACGATTGAATCACCAAATCGCCCACCATGGCCGACGCAGGCCACGTCCAAGCCAGTTTAATATGGTTGGCGTATGCGGTGGCCATCTTGCTATGCCTCGGGGCTGCGATTATCACGACATTCACGTGGCAAACGCCCATCGATCGCTCGGCGATGGTCAGCATAGTGGCCATCGTCAGTCTCACATCTCTTCTCGCGACCGTCTTGCTTCTTCCTGTCGACATCGCCCTAGTTTCATCCACAGGGTCTTCAAGCCTAGGCGCCAAGAAAGATTGGGCCACGCCAAAACGAGTTGCGGATATTCTCTTGACTCTCAAGATTGTGTATTACTCGCTTTATAGCTTTGATGCTCTTCTCTGCCTCTTGGCAATTCCGTTTGCATACTTCTGGTATGAGGAATACGATGAGGTTGCTTTCGAAGAGGAGGGCCGCACGTGGAAGGGCCGCTTTTGGGCTGCCACCAAGTATACCCTATTCTTCGTTACCCTCACCATCGTCCTCTTCCTTCTAGGCTTTTTCGTCCCTGCAGCCGGTGGCAATAAGGGTCATTGGGATCTCGATTACTACAAGGGCCTACTGTCTCAAAATCATGGCGAGAAGGCGCTCACTTTTGCTCTTGGTCTTTTGGTAACGCTGGGAACCTTCCTCTATGTTATTTACACCAGCGCAGGACTTGCTCTCATGCCAGTCTCTTTCATCAAATCAGCGCCCCCAATTTCAGCGCCGCAGCTTTCAGCTACCACAGCTTCACAGCTCGAGCAAAATCGAGAGCGCCAGCGCCAACTTGAGCTGCATAATGCAGGCCGCGAAGATGGCATGCCACGTAAGGATAGAAGGGAACTGGATGCTCTCGTCAGAGAGGAACAGACTCTGGTTCGGCGCGAACGCCTTGCTGCCGAGGCACTAGGTGAAGGAAAGAGTCGAGTATATCAGATTTGGCTCAAACTGTGCGCGCTTGTCAGACCCATCAAGATGCTCGGTGGAATTCTACTCTTGATTCTCGCAATTGTGATCTGGGTATCCATGTTTATCACAGGCATCGACAAGGCCAAGAACTCGATCTGCAAGCAGCGTTGTGGTTACATCCTTGGCGAAGTTCACATTTTCCAGCCAATGAATTGGATCTTTGTGAAGGCTGCCAAAGCATTCCCTGTCGATTACATCTTGATGGCTTCACTGGTCCTCATTCTCTTCAGCAGTTCTATCTCCGGTATTGCTGCCGTCGGTATACGGTTCCTCTGGATCCGAATCTTCCAGATCCGCAGAGGCAGGACAGCCCCGCAGGCCCTTCTCATTGCGACGGTCATGCTCTCGCTTATCACCTTGGCCATCAATTATGCCATTGCTATGTTTGTGGCTCCGCAGTATTCGTTTTACGGAACCCAGACGTTTTGCACAAACGAGCCCGCGTATCCTGGAGCCCAGCCTAACTGCAAAAACCACCCAGAGTTAATTCGCCCTTGTTCCGACGCTCTCAATTACAAGCATGCCAAAGATGTGTGCACACCATCTATGATGTCTACCTTTTTAAATCGTATTACCATCACTTGGCCACTTTTCGGTATCATTGATTTCTGGGCACAGTATGTGTTCATGGGCATTTTCCTCATCGTCTTCATCACGGCGCTGGTGCGCACTCCCAGAGTAAATATGGCTGAGATTGATGAGTTTGCCGAGGCGGATGAAGAAGAAAGCCTTCTTGCTTCGACCAGCCGCCGGTTCGGTGCGACTTGGCAGGACGTCAGGGGACAGCCCGGGCAATCCGATAGGAATTCAAGGAATGGGCCCGTACTGATTCGAGGTTCACGACCACAAGGCAATTAGATAGGACAACAATCTTACAGAGCCTTTTTTTTTTTTTTTTTTCGTTATTTATAGCTATGGATTAGGGTTGGGAAATTGGGTGACTCAGATTGTCTTTGATGGGAAATGGTTTCGGGTCATGGTATTGCACGGCTTGGACATGGGAAGTTCGGAGTCAACATTGGCGAATACTCCATTATTAGCCTGTTTTTATCCCGGGAAAGGCGTGTATAAGCTGCTCTAGCTAAGAGACGCCCAGCCCGAGAGATTCTTTGCAGACATGATTTTATGACATTTTTTGGTCTTTGAGTCTTTTTTAATGAAATATCAAGCACCTAGCGCTACCCTTTGTTGGTCCTTTTTCCTTGCTCTGGTGAACTGGACAGCTTTATGGCTCCTATCGTCAAACGCAGCTGCTGGCCCGATATGCATCTCCCTCCAGCAACGCGTGCAATAAGGATCATCATCACAGCCCAAACAACGTAGCGTAGCGTCATTAAGACAGACGGTGCACCAGGTATCGATATCGTCATCCGTGTAATCCGTCTTGCTGGTAAGTCGTTTGACAGGCTTGTCACCTGCAGAAGGCTTGGAACTAGGTACAGAAGGAAGAGAAAAGGAGTCGTCGGTGGGAGCTCGGAGAGCGGCCATGCGAGCTGTTATGTCGTCCATGTCAGCTGTAGCGCTGGCCCGTCCGGGGGATGACGCAGAAAGATTGTCGAGATTGGAGGGGAGTGAAGGAATGACAAAGTCTATGTTGGCAGAGCCGTTGTCTCCATCGTCCTGCTGGTCTTCTTCCTGGTTTTGAAGTGTAGGCTCGGCTTCATCGTCATCGTCTGTATTTCTCAAGGTGGCCTCAAGCTCTATTTCGTCCTTGAGCCTGGCGATGACGTCGTTTGCTTTAGATTGCATACGCTCGCCATCAGAATCGTCTGAATCCTCGACGGTCTCTTTCTCGTGCCCTCCCTCATCTTCGTCATCTTTCGGTATAGACAGTGATAGTTCTTCTAACAGCGCCTTGACTTGCTCATCGCTAGGCTCCGTCACCAGATTGTCATCAGCACTGACATCGCCAAGCAGCTCCTCCAACGTTTGATCATCTGTCGAGAACATAAAGTCCGCATCATCGCCATCTTCCAGTTCAGCCGGCTTCTCTTTAGATGCCGTATTTCCAGCCTCGGCGGCCCTTGATTCTGACGACGACGATGGGGGTATCACACTGGTAGCGGTCTTCTCCGTTTCGAGAGACTTCTGTCCTGGTGACGAGGCTGAGCCGCCATCCTGGGCTCGGAGTAACTTTAACCGAGCGGCGAGTGTGTCTTCTCTGGTCGCTGGCTTAGACCTCTCAATCACATCTACACTGAACCTGCAAATTATTTTAGCACTCATCTCTGCTTTCGTTTACCGAGAGTACGCCCAGCGGCTGGAATATCTTCTCGTACTTTATCGGAGCTGCTTGACTTGATGCGCCGGAGCTTGAACCCCGCAGCGCTTGTAGACGCTCTAACAGCGACTTGTCTACATCACCGGGCATTGTGTAAGTAGATTTATCATAGAATAGTTGACAATCTCTTGCTGTTGCTTATTTGTCAAGAGACAAAAAAATCCAACTTTGCAGTATTTCTTTGTAAAAATCCAAGCACGTTATCATATGCGCCCATGTGAGGTGATTAAAGTCAAAAGCATGATCAATCAGCACGCCAGCCCCAGCGCGCAAAGTCACGCGCCAGGCCGACGCTTTACTTAAGCCTCTCTGCTTCTCATTTCCTCGTCACCTTTACAGAGGTACAAAATGCCTTTGCCTTTCTGCCTCTCGCTCTATTCTTCCGCCTTTTCGCATCTTCATAGCCATAACAGTGAAACAAGTAAAAACATATTTTAAAGTCACTCTTTACAAAGCAGCAGGTATAATCTTTAGCACTACTAGTAGCAAAGCATCTTAGCTTCGGATAGCGATAGGAGGTGACGACAGAGCCTTGCGATACGCCTTGAATAGCCTAAACGACGAGCCCGCTGCATGCTACCCAAATCCTCCAATAAATGCTCCAATGGCAGCAATGTGATATGCACTCCGCATGCATCTAGCTCAGCTTACATTAAGCTTATTGGCAAGACGACGTAACAATCCGCCAACCAGGGAGGAAACTTGATGTCGTATAAATGCATGACGATAACGCTCGCCACATTCATCCGTCCATGTCCGAACATCATCATGATTAATGAGCACCACCTGGTGAGCATCGCCTCCCTCAGTGGCCAGCCGCCACGGATTTGACGGAGGGATTTCATCACCTGCGTAGAATAGATTAAAGAGCACTGCCACCTTTTAATGAACTCTATAGTCATTACATTCAATGTTGGGTATTCACTCTAAAGCCGCCCTAAAACCGCCCCTAAGACTTTGGCTGCTATGGATTCCAAATCCTCAGCCCAACGCCCCAAATCTCCAGCAATGGCCGAAGCGCAAAAGCACTGCCCAACACAAACTGTAATTCAAAATAAGCATCTACCGTACAATGAAAGCCCAAAAAAGCGCCAAGCCCAATCGTCAAATTAATTTTGTAGCACGTCAAGAGTAGTGACTGGTATTCGTAAAAACTGTTGGACATGAATGTTGAGAAAGAAAAAGTTCGGTAATCGTGAAAGCAAGCATTAACATAAGCAAAGTAAAGTAAAAGTACTGATCGGTGAAGGCTTCGTATTCTCAAGCCAAGAAGACAGCAACAAGCACAGCAGCGACAGCGGGCCAGAAGCCAATCATTTGAGCCATAGTTCTTATGCTGTTTGCGCTTGAAGCATTGGGGTCGTCGGCGGTCGTGCCGTTGGGCAGAGAACCATTAATAAGAAGGCTGTTGGTGCCATTGACCATGGCAACATTGACGACGCTCTTGTTGAGGCCATCGTAGCTTCCGTTTCCGACAAGGCTAACAAAGTAATCGGTGTTGTTGTTGTCGTCGCAGCTACAAACATCGTATGTGCCACATCCACAAATGACGTTCAGGGTCTCATTCCGGTTGCTGGATTCGTTGTGGAAGTGGTATGGCTGGTGGTATGGGTATAGGTAGGCACCGTACAGCCAGAGCCCAGGCCAGAAGGCGAGAGCAGCAGCGCCTCCCAGGAGCGCAAAGGGGAGGATGCCTCCTACCGGGCTTCGAGCACCGGCTTGGTAAGGAGTTCTCGCGCCGCCGCCGTAGAACTGACCGCCGCCGTATTGTGGTCTAGGCCCGCTTCCTCCACGAGTTGAGCCACCGACGTTGGAGCTGGGAGATCGATTTCCGCTGTAATCATGGTTAGGTCGCTTGTGTAAACGGGGCGGCAGGAAGAAGTTGGAGTACTTAGACGACCCAGAGTGCCCAGAAGATCCAGGGCGTCCAGGACGTTCAGAGTGTCCATCCTAGGGGAAAACATACGAACTGCCAGAGCTTCCAGAGCCACCTTTGGTGCCACCGCTTCCACTGCCACTGCTGCCACTGCCACCGCTTCCACTGCTACCGCTTCCGCCACTGCTTCCGCCCTTTCCACCACTGCTCCCGCCTCCTCCTCTTCCACCACCGCCGCCGCCGCCCTTGCGCTTGAACAGATCGTGCTCATCCGATTGAGAGGTGCCCTCTACTCTGACCACATGTCGAGGGCCGCCAATAGTGCTGGCGATGACAGTGGCCAAGAGAGTAGCTAGCAAGAAAGCGAGATTGAATCTCATGGTGCCAAGCGATAGCGATGCTGGCGGAGGTATTAAACGACGCGACCAGTATGGGTAGATGCAAGGTCAAGAAAACTAGAAGAAGATGAAACAGCACCGAAGCCTTTGGCCAAGACCCAGGCTATATAGAAGGGAGGGACACTACTGATGGGCCGAATTGGAATTAGGCGGCTTGGCATCACAAAGGAAAGCCCAGACCAGGTTTGGGGCAGCCGTAGTAGTTCACAAACGACCGACACGCGCCACAAACGTCGGTGCAAGTACCATTACGTCGAGACCCAGCCACCGGGCTTTAGGGAGCGCCATGCAGCTGCTAGAAAAGGCACATGCAGTGAATGAGTCGCAACTTTGCTCTGCTTGGCTGAGCTTGGGCGCGCCAAATTTTACTCCAAACGGCAGGTTACATGCCGCTCTGTGCCTTGCGTCCGGGCTTGAGCTTTGGCCGCCTCGCTAGCAGCCTTGCCAACAGCCTTGCAGGCCCTGTTATCTTCATGTTCAATGCCATAGATCAGTGTAATACTTGTCAATAGTATACAACATCAGTGCTTAGCGGTCCTTGGCAGAGGTGCGCAGCGCTCAAGCATTGAAGCTTATACCATGTCGTGGCGTTACAGAAGCTGTGCGTTTAGAATACGCTCGCTCTTTTTAGTCTTACTGCATGCGCTAACAATTTGAAATACTACCAGGCGGGGGACAGAAAAACAGGGAATGCGAGGATTTTGAGCACTCGGAGCAAGATTATGCACATACATACAACTGCCAAAGCCGATAGCGTAAAAGGTGCTGATGTTATCGCTTTATACGCACGTATTTAATTTGCAGTCACTGTTTTTCTGCTTCCTGCTTGGCTATCAACTCCAACTACGTCAGGAATTGTAAGCACTTATGCGAATCGAAGGCGGTGTAGATGCCTTTACCGCATCTTAGAACAACGAAGAGAGCCTAGTAAGTCCGACGGAATATTCCTGAACGAGAGAAAGGCTTTATATGTATGTATTTGCAGATCAGATGGTCCACCCGCGCGCGCGTGCATTAGCTTCATGTTTAATAACACCCTATTCAGCGACTCAGTTTCTAGAATACTTAGCAGCGCAAATTCCGAACATATTACCAACTCCCGAAACTGCAACACTATTACGCGGCATGTACAAGCAAGGAACAGATCCTTAGAGGCCGAAACATAGTAGATATGCCTCCACCTTCCCCCTATTGCGACCTGTTCATTAAGTATCTTACACATTACAGTATTCTCTCTTTTGTCTTCAATCTGCAGTGCTTAGCCACATTCTCAATTCACAACAGGGTGGCAAAAATAGGACGGCAGAACCGTCGCATCAGCTACTCTACGCATAGTGAAATCGACGATCCCATGGCTGTGTGAGTACAATATGGATAGAAGCAGGAAGGTTCTCCACGTTGTGCAATTTTTGACCTTTACCGATTAGTTACACTGATGGGGTGGTTCCAACATGGAAGCTTGTTCAAAACTGCCTGGTAACGAAAACTGTAAGAGCTCCTGAGTGAGTAAAGTTTCTGCATGATACGGTCACTTGTTTATGCTTTGTTCAGTGAAGCACCCAAGCATGAGTGGATCATCTAGACTAGAGTTTTTTTCGTTTACTTTTCAATTGTAGAGCTTATGGACATGTGGATTCATCAGCGCATCTCAATACAAGCTTTATCAGAAATCTGGCCGCAAGATACAAGTTTCTTGGATTTATTCTTCACTCTCTGGTCAGACGTATGAAGCCAATTCTTGGTGTCAAAGGGAAAGAAATAAGATCTAGATTAGCACGAACTACCCCTGCTCTCCATAAAAAAAATAGCCACTTACAGAAACAACACATGAATAATTGTAGAATCTGTAGTAGAGAAAAGCATCATAATAATTGAAATCCGCAAACTTCTTACTGCAGCACATTCATTGCAGTCTTGCGCAGAGCGGCACTGCTTTTAGGCTGAAACACGTGCGCACGGACCAACACATCGGATGACTAAGCGCTTTCCGCATCTTCTGCCGGAGAGCCACCTCCAAACAACGTCCAAGCCAGCTCAGCCGATGCTCACTTTCAACTCCTAGGAAATTATCTTATCCGCACCCTGCCCTACTAGATCGCTCGACCGCAGAAGCTGTACGGCCGACATCTCAACCTACGAAAGGCATGATTTAGCCCCTTCAAATACCATAAACCTCTCGGAGGACGCTTTGAGGGGAGGTGGCGCGTCGCGATCATGCCTGACGATATCGAGTTTTCGTCTTTCAACGAGAATGACTGGAAAGCCCAAGATGCCGCTGACGAACGTGAGATTGCGCGGCTTCTAGATCAAGGCCAAAATGGCACCAGCGGTGGACTGAAGATAGACGATACGCCCTTCGATCAAACCAATAAAGCAGATGACGCAGAAGATTTTGAGGATATCAGCGACGACGACCTTCCCGACGAAGAAGAACCCAGCGCAGGCACCTCGCTCGAGGTACCTGGGTTGACAGACGATGGAAACACAAGCAACGACGCAGATGACCTCTTTGGAGAAGGCCCTTCTTCTCCCATCGACCCCATTGATGGCCCAGCTTCACCCGCTCCCCACGTCCGTGACGCCGAGGCAGCCGATGATTCGCAGGCCATCAGCTCAGGCATCAGTTTCGGAGCTATCAACTTCGACCCTGATCCCCATGTCAATGGCGCGGCTAACCAGGATCCCGACATTCCTGCTCCTGCTGAGTCGATTGGGGACCTTCTCAAGGCGACGTGGCCAGCGTACAAAAAGGGTCATATTCTTACCTGGAGTGAGCTTTTGCCGGCGAAGAAAGCGACATGGAAGGAGAAGAGACCGCTAAAGAAACCGAAATATCTTGTAACGAGCAAGCTGAGCCTCGACTTGGCTCCTGATGATGAAAAGCTATTTCGCATTCCTGGACCAGCAAGTTCAGCTACAAAGGCAAAATCGCATGAACTGGCGGTTAATGGTCTTGTTCACTGCAGTCTTGTGAGCGATAGCCGCGAGGAAGATGCTGCGCAATTTGACATCGACCCTGACTCCGACGCTGAAACTGTCATGGGCTTCACATTGCGTGACATTGAACTAGCATGCGAAGATTGGAACGTCCATATTGACAGCGTTGAGAAGAACTTTGCGGCCCAACAGCTGGCTGCAGAGCAGGCAACCCTATCACAGAAACGTCACATTGAGGAAGCCGAGCAAGATGATGAATGGGACGCTGAATTTTTGATGGATATTGCAGACGATCCCCAACCACATCAGAAGAAGCGCAAAGCAATCAAGCTCGGTTTGCCAGAGATTCCCCGCTACACTGCACCTTCATTCGATAATTTTGAAGATGCCACTCGACGAGGCGCTAAGCGCGTTCATTTGGATACCACCGACCCATATCTTCTGTTGGAGACTGAGTCATATCACCCTAATAAAAGACCGCGGCAAGAGGCTAAGATGAAGCGCATGGCGAACGGCAATATGGGCCGGGATGTCTCTCAACGGTTTAACCTATCTAATGATGAGGCATATGAGCTTTTGAAAGAGAACCACCAAAGCAAAGTTCGGGCCACGCTTGGAAACATTTCTGTTGAACATGGCATGCCCGCTCTCAAGCTTTCATGGCCTTACTACAAGGTCAAACTAGGGGGGACGACGGATGAATATCATCGTCCCCGCTTCCGTTACAAGAAAAGCGTGGGCCATACTGTCAGGTTCGAGAAACCTCTACATTTCAAGCGAAAGCAAATGAAGGGCAAAGCGCATGAAATTTTTCTCAAATCGAGGGATCTGAGTCTTTGCGACAATTCTGCGGCCGTACTATTCGAATACTGCGAGCCAAGACCCAGAGTGCTAAACGGCTTTGCCATGGGTAGCCGGCTCATCAATTACTACAGGCGAAAGGAAAACAGCAATGAGGAGGATCAACTCACAAAGCTGGAGTTGGGCGAATATCGCACGCTTCTTCCTGAAGATCGGTCGCCATTCTCCCTTTTTGGCACTGTCGATCCCGGCGAGGTGGTACCAACACTGCACAATGAGATGTATAGAGCGCCGGTTTTCAAACATACCCCTCGAAACACGGATTTTCTCATTGTTCGCAGTACTACGGGCATTGGTGGCGCCAAATGGTACATACATAAAATTGACCATATGCATGTCGTCGGCCAGACATTTCCATCGGTCGATGTCCCTGGACCCCACAGCAGACGAGTAACAAATGCGTCAAAAAGCCGAATGAAGATGCTGGCTTTCAGAATGATTAGACACAGTCGATCGGACAACTGTCAGCTATCCGATATTACTAAGCATATTGCGGAATCTACAGACACTCAAAATCGACAGAAGCTGAAGGAATTCCTTCAATATGATAGAGACAGTAAAGAGAAAGGAATGTGGCGCCTCAAGCCTGGAGAGATACTCCCAGACGAAAATGCGATTCGTGCAATGATCAAACCTGAGGAAGTCTGCCTTCTTGATGCTATGCAGCTCGGCATCAAGGAGCTTGAGGATGCCGGCTACGATCCTCGCAATGCTACCATTGATGATGAGGCGCAAGGCGTTGAAGTCGATGACGACGAGGATGATGACGGTGAAGGAAGCAAAATCGTCAAAGGAGCCAAAAAGATTGCGGAAAAACAAGAAGAGACACTCGCCGATAAAATGGCACCGTGGAAGACGACCAAGGCGTTTATAGACGCATGTGCCCAAAAAGCTATGCTTCAGTTACACGGTGAAGGAGACCCTACCGGTCACGGGCTTGGTTTCAGCTTCATACGAACATCTATGAAGGGTGGATATATAGAAGCTGTTCAAGGGCCACTAGCCACCTCGGCAGACGCAATGGAACGCGAGAAACGTGCAAATGGCGGGCATGCTTACAACGTCAAGAAACAACAGGCAATGTACGAAGAAGGTATTCGAGAGATTTGGGACAAACAGAAAGCAACCCTTTCAGATCCCCAGGAACACGACGTCAACGATATCGCGACGACAGAAGACGAAGACGATCGATTCAACGTCCAATCAGTAGCCACGCCGGCGATATTCGACGAAGGAACCAGTCAGATCAGCGGTTTAACCTCGTCTAGCCGTCATCCGAAACGAACGATTCGAATCACGAGAGAAGTAGAGCTCCCAGACGGCACGACGCAAATGAGAACAGAGATTGTGCACGACCCAGTAGTCATCTCACAGTATATCAAGCGGCGAACCGAGGCTGACTTGGAAATGCGAGAGTATGTGAAACACATTGTCCGCTTCCAATCCCTAACAACAAAAAGACCACCAAAATCTTGGTTGAAATTGCCCATTTCAGTCAGAGCACTTCATCGGTGGGCAAGGCTCGCAAAAACATATCTCAGGAAACAGCCTCCTTCATATGGAGTGGGCTCGCCTGAATCTGTGGTTGATGTTGTTGGGTTGGAGTTTAGAGCGCCGGCTTACGTATATCTTTCTACAGTATCTACAGCGCCAGGCCTACGGGCAATGCCGACCATGACCGTCTTGCAGGCCTTAGGTAAGCTTCATGCCTCTTGTTGCACACGAGTACGAGATGCAAAATTACTGACACTGCTGCGTAGGATCAAAAAGGAACTCGAGCGGTTGGAGAAGAACAAAGCCCGGCGACAGGCCCGAGAACAGCAAAAGGAACTGCACCAGAAAGCAAGCACCGGCGATGCAGGGTCTCCTGGAGCCGATAAGATCCCTACAGGGACTACCCGCAAATGTGCCAATTGTGGACAGGTTGGACACATCAAGACAAACAAAAAGTACGGTAATTCCTACTTGTTCACCTCCTACGTCTCCACCCCCTCGTTTGCCTTTTGATTGGTGGCAATGTGCCCGAGAGCTGCAAAACGGCGCCAGTGGTGCCTGCAAGAAGAACAGAAAGAGGAACAGTATCCTTGCTCGCACGCTCAAGCAATCTGACACGCAAGCTCGAAGAAAAGAGCGAGCGCGTCTGACAAAGCGGAAAGCCGGCAATGGACAGAGCCGGAAGGCACGCAAAGAAGAAAAAGAGCGCAAAACGCAAGAAGAGCTAGACAAAGAACAAGCGATTTGCGAGGACAGAGAGCAGCTGCAGGCACTCAAGCGAGAGCTGCAAGAAAGAGCCCGCCAAGAAAGGGAAGAAAGACAAAGACAGGGTGGAGGAGTCCAACTCGTCTCTAACCAGCCGTGGTGGAGAGCTGCAGCTGACAGGTCTCACTAAAACCAACCGCCTGGCTGGTGGTGTTTTTGATGTCTCCTGCTTTCCTCTACCCAGCGTTGCCTTTGCTATTCCAGTTCTTTTTAAATTCTATTTTGCTAACTTGGCGCTCCTAAGATTATGTCCTCTGCTCAACGGTACGATGAAAGCAGACAACGGCGCATCCGAACACGGTGGTTTTGGTAATTACAATGCCCCCGCGGGAGGTGCGGGATCGCCGATTTGAAGATGGCACCGATCACGTTGTGGTATGTAGCAGCAAATCAGCCGTGCTTGTTCCTATACATCTACGTACTGAAACAAGCTGCGTGCCGTAACAAGAAAAGGTGCAGGAAAACGATTTGGCTTGGCGATACAAGAGCGAAGGAGGTGGCAAGTGGATGGAATCTACGAAAGCTTTCTAAATTGAGAAAACGGGGCAGAGCTTCGTGCTGTTTTTCATCCTGTCGCCGGCAAGACACGCCGTGGATGAGTCAGGTAATGATGAAATTTGGGATTGCTGAGCTTTCGATTCACACGTAAGGGGGCAGGCAACACAGGAGTTTTGGGTTTTCGAGCATGTCAGCCCCATGGGCTTGATTGGCGTTCAAGGGGAGGGGACAAAGCATTCATTTTGAAACGTACGTACGGCAAGAAGATTCGTTTAGGTACACGTATAGAGTGTACAAAGCAAAGCAAAGCCAAGCAAAGCCTATTCATCGGCGATACGTGCGTCAGTTGGTGACTTGCTGTTCCAGCTCAAGCCATCTCGAGTGATTTGATAGGCAAGCAGCTCTACGTTGGGAGTTCCAGATGCGTAGTATGCTGCAAGTAAGAAAGTGGCTTGCATGGGTCTAACGAAGTGAGGAATTAGGCCACCGCGGATCATGAGGCAGTGGTTCACGCATTTCGAGTAGCCTCGTGGCCTTGGAGCTTTTGGATGACAAGAGGGCGATTTGGCTAAAATGGCTGCAAGTCATGGTATGATTCCTGGCAAAACAGCCGATCCAAAGGGATCATCCGCAGCAATACTATGCGCTCCAGGATATGCTATAACACACAGCAGATGGCAATGACAGGTGATGATGTATGATGGTGTTGAGTATGGAAAAAAAAAAAAGGGTCTGATTATGTAGCTAGTATGCGCGAAGCTCCGAGAGTATTTTTAGAACTGCACTACAAGAAATACAGTAATACCCTTGCATGAGGACCCAAAATAAGACAAAAACCGGGCAGGCGTCCAATCGGTAGGCTTTTTCTACGGGGTCTGCGGCGGGCGGAGGAGGCTGAGCGGGAAGAGCGGGTGGGTGGCTTTAAGGCGGAGTCGCGAAAAGAAGTGAGGTGAGTGGTGCACTGTAAGAAAGAAGCCCGATTATTTGGGTTCTTTTGCTGTTTGCTCTTTTTGATCGACTTGGCGTTTTGGGAGGGGCATGCATGTGCGGATAGTATGAACGCAGGCTGAGACTGGGGATTAATTGGAAAATATTGATTGAGACGACAATCAGTGATGGAGGTACATGGTGGAACAAAAGCCGAGTAGTATCCGCAAGAATGAGCTGAGAAAAAGAGGCTGAGCCGGGTGGACCCCTGGATCTCAGCGACTTCCATGGTTATTGTTTTTTTTTTCTACTAGGGACTGGGGCATGGCATCTGCAGTGATACCTCGAACACTTGGTTGTTCCTCTCTGCGTCTACTATTTTTGTTTTGTCTGAGGAGAAAGGGGGATCAGTAGGCGTGGGGGCTTTTTGTTTCAGAAGAAGGCTTCTTTGTTCTGATACAGCTTGTTCTATTTCAGAAGTATAGTTGCAGCGCTGTTGGTTCCAGGACGTGATGATGCAGAAAAGGGACGGCGGCAGGGCGCTTATCTGCGACTGGTGATAGGGTCCGGCCGCGCTATACGTGCCGAAATCTTCGGCTCACAGTGAATTCGGATAGAATCCGGACGCTCTTCTTCCTGTTCTCCTCTTTTTCTTCTTGTCTCTTCTCTCTTTTGAAGCTCGTCCACTACGCTGTGGATACTCGGGGTGAGAGCGAGGATAGTATGTATCTAGTCTTTGACGCGGTGACTGTCTAAATCTTGCATGTGACGCTCTAGGCGAGCCTCCAGAGCAGCCCCCGAGCTCCTAAGTCGCTGCCTAAGCGCGTGAGCCCTCCACGAACGCACCTCGCAACCCGTTTGGCGAGAAGCGCGGGCGAAGAAAGTGTGCCGGATGCAGACACGGTGTGGTCGCGACGGGCGTTTTTGTGCGTGGGCCATTTCCATTTCGTCTGGTGTTTCAATGCGCTGGAGGCGGTCTCCGCATTTCGGTGTTGGCATCCAGCGTGCTGGGCTCTGCCTTGAAGCCTCGCCCCAAATCGCCTATTGAGCGGTAAGAAACCCAGTCCGGATTACTAGAGGCTCGGATATAGATGCCGTTGCTCTGAGGGGCACGAACAGCGAGGGAGAGAATCAGATACCCCTGGACTTGCTAGTAGGCTTAGACCTTCTCCCCGGGAAGAAGAAACGCTGGGCATGATAAAAACGTCAGTCCGTCCCGCCCAACGGTGACAGCAACACCGTCAGAAAGGCAGAAGAGATGCCTTGCCCCTCCGTTTCTCGTCGGGTGGCGGCTAAAGAAGGCTGGATACACAAGCCTGGCAGATCGCTATCACCGTTGCCGCGAAACGCTCCGGTTTATCACAAACTACAGGTGCGTGCTTGTCCGGGGTCTGGCAAACAGACAGGCCAGGCTGCTGTGGATACATGGGGCCATTTTTGATTCGAATTAATCTTACGGCGATGGAGTCCGTCACAACGTTTGTTAATCTTGCACGGTAACACCACGCATGGTTGAGTAATTTGGAGGTGCCTGGTCCTTCGGTCAGTGAGATTCCATTGTACAGCGTGGTTCTCAACAAATTGTGTTTGGCAAACACTGGCAAAGAAATGGAATTGACCTCAAAGTATGGAATCCTGGACTTGAGAACAATGGCTAGGCAGATTGCAGCCCGAGCTAGGCTCATGGCGTGGTTCGTCCGCTCCTTGTACAATTTGGGATTGAATGGGAGCGTCACGTCAGAGCCTGCTGGACGCGTCTAAATACCAATACCGTATAGCAGCTATAACTCGTAGAGCGTCGTATCTCTCAGTCGGGGAGCCCATGTCAGCAGTGCTGTAACACGCTGCAGCCGTGCAGCAGTGCCAGGACAGATGCCTGTGGCTAGCGATGCTGCAGTCTGCAATCAGTGCACCAGCATCAGTGTCGAATCCGAATCGAATCCGCTGGGCGGATCACTGCTGCTAAGCCTTCCCGCTGCAGCCAGTAAAATACGGCAGAGGGGCGCTGCCAGCCCACTGACTACGGCAAATCATCTGGTAGCGCACCGCAGCCAAAACAGGAAGCGAGAGCCCCTCCGCCTCCACCCTGTAGCTTTGGGTCGTTCCCTGCTGGACTTGTCCTAGTCGGGGCCCTTACTTCCCCTTCCTCCCTCTTAATTTTTTTTCCCACTGCCTCAGACTGAACACGATCTGGCTATTATTAGAAGCCTCCAACGCCAGATTCAGCCCCATCGTCCTGCAACCGCCTATGCCAACACGTTTAATCCAACCCCCAGCTTCAACGATCAACCGCTGCAACGCACCCCGACGCCGCCCACCCAGCATCTGATCCCAAGCGACAGACGCTGCCGCTGCCGCTGCCGCTGCATGTATCGCGCCTTGCGACCGCGACTGCGACTGCGACTGGATCGGCTCTGGCACCGCTGCTGAAGCCGCCCGCCACTGACATCCAAGCCCGCCCGGCTCTGTTCCGTCTGGCGAGCCAACATTGTCCTATTCTTCTTTGTCTCGCGCCTAGCCGGCCTCCGACCGTTAGGCCACTCTTGGAATATAATTGTGGCTGCCAGGAATTGTACATAGGTGGCGCCTCCTGCCTCTGACCGTCGTCCTCGGCCTCGACTCGTCCATCGCCATCCTTGTCTGTGGTGCGCCCGCGCATGACAACAAGACTTAGCACAAGTCAAGCCAGTTTATATACTACTGCTAGCCCTGCTGCTGGAATTGGCCGTTGTCTCTTGTCATCTTCCCCGGGGCGAGCCGTCTTACTCCCTCCCCCATTCTTTGTCTCTTGTCTCTCTTTGTGGGTCCGGGCAAACCATTTCTTTTGCGGCGCGTGCTTTTTTAGACATTGCACAATCTTCGCTCCCGCTTCACGGGCCCAATTTCGATCTCGACCTCGAAAACTCCCCTTTTCCGAGCCATCTGGACCATTGAGTTCGAACCTCGAGACCCGCCACTGCCAAACACGTCCACGGCCATCGGGTATTGGACGATCCCGAGCCTCGAGTCTTTCGGCCTCGCGCGCCGTTCCACCTCACTCCTCCATACCGCGATTCTTCTGGCCCTGCCAGCTGTAATTCAAAATGGGTCGAAGAAAAATTGAGATCAAGGCCATCAGGGATGATCGCAATCGCTCTGTGTATGTCATCACCAAAGCCGTCGTCTGGCGCCCATTCCCGTCTACATGTACTTGAGCTAACAGCAACATCTTCTTTTAGGACTTTTCTCAAGCGAAAGGGCGGCCTATTCAAGAAGGCCCATGAGCTCTCCGTCTTGTGCTCCGTCGATGTCGCTGTTTTCATCTTTGGCAACAACAAGAAGCTGTATGAATACTCCTCCGCAGATATGCAGCATCTCATCACCAAGTACCAATATGTAGGTTCCACTAAAGGCCGCTTGGCCGGCCGCATGGTTTTATCCATGTCCGCTCCAATTCTGGCAGGACGTGTTTTGACTGATGCAATGATACTTATAGCACGGCGGTCCTAATGAGCACAAGGGCCCTGCCGACTTCAACGGCGGCGGAAACGACGACGACGACGATGAGGACGGCGATGGAACGCCCCCTCGAGCCCCCGACGGAATGGAAGCTCATATGATGCCTCCCCATTTCCAAGGCCAACCTCAGTCCTTCCCTCCTCATATCCGCCATCAGACAGCTTCAGTGTCGCCTCCCATTCCCAACGGCGTGCCTTTCCAAGGCCATCCTGCCCACCTCCAGCGAAGCCACACGCCGCAACCTGCCGTCCCGTCACGGCCCGGCTCCAGAGGAGATATGCGGCGCATGGGTCCCGGCATGATGTCCCAGCCTGTCGGCCCCCATGGACCTCATCCGGGAATCACATACATGCCTACGCCTCCAATCTACAACCCTGCTGCTGGTAACCATTCCAACTTGATGCCGCCCCAGCCTGGCCCTTATCCCTTCCAACCACCACAGCAACAGCAACAGCCATATATGGAAGAGCGGCGACCGTCTGCGCCCCCGGCCTTCAATGCTCATCCGCCTCCCCAGCCCCTGGCAGCAGGCCCCCGTCCTGAGCCCTCTCCTCCTCAGCCGCCTCATCAACTAGTCCCTCCGCACTCCATCCCTCCTCACATGACTTCACCGCAGCCATCACGACGTCCCTTGGACCCGCAACCTCCTCCACCCGTCGAGCCAAAGCGAGAAGCTCCCGAGCGACCCAAGGCGCCCCTCATCAACACGGACATAGCGATCAAGAAGATATCCCAGCGTAAGTCGCACAGTATCTTCACGCCCATCGAGGAAAACCGGTCAATCCTGTCACAGCATTTGGCGTCTTTTGCTTCCGAACCTCAGTCTCAAGCAAACGCAAACCGGTCTCAATCGGCTGATAATGGACCCGCCATACGCAACGGGGAATCGTCGTCCTCGCCGCACCTGCAACAACGTTCCAATTTACGCAATACGTCGATATCCTCTCTCCCCGATACCCCTAATACTAGCAGCCTAAAGATCAACACAGCTGTGGGAGGCGCACGACCGAAACCACCTCGGCTTACCGTCCAAATTCCGGATGGAGCATCCGAAGCTGGTGGCAGTGCAACAGGCGACTCGAACTCACCTCGGAATCCAGCAGATGCCGTCTCCCACGCACAGCATCGGCACGGTACCGTGGTCCTCCCGCCCCCTTCTCCATCTGCAACCGCGTTGCACTCGGCCGGGGCTACTACAGGCCCGCCCAATCCTTTTGCTCGACCAGTCCCGCAGCAGAATATCAATGGCGACACACCCGTTTCTGCTCTCCCGTCTCGCTTCCTAAACAATGAGCTGCTGCCAAGTCCCAGCAGCTTCTACCCAGAATGGAATTTTAGAGGAAGTGATAACAACACGCTGCCCAGCCCTCTAAACTTTGCCACGCCTGTAGTAGGCTCGGGGCCGAGTTTCCTACGGGACGATGCCCACATGCAAGGCGGCAGTGGCGGGAACGCTGAGGCAGGTAACGGCAACCTTGGCGGCTCGACACAGCCGTCGGGGTTGGCAAAACGAAAGAGTCCGGAGCTTGAAGCGACTGGTCCTGATGAGAACCACGACATGGCTAGCGACCCCAAACGCTTGAAAGTGGACCGATAGGATGTATAAGATACTTGTTGGGTAATTTTGATTCTCTTCATATTCTTCCAGATACCCCTTTGTCCTGTATCAACTTAGATTCTTTCCTTGTCTTTCTCTTTGACTTTGTTTCTCATTTTATACCTTTCTTTTTCTATGTATATTTATTATGTGGGTTATTTCTCCGTCTTTTTTCTTCGTGGAAGAGATTTTGTCTACAAATCCCCCCTGCATCTTTCGTTTGACATTGGAGGTTCTGTTTGTTGTGTTGGCATTATTTTTCGGGAGATCCATGTTGGTGTTGTTGAAAGGGGGGGAGTATTTGTGTTATTGATACCGTTTTCAAGCTTTTGCTATGCATTTTGGATATTGAATGGGAGATTGATCACCTAATGTGGAAAACGTAATTCCCAGTCACAATTGGAGGAAGTCTTTTTTATATCAAGCAAATCAGATGAAGGCTAGTTTTGGAACCTAGGAGAAGTGGAAGGAAGGGTATTGAGTATTTGGGGAGGGCGTTTTGGCTAGAAAATGTAGTTTGGCTACACAGAAATGGACGATACGAGACACTGCTTAGTTTTTGGTGAATAATATTCCATTCTGCGATTTTTAAACTCCCTTCGTCTTCTTTCTGCTTGTGATGCATGGCAATTGCTTTCATCTTGGCTACTTGTCAGTGTTTATATGTTCAAGGTAAGCCTAGGTGGCCTTTTAGATCAAGGATGACCTTGCATAAATTTTACGCAAGTAAAAATATATCCATGTATCGCCAAAGCTAGGGCTTGGCTTGTTATAGCCAAATTAACACTATGTAAAAACGCGCTGCTAAAGAACAAGAATAAACAATTTCGGATACAGTCGTGTCATAAAAAAGTGAAGAAAAATGTATCATCATGTCATTAAGCGTAATTCAAGACGCCTTTCAAGATCCAAACCTCGCCATTTGCAACGCGGCTGGCAACCCGGTCTACTTGCACCTCATCCGGCATAATCACCCTCTGCTCATTGCCGTCCTTGTCCTTCTTCGCCTCCCACCACACCTCCGTCCCCGCAGCAGTCTTTGCCTTGACGCCAGCCTCCCAGGGACTCGTCCCGACGACAAGATGCGCCTCGACAAACCTGCGCAAGTTGTCGTCGGCGCGATCTTTGCCCCCGGAGCCATCGTAGGCCTGCTCCCCCAAGGCAGCGTAGTCGCTCGGGTTCTCCCAGGGCTTCCGCGGCAGGTCGTCGATGACGACGTTGCCCGGCGCCAGGACGGTGGTGTTTGTGTTTGCGTCGGAGAGGGGCTCGCTCGTGGACTCGTGCATGCGCGTGAGGGAGAAGAAGGTGGTGAGGGAGCGCTGGGTGCCGAGGATGTCGTAGAGCAGGACGGCGGGCTGGACTTGGCTGTCGTTGTCGTTTGAGGAGCCCATCATGACGGGGAGGTGGCCGGGGGGTGGGTGAGGCGGCAGACGCTGCTGCTCGTCTGGCCGGCGGAGCGGTTGTTGGTCTGATGGAGGAGCCGTGGCTGCGGTGCAGAGTGACAGACTGAGAGGGAGCAAGGTGAAGAACTTCATGCTCTTCTAGTGCGATGGGATAGGAGCGATTAGGCTGTAGGTTGGGCTGGAAGTTTTGTTGCGATAGGTTAGATGGATGGATGTTGATTGATATCGCGAATGAACGACGTCACTAGGGGTTTTCTGACGAATAGGGAAATCATCGGCGGCAGATGCTCAAAAGGAATGCACTTGGTCACGTGGCTTGGCCTTCTCGAAAACCGAACTGGTCTATGGGACAAAATCTGGGGCAGGAAAAAAAAAAGCTGGAGCGCAAGAGGTGGAAAATTAATATCCGAAGGCTAAATAAGATGGCAAGCCTTAGTTGAAGGAATGGTGAAAAGAAAAGAAGGCAATAATTCCCGTCGCGAGAAGTCGCAAGAAACTCGTCGATACCAAGATACTGAAGCCAGGTACTGGTGAGAGTGCTGTTCACCACATGGCCGGCTACATGCACATCCTTGCGCACAGTCTAGGCCAGAATATGACATAAGGGAGGGAATGCGCTTTGCGCCTACAGTGGGATTTTCACATGAAAGTACAAGAGACAAGAAGGGCAAGAAAACGAAACATTTGCTGCGACTCAGAGCCCGGGCTAGCCAATGGCGTGGCTGGGAACCGGCTCACCGAGCACGGAGACCATCATCTGACTTACGCCCCTGTGGCCCCCCCGGATTTGGGGTTTTTTCTTGAATGTGTGGGGTAGACCGCTGGGCTGTCTTTTTGCCGTGCTTGGTTTGCTGGGCTTGTGTATGGGGGAGATGCACATGGTAGCAATACGTAGGTGATGTGATGGGCTGCGGTCAGCTGGGCTGACTGGCGGAACTTGGCATGTGAAAAGCATGTGGCATGTGGGAGAGAAGCCGCTTTAGCGGGCGTGCCTCTGTGGGCAGTTGGCGCCAGATAGTGTAGCCGACTTTTAAATGGGATGAGCAAGGTGTGTTTCTTTGGCAAAGCCAGTTTCCTGATTGAAAGAAAATGTTGGCCTGTTGGAAGATGACATTTCGTGCTGCCGAAATGTGAGCTGGAAACCTCCCCATCCAGAGCTCGGGGACGAGAAATTAGCCTCGGCAGTCGCGTGTGCTGCTCGCATCGCCAACCAAACAAACACACTTCTTCAAAATGCAAACACTCATACGACTTTAAAATCACCCTATTTTGCTCTTCCCCCTTGATCCAATGGTAAATCCGGATCTTCGGCTATATACATACTGCTAGTGGTGGCAGCATTCAACTGTTGGCCGGTGTTTTCTGGTGTTCCGGGAACGGACTGACGTTTGCCCCAGCAGGAGTTTACAAAGCCTAATTGCTGATTTGACAACTGCGATTGGGGTAGTTTAGTGGGGTGAGCAAAAGTGGCTAAAAAATGCCACGGAGTACCGGCATGGAGACGGCCATTGTTGGAAATGATTTTGTCCACAATTGGTGGAAGAATCATATGGAGAAGTCAATTTCAAGAAAGTTTGAGGTGAAGAGTGGACAAGGAAAGAATTCATTGGTACGAAACATTCGCATTCTGCGTGCTGTAGTTCCTGTGTGTGTAGATGCAGCCAAGATCCATGCCAGTTCCCCGTACCTCGCTCCCCGGCTTCAGGCTTCAGCGGGCTTAGCGGACTTCAGCACCTGTACCTGTACTGCCGTCTCGGTGGCTTTCCCCTACCCACCCAAGGTTGCCTCGGCTCACTACCGCCCTCGGCGTGGAGCTCATGCCCATTCCGTAACTCTTTAAAACTCCAAAGGTCGAGCCGCGATCTGGTTCTTATCCCCTTCTTTTCTTCTCCTCTCTCCATTCTCTTCCTTTTTTTCCCCTCCCCGTCCATCTAGTATACCCTCGTTGTATTTCTCCGTCTGAGTACAGTCGCGTCGTCTTCCCTTTCTTGCCCCTCTACCGCTTCGGACTCCTCACATCACAACCATGGCTCCCAGAGTAATTGTCGTTGGTGGCGGCCGTAAGTAATCTTCTGCCCTTCGCTTGTTCTTTCTGCCGCTTTTGCTCTGTTCATCCCTGGAGACGAGATGAACGCATACGCGACAGCGGGGATAGGCGACATTCGGCTGGGACCATCAGTTTGCTGATTCGATGTCATTACAGTTTCTGGTCTGTCAGCCGCTCACACTATCTACCTTGCCGGTGGCAACGTAGTAGTTCTCGACAAGCAGGGTAAGTGCTGCGTAAACTCTGCGATTCCTGGCCCAATTCTCGCTGCTCAGCGATTGTGAGAGGCTCGGGATGATTTACACCGAAATGCTGACTCTCGCGCTCAGGCTTCTTTGGTGGTAACTCGACCAAGGCCACCTCCGGCATCAACGGTGCCTTGACCCGCACCCAGGTCGACCACAACATCCGCGACTCCGTCAAGCAGTTCTACGATGACACCCTCAAGTCTGCTCGTGAGCAGGCTCGTCCCGACCTCATCAAGGTCCTCACATACAAGTCCGCTGCTGCCGTTGAGTGGCTTCAGGACGTGTTCAACCTTGACCTGACACTGGTCTCCCGACTTGGGTAAGTTGGCTTGCCTCTCATTTGAATGGCACATCTTCACTCTAGCGAGACAATCTGGCTAACGGCATGACTTGCAGTGGTCACTCCCAGCCCCGAACCCACCGAGGCCACGATGCCAAATTCCCCGGCATGGCCATCACCTACGCTCTGATGCAGCGCATTGAGGAGCTTGCCGAGGCCGAACCCCACCGTGTCGAGATCATCAAGAAGGCCCGCGTCACCAGCTTGAACAAGGAGGGCAACACCGTCACTGGTGTCACTTATGAGGTCAACGGCGAGACCGCCTCTTTGGACGGCCCCGTCATCCTCGCTACTGGCGGTTACGCCGCTGATTTCGGCGAGGGCTCTCTGCTCAAGAAGCACCGCCCCGAGATCTTTGGCCTTGCCACCACCAACGGCACACACGCCACTGGTGACGGCCAGAAGATGATCATGGCCATTGGCGGTAACGGCATTGACATGGACAAGGTCCAGGTCCACCCTACTGGTCTGGTCGACCCCAAGGACCCTGGCAACAAGTGGAAGTTCTTGGCCGCCGAGGCCCTGCGTGGTGAGGGCGGTCTCCTTCTCAACGCCGATGGTGACCGATTCTGCGATGAGCTCGGCCACCGTGATTACGTCTCTGGCATGATGTGGAAGGAGAAGGACAAGAACAAGTTCCCCATCCGCCTCATCCTCAACTCCAAGGCCTCCAACGTCCTGGACTTCCACACCCGCCACTACTCTGGCCGTGGCCTCATGAAGAAGATCACCGGCCAGCAGCTTGCCAAGGAGATTGGTTGCACTCCTGACCACCTCCAGAAGACCTTCCAGACATACAACGCCATTGCCGAGGGCAAGCAGAAGGACCCCTGGGGCAAGAAGTTCTTCCACAACCTGCCCCTTGACATCAACGACGACTTCCACGTCGCTCTCATGGAGCCCGTCCTCCACTTCACCATGGGTGGTGTCGAGATCAACGACCGCGCCCAGGTCCTCAACCAGGAGCAGAAGCCCTTTGACGGTCTCTTCGCCTGTGGTGAGTTAGCTGGTGGTGTCCACGGCGCCAACCGTCTCGGTGGCTCATCGCTGCTTGGCTGTGTCGTCTACGGCCGTGTTGCCGGTGACAGTGCCAGCAACTATCTCTTCCAGCACGCCCTGCAGGGCACCGCTGGCGCCGCTCAGCGTCTGGGCCAGATTTCTCTGCACCTTGATCCCTCTGCTCCCGGCAAGCTGACCGTCGAGTGGGCCAACGGCGGTGTTGCTGGCTCAGCCCCCGCTCAGGTTGCCGACAAGCCTGCCGCTGCCGCTGCCGCTCCCAAGGAGGCTTCCAAGCCCAAGGCTTTCTCTATCCCCGAGACTGAGTACACCATGGAGGAGGTTGCCAAGCACAACACCCGGGAAGATCTGTGGGTTGTCGTCAAGGGTGTTGTCATGGACCTGACCAACTGGGTTGAGGAGCACCCCGGCGGTGTCAACGCCATCTTGAACTTCATGGGCCGTGATGCCACCGAGGAGTTTGCCATGCTGCACGACGACGAGGTCATCCCCAAGTACGCCCCTAGCCAGGTCATTGGCCGCGTCAAGGGACAGAAGGTCACCCTCGAGTACTAGAGAAAAAAGAAACTCAAAACGAACGAAATGTAATGTCATGTATAAAAACATAGGCCCCCGAGCTGAAAGATAATGGGGAAAAGAGATGGAACGAATGATGGCATCTACGGGAAGCAGGAGATGCGTATACCACCATTATGACGATTGTGAGGACGGAGCCTCAGAATATGTTTTGCTCTCACAACGATGAGCTGTTAGATTGTCTTTTTACAGGCGCACTGGGCTCGGGTGTTTGATATGTGGTTTTATGTAATGTACGGATAGCTATAGTTGCATATAAATCAATTTTTGATCAAGTACTTTTGTCTGTTTCCTGATTGACCGACTTTGGACCAGTAGCTATCAGATGTACTCTGATTAGATATTCATTATCATTCAGATCAAAAAAGATAGATATATATGCCTTGTAATCCAAGCGATCAAGACGGATATTACGAATTAGGGTTCGCTCATGAATGATGAGAGTAAAGAAGTACGCCCACATCGTAGATTCGATTTTTGATCCTCAGAGTGCGGACGTTCTATTCTGAATATGAAAGCATCCTGAATATAGATAAAACACAATTTGGTGGCCAGCGAGCGAGAGCGTTTTTTATGCTAGCATCAACAAGCCATTGTTAAAAATAGAGGGCACGGTTTGATATGGAAGCGAAGCAGCATCCTTTTCGTCTTCTCTATGCCTCATCTGTCTTCCACAATGACGGTCTTGTGTGTTAGCATGTAGTCACGTTCTGTTCGAAGCAAGAAGAAGAAGAAGAAGAAGAAGAAACGTAGACGGTTAATGTCTTGGATCAACCGTTGTGATCAATTCTCAGGGTCCTGTTTGACGCATCCAATACTTGAAACAAGGGGTCTGATCAGCTCCAGGCCAGTAATCCATGGGAGTAGAAGTGGCAAACGCCATTCTAAGCAAATATGCACCTAGTATGGCGTGCAGACGTTGTTGTCGAGATATTGTCGAGTAGGTACCTCTTGCATCTTATTGCGTGGAGATGCATGTGCCGTTTAAGCAATGACTGAGATGCTGGAAATGCGTCACGGTCGAACAAAACATTATGCAATTTGTGTTTTTATCAACAATGGGAATCAGATATTTGCAGCAGTCCATTGGACGGTATTTCAGAGCCCCGATATTCCAAATTCCACGGCGAGGGCGGAATGGGCCGGTTCCCGCTACGGGCAAGTACATGTAACAGCGGAGCAGCTGCTCCTTTGAACCATATACATAAAACATATTCAAGGGATAGGCACACGCACACACACATGGGGCTGTATGTACAAGAATATTTGTCATGGAGGAATTAGGAATTACAAGGACGAATCGCTTTTCCAAAAAGTAAGACGTGCCCAAATCTTGACGACGGGGTCCCCCAGTCTGCCGGCCACCCCCGCTTACAGAGACGAGAGAAAAAAAGTGACCGATGGAAACAGTATGCCAGCAATTTTTGACGGACAAGATCGGGAAAGCATCTGGGCTGGGATTGTAGCCTGCTTGCCTACATGGTACAGGGGAGAAAGTTTAGATGAATGAAAAAGAAAGGTGCGTTATTACAGAGGCTGTATCAGGTAAGGTGCCTGTCAAAATTGAATGATTGTATCTAACCTACGCATAATGATGAGAGGGGCCTTTCAACAAAGCTTATCTAGGTCCGCATCGTGGGCATTCTTGGCATTTTCATCGGGCGTTATGCTGTGACTGATGAATACTACTGCATCGGCATCACGTGTAAACACGGACAGGAATGCGAAGCACATCGTCGTGGCATTCCCACCTTTGTCATGTATTCTGTATCAAAATTGTCAGCGTAAGTCTGTTCCAGACCCTTGGCAAAAGACCACCAACTCTAGGCAAACAGGCCTATCTATGATGGAGCTTTCTTCCCCTCTCATCTGGGGGAAATCTTGAATTCCTTTTTTTTTTTCCCTTGTGCAAAAATTAGCACAAGGGCAAAAGAAAAGAAAAAACGCCGCCACCACTACGTCGTGATGGCTGCATGGTAATAACGGCGGGGGCGTTTCACTCATCATGTGAAGCCTGCAGAGAGGAGAGCCGAATTTCCCATTTTAAGCGTTAGTTTTTTCAGACCGTTGCCTGCTCAAGAAAAAAACAAAATGTTTCGTCCCTGAATTAGACTCTGATGAATCGGACCATTGTAGAAGGGGGGTTTCAAACGAGTTCCCGCCTTCGGAACAGGAGGGGGAGTGCTAGATGATGCAGGCAACCGGCCCTTCCCCTTGGAACTAGAAGATGGGCGTTTCTGGTTTCTTGGGGCTGTGACATCAAGGGCCGGAGCCATGACCAGTTAGGATGCTCCCTATCGAGTAAACATACAAGCAGTCTATGGATGGATGACATCTCTTGAGAGCTGAAGGAAGAATAAGATGGGAAATAAAAACTAGAGATATTGAGGTCATAACGCCGAGTCGATAATTCACAGATTCCCTTGAATTGCCACTAGATGCCCGCCCGCCTATGCATCTCATGCGGGGTGATGCCGATCCGGGGTCGACAAGTGCATGATCTGTCAAATCGGCGCATCTCTCTTTTGCCATTTTTGTATGTATGTATGAGAGAAATACATGTATTGGTGGGCGGTAGAGAAGAAAGGGGGTTTGCTTTGACCGCTTGCTTCGTGTTTGCAGTGTAGCATCACATCGCAGCACAATAGATTGCGGCGTTTTATCTTGCTGTGCCTTTCCCCGCTGCATAGAATGCTACATAAAAATATAACTTTTTTTTCCTTCTTCTTCTTTTGAGAGAGAGATGTCTTGGTGAGGGAATCTCCGACGGCTGGGTGGCTGATGCCGGGAATGGTGTTGGAATACGACGCTGCGGTGTTGTATCGCGGCCGCAATCTTGCCACACAATACGGGGTGCTTTTTTTGCTAAGAGGTGTCGTCACGGAGCAATAGATTTTCTTTGCGGCAGTCGGCTATGATACTACACCCACACGAAAATGCTCGACTTCGGATCCGGCACTTGGGGGCACTCCTTGATGGTTTGAATCTCGAGATTGCCCCTTGTGCAGGGTATTCTGCCATCAAATTCGATGCTACGTTTGGCTTCACTTGACTTTTTGGTTACTTGCTTATACTAACCGCAGCTGGCTGAATTTAAATTTCGAGTCAAACTAAGATTAAATAATATTTTTAAGAGTATATCTCGCAACGCAGAAGAACATGTAGTTTTCTAGATTGTAGCGAACTCAGGGTAGGCGACATGGCTTATAAGCCACTCGTCTGATCTTGTACACTCAACTGCTTAAAGATGGCATCGCTACTATGCCAATTGACGTCTTACGTCATATCTCACACGACATAATCCATAGATAGAAACAGGACAAGAAGAGAAGACGCAAAAAAAAAAAGGCGGAGGAGGGACACGCTTTGCGATTCCACATCTAGTTTCATCCAGCATCCAACTAGCTGGGCTCATCATCCGAGGCTTCCAGATTAAAAGAGCGGCCGCAAAGGCCAAAATACTATAGTAATACTATAGTAGTCAATCATAGAAAAAAAAACATCACGACTAAAAAATCAAGCTATGACAAAACAAAAAAGATAAAAGAAATCTGGTAGTTATCGGCTGCGTCAAAACAAAATGTCACTGGCGTGCAAGCTTCTCTCTATCCCCTACAAGAAACTAACAAAGGACTAATGCACTTCATGATCAGTTTGTACTAGCAGAATGCGGGTAAAAACAATGCCCAGCCCAGCCTAAAAGCGACGAGTGTTTTTTTTTTTCTCTCCTTCTTTTTCTTCATCTGTCTTGTCTTGTACTGCATGTGCATTCGATGCCACGCCTGCATAAGCGTATCGCGAGTGTATTGGATACTATCGCAGCAATAGCGCCATTGGCTCCTGTTTTACAGCGGTGCTAGCGAAGAAACAGGATTAGCAGCCAACGTAAAATAGCATTCAATTATTGAAAATTTCTCGCCCTTGATTTTTCATTCTCATTCACGTCAATGTCATTCGATCCGCCGTCTCCCACTCCCTTTCCACCCCTTTCCCCTTAGCCTGGACAAAAAGGCGTACTCGGATCTAGGTATATATTCAGCCATGGAATTTAGCGGGCTCCATCAAACCCGTATGATTGATGATGATGCTAGACATGCGCTCAAAAAAATGGCATACCACTAGCAGCAGCCAGGTCCCCTCTACGGCGCGGTACTTACGGGGGAGCATGTACTCCGCAAGTGCCGCCAATGTCAGCTGCAAGCTGCAAGCATCTGCCTCCTGCAGCTGCTCGAAGCACCACTTCGTCTGCACATGCTCTAAAACTGGCAACGGCAGTGCAGATTACCAGCGGCTGGCCGCCAAGAACTGCTGACTGTAACATCTTCACAAGGCAAGGGAAAAAGCAAGCAGCCAAGGCCTGCCCTCCCGGTACTGTGTCCGAGCCGAGCTGCGACTGGGTACCCCTTGGCCCTGTTAGCGGCAGTACAAGTACAGGGCAGCTACTTCCGCGGCCTTGGCAGCCCGCCTGATCATTTCCCCAGATCGCTCCGCGCGCAGGTATCTGCTAGTTTGCAGTACGCGGCGCCCCTCCGCAATTTTAGACCCAGGCGTACTGCACCGTGTGGCGCACTGGACTAGTGGACGGCACGAAAGAGGAAAGGAGAAGGAAAAACAATAAAAAGGAAAAAAAAATTCCAACAGAACCCTCATTGGCTGCTCTTCCCCAGATTTTCTCCGCATCATAATCGTCCCGCTCCCTTTTTCTCTTGGACGTACCGCGCTCGAACCAAAGCGTGCTGCGGCTGGAAAACATGGCGTTTCTGGCGGTCCATCGCAGTGCAACAACCAGCCTGCCAGAGTTGTTGATTCTATTTGAATTTCTCTTGTTTTTCACTAGGGCTGAAACCATGGTCTATCAATGAGCAAATCCATTAGGTAGCTACTGTCTATTAGTCAGACCCCTTGTACCGGGGCATCCCACTTCGTGTAACTGGGTAAAATGGCCATGATACAGCCTCAGTGCCGCATCTGCCGTTCTTGTTTCTGAAGAATCAGCTAGTGTGCTCTGTTTTGTACATACTATGTTTGGCGGAGATACAAGCGGCTTGACCAAAAAACTCTGGGCATATCAAGTCTCTTGTCGTATCGGCTGTTTTGTCCTGTGTAAGCGCTGCAGGCTGCCGAGAACGCAGTCCGCAAAGTACGAGAGCTCTGCTGGAATCTACACGTGTGCCTTTTGCACTATCCAACATGTATCTATACACAGACGAGGCCTCTTACCATGGCCGTGTCAGAATGAGTCAACCGCATCCTCGTAGGACGACAAGTACTGGTACTAGTACAAAGCCGAGGCAAGGCATCCTGGAGCTAGGAGTGCTGAGAACATATACTGTGCCGCACCAGGTCGGCTTGCGGGCTGATGCTTCTTTGAGGGGGCACCCAAGACCAAGACTACAGCTTCCGCACCTACAAGAGGACTCTAAAAAAGCCACTCGGGCGGTCGAATGCAGCTAACTGGCGCTCAATATAACTTGTAGGCCTTGGCCTGAAGCCACCAGCCCGCTCCAGCCAGGTTAACCGAAGGGCTGATGGCCCCGATAGCCTGAGGACTGAATGCATTCACCGCTCCACTCCTCGTCTATGTCAGTCTTGTGTCCATGCCATGGACTCTACAAGACGTTCTGGACCTCTTACACAGCAAGGATCTGAGCGGCTGTGGGCGGCGTCTGGGACATCTGGCCAAAAAGGATCATGGCCGCTGACAAGCTGGGTGCCCGGATTGCCACCACGGCCACCACGGCCACCGAATTCTTTGTAGTCAGATAGATTAGTCACGCCAGGCAAGCAGGCATTTCGGAGTCCAGTATGAGAAGCCTTGTCTGTGCTTTGGAGCAGCGCCATCGTAGTGGTGTGGCTGACGAGGGCCTGTATAGGCATGCCTCGAGTCCTCGTCCCAGCAGCCACTCTATGCAGAGGGTCATGATGCCCAATCGATAAAACGCTGGGTGTGTGAAGGCGTGCCCTGCGCTGCGCTCGTACTCGGACCAGGCTCCCAAGGGCAGAGAGGCTGCACACCAGCAGCCTGCGAGTTTCGCAGCTTTGTACGGAGCACTGCTAGATAGGCACCATATCGTCTTAGCGGCGCATCGAGGCTAGACTCTCCCCGCCTCAGGGAGACAGACAGACGGGCCAATGTCTGGGCGGTGTTGGCGAGGCTTGCCGGGAGACCCAGCTTTCCTTTTCTCTCTCTCTTTCTCTTCTTTGTCTGCGTCTCCCGTAATAAAGAGTTCGGGTGGCAGGGGAGGCGGAATTCCATTCCTCTGTGGCGTCGAGCGAGCCTCCCAACCGGGCATGGCGCCTGGCGAAGGAGGGTGGGAGAGCCCCAGAGCAAGCGATGTGCGGCGAATGAGCTGCGTGCGGATACTCGCACAAAGGGTATGGAGTACGTGCCGAGTACAGGCGCTGCTCGTACCTTGCCGGACGGAGTCCAGGTGTCTTGCCTTGGGTCGGACGGAGGGTTTTTGGTGAGGTGTGCCGACGAGGCCTTTCAGACTATGTGGCATTACGTGGAGGTCCGATGAAGGAGTTGAGTGCAAAGGGACAAGACAAGAGCTGCCCGTCTGGGTATTGACAGGCACAAGCTACTGGGGCTTCAATATCACGTACATAGATAGGTACCGAGTATCCGAAGCCCTGCCCCTTGTAGCCGTGCGCGGCGCCTTCTGTGTAAGGTGAGTGGTTGACATTGTCTGGCGGCGGCATAAGAGCAGAGCTGTGGTGGCCACGTTTAAAGGACGATGCCGCCATATACTACATGCATATACATGTGTATACATGCATGTAAGAGGTACAACACGTCTGCGCCGTACGACTATTTCGATACATGTAGTTGTCAACTCGGCGACAGACTTGGTTCCAGCAATTTCAACGCCAACTCGCCCTCACAGGCCTGAAGCCTAACGCCTAAAAGGACCGCCAGGGCCCTCCACCCTTTGCCAGCCCGTGTGGGGCGCGCCAGGCTAGCAGCAGCACTCGCGTGTGGTGCGTCGGTACAGAGCGCTGCAGGCCAGGCCACGGCCCAATCAGCGCCGCCCAGCGCCATGCTGGACCTGCTGGGTCATGCTGGGCGCTGCTGGACCGGTGCTGGGCGCTGCTGCTGATCGCTTCCTGTTCGCCTCTGGCCCGTTGACCGAATCTCACTCGCCCGCACCTCTTCTGCTCCCCTTCGCTCGTCCTTCTGCTGCCACATCTGGATCGCCGTGCTGCGCGCATCACGTTTGCGGCCCACTAAATCGCAGCTCCAGCTCCCGCGCCCAAGGGCTCGATTTCAGGGCCCTTTCGAATTGCTTTTGCCTCCCCGCTGGGCCTGGCCTGGCCTGGCCTCGTCTCGTTTCGTCCCGTCTCGTCTCGTCGCTCTCCACGCCGCGGAAGCTTCAGGTCAAGCCTCGTCGCTAAGCTACTGCCTGTGCGACCAGCTAGCATTGCGCCGCCTACGCTTACTCGCAGCGCTGCCCTCTCTGCGCTGCTCGCACTACTTGGCTGCCCGTTCGATTTGTGTTAGTTGGCTCTGTTAGTGGTCACACTGCTAGCGCACTCCGGCCGCCGTCCGACCCTTGCCTGTCGGCTGTCCCCCCCCCCCCATCTTTTTCCCACTGAGACGCTGAGGATATTACCCACTTCTCGCCCGTTTTGCGATTCCACGCCTCTCGCTTTCTCTCATACGACCCGTTTTCTGTGATTCGACCTTTGACCTTTGACCTTTGACCTTCGACCTTCGACTTCTGATCAACCACCGCTCGACCGTCCTCCGTCGCCCCGACTCGCCGCCTGCGAAACGCTGTCTCGGCGAAGCCGCCATCATCGAGCCTTCACCTTCTTTTGTCGCCGTCCGCGAGGCGAAGGGCGTCGCAACGCCTGACAGCCCTGGATTGATTTCTCTCCCGCCGTCACCATGGCCATCGCCATGGGCTGGCACAAGCCCGACAATGTCGCTGGCTCGTCGGCGCCGGCGATCATGGTCGGCCTCTTTGTCGCTTCCGGTGGCCTGCTCTTTGGCTATGATACTGGGTAAGCAGCTCTGCGAACTCGCCGACCGTGAATGCGATGCTCAGCCCGCCGCCATCGCCCTGAAGTCTCCGATCCCCGTCATATCTGCTGCTGTCTATCCTTGTGCTGTTTTTTTCCGAGAAACAAGAGAATAAGAGAAGGAGAAAAAGAAGAAAAGAAACCTATTTTCTCAAGGGTGTGGATGATGCGGCCAGTGCTGCAGCAAAGCCGTTTTGTCTCTTCATCGCAAACACCATTTTTTTTTTATACAATGCGAGATGGATGGAAGAGAGATGTTACCATCATCGTTGGAATGGCATGGGAGGATATATGCCTGGCTACTACTTCTCGAAATCTTCTATCCTCTTCACGAGTCTGGCCGGCCCGCATTCGCACTTTGATCTGCCAACATAAGACATGAATGCTAATCATCTATTCAGGGCCATCAATGGCATTCTCGCCATGAACGAATTCAAGGAAAAGTTCGGCACGTGTAAAAACCAGCCCGACAGAGACGACATCTGCGCCAAGGACTCGGCCCTCATCGTCGCCATTCTCAGCGTGGGCACAGCAATCGGGTCCCTCCTCGCCGCTCCCGCCGGTGATATGCTTGGTCGACGACGGAGCATGCTCCTCGCCGTTGGCATCTTTTGTATTGGCGCTATTTGCCAGGTCTGTGCCGAGGCATTGCCAGCCTTGTTGGTCGGAAGGTGGGTTTTCTGTTTCCCATCACCAACGTTATCCTCTCCACCAAAGCTTGGATCCGTATTTGGTTTTTGCGGTTTACTCCAAGCTGTGTCATGTAACTGACTGATTCTCTTCTACCAGAGCCCTGGCTGGACTCGGCGTTGGTGCTGTGTCGGTCCTTGTTCCACTGTATCAATCAGAAATGGCTCCAAAATGGATCCGTGGTACTCTGGTTTGCGCCTATCAGCTCTCCATCACTATAGGGCTCCTAGGTGCATCCATCATCAACATTGCCACCTCCAAACTCCACTCATCGGCCGCCTACCGAATCCCTCTTGGCCTTCAACTTGTTCCCGCTCTCGTTCTCACCGCTGGCCTCATGCTCCTCCCCGAAACTCCCCGGTTTTTGGTCAAGCAAGGCAAGAAAGACGCTGCCGGTCTTTCACTCAGTCGTCTCCGACGTCTCGACATCACTCACCCGGCTCTTATTGACGAACTCCAGGAAATCGTCGCTAATCACCAGTACGAATTGAGCTTAGGTCCAGACACCTACAAGGAGATTTTTGTAGGCTCTCCTCATCTAGGACGGCGAACCTTGACTGGGTGCGGTATCCAAATGCTTCAACAGCTTACTGGAATCAACTTCATCATGTACTACAGCACTACGTTTTTCGGCGGTTCTGGCGTTGACAGCCCCTATACCAAGTCGCTCATCATTCAAGTCATCAACGTTGTATCTACGTTTGTCGGTGTCTTTGTCATCGAGTCCTGGGGTCGGCGGAGGTTGCTCATTGTAGGCGCCATTGGTATGGCTTGCTGTCAACTGCTCATGGCATCATTTGCGGCCGCCGCTGGTGAAAGTCTCAAGTCAGCCTCCGCTACGATACTCATCGTTTTCTGCTCCATCAACATCTTCTTCTTCGCTGCCTCCTGGGGCCCCGTGGCATGGGTCGTAACATCGGAGATTTATCCCCTAAAAGTTCGTGCAAAATCAATGTCTATTTCGACATTTTCCAACTGGGTGCTCAATTTCGGCATTGGATACAGTACACCGTTCATGATAGGGAATGGTCCCGGCACTGCTGGTTTTGGAACCAAGATTTTCTTCATCTGGGGGACCTTTTGCATTCTCGCAGTCATATTTGTATGGGCCATGGTCTATGAAACGAGCAAAATCAGTCTGGAACAGATTGACGAGATGTACGAACGAGTGGACCATGCCTGGCACAGCAGACAATTCGAGCCTAGCTGGAGCTTCCAGCAACTGCTTGACGAAGGATGGTCGGCCAGCGCGCAGCCTCCTCCAGATCACGAATTACAAACAACATCTTCACAATCCAGCGCTGATACCACGCTCGGTGATTCAAACTCAGTCACCATCCACAATAGCCATGGTGATGGCAACGAAATAACGACAGCGTCCTCGGATGAAAACAAAGAGTCTATACCCACCATGGCACACGTTGATTTTAGCTACTAAATGGCCGCCCTCAACTCCCCCTCTCCCTTCTACAAAGAGTTGCGTGTCCTATTTATATCCCCGCTCTCTTATTTCTTTTTCCACCTACTCACTACTTCCGATATACGCAGGAGGGGAAGGCTATTATCACTATCAAAACCTTTTTACGTGACATGTGAATATACCAGCGATGGAGTTATTGATGTAATGGAGTTTTGGGGGGGTTTTGATTTCTGTTCTTTCTTTTCTTTTTTCTTTTTTTGATTTTTTATTACCATTATTACTTTTTTCCCCTACAGGGGCTACTACGGGATCGTTTCGGGTATATGGCTGTGGGTGCATCAGTTTTTTTTTTAAGTGTCGAAGGAAACTTGGATTTTGGAGGTTTATTGGCAAAGGAAACCCTCCCCGGCTTTGGTTTTTTGGGACATGTCTGTCGAAGATGCATGTGGATATTTTTTTTCGGGGAGCTGTGGACGCATGGGGGCGTTTTCTCTACTTGCCCCCTTTTCTTTTTCTGCCAGCGTCATGGCCAAACTGTGATTTATGGGCCCGTGAAACTGCTTTTGATTAAGCCCACGGGCAGAGAACGAACTGGATTATGGATATTGCATGTTCAAACTGCGAAATACCCTTGTCCTATGTAAAGACAAATCTTTTCTTTAATTTTTCATTCTTCTTCTTCTTCTTCGGGTATGTTTTATTATTACGGTGTTAAAGGTCTTTTTTTGTTCTTCAATGAGAGGAACTGTCTGCGTGTGTGCATTTGATTGTATGCTTCTATTCTTCAGCCAACTGGACTATTTGAAAAGGCTTGTGTGTCTGGGTATATCTATAAAATAAAATACGCAATATACGCATCATGGAAGGATTCCTGTTGCAAAGAAGAAGGAGAAATGTGTACTTTGAACAGAAAGAAATACCAGTGATACTAAGGGTTATTCTCATTAGTAATAATTGAATCATGCTTTTTCATTGTGTTTCTAAAAGCAACTCTCTTCTTCCCAACTCACAGACTTACCAAGCTGGGAAATTGTGATCAGGAATCATGCAGCAGTGACCAGCGGAATAGTGTGAAAGGGGCAGCAGAGGAAGGACTTTGAGGCGCGAGACGAGCACAACAAATGTAAGCGATAACACAACACCATACTATCAGAAGGCCTTGGAAGTCTTTTTTTCTTTCTTTTTCTTCCTTTAATAACAATACTCAGGAAAGCGATTCATCTCTCATCACAAGACTTCAACCCTAGTAAGGAATCAAACTATCTCTACAACTCCTCTACAGGTCCTCAAATAGCTTTCCAGCCCAAAACCCGTCATAGGAAAAATCCAGCATGTCAAATCCAAATACCTTGTCCTCCGACGCCTAATAGAACGCATGATTGACCGGCCTGGACTGATCCATCTATTCCGCCAACTATCGGTTGAGCACAGCGTGCCGCTACACGAGCGATTGTACTGTTGCGGCACTAAGTGCTCTGCGTTGATCCCCCCCCATTGGCAACTAAGGCTGCTTCCGACGTTGGAGGCGGCGATACCGGCGTGGGTACATGTCCGCAGTGCTCGAAGGAGACTTGTGTCGACTGTCGTGGTCCATCTCAGATAATATATCTGTTCCTCTGAGTCCAGCAACCTCAGCATAAGGATCGTTGGGGGGGGGGGGGGGGAAGAGTCAGAAAGAATGGTTGGAAGCACAGCCAGAAATGCAGCCAGGAGTAAAAGCAAGAAATATGAATACAATTACCACTGCAAGTACGATTAGAAGTACGACTAAGAGTACAAACAGAGGTATGACTAGAAACTTCAACCAAGAGTACGACTAGAAGTGCAACCAGAAGTACAGCCCCCAACAGCCACCACAGCATTAGCAGTATCAATAGTCCTCTCCACCTCCTCCACAACGTCCAGCAATGAGCATAGAAACGCGAAGCAACATGAGTCCCTTTGCGCAGGGCAACGGAGGGGGGTGGAGGCGGGGAAGAGTTGAGAGAACGGCTCTACGCAGCGATGAACAGCATCGAAGAAGGGACAGAGATGGCGAGAAAGACATCTGATCGGAGAAAGCAGATTCGAGCGATTCAAGCAAGCTTCAAGGCAGTCAAGTCGAAGTTGGGTCAACTGCCAAGGAAAGTAGGCGCATGAGCATCCTTTAAGAGGGCTAGTTTTTGTCCTAGATGGTATGTGGATGTTTGTGAATCAAAACAGCAGCGTATAATTACAATTGCATTCATTACCTCGCGATTAATGTTCCCTTGTCCCTTGTCTTTCTTTCAAAAGAAATTCTTAAATGTCAACCATTCATCAATTGTATACTGATGTAGCACTCGCATAGAAAACCACTCGCACTGGTTTCATGACAGTTCAGATCCAGAAGCTGTGTAGTGCAAGAATGAGCAAGGACAGATGCCTAGTATTACTCGCCTAGATATCTTAAAGTACACTGCTCTATGAATCGATTTCAGCCTAAGCAAGCTGATTCAATCATCGTCATCTGCAGCCCCTTTGGGACGCAGATTCTTGCAAGTTCAAAAGAATGAAGATGATGATTGATGGAAATAAAGAGGAAAAAGGGAAGCAAAGAGAAGCAAAAAAAGAATTGTTCTCGGGAGGCGGAATCGAACCGCCGACTTTTCGATGAGATGTCTCCATTACAGTCGAACGCCATGAACCAACTAGACCACCCCAAGCCTAGCACGGCCACTTTAGTGACTGTGCTAATGTTGCTAGCGTTACTGTATTTTAGTTTTATAAGGCCAAATGCCATTCTAAGCGCAGGTCACTCCCGCCGCTAAGAAGGAATAGCGTTCCAATCGATAGGCAGCGTTGCATTTTAAGCATTGACGCTTATCCGCTTCAAGAGTAATGTACAGTTGGTGTATTTACGTCGGCACGGTCAACGTAAACTTTGCGGAGGGATTGACGGGTTTGCTGAGTGTAATTGTACCTGGGTGCAAGGGGTATTTCTTAAGCAGGGAGATTGAGAAAAGAGCGAAAGTCATAAAAAAAAATTCAAACGCTGTGAAATGAGTATGTAAGGTATTAAATGAAAAAAAAAAAAAAAAAAAAGACAAAAAATGTAACTCTTCTCCGGTGAGATTTCTCTCCGGGGACGGAATCGAACCGCCGACTTTCTGATGAGATGTTTTCCATTACAGTCAGACGCCATGAACCAACTAGACCACCCAGAGGTAGAAGAGTTGACAGCACTTGTCTTATATTAGCTTATATGTCTCACAAGCACTAGCCTTTACTGTCTCACTCATTGCATTTCCCTTTTTTTTTTTTTTGCTTTCCCTTCTTTCCTCTCTACCCTGAAGTTAATCATACCTGAGAAATCGATTCTTCTTTATCAAAGGCTAGCTAAAGAAGTTGGCTACATCACACACACATCCATTCTCCCTTGCATACAGCCTGCATGCACACATGTACCTAACCAGCAGATGAAGGCTACACGTACACGCGAATGGACCAGTCATGAAGCCGTCCGCAAACGCCACAACCCGGCCGAGCTGTGTTCCCCCGCTGTAGATGCAGCATCCCACACCCAACATGCATATAGCTACGGCAGAAACATGTAAATCTACTTGCTCGTCACTGATAAACAAGCGGCTGATACTCCGCCGAGCCGCTCTTGCACGCATCTGGACCATTAGATATATTAAAGCCCTGCCACTACTACCTTGGCACATACAACAGCATGTACAAGTACTCACTTCGCGGCGGAGAAAATTGTCCAAAACTTCCGATTCCGCACGTCGGAACTGTCTTGTCGCTGCCTCCATTGCTACGCTGTGTTCAGCCCTCATCTCCAGTTCTGCTGGTAACTTTCCCCAATGTACCCGCCTTTGGGCTTTCGGCCAAACAATGTCGAAACCGTCCTCCGCAGGGAGGGCCATACGCCACACATCTCGGGGAACAAGGAGCGGCCGATGTGATAGCCGCCCCTCTCGGCCGATGCTATGCCTCGACCAGAACTCTGCATGAAGCCAGCCGGCCGGCGAGCCCATTCAGCCATATCATGCACATGCAAGTGGCCCAATTCTTTCACTTTGTTGCCAATCGCTAACAGCCCGCTCGTGCGAAACCTAGAGCAAATAATCATGAAAAGGAAAGATCCGAAAAAAGTTTCATTGCTACTACCTCACTCTCGGTGGCTAAGATGGTCTATGTGCAATCAACTTCCTATCGTAGGTCCCCTTCCACAGCTGGTAAACCAAATCCATAAACTCCTGAGCGCCCCGTTAATTTTTTTTCTTAGTGTAAAAGCAAAGGCTTGCTGTTAATGCTTGTGATATAACAATGTATCTGGTATCACTCTTTTCGGTGCGCGCACTCCCCGTCATATCCAAAGGTGGCGAGGGGGACCGTTACGGAAATGATCTGGGAGGATTGGCGCGCTGGAGCAAGTGCTTTCTAAGAGTATCCAGCTCTGAGTCCAGCCCTCTCAGATATTCACGGTCTGCGTAGTCTTCTCTGTTCAGCTTATATCCAGAGGTCCGATGATCCTCGCCAGTTGCTGCAGCCTGAGCATCATATTTCAGAGAGTATGGGTTACCGGATTCTGGCATGGGCTGAATATCTTCCATACTCTCTTCTTCATCTTCTTCCTTGACTTGACTGCCTCCGGATGTCTTCGACTTGGGGCTTTTGAGGCGCTTCCCATCTCGTCTTTGGGCCACTCTGCGAGATCCCAATGGAGATGAAACCTTTGAACTTTGCCGAGACCGGGATTGGTCGGATCGACTGGCGTCACCGAAATCAGAAGTGGGTGATGATGCGGAATCTGCCGCGCCGTCATGTGCGTAGGAATTTCCCCAACCATGTTCGAGCTGTCTTTGGAGTCCAGAGTCTCTCATAATCTCGTAAAACGCTGAGGCCATATTGCAGGAGACTGGGTCTGTATCCATGTTTGATCCGTTGGGTTCTTCGTATGACTTGTCAGACCTCTCTTGTTTAGACCTGGAGGGCGCCCGTGAGTCTCTGGAATCTGCCGAAAGAGTTAGATGCCAGGTTCAGAACCCACTACCGATTACATGTGAGCGAGTGTCATCATACCCATGACTAGAGTGGAAGAATTGATATAGGGTACAAGGTTCGCAATGTGCCTTGGCTTTGTTGACAAAGGATATGAGGAGAGTATGTGATTGAGAGCAAGGGTTTTGAAGTTGTGGAATGTGGAAGAAAAAGGCAGTGTTTTTTTGCAAGTGAGAGTGATTTGATAATACGTAGAGTATGTGGCATTACTTTCTCTCTCTCTCTCTCTCTCTCTCTCTCTCTCTCTCTCTCTCTCTCTCTCTGTCTATAACAACTTGGAAAGACAAGGCTCAGAAATATATGCAAGAGATGAAGTGGGAAGAATTGTGCTGCGAGCCAGCTTGACTTTTAGACGAAACGCAATAGATGAGAAGGTAGGATATATAAGTGCAAGATTTGTAAAAAGGAGCAGCTTATGGCTAAAAGCTTGTCATCCGCTCCGTAAGTGAGGGTGTGTATGGTGTGCATGCGTATGGTCGTAATCCATGTGACAGCAACAATAAACGTGGGTCTGGGCATCACGGAGATTGTCAAGAGGATAGAACGGGCAAACGCTAACAGCAGACTGTAGAACCAGGACAAAAGCAAGGATGTTGGGTCCGTAGGGAGAGGAGACCAACCTACATGCAACTTGGCGGATCGGTGTATCGTACACGGTCTGATATCGCAACACACAACACTCGAATCGGTGATGCAGCATGCGATACTCGCTGATGGCACCTGACCACAATTTGGCGGGTTGAGAAAGCTTTAAAAAGCTGCAAGCGTCGATGAGATTGAGCAATGGTTTCAAGTCGAAGCAGATGTGATATTAAATGGCACAAGGGCGTCTTAGCAGGTCTCTTCTCTTGGTCTCAGTGGTGCGAGGGTCAACGATGCAGGATGCCAACTGGCGGGCGATGGATGTTTGAAGACACGGTTAAATCTCAAGAGACAAGACAGAGTTCAAGTCGGTTCGGGTACAACACATAATTAGCTTCGGCCAGGGGGAGGTCGATGGCAGCTTAGACCGCCATCAAAAGGGTAGGCGGGTTCGGAAACTTCGATCAATATGCCGGGGGGTCGCCGCATCCAGTGCCAAGAGCAAGATCTACCTTTGAGGCAGTCCCACAAAGAGAGGAGGGAGAGCTTATTAGGAGCAGCCATCCTTTCGACGGACGGACGTACAGGCTTTTACAGACCCATCAATCATGCGAAATACTACTGCTAGCAGCAGCCGTAGTGGCGGCGGGAGTCCCTAGTAGAAGCAGCAACGGTTTAGCAACGCTCCAGCGCTGAGAGGCTCAGGCGCCCAGACAAGGGACCCGGTATAGCATGAGATGGACGAGATTGAAGTGGGTATCCAGATCCACGACGCGCCTTATCGCCGTCTGTCGGTGCGGGCGAGCAAACGCCGCCATCGGTGATCGGGCGTGGGCCGAGCGGCTTGTGGCGCCATTGGCCGCTGTGTCGGCCAAAGTGTACCTGTAGCAGGCGAGACAGTGGGTGCTGGAGTTCAGGCGCTCCACCGAGCGAGACGTAGTGCCAGCGACACCCACCAGCGAGCGGCACAGCGCTGCGATTGATTGACGGTCAACGGCAACTGGAGATGTGTTAGCTGTGTGCTGTTTCAACGCGGGTTGGCCAGCCGGGGTCATACAGAGTCAAGGTGTTAGTGATACGGCAAGAGGTAAAACCATCAGTCTTCGCTGGCAGTGCTACTGTACATGCTCATCTCGTGTCATGGCCGCAGTGGCAACGGCAAGGCAGGGCAACCAGAGATTGGATGGCTTTGCCGTTCAGCCAGCCGCAGTCCCTGCTGGGCTGCATCTGCGGCACATCTCGGCCGACCAACCGCACGCGCACCGCAGAAAAGGACCCGAGAAGATGACAATGACGATGAAGAAGAAGATGTGAAGTCGAGCGAAGCCAGAGAAAATCTCAGTTGGTGGTAGGTGGGCCAATACTTCATTGCCAAGGCAGGCACTACTCCCGGTACGTACAAGCATCAATGTACGACATTGCACCTGCCTCTATCCTGTTGGCATCTGTGCTTTGCCAGAGCACGAATGACGTCGACATCTCAGAGGGCTCAAACGCTGTGTTACTTGCAATCTCAGTAGGAGCCTAGCAACTCTAGGGACTGAGGTAATGAGGGTGACTGACTGCCCGATCAATCACCCCATGTACTGATGCCATCTCATGTCCAAATCCTACGGGCAGTTACCTATTGTGCCTCAGCCTAGCTCGTGAGGTCGCTGGAACGCACGAGTTGCTGAAAAGGGCATCTGCAGGTACAGGCTTCAGTTACCAACAATGCCCGAAGCTGCAGCATGTGCGGCAATATTCAGTTGTAATGTACCCTGTACATCTCTAGGCATCCATGCCCGCGGGAACAAAAGATGATGGCTGATTTATAATTTGTCCACCCGGATTCTTTTGGTGATGTGCTGCCGAGCGCTGAGAAATGGGGTTGAAGAGATTGATGCCAGCACAGGTAGAATACCTTGCTCAGCCACTAATTAGCATCAAGATTGATGCTATTCATAGAAACCCGCGGCGCCATGGGCGTTGATACGATCAATATTAAACAACCTGGAAAGCGATGACTAGCAGCCTTTAGCGAGTCGATCGCAATCCGCGGTCAAGCCCTGAATGAAACTCATTACCAAGATCATCGCCAGCTGGAGCTTTCAAATTCACCGTGGCCTCGACACACCAAAGCCCGGCTTCAGGGCCGATGCTAGCGGCGTTAGCGGCGCGCTTGTCCACTTTCTCGGGCGGCCAAGCGGCGGCCGCTACCGAGCGTTGAACAACGGCATTGTTCGATGCCAGTCACATGCAGCCATGGGGCCACTGGCCCTTGTAGCTATCCGCGGTGCCTCTGAAGTGGAACAGAAGTTGATATCCAAACAGCCTACCTTGATCAAATACAGGCCCAGGTGATACTACTACTGTAGGCACTGGTTACTGCCTACAGTAGTCTCTGGTACTAGTAAGTTGTACTAGTAGTACACGTAGGTGTCATCCGCCAAGTTTCTGCGATAGGGCCCATGACAGCAACCAGAATCAAGCTGAAGCACCGTTTATTCGCGGTCCAACTGAAAGAAGACGGACATGACTCTTGGTGGTCGGTCCCCTACCCAACCTGGCAAGTAGCCATCCATGATCCAGCTGCTCTTCACGCTAGTAGCTCTACTACTGCCTATTCTTGTGACCCATGGATATTAAACAATGGACGTGAGGACCTGTCAAACAAGGGATCGCAAGGGCTTGCCTAACGATCTTCAAGATCCCTTCCTGCGGCTCTCCACCCAGGCCACCACCAGACGCACATGCAGCTTTCCAATGCCATCGTCCCAAGCAACCGATTCGTGCCCCCTTCGCGGGCGCCCTCCAGACTAAACGCCGACTCGATGCATATAAAGAAGGCGGCCGACCCGTCGGCCATAAGGCATTCAATAGCGTATACGGCTGCGTCTCCAATTTAAACCTCCGACAAACTTCCATCCAGACCCAACGACACCTCCCCTTGCGGGTACTTGTATATATTGGTGACATCCATCCGATGCATGCGCGGAGTAGAGCCGCCGAGAATTAGGTGTATATATGCAACGAGTAAGATTCGAGGCGGCAGAACCCATGTAAATACTCTATTTACAAGTACTACTGCTGGGAACATGTCATCTGGCATGCATTTGGCCATGTGTGGGACGCTGACGATACGGGTAGGCGGCTACTGGGTATATGGGCATTATGCCTGCCACAATCTTTTTTTAATTTGCATAGCAGTTGACTTGTTTAAGCCGACATACTTGTAGATATTTATCACCGGTGCTAATTCATGATACCATATATAGCAAGACAATGACCAAAGAGGCAACAGTAAGGTTGAAAATAAGCAGTAGTAACAATAGTTTGCTCCAAGAATGCTGGTAGTATACCACAATCAGCCTCCCATGGAACGCACTTTTAACCGTTGATCCTTGTACCAGACCCAGTATATGTACGGAATATCAGCCCGAAGAGCACGAAAGCGTGGAGCCGCTCCGCATATGGAAAGGCCGGAGCTCAGAGAACAATGGGCGTTGGCCGATGCTCCTCCCTGGCCGTGGCTCCAGTCCATTTGGTTGTTTTTTTGGGTGGAAAGGCTGCCGCAAAGAGCTCCTACTAACCAGTCCTTTGCTTCCTATTCGCCACCGTTGACCACCTTGTTGACCACCATTTTGAATCCTGCTGAACGGACCCCAAGGCTGGACGAACCAAGCGTTATACGCATTATAAGTCTACGTGCTCAGGGCATTATTGTGCGTTTCATTCTACAGCTACTCGAGTATTTCGGTTTTGGTTACAGGAAAATCTGCTCGTATCTTGAAGCAAGAATTCTTCATGAGAACGGGGACCTTGGCTGAACACTTCACGGGGCCCGTTTGGCCGGAGCATGGATGAATGCCATCCAACAGCCCACGGCTAACGAAATGCAGCTAAAAGAGGAATCATCATTGGGGGCCTTTCACACAAGGAGCGAGGGGGGCAAAAAGGAGACTTGTCTGATATTACATTTGAGCCGATACGTCCCGTAGCAGCTCTGCCACGGTGGAAAAAAGAGACCGCAAACCACACACCTCACGAACAGCTAGAATATTACTCTCCTTTTGGATTCACTTGCATCGCCGGCTCGTCTCTTATCACGCCATGCCTCGTAATCTCAGGCGTAATGCCTTCCTTGCTAGAGTTGCGCCCGCACCATCTTGCGAGAGGTAAAAGAGAAAACTTGTTGGAAAGAACCCTGTTTGGACCGCATCACCGCATCACTTGATCGATATTCGTTCCACCGAGGCCTGTCTCCACCATTCATTTGGACTTTGCAATCGTTGTTCCTCCTCAAAACAAGTCAAGATTTCTAGCGGAGCTTCGGCTGCACCCTTCGGCCAAATATGATGCGTCGTTTGGTTGATATCCCGAGTGGCGACCCAACGGGTGGTGGAGGAGAGAGTAGAGCTCCAGTTATCTTCGATACAGATCCGAATTATGCAGCTAACTCCTGATATTGCTTGTCTGATACGCTGTATGGGTACAGCATCGGCGATAAGTGAAGGCGGAAAAGAAAGAGCACGGTGTTAGAGGAGCATAAGGTGGCCCCGTGAATCATATTCAGTAATAAGATACAGTCGAGCCTGACCACGAAGTGTTCGGCGAACCAGCTGTCGGCGTTTCTCCCGTCGAGGGCTCCGCTTGCATCTGAACCTGCAGCTGCATTTGTGGTTGAAAATCCGACTCCAGCGGCGCAGAAGCTGCTGCCCGATGCCCTCGAATCCCAGGAGGAGAGGGGAGCTGCTCTCGAAGCTCCGCCCGCTGGATCATCATTGGCGTTGGATAAGGACTCCTGGCGCTCGGCCTCGTCGCAGCAGGTCGCTCAAATGGCGCTTCGGGTCTGGGCGTGTCGTCCTTGCAAACGTCGAGATTCGCCGTGTGGTGGATTTGCAGCCCGGTACACCCTTCCATGGGAGACCAATTGAACGATGAGGTGATTTCGAACGGGCTGTTGTCCATGACCGACATGGTAGCCCGGACCGTATCGCAGTACTTCATCCTGGCTCCAAAGACTTTGGCGCAGTGGACGCAGATGGAGAGCTTGACTTGACACATGGTAAGGATCTTTCTTGGCGTCTCGGCACTCGGGCTTCTTGGAGCGGGAGAATTCTAAATCTGATGCGTTTTTATAGCGAAATGGCAGGTCTAGGGTTGAGTCAACAAAAGGCTTTCTATGCAACTTGAGATGTTTTCGAAAGAGGCGTGAAAACAAAGAGGAGAGTGATGCGCGATCTTGACGCTGGCGGCGTCACACGCCTGACGCAGGGTCTGAGCAAACAAACAATTACTTTTCACCCTCCCGGCCTTTGGATTTTCGCCTGGTACAACCTTGGGCCGCATTTGAGTGGCTCAGCCATTCAAAGATGAACAAAGCCTGGCAAGCTCTGAGGGGCCGTCAGGCCGCCAGCTGGACTGCAGAAATGCGAGGATCCGATTCGTCGTTTGTCTGATTAGACTTGACGCCTCATCAGACAGGGGGAAGCTCCAGCAGGGCGAAGCTTAAAAAACAGAGCGCGGAATTGTTGGATCATCGTGCAGCAGACGGCGAAGTCACGCTCTGGGAACACAAGATATGACCCCCTTGCTACAGCGTGACCTCTCTAGCATGTTCATGGCTTCACGCAAACTGGCGTGTCGCCTCAGTCTTGCGGGTTGTAAAGCCATGCCAATGTCGGACTTGGACATGATGGCTGCGTGTTCATTTAGCGCCGCCGTTGCATTTCAATCTGAGGGACGGAGCTCTTGCTTGATTCTCCTGGCGGCTGTGCTTCGTATGCGTCGGTCAAGTTGTGCCAATACGAGCCACATATGCACGTCGTCGAGTGCAGCGTTTGTTATGGCCGCTTGGCGTGGTGGCACAAAAAGGACTCGTGAGCGGCGGTAGTGGCCGCTTTTGGGCCTGGAGAGGTTTCTACTGATGGCTTCTGTCAACCAGTATTGCAAATTGCGGCCTTGTTTGACAGTGCATGACCTCGACTTGGCTAGATTCGTGGTGCGTTTCATGGAACACATACTGAACATTGAAAGCAACTAGAAAATGGAGCTACAGATTTGCACTATCGCCAGATAAGATAGACCCAAATGCCAGTCACTAGCACTCATGCAGTGCTCTACACTTTATTTCATGGTACTATTTCTCTGTTTAAAACTTGGATTTCATAGTTTGATAATACACATTCACCGCAACCATGACTTGGAAATGCATTGTTTGATACGCAGGGCAAAGTGATGTGCAGATGTTGGGATTATAGGGAGCTCGGAACATGGAAAGCATGGACGCATTAGCTATTGTTGGCGCAGCACCAGCGCTGGACCGCGCAAATCGTGGGGCCGAGGATTCAGGGGCCTCGCTTGCTGAGATGCTGCCCCACCCGGCCGCTGAATCTCTCGAGCCTCACGAGACAACGACAGCTTGCAGATCAATCCAGGGCCGCGATCGTCTGCTGCTTGTCCATCTGCATCCGCGCATCCAATCAGGCCAACATGCGCTGAATCCGTCCTGCGCGACCCAGATTCATTCACCATGGGTGTCCTTTCCTACCTGCGCAAGGTCTACGACCTCGACACCCTCGACACCCGATTTACGAGCTCCTCTTCCGCTCCGTACCAGACAGTCATCGATGCTCGCGGCGACTCGATCGCAGCGAGAGAGGCTGAGATCAAGGCTCGAAGCTCAGCTCCGCCGCCCAAATGGCGCACGCCAGAGTTCTTCCTCTACTACCTCGTCTTCATTGTGGTTGTCCCGTACATGTTCTGGATAGCATATGATGTCTCAAAACGTGAGAAGCGCCTCTCCCCCTGCTTGCGTATTGCCACGCAAGCGTCGTATCGATATGCCTTCATCGAGACGCTCTAACAAACCTGCAGCTTCTGACCCGAGGTACCCCAAGTACGAGCGATATCTGTCCGATGGATGGATCCCCGGCCGAAAGATTGACAATTCCGATGCGCAATACCAGACGTTTCGAGGCAACTTCCCCGTCTTGACGGGCCTTTTGATATTCCACCCGCTGCTGAGAAAAGGATTCGAATCTCTATATAACCCGTCGGCGCGAGGCACAAGGGGCTCATCGAGACTGGACCAGCGCGCCACGTTCGACTTTGCCTTTGCAATCATCTTCATTGTCATCCTGCACGGCATATCCTCCTTCAAGATTGTTGCTATTCTCGCCATCAATTACCAAATCGCGACCAAGCTGCCCCGGCATTACGTCCCTACGGCGACATGGATCTTCAACGTCGGCACCTTGTTCGCCAATGAGTTGACCATGGGATACAGGCTCCAGGTCCTGGCCAATTGGGTTGGCCCTCCTTGGGGACCGCTGGCGCATTGGGGCTACTGGCTGGACAACTGGGGTGGAATCATGAAGCGCTGGGATATTCTTTTCAACATTACGATCCTGCGGCTCATCAGCTTCAATTTGGACTACTACTGGAGCATCGATAAGCGCCATGTCAACACTCTTGAGGTAAGCTCGCTGTCCTCCCCTGCATCCAATGTGCTTGGTCTCTAATAACACCAAAGAAGAAGGGATTGGATCCCGCTAGTCTTTCCGAGCGCGACCGAATTTCGATCCCGGCCGATATTAGAGACTTTTCCTTTCGAAACTACTTGGCGTATGCCTTGTACGCACCGCTATACATTGCTGGTCCGATCTTGACGTTCAACGACTACATTTCTCAGGCCAAGTATCGCGCCGCGAGCATTGAATGGCCGCGCACCATTCGATACGGCATTCGATTCCTGCTTGTGCTCCTCTCCATGGAGCTCATCCTACATTTTGACTATGTCGGCGCGATTAGCAAAGCAGCCCCTGTTTGGAGCGACTATACCGCTGCCCAGCTCAGTCTCTTGTCCTTTTTCAACCTCCACATCATCTGGCTGAAGCTGCTTCTTCCCTGGCGCATGTTCCGCCTCTGGGCGCTGGTGGATGGAATTGACCCTCCGGAGAACATGGTCCGATGCGTGAGCAATAACTACAGCACGCAGCTCTTTTGGCGCGCCTGGCACCGCTCGTATAACCGCTGGCTCATCCGCTACATCTACGTACCGCTCGGTGGTTCTTCGTTCCGCAGCTGGGTATCTTCAGCCAGATCCACCATCACTTACCTCCTCGTTTTCACCTTCGTTGCCCTTTGGCACGACATCAAGCTCCGCCTCCTCATTTGGGGCTGGCTCATTGTTATCTTCATGGTGCCGGAATGGACGGCCGCTTACCTCTTCCCAAAGAGGAAATGGGAAAATCGCCCTACGGAGTATCGTATGCTCTGCTGCGTTGGAGCAGTTGGAAATGTTCTGATGATGATTTCTGCCAATTTGGTAGGCTTTGCAGTTGGTCTGGATGGATTGCGTAGCATTCTCAGCAGTATTCTTCATGATTGGTCCGGTAAGTTGAGCTGATTCTATATTCGTCAACTGTTGAGTGTTTTGTCTATTGGCTAATTTACTGACAAATTGATAGGAGTTTTCTTCATCCTCACAGCATCTTCTTGTCTATTTGTAGGTATCCAGATCATGTTTGAGATTAGAGAGACAGAGAAGCGGAAGGGAGTTACGATGAAATGCTAGACAGAATATTTGTACAATATTGAGCATTAGAAGATAAGCGAGTGTTGTTTCCATTAGAGAAAAAAAGGGCTTTCTGGTTTTGTTTTATTATCTTAGATTGGGGGTTTGTCCCGGTGGATGTTAAGTAGAAGTTCTAGGTAGATTCTATGTCTAAATGAGCTGGCCTCTTCTATATCCTGCTGCATATACCGCAAGGATTGTCGATAGTATATCCAGACGCCCAGCTGGTAGAAAGGGGTAGAATGTCTTTACTTGAGTGCACGGTATTAAATCTCAGCAGACATCATCACTCGATTAGGTTGAATGAAGTGCACATCAGTGGGCTTATAGTTGGGAGATTATTGATCGCTGTATCAGCTCAAATTCGTAATACTAGTACGGCTGATTTAATGATGCCAATGTGAAAATTGCCAACTTTGAAAGTTGAGAGCTTATCATGATTGGAGATTGGCAACTTGTTCTCTTTGATGATATATACGTTTTATTATCAACATTACAGTGCTAGCTCTGTTGTAGTTCCCGTTTGTCAAGGGCAGTATAGGTAAAAGCATAAGTAGGTCTAAGTGATCTGATAAAGCATTGTAAAGAGCTCTACAACGGCGATCGTAAAATGCGTATATTAAGAATGCGAATCACGTTGTTTATATGTAATATCAACTCAATTTTCTGGCCGCAGAGGGGCGTGACAGCTACCTAATAGAAACACAAGTTGAACGTTGCTAGAACTTGCGTGCTTTAGCTGAAGATTTTATGTAGTTGCAAAATTTATGGGCGGTACTATTATTAATCTTTTCATCTCATAAGAGTTCCCGACCAGCGTTGATACATATCATCTTTGTTGCCCCCCAAAAAAAAGCCCCAACTTGACGCCAGAATGACTTGAGGAGGGTAATATAATTCCAATCGTCGGGCTTTTCTATATTATAGTATACTTGATGACAATCTACTATCCACACTTGATTACATGCTGAGGAAGAATCATTGACCCAGTATAGGACAGGAGGTTGAATATAGTCTCTATTTGAAGAATTACACTATACCGGCATTGCTATGTCCTCTTATAGCTTCAAATACATTTAAGCTCACCACTTTCCTCGATAATTTAGTATATTCAAATCAACAATCGTCACTGAATAAACTATCTACTATGTTCTTCGCTAACATAGTCATTGGCCTTGCTACTGCAGCCAGTCTGGCCGCTGCCACTCCCACTCCGAGCTCCGAGATCCGTTCTCTAGAGGTCGAAGGAGGCCCTGGCTCATCATCTTGGCCTCCAAGCTGGAAGCGTGAAGTGGAGGGCGGCCCGGGATCCTCCTCTTGGCCACCCAGTTGGAAGCGCAAAGAAAGAAAAGCGCACAGAAGAGGGTGGTCCTGGATCGTCTTCATGGCCTCCTAGCTGGAAACGTGAGGAGGAAGGAGGCCCAGGTTCTTCTTCTTGGCCGCCAAGCTGGAAGCGCAATGAGCAGTTTCATGAATTCTATATAGTGGTGAGTTCATTTTCTGCTCTAAAATCTCTGCGACATATGGCTAACAGTGATCTAATAGACGCTGGAAGGGTTTCAGGCTACATGTACTTTACCGTTGTCGTAGTTATGCCACTATTGGTATGGTTCGAAACCAATGCTTGATACGGCATTATGCGAATGAACAATGATAAAGATATTCAGGGTCAAATTTTCGAGTTTTGTTCTATATGCACTTTATTATAAAATGAATACCCCTCAGAATTTCTGCTTAATAAATGGTTGTACATACATGCAATTGGACTATCTTCTCCTACCAAGAAAAAGGAGGTAAAACGGCGAGGGAGCAAGAGCTGTATCTACCTCAAAGAGAATATGCTCATATTCATTGCTATAATTACATATGATTTCTGAATTACAAGTTGGTATGGTCATGTACAAGCAGTCTACTGGCTACGGTCACTCAACGGGTAGAGGCTAGATAGACCAGGAGGCTCAAATTGGTGTCATGCCCACATTATTAGTCCACCGCATGAAAAAAGCTGGCTTTACAAGCTTTATGAACCAAACTGAGAAACGCACCATGCCAATAATTTAGAAGTATGCATCTGGGTAATTGGGTAGGTGAGCTGGAGCGAAGAGATACACATACACGGCGTGTTAGCACCCTACCAACTTGCACGATGTCAGGCAGAGACCAATCAATGATTATACGTATATCTCATTGTGGAATTGTTATCTGATGATATGTTCCCACGATACCGCAAAGATCAAACATGTGACCACATTTATAAGCGGACGTTCGACGTTGACGCCATTTGGGCCTTTTTTCTCCCTTGTGCGATGATCACATCGGCAGCATGCAGGTCATCCACTTCTGGGCCACCGATCTTGTTGATCACTTTGATAGTGGGGAGGTGAAATTGGGGAACAATGGGGCCATCACATTGGGGGCTCGTGGGATTGAATGAAGTTTGCCTGATAAGCGGCGCGTTTGTCTTTCCGCAGAGAAGCAAACGTGCCACATTCTCGTACGAGTGCTGTTTAGCAATATGCCGAGATAATTTGATATCACATTCATGCTGCCTAGAATCTGTTAGCTCGCCACATGGGTCGACTTTTTAGAGCAGTAAAAATCCCAAATGCGTGAAGCCCGCACCATGAAATTGAGTGATCAAACGCTATCAATGCTAGGGCTCCCCCATAATAAGCGATCAGAGGATTTATGGATACCGCTATCATATCAACATGAATCCATCCCCTATGAAGGGGATGAAGTTGAAGAAAAAAAAAAGGATCAACTTTTTTCTTCAATGGCATGTAGACAAGGCAAACCAGGGGAAGACATGGATTTAATGAGAAGTATGGGAAAAAAACATGCGCAAAGAGGTTGCTCGCGCCCGCGAGCAGAATCGAGACACGCGAGGGCTAATAATACCCGAGGCTGTGCTGAAAGATTAATTGATGTTAATCGGCTGACTTGCAAGTAGGGGAAACAAGCTTTTGATCAATCTCCGAGGCTTGATGCGTAGGCGAAGACAATCGCATCGACTTTGCTTTGCTTGGCTTTTCTTAATAAGAGGAAAGAAAAGGAGGAGAGGAAATAGGCGTGCAAGCTGTCGCTAACACGGTTGGCGGAGGCGTTGGAAATACGGAGCCAAGGCCCGCCGAAATGAAAGCGTCCACGATACCCCTGCACTTGACACTGCCATAGCCACAGTTCAGCCAGAGAAGAAAAAAACTCGGCATGGAGATTAGTAGGCCAATAATATCAGAGCGCTGCACCGGTAATAATTGATTTTCAAGATTCATTCCGAGCTCGCGAGAGACTTTTGGCGTGGCGCTGTAATTGAATGTATGTGTCTTACGACTAAGCTGGCTTTTATCCCATTGGCGGCCGTGCTCGAATGCATCATGCAAGCTGACCACCATCTTTGAAATGCTCACTGATGGCAAGCAATTAAAAGGGCACGAAGAAAAGAAGAACAAAAAACGATAAGCTGGTTGTATGCAAGTAAAGGGAAACGCGTCGAACATTGTGACCGTTCTGAGATACTGGCAAAGCTGGGTCCTCGTAATGCCAGTAATATCCGGGTTCCTTAGCGGGACCCTGGCCCACGCCCCGTATTCCAGGTACGATCGGAGATGGCATTGGACATAATTTGCTTTTGCGGCGCTGGGCTGCTAAAATTGGAGTTTGTCGTCGTGCCGGCGCCGATAGTGCAAGCCACCGACTTCATTCACCTGCATCCAGAGCGGCGGCTGCGGCACCAGAGACTCAGATGCAGCTTGACCGACGAAGGCTATAGCCATTGATGGATATCATGACCTGACGTGCTTCAGGGCAGCAGTAGTGCAGATCTATATATACACGTACATGCAGGTAGCTACCAGGGATTCGAGTAGTCGTGGAGGCTGCAGATATTGGGCAAGTTTGGCAGGTCGTCGCTCGTTTGCACGGCAATGGCACCAATACAACGTAGCACTCGGATGGCGAAAGAGCCGCTTCTGTCCGGATTTTTCATGCCATCCCTAATGCTGGTCTGGCTCTGCTAGAAAGGTAGAGCGAGCGATCGGCGTTGTCTGGACCGCAGAGATCGGGGTTTGCTGCTGATCATCGTCTCCGACACTACCCACCCGCAGCAAGGCTCGGATGGTAGCGCGGATGAGCTGCCTGTGGACAGCCGTGTCTCACTTGCTTGCATTTGAGATCTCAGACGATGCTCGGGTGTTGTCTACGTGTAAGCTGCACCATTAGACTTGGATGCCTTCAAGTTGATTTTGTAGCAGAGAGTGCTATAGCCATATAACACATCCAGACTTACCTTGGCAGTAGTATCAAATTCGTGCAGGTATTTGTAGCTATCAATAGGTCCAGTCTTCTGGCATTTAGCTGACGTGTGCTATCTGGAGGCATCACGAGGCTGCCATTTCGCAGTTCGGGCAGTAAAGGCACTACTGGAAGCTAATGCCGGCCAGCGCTGTCCATGGCGCCAATGGTTCCTGGTGCCGAGCCCCAAGCTTCATCCACCCATCCACCAACATCCTTCTGTCAACTGATAGTTTGGGTGCTAAGCTGTGCTAACATCTGGATCAAAAGTGCTTCCCTTGCATCTGCTGACGAGGGCTCAACCCACTGCACCCTTGCGTTTTTTTTTTCTCTACATGTATACCATCATCATTTCGTGTCTCTGCAGCGGGCAAGCCATCCGCTGGTAGTAGTACCTGTACAGGTGCTGCAGTGGGTGACCTGCAGATTCGGCACACCGCTTTGGCCAAAACGCCATGCGACTTGTAACCTGGATTCTCGACAGCTCAGCTACAGGCACTCCATATTGCTCGTGCATACATGCAGCAGCGCAGCAGCGCAGCAATACAGCACCCTCACGCGCTGCCACTGCATACGCATACGCCATGCTCGTATTACTGTTAGGTACCTACCTACTCCATACTCCGTCCCTAGTACTGTAGGTACTGATGCTGATACTGACACTGATGCTACTGGTAGTGCCACAAGCAAACCATACTACGAGCGCTACTGCCGCTAAGGCCCGCCGCGCCGTGCTCCATAAGCTCCTCCATGCTAGCAGCATTTCCTCAGGTACGCGAGCCTGAGATTGAGCGCCATCTGTCGAGCCCCGTCTGGGTGTCGTCGAGGCGCCAAGCACCCCCTGACCCGTGCCTGGATGTGCTCTCGGCTGTTGGCCATCCATGCAGGCCGCGCCTCCCAGGCCCAGCCAGCACTGGCCCCTTCAGGAGACTTGCTCGTCGTCAGCCGGTATCAGAGCCCTACATGTACCGACAGCAGAGGCCCTGCATGTCCCTGCAAGCATCGCGCTATCGCACTACGGCCAGGGGACCTGATGGGACCTGATGGGACCTGATGGCCGCCTCCCATCAACCTGTTCCCAATTTAGCAGTCGAGCGCCATTAGTGAGCGGCCAGGCCTGCGCTAGAGTGGCAACGGCACGCATTGGAGGTGGTCTGGGCTCCCTCAAGCGAGAAGCTGCCAGAGACGAGAAACATCTGGGCCAGTAATAATATTAGCACGTTTCGTTTCTCGCCCTCTCGTCGCCCGCTCGAATCTCTCCCATAAACCATCACCAAAGGCCTGCCTTGGCTGGGTGGCTAGCCGGCCTCTTTTCTCCTTGCCAGTCTCGTCTTGCTGTCCCTTTTATCTCCTTCATTATTTCTCTTCTCCTCTCTTGGCGCCAGCTTGCCATGCGACCCAATTGCTGACCTGCTCATTCTCACCACCCCACTGGCTCACGATTCCGTTGATCATATCAGAATCGAGAACGAGCCTCAGCCTTCTCAAGATCCGACCCCGCCATTCTTCGTCAACTTGTGTCGGCGTATCTGGCCAGCCATTTCGAATTGTACTCGGGCAGAGGTATTATGGCTATTGGCCCATCCTGATTACGACTCTTGAGGGTGCGGATAGGTGCCGTCAAATTCTGAAATTGCCATTGCCGCCACTGCCCGTGCTCCCGAAGCTGTGTCGATTCCAGCCAGCTGCTACACAGCCCGGGTCTCTGATTCTATAGCGCTGTGCAACCTGACATAGTCCGGCTTGACCTTTTCCGCTGTCTATATCGAATCGCATCTGCGTCGCCATGACTTCGACCCAGCTGCCACCGCTCGACTTCAACGAAGGCGGACTTCGTATTGTCCTGCTGCCCGAAGTTGAGAACATGTCGTCTCCGCTCTCTCCGCTCTCCCCCGACTATCATCAGAGCAAGGAGCCTCTTTCGATGAATACCACTTTGAGCTCTGCTCGATACTCTGAACATGACCAACATGCTCGAGACTCCGAATCTGACGATGACCTTGAGGTGGATGTGGACGAGATTGAGCATGATTCCGATTCGACGCCGCCACCACCACCACCACCACCAGCGATTCCAATTCACCCCATTCCTGCTTTACAGGATGCGTTCGCCGAATCGTTAAATGAGGTCATGAGCGGTATTGCGGTTGAGAAGCCTAAATTGAGGGCGCTGGACGCCCAGGGACGCAGAGAGGCTGTGCTTGACCAAGGCAAAGATGAGCCTGCCCTTGATGCCATGTGGAGGCTCCGACCTGGCCAGACCCAACATGAACTGGGCAAGCTGGTTGCTCAAATCTCGTTTGGTGTGTATTTGATGCTGAACGGGATGGCCAATGATAACACACAAGTGGTCAACATTCTTCAAGGTCACATCGACGAGGTGGATGAGTTTCTCGAAGTCACAATCGAAGATCTTGAGGAAGTAGAGGCGGATCTGAAAAGGCGCATTGACCATTTGATGCTTCCCATGTCCAACGCCACCGTGTTCGAACAGCTGCTAGAAGATCACAAATTCCGGACCGAAATACTCCAAGGCAACGAGAAGATTGAGCACATCCTCGCAAGAACCAATGTGTCAATGAAGCAATGGGACGACGACATTGAAGCCGGTCTACACACCAGCAACATCTTCATCAATTGGTTGAATGAGAATGCTGAAGGCACATGGCGATCGGGCCTGCCAGACGTTAACGACATTTTCGATGCCATGAGCGGCAATGCAGAAGGGTGGCTTATTGCATTTGAGAAAATCAGCGATAGTGCTCAGGACATCAACAGTCTCATCATTCGGCTGATGAACATAATATCTGAGATGGAAAAGAAGGCCGGTGAAGCTAGCCGACGGACATGGGTAAGTTTCGTCGCCATCAGCGCTGTCGGTTCCAGTAGCTAATGTAATTCCCAGGCGAGCATTGCACCCCCCATGTCTAATATTCCTGAAGAATCTATACCCATGGATCTCCATGTTATAACAGAGGATTATAGTCGAAGATCCAGTACTCAAGATAGCGTCCGCAGTGGCTCTACAGAAAATAGACCGGCTAGCTCTATAATCGATGATGATACCAGCACTATTGATTTTCCTCTACCTGGCGGCCTACCCTTACTTCCACCGTTCAAGTCTTCTCGTCATACTTCGAACACTTTCGGCTTCGGCAGCCCTCAGACGGCAACTAAGAAATCCGGCTTCGATAGTCCTCAAAGTGCTCAATATACCCCTCAGTCTGCCGCAGGTACCTTTGGTGTCACCAGTCCACAGACAATGCAAATCCACTTCCGCCAAGACAGCCAAGACTCGTCGGCCATGAAATTCGAGGACAGCGATCCGGAAACAGAGATAGGCCACGAAGACGAGCCGGTGTTCCTTCTTCAGCCGCGAACCTATACCCCGCAGCCTCCTGCACCGTTGCCCTCGCCTCTTATCAAAGATGAGGCGGGCCACAATGCTCGATCAGGATCACAGTCGACGATTCCATCCTTTCCCTCTACACCGATCTCTCCTGCAGATAGTCGGCCTTTGAGTGCTGTCGTACAGAGAAGGACATCTCTCCGCGACCGTGTATCCCAAAAGATGATGCCCCCAGGTGATATTCAGATTCCGGTAAGGTCTCTTAGAGGCATGGAAAAATACGCTGCTTCACCCGGTACCACCACGCCGCAGACTATGAGATCTCATCACTTTGATTCAGCATATGAGTCTGATGCGGAAAGCCATGGGCGCCATCCATCTGGAAGCTCCAGCAACATGACAATGTCCCCTCCGCAACTCAATGTCGTACCCTCTCCGCGCTCGGATCGGCAAAGATACTATCACCCTGTGCAAGCGTCGCCACATTCACCACTTCAGCAGAGACCCCATACTGCTGTTGGACATGGCCATTCTTCCTATCACCAAGGCCATTCCTCATTGGCGCCGCCTGCTTTGAGCGGCTTGAGCAAGGTTACTTCCGCAAACTATGAAGACGGGACCTCGCAAAGCGTACGAACCACACGAACCACACGAACCACCAAAACTGTGGATAAGCAGCTTAAGAAGAAGAAGAGTGCCTTTGGTTGGCTCAAGAAAGCTTTTAGCATGGATGAGGAAGAGCGAGCGGCTTATGAGGCACGCAGAGCTGTGCAATACCAAGAGAGCTACTACAACGCGGATCCACCAAAGTTTTTGGACGGAAGACGAGTGCGATAAACCCCAAGGGCGGTTCTGTCGGAACGACGTACCTACTCTATTCCTGGATATACTAGTAAGAAGGACGAATTTGGTTCATTGCCACAAAAAGAGAGCAAAGAAAAGCAAACGAAGAGCTACACAATTAGAAATGGCGATATCATCCACTCGTTCTTACAGCGTCTTATCATTATCAGCAAAATCGAGCGAAATTACTCTAGCAAGCGTTTTTCATGCGATACCCAAAAAGCGAAGCATTGCTTGGATCCAACCTTTTCTACAGTCTTTTCTCGAAAAAGCAAATGCCCCATTATATCTATGCGCTTACTCAAGCGCACCTTGCACATCATTATTTCATCCTCACCTTTTTTTTTAAGGATGTGGTGCCATTAGCGAACTAGCGATTTCCTATACTACTAGTACTTTTGTATATGCCTACTCATTTTCCCTTTTTTTATTTTCCCTTTTTTTTTAAAAAAAACTTGGCTGCGTTATCTCGGGCGTTTGAGTACCATACCATGGCGATGAATCTTTTACGCTATCAACGTCATTTTTTCGTCTAGGTTACCATTCCTTTCATTTTCTTTGTATCCTTACTGGAGCTCAGCATATATGGCATTAAGTTAAGGGGAAGTAGGCGGTATCTAGGTCACCATTTTTGTAGGTTTTTTATTTTCTAAGGAGAGATTACACTATATGAGTTTAATGGGATTCCGATGAGGTCCAAGACTCTTTCGAACTGAGCAATACAAATATTTCGAAACGCTATAAACTTTACTGGACTGTCAACTCTTCTGTTATGGCGATATGCGCTTGTATTTCCAGTTGTTTATACGAGATAATCAAGACATCGACCAGAAAAGGGTAGAAAAAGGACGTGGTTGTATATGTGTATGAATATCGTTGATAAATTCATCGGTGAGATATGTACAGGAACCTTTCCGTGATATACATGCCGCCAACAATAGCACATATATATGTCTTGTATACTGATTCTCCCCCTAGTTCCGCCTAACCCAATGTCAAATCATGACCGGCCCAAGACTTTAAGTCGTACCCCAGTAGCACACAAAAGACTGAGCACCGCCAACCGGAATGCAACCGCCGGCACTGGAGGCAGTATATCCCGAGTAGTCTCGACAGCTCTGCGAGTTGAAAAAATTGCAAAAGCAGCCACCGTCTTGCCAGCAGCCGGCAATATTTCGCATAGTTTGCGTACTGAAAGTTGTAGCAGTTATCTGGTCCGTACCCATAATTAGTTGCCCAGTCTGTATTGACTTGTGCAGCATAGGGAGATCAGGTGTCCCAGTAGTAGTTGATTTGCATCTGCGTGGCGGAGGTGAGTGATGCGGTGAGGACCGTGATGAAGGTGGCGATTGTGAGGTGCATGGTCGCGGATGTTTTTTTTTTTTTTTTGGGCAAAAGATTGAGGTGGTTTTTTTATGGGTGGGTGAAGTGATTTTAAGTATGAGAGACAGAGACGTAGAGAAAATTCAGAGCGTTTGGCAGTATGAAGAGTACTACATATAATTTGAACTCATATGCTATTTGCAGTTGAAAGCGATGACTTCGTGTTTACAACGTAAACAGATAATGACTCTTGTCAATATTGAGGCCCTCTCTATATTAGGTAGATATCGTCCACACTCCAATAATGGAAATATAGAGTTTACAATAAATACTAAAGTCAGCATTTCATATGCATACATTTACGTAGATGCAAACACGAGTCTTGAGCAGTTGATACAAATAGATAATAGCTTCCCTCTTTGTTAAAGCTCTTTGATGTATATGGGATGCAATGCCAATCTTGGAAATAGATGTAAACTAATTATTCTAAAGTTAGTAGGTCGGTAGTACCGATAGGCCGCACTAGTCTTGGGTGGAGTGAAGAATCTCACCCAGGTCGATATGTGGACCAGTGCCATATATATAAGCTTTCGCCGCGTTGTTATATAATACAACATGAACTATTGCTGGCTTGAGTCCATATACTTCAGTAGTAAGTCAAGAGAGTGTACCCTCAAATTGCATATATATGTATATGTGCGCTAACACAAGATGGCTGATCACGCTGCATTATGACCCAGAGCTCCTTTGCTAATAATGTTGTTTATAAATTTCTTAGCGAAACATATGTACATGTAAGTTTCTCTTCACCTTGCCTGTTATATACAAAATTATAACCAAACTTTTTTGTGCTGATTCTTCCTCCTAGATTAGGTGCCTGTTCATCCCAACCAACACCTCCGTCCTTCAACCATGCCCAACTCCATACTTTTTGCAAGGACAACCTTAGTTGCTGCCATACCAGCATTCGAAAGACCTGGCATTGGCAACGGGAATGCAGTTTCCGGTGCCAGAGGCGGTATATCCCGAGTAGTTTTGGCAGTTGTCCGAGTTGTAAAAGTTGCATCTGCAGCCGTCGCCGGTGTTGCAGTTGGCAATGTTTGCGTAGTTGCCAAAGTGGTAGTTGTAGCAGTTGTCCTTGCCGTTGTAGATGTTGGTGGCCCAGGTGACGTCGACTTGGCCCTCGTATGAGCTGCAGACATCGCTGTAGTAGTTGATTTGCATCTGTGAGGCAGAGGCGACGGATGCGGTGAGGGCCGCGAGAAGAGGGAGGGTAGAGAACTGCATGGTTGCTTTTTTTTTTTTTTTTGGGAGGGGATTTAAGCGGTTGTTGTGAGTGATTGTTGTGATTGTTGAGGATTGAAAGTGATTGTTGTGATGAGGAGAGACGGAGAGAGAGCGCGCATGGCTGGTTTTATATCTGCTGGACGACGCAAGAGTAATTCATCTTCTCGGCATCCATTCGTGGATTAATGAAGACACTCTCTCGCTTACAACGTGTTCGTAAGGCAGACGATAATTCCATCTTGTTGAAGCTCTCTCGTGTACACAGACCGCAACTCCAATAGTTGTTACCAAATGCAGTAGGTGAGGCTTGCGGAACAATATTTACCTACTTGGCGGGCCGCGCTAGTAGCGTGGAAATAGGAATGCCGTGTAAGCTTCAATGTTGGAACAAGCCTAGCGCCTGACAGCGTGCATGGTATATTACGGGCGTTAAGGACCACTCGTCTGCGACTATCGCCCAACCCGAGCATCCTATCTTACATACAAAGGTACGAAATAGTATCCATATGCTTAGCGAGCATATAATCATCGCTCGCACCTACGGGATAGGGAATAGCAGCCGTGACCCTTGCAGCCAGCTGGTGGCGAGATATTGAGTTGTGGTTTAGGTCAGCAGGCATTTTATTTCAGATTTGTGATAGAAACAGCATTACTAGCTGAGTTAAGCTTTAGTAAATCGGATGATACTATTGATCTTCCTCTCAGGGGTTTATGTATATATGTGCGCTTTCATAATGGTTAGACTACATGTATGCTGCGGTCTGTCTATGCTCGCAGTCCCGCGAATCAAGTTGAAGCACTCTGCATGCTTCAACTACCGACCTATCTCTTCGACATGGGTGGATATCTATGCAGCACTAGTTTTCTAGAGCTCCTTGGCCGGCTCTCCTATTCCATAACTCTTAACCCGGCTGAAAAAGAAGGGCTTGTCGTTTTTGAGCTGAAACTCGGCCCAGTCGTCCGTCAGCTTGTTGTAGCTGTGGAAGCCTCTCCAGACGATTTTGTTGTTCTTGGTGCCCTTGCCTGCACTCCGGAGCGTCAGGTCCATTCGGTACATGTACTTTGTGCCGACACCCTCCGTCTCCACATATATATCTGATTCCTGGTCCTGGGGATCCGTGTTGTCGGGATGATCCAAAGCAGAGGATTGGCGCCAGCGACCTTTGTAGGCTTGATGCATTACCGCGGATGGCAAATGAGAGTGAGGGGCCTCGCGGTGTAAGAGGAGCAGCTCGGGGGTTAGATGATGAACAACGTCTACTGGAGACGCCGTAGTGAGAAGACTAATGACGGTGCCGTCACGGAAAAACCGTAGGTAGCGATAGTATGTGACGATGAGGACGGGAGCTCCGCCCCAGGTGGACTGATTTGTGGAGGCCTGGCCGCTGCGCACGTAGTTGACGGTACTGATGTAGCATCCGTTGAAGCGGATACGAGGACGGTTTCGGAACATGTGTTTCCACGAAGGATAGACGTCCGGATCGTGGAGGGACAGGGTGAAGGACACTGCGTCGGCAAGGCGCCGCTCCTCAAGCTCTCGCATGCTGATGAGGAGACCATCTTCGTCTGCCTCCTCCTGAATCTCGAGATCTTCCCACTCGATGCTCTTTTGCCAGTGGCGAGGCATGGAGGTGAAGCCGAACTCACTGCCCAGGCAGACGCGTTTCCAGGGACGCTGCTCGGTGGCGACGAGAAAGGCGAAATGCTTGCACACGAGACTCAGACGTGCAAAGTCGCCGACATCCGCGACGGCAACGTCCTGAAGGATGGGGACGAGCAGTTCATCTGGCAGATTGGCGATTGGGCATGGAGGTGGCGGGGTGTTTTCAATTTCCGGGGGCGCTGGCTCGATCTTCAGGGTTGAGAAGCTGGCGATGAGCTCTTCCAGGGTCAGCGGTTTAGGCTCCCCTTGATCAGACTCGGCATGTTTCCGTGCAGAGGATGCTGCAGGCCCTGTTGTGGGGGCTTTCGTGGCAGCGAAGCCCCCTGGGAAGTGCTTCTCACGATATGTCTGATCTATTCTATTGTCTAGCTAGCAAAGGAGGAGTTAGTATATCATGACAAGGATGCGTTTTTACATCTTTTGGAAGAAGAAAGCAAATGACATTAAAAAAGACAAACTTACTCTATAAGCCTTTCTATATAGCCGCAGGCTTTCTCCCATGTTGCCCTGCGCCTCCTTTTCCATGGCTTCCTCATAGTGATCTAGAGCCGAGATGAGCGGCTTCTCAGCACCTTTTCCGGGAGCATCCGAGAGCAGATGGCCCGCGGCAGATGTTGGAGGAGGGCCGTCGAACGATTGCGCGTGTAGATAGTACTCGTCATCGTCAATGACTGGCAGATTTCTTTTGCCGGTTCCTGGCCCTGAAAAGGGCCCTGATGCCCTTGTTTGCTGTGAAGTAGCGGCCGGCGCGGCGGTGGAGGCCACATGCGACGCCTCAGCCTGATGAGAGGCTGACCCAATGGACTCTCTTCTAGATCGCAAGTCGGAAATCCATTTTTGCCGGAAGGATTCCAGCTCCGAACTGGACTCTCGGGTTTCTGAGGCCATGGCTGTGGCTGGTGAGTGGTTGGCAGATACGAATCGTAGACGCGTGTCCGATATGGCCGAGCGCGGGGAATTGATGGGTATTACGGCCGCTTGATTTGATTTACAAAGACATGATGATTATAGGGAGTTGGACACTAGATATGATTTGAAAAGCAGAGGACAAATAGGACGAGAAAGCAAGATGATAGTGGATGGATAAAGATGGTTTAATACTGCATGTATATGGATTTTTTATACAGAGTGCCTTACAAATGTCAGAGTACAGCATGCAATGAATCAGTCAAGACTCAGCGCTGGGAAAGTGACTCGATCGGCCAGTAGCTGAGACAGGAGTCGATTACTAAGACGCCGTGCAGCGTGCATGTATGCTTGAACACAGCTAGGCCCAACTAATGCTAGTGGATAAAGATGAAGAAGACAAAGAGGCTCTAAAGAGGTTCTGTAAGCGAATAAGCTGGATCTAGACAGTCGAGTGTCTCTGGCATACATCGAGATTAGCACGAGCAATCGCCAAAGGCTGTGCTGCTGGATCAGGACAGCGCCCTAAAATGGCCTTTGGAGAAAAACGGCCGTGCAGGGTCCAATGGATCTATGGACAAGTACAAAGTACTGCTGGTATGCGCATACTGGAGGCGTTCATCTTATCGCTGATTATCAATCGCCACGGCAAAAGCCCAGCTAATCACAGCGCGGCGTGACATCATTCGGCTACAGGCGGTGCCTCGCCTCGGCGCGGGATTGGCAGACGCAGCAGGTGCGGTGCAGATTCATCTCCGGCTGCGGCGTGGAGGCGAGCCCGAAAAAGCTGCGAAAAAAAATAAACCGGGGCTGCGTCAACGAACGCCGCTGAGCCGTCGATATCTACCACTTGCATGCGCTACACCTTGGCTAGCGGCTTCTAGCACTATCTACTAACCAAATAACCTTCCTAGCTATGACTACTCGATATTCTTTCTCTCTCCTCTTTCCATGACCAATTTCTGCCTCCCTCATACATCTTTTGAGCATCCATCCGTATCGACTCATCGTCAATCAAGCGCAATCTCTACCGCACCGACTTTCAAGCTCTAAACATCCGTTGACCGAATTCGGCCCGGTCCGAGCATCTCCGAGAGAGCTACGCACAAGCCTCCAGCATCCGGATATTCGTGAGAGCCCGAGGGCTCGGCTCCTCGCTCACGCCCCTCCGCGCGGCATGGGATCTCTCTCCATCGTCCACAGCTCAGACGGCCAAAACTACGACAGGATAGACGGAGACGAGGCCAGCATGTCTGGCATTCCTAGGATTGCGGGCGCGGGCGATGGCGATGGAGGCAGCATCATTCCGGATATCACAGCTGGCCAGAAGATGGTGTCGGCCATGTCGGGCAGTCTCTTGACTTCATTGCTGGGTGAGTAAATTCTGTGGCATCTGGTACAAGCCTTGGACTGCAACTCGTATTAACACTTCATTCCCTCCTAGTAACTCCACTAGACGTCGTTCGTGTGCGCTTACAATCGCAACCGACTTCCGCTACCGCCGCTCCGGTTGTGGACTTTTCGAGACTCATGCGAACAACCGCCAACCTCACCCCCGTGCAGACTGCCGAACTGGGCGTCACAGCGTGCTGCCGCGAAGTGTTCTTCGCAGAGAGCGCCATAGACTACTGCCTCGCCGCGCCGAGAATCGAGGGCATCGCAATATCCGGCGGAAGTGGCGCCGCCGCTGACTGCGCAGTGCAAGAAGTCCAAAAGAAGACATATCACTCAACCATCGATGGTCTGCGAAAGATTGCCCGCAATGAAGGATTCACGACGTTATGGAGAGGCCTCTCACCTACCCTCGCCATGACAATTCCCGCCAATATCATTTACTTCACCGGATACGATTGGCTGCGATTCAGCGCCATGAGCCCATTTTCAAAACTCTCTACAGATTATGCGCCCCTCGCCGCTGGCTCTTTCGCTCGAATTCTCGCAGCAACTGCCGTTGGCCCTATCGAGCTCGTCCGCACCCGTATGCAGGCTGCGTCTGGCGCTTCTACCACAAACCACCTGGTTGAAGCTTTCAGCGGGATTCGCTCCATGGTTGCCTCTCAAGGGTACACCTCATTATGGCGAGGCCTGACATTGACTCTGTGGAGAGATGTGCCCTTTTCTGGCCTCTACTGGTGGGGATATGAGTCTATCCGATCTAGGATTTCCGATATTCGCGAAGAACGACAGGGCAGGACAATGAGCCGCGACACAATTGATGGGCTCAGCCGCACAACCGCCCGGCGTCGATCTCAGAGCCGAGAGAGCCATACGGAAACTTTTCTTGACAGTTTCGCCGCTGGCGCTACCTCGGGCGCTATTGCATCCATCATGACCATGCCGTTTGACGTGGGCAAAACGCGCACCCAAGTCTACAAGCACAGTTCGCGCCGTGCAGCCGGAAGCGCACTGGCACCCGAGCAGCAGAACATGGGGCGACTACTATTACACATTTTCCAGACGGAGGGCATCTCTGGCCTATGGCGAGGTTGGATCCCCCGCACACTGAAGGTGGCACCGGCTTGTGCCATTATGATCAGTAGCTACGAAGTCGGCAAGCGGGCGTTTCGAAGTGTCAATGAACGCTCTATGAGCGAGAGCTTGGCTGGCGAGGACTGAAAGAAAAGATGCGGCGATGACAATAAAATAACATAATCGGTCTTGGGTTTTAAAAATGAATGAAATCTTTCCAAAGTTTCATCAAAGTTTTGGCGTTGAGCTTTATATGGCGTTTGATATAAAGAGCTGCTATGAAAGAGCACGTCTTGCGAGGTTTTTTGATTTTTGAGGAAAAAGAAGATAAAAATTACTTTTTCCAAGCTGGCTTTGGCGACACTCCTATCATATGTTGGACGGATGAATCGAATTGTTTAGAATAAAACTACATGTGTACGATAGATGTAGCGGAAAAGATGTCTGTAACATTAATGTGATTTCCAATGCGTTTTCAATCTTGATCGAAAGCCCGAGTGACATGTGTGCTAGTAGTTGTAGGGGTGAGGATATTTAGTTAACGAGGCTAGTTCTAAATTTAGCGTCCTGGTGGGTGAAAAAGAGTTTACACAGCTGTTTGATGGGCATTTTAGCTCTGCGTGATCTTTTATATTTAAACATTAGATCTGGATCGAAATTTAGTGTAACGCACCAACTGATCTTGTCGCTTTATTGGATATACTTTTGAGATTCTTTCATTCAAACAGCCGCACTTGGGCCACACAGAAGCGATAACCTCCAAGAGGTCTTCTTGCCTACTTCTCGTCTTATACCACCATCCGAACATCACCGCATTATATCACGACTCAAAAAATGTATACCCTCACCAACATCGACCAGCACCACTTCTCCGGCCCAGAAGACGTCTACGTGCTCGAGGCGCACCGCACAGCAGCCGGCCTCGCCACCGTCGCCTCGGACCAGACGCTCTCGCTGTTCAACCCAGCCCGCCTTGGAGCCGGGCCTGTTTCGAGCCTCAAGACGAGCCATGGCAACGTGGCGGCGCTGCGGGTGTTTGATGCGGGGAGTTCGTTGGTCTGTACGGCTGGTGAGAATGGGTCTGTTGGGGTTTGGGATTTGAGGCAGGGGGCGAGGGTTGCGCAGTTTCAGGGTGAGTTTTATGAGAGAGGTGAAGAGAATGAATGAGTGAGAGTGAGAGTGAGAATGAAGGCAAAAAGATGATGATGAGATGGGTGCTGAATCTATTGGCTGACGGTATCCTCACAGCGGCCGAGGCATCCATCTTGTCAATGGCATGCAGCGCAAACACTCAAACAATCGCCGTCGGCACAGAGCTGGAGAACCACGTCGCCTCAATACACCTCTGGTAAGAACGTCACTGGTGTCTCTCACTTGTCTATATAAAACCAAAAGCTCATCAAAAACCCAGGGACGTCCGCTCCACCCCCACGCCCAAAGCAACCTACTCCGAAGTCCACAGCGACGACGTGACCTCTCTCGGCTTCCACCCGTCCTCGCCCACGCTGCTCATCTCCGGCTCGACCGACGGCCTCGTCAGCGTCCACGACACGACCATTGCCGACGAGGACGAGCTGACGGTGCAGACGTTGAACCACAACGCCTCGATCCACGACGCCGCGTTCCTGACGCCCACCGAGGTCTTTGCGCTGTCGCACGACGAGACGTTTGCGCTGTATGACGTTTCCGAGGAACGCACGGATGGGAGTGCGACGCGCCATTTCGGGGACTTGAGGAAGGTGCTTGGGTGTCAGTATGTGGCGAATGTGACGACAAAGTTGGATGGGAGCGGTGCCATTCTGGGCGCGGGAGCGCAAGAGTATGTCTTTTTCTGTTATCCCCCCCCTTTGATGTCCTTTAGGAGCATTGCAGCTAACCTGTATGATTAAACGAAAACAGTAAACAAAACTTTGAGCTCGTCTTCCTAGCCAAGACGCCGGATAGCGCTTGGGCACTCGATCACGATAATAGAGTTGTCCTACCTGGCGCACACGGCAGCGAGATTGTGCGCTCGTTTTGCTTCTTTGACGATGAGCAGGTTGTCTTTACGACGGGAGAGGACGGAAATGTGAAGGCGTGGAGGGCAGGTTAACTCGCAATACACGAATGCTGAATAGATATCAAATGGCACAGAAGAGTTAAGCTTTCGTTTTTTTGGCACTTGTAAGAGGACTTTGGCATTTTCTTCTATCTTAATATGTATATATATATATACAAGCAGTGCTTTGTCTCAATGGAGAACTTCGTTTTGTCCAAGATTCAGGACACGCTGCTCTTACCGATCCCCTTTCCTGTTTGGCACCAGACAAGACTGATATCTAGCAGCCAGGAGTCTGCAGCGTTTATAGCTTGGCATTGGATCAGTTTGTATATCAGATGTAGTGACCAGCTCGTTCGCTTCTCGTCGACTGAAGCAGGTCCGTCCTCCGATTTGCGACCTTTGGTGAGGCCCTTCAACGTCTGCCTCAGGTTGGCCAGTTTCTCAATTCCAAGTCTGTCATTGAACTGCAAGTATTCTTCAGTCCAGCAAACGTGAATTCGACAAGGGCCTTCAACCAAACTTGTCATGCTTATTCTTGACCTTAATCTCCAGCAACCGCTCATGATAGTCGCCCTCCCTCTTCGCCCTCTTCAGCACCCGCACCTCATCCTCGTCCAGCCTCCGCCCAGCCGCATCCTCCAGCTCGCGCCGGCTAATCTTTGACTTTTCGCGCTCCTCCTTGGACGTCCTGATGCGAGGCTTGAAGCGCGCCTGCATGCGGATGCGCAGCGTCGTGTTGAAGGTGATGCCGTCGGCGTCGCCGCGCACATCGGCGGGCGGCGCATTCGGCTTGGACGACGTGGACGGCTTGATGGTGATGAAGGTGTCGCGGAGAGACTGGATCTGGAACGTGCCGGGCGTGTCTGCGGTGGCGATGAGGTTGAACGATTCGAGGGGGGAGACGGCTTCTGAGGTTGCCGATAGCAGGCCAATCTTGTCGCAGGCGAGATATCTGTTGATCGCGTATACAAGTCAGCGGGAATGCTGGCTATATTCAGGCACCTCAATAGATTCAATTGTCGAATTCTAGGTGCAGCATCAGCAGAACGTACCTCCCATGATGTCCCTTGAAGCGAAAGTTGCCGGTGCCAGCCACGCGATTGGCCACCCAGACCTGCCTCACATCATGCGGCTCCGCGCTGGTCGGGTTGTCGTCGACAATGTTCTCAATCGGCAGCGCAAAGACCTTGCCGCTGGGATCGCACGCGAGCGCCGAGGGCTTGTCCGTGGGCAGGACAATCATGACGGGGCCGATGACATCGGTGACGGCATCGGCCGAGACCCAGCTGTCGTCCTGGGCCTGGTCTTCGTTGTCGTCGTTTGCCCTGGCGACGAGCTGCTTCCTGCTGGACTCGCCGGCGCCATTGTCGTCGTTGTCGTCGTGCAGCTCTGCAGCGGCGCGCTTCCGCTTCTTGGTCTTTTTGTCGCCCTTGAAGGTCAATGGCTTGACCATGATTGCTGGTATTGCTACAGCTGCAGCAGGGCAGAGCAGAGCAGAGCTGCCAATGAGAGACGCGGCTTGCGTCGGGGCGAGCAGAGACGCTCAATCAGAAGGGCGCCCGAAGACCGGAAGACGATGTGTTTGCTGCGGCTATGATGGAATGGGGTAGCATTAAGCGGAACAGCCTTGGCTCGTGTTTTGGGAGTCCAGACAAAGCTCGGCCTGGCGTTGAAATGATTCGGGAGACGGCGAGCTCCATCTTTCGGTCCAGAGAAGCTCTGCTATGCTTTCCGCGTTACGTAAGCGCAATCGCAGTGAGTGCCTCTTTGGGACTTTTGTCTCTTTTACTGGCGTATCCTCCAGTCGTTTACGTCGAATTTGGCTTCTGCTTTTTTTTTTCTGCCCCTCCCCCGCTAAAGAATCGATATGGCTCGGGACTGAAGCGAGCTTGGAGAGCTGCTAATTCGGATTATTTTCTCTGCTCTGGAGCGTGGAGGAGCGGAAATGGGGCCGTTGTGGCGGCGTCTTTTGGGGGCGAGGATAAAGCGCGAAAAGAAGTGCCTTTTCCCTCGTACGATTAGGAGTTATTAGATCGATCCTTTTCTTTTGCATCAACATCCATCTGGTGATTTTTGGATCGCCCATTTTCTCTACCCCATACTGTCTATTTCTCGCCATATAGGGCCCCCTCCATTCCTCCTGTCAGCAGCTGACACCTGACATCGGCACCATCCTCATCGCCATCATCGTTTCAAAATGGCCCCTCTGGCACAGGCTGTGACTGTATCCCTCCAAGACCTCCAAAACGGTATGAAGAGCCTCACGTTAACCCGCCCCAAAAGTGCATCTACTTGTGATTTCCTACTTTGTACAAGTCCTCCGTGCCGTGCAAACAGCAAAAAAACCCACTCACACAATCCCACTCTCACAACCCGCGCCACAATCTTCTTTTCTTAAACTGAGTATACTTGGCTACTCATATTTCTTTTTACTCATTCGTGCCGAAATTCCCCTGACTAACATGCGAGTCATCTAAGGAAATGTCTCATTCGAGACTTTACAAGAGGCTTTTGGCCCTGATTCCCTTGGCATCTTAGTGGTCAAGAACGTTCCGGAGGAGTTTGCGCAGCTGCGCCATGTCGCCTTATCATATGGATCTTATTTGGGCAACCTCCCCAAGGAGGAGCTAGGTAAGTCTTGTTTGTTTGCTGCTTTTGCCCCCTTCTATCGAAGACGGTAGGGAGTCATTTTGGGGGAAGGGGGCCGAGTTCAGGCAACGACATAGAGATGCATCCAGTTTTGCCAGCCACATATGCAGCGAGACGCTGACCATCGCCCCCTAAACCACCTAGACAAGCTGGAAAATGCCAAGGCAAAGTACCTGACTGGCTGGTCCCTCGGCAAGGAGACGCTCAAGAATGGCCAGGCCGACACCTTCAAGGGATCCTACTACGCAAACTGTGCCTTCTACGTCAACCCCAGCCTGGACTGTGCCGAGCCCACGCCAGAGTTCTCGCCCGAGACGTTTCCCGAGTACCTCTCGCCCAACATCTGGCCGGCGGAGCAAGTGCTCCCCGGCATGAAGCCGGCCGTGACCAGCCTGTGCCGCCTCATCATCGACGTTGCCGTGCTGGTGGCGCGCGCCTGCGACCGCTTTGCCGAGAAGGAGATCCAGGGCTACCCCAAGGGCTACCTGGAGCACGTCGTCAGCACGTCCAACACCACCAAGGCGAGGCTGCTGCACTACTTCCCCCAGGGGGCGTCCGACGCAGCGTCAACAGCGGCAGGGGGCGACGAGGACGACTGGTGCGGCACGCATCTCGACCACGGCTGCTTGACGGGCCTGACGTCGGCCATGTTCATCGACGAGAAGCAGGTCGATCCCGCGGTGCCCAGCGCGGCGGACCTGACGAGCCTCACGGGGGCCTCGCTGCCGCCCCTGGAGGAGCTGCCCGCGTCGCCCGACGCCGCGGCCGGCCTGTACATCAAGTCTCGGACGGGCGAGACGGTGCAGGTCAAGATCCCGCGTGACTGCATCGCGTTCCAGACGGGCGAGGCCCTGGAGCGCATCACGGCGGGCAGGTTCAAGGCGGTGCCGCACTTTGTGAGGGGGGTCAGGGCGAGCGTGAGCGATGGCAGGGTGGCGAGGAACACGCTGGCGGTGTTTACGCAGCCGAACCTGGGCGAGGAGGTGGATATCGAGCAGCACTTGACGTTTGGGGAGTTTGCGAGGGGTGTTGTGACGAAGAATACCGTTTCCTAGGCTTGGTGTTTTCTGGTTTAGACTACATGTACCTAGGACAATGAGTCAAAGAAAAAAAAAAAGTTGAAATCATTCGATGTAGGCCTCTGTGGTGTGGTAAGAGTGCTCTGTATTCTGCCTTGAGCTGAGTGAAGCCAGCAAGAGGAATGTCACTATCAGATATCATATCCACTCCAGTCAAGTTCTTCGGTATTCAACGCCCTCATATCCTACCTATATCCCATATCCCATGTTCGATAGTCTACAGCCCGCGTTCACATATCCAGCTGCAAACCACTCACACGGGCATACCCAAACAGGCTCGCCTGAATATTCCTTGTTTCAGCCTTGAAATCTTTCGCTGCAGCCGTCGCTCCGGGGTGCTTGGGGCCGCAGTCTTGAGCTTGCCTTGAAAACACCGAAGCCTCACCTGGAAGCGATAGCGAAAGAAAAAAAAAGAGAGAGTAGAAAGGGAAAAGATGGCTTCGGCCAACTTTGTGCGCCTCACCTGGACTAAGAGTAGAGTCACCGTCGTACACACACTCAGAGAGACACACGCACTTGTACCAAGGCAACGCTTTTTATTCTGCTCCGCCCTTGCATGGCAAGGCAGCACTTTTCTGCTATATGAGTCCTGCAGGTCATATGCAGCTAAGACTCAGTAATTTATTTTTAATATCTACTTCTTCTTATTTTTTTTTCCCCCAATTAATCTGTTTGATTTGCTTGTTCTCTTGGAAACCCCCCCCCCCCTCTCTGTGGGACTGCAAGGATATACTTGTAGTGTAGCCGCACCACGTGGTGAGGAGACATGGAATCAGAAATGCTACCTGGGATACGTAGTATTCCCTCCGGGGTCCCGAACGGGTAGCACGTCACCGTTCCATGTCTGAGATTTACGATAACATGGGTGCCTATGTCTAGTTTCCTCTCTCTTTCACTTCTTCTCCCTCGTTTGCATCGTTTCGGTCTGGAACAGCCAGCCAGCCAGCCTCGTTTTAGCCCCCAGTCGTATGATGCGTCGAATCAGAACGACAAGACGGGGGGGAAGACAGGAGGACGTCATTTCTGCAACGTAGACAGACAGGGGGACAGGAAGAAGAAGGGAAAAAAAAAACAAATAGACTGGAACAGGGGGGGGCCAGAGAGAATCACCGGCGCGTGATTGAACCCTGGACGGGGCCTAGATCTCCCAGCTCGATGCGGCTTAGCAGAGAGTCTGGTCTGGATCCTGTTGGCCTCTTTCATGTTGTTTTGCTGTGCTTTGCTTACAGGTAATCAACCTTGCCTGGGCAGCCATCTGCACGATCCATCTACCGGTTAAAAAAAGGAATGGGGACAGAGTCGTATCATGGGGGTTGCTTTTTCCCTTGATTTCTCTTTCTCTTTCTTCTCTGTATCATTTTCCCCCACCAGGCTTCTGAGGGAAAGAGACACAAAGCGGGGCAAACGCCGCTCCGTAGAGGTGACATTGAGGCCCGGATTTGCACTTCAGCTGCGTGCAGGGGCATCAGCTCTGCTCGGTGAAGGCCGGGCAGACACGAGCAGTTGGGAGGGGAGGGGCCGGATTTGATTTGGGGGGACTGGAGGTTGCGCTATTGGAGGGGAGCCCGGAAGAAGACGAGATGGGACGAATAATGTCCTTGGAGGGGGAGGACGGCAGAGGGAGGGATCCGACCAACGGAAAAGCGACAGATTTGCCGCGCAGATGGATAATGCACAGTAGAGGGTTGGCAGCGGCAGTTGCGGGTAGGATAAGAAATCAAAAAAATGGAAATTGAAAGAGAGACGAGGGAGAGCATGGATGCGTAGCGGTGCCCGGTATGACTAACTGCTGCTGGAGATTTGTTGCCTGCCTGGAGGGAAGATTGTAAGGCGACGATGGCTATGCTCTGCCTGGGTTTGTTGCCTGGATGACATCAACGAGGACAAGAGCAGTAGTTACTAGGTTAGTGGCTGGCTGGCAGTGAGCGGTCACTGCTCTGCTCAGCTGATGCGAAGCGAGAGCAAAATAGAAGAAGAGAGAAATAAAAAAAAATGAGTCGTCGTGCTTTGCTTTTCTCGGAATCAGACCCTTGTAGAGTCCAAGATAGATTCGGGTCGCTCCCGTCGCCCGCTCGGCGTATCATCTGCTCTCTTGAGTCTCGCTCCCAGTCCTAGAGCTGATTTTCCCAGCTGAAGATCAGGCCCCACCAAGACGCCCAAAAAAAGACGAGACAAAACGCAGGGCAACTAGAAGAGTAAAAAAGACGATGTAGACGAGCTGAAGGGAAGGGAAACACATGCATAATGCAGTGCATGCATGCCTCCTCACTATGCATGGCCCGATTGGGGGATTCCAAGCCTGTCCCTGCTACATGTGCTATTCCAGCCCTACCCGCTCTCCTCTCCCGCAGCCACTACAAGCCCATCGCGGGAGCTAAACAGCGGCCAACAGGCGATTGCGACGCCCTAACAAGTAAGTGCAGTGACCCTGCTGCAAGTAATCTTTTGCGCTCTCGAGCCATCGTCGCTCCCGGCTATTGCCGCTGCTAGCAAAGTCAGCTATTTACGCATGAGGATTATGGCTACATTGGCCATGGTGCATCTGCGCCAAGGCGCCGCAGCAACAAGCGAGAAGAAATAATCAAGAAGCCGACATCACGAAAACTGAGTTTGCGCCAAGGCGGCGGTTGGGGCGTCACTTCATGCGGCCGCCCGCTGTCATTTCGAGCTCGGCTCCGGCATTTTTCTCTGTTGGTTACGGCTTCAATCCTTCCCGTGATGGCCTTTGTCTGACCGAACCAACACGAGCCTGGCAGCTCGTATATTTATACAATATGATGTGTACCTTGGGCTGTCAAGCATCAACGCCTTCTTGGCGTAAAAGAGAAATCTAGTCCAGTGCGTGTACTTGAATGTGTCACTGTAGCTTTCTATCAATAGTCATCTGTGTTGCCCCATTGGCTCTTCAACTCTTCTTTGGTCTTTTCTAGTACCTTTTTGTGATACCCAATGAGCAAACGGCGACCGAGCAGATGGAAACAGAATTTACGAGCAATACGATGCGAACTGCCTTGGTTACACCCTCGGCGGCTGGGGCTGAGAGGCAAGGCAAAGGGGCCAGAGGGACCTGAACCCTGCATCTGGGAGCGGCTGATCTGATGACGGTGATGCAAGTGACGCTGATGGTGGGGGAGTGGGAACGACGAGACGCGCGCAGCTGCGGTTGACCGAAGAGTCAAGGTGAAAAAGAATCTTGTCAATGGGCGGCTGGGATTGGATCGTGGTCAGATGGGCTATGAATTGGACTAGTGGTAGTTTCGGTGTTAGTACTGAGCTATCGCTATCGTTTTTTTTTATCTATTTATTTTTAATTTTCATCATTTCTATCTTGTCAAGATAGACACAAGCGAGGGAGACGCAAACATGGAGGGGGCGTGCAGACGCAGGATGACTGGACTCGAACCTTCGTTTCTGTTTGTCTCATGTTGTCTGCCTGTCCACGTCCACTTCATCGATATCGACCAGACTAGCAGCAGATACAATCTAAATATATTGCACCCAGCCCTATGCTAGCACTCCAGCTAAGGCAGCCTCTATGCACAATGCATCTTTGACATCCGTCACATTGCATGTAGTAGGTAGCACACGCCATTGCATGGCAGATATTGTGGTAGGGCGGGCATCTTACAAATGCTCGTTTGTGCCTGAGCCAAAAAGGGCGAGGCATAAAAAAAGTTTCATAATTTAGTCCAAAGGAAGAGGGGGAATACATGAGTGAGGGTCGCACACATGATATAAATAAAAATATGAGACATTCTAGAATTTCCCCTTTGAGCGCTGGGATGGATGGGCAAGCCATGATGACCACTGATGACACTGGCCTGTTTTTTTTTTTTTTTTTGACTCTTACACTAACGTAGCGCAGGGCTGTTTTTCTTCTTCTTCGTATCCAGGACTTTTGTTCAACTCGAAGCAGAAAAACACATACCGTGATACATTCCCTTTCCTGCACTTCTTATCAAACCCTCATTCACAAAACTGTCATTAATCGGATTTCAAATAGTACCAACAGCAAGGGCCAAAACAGACCCCAAAAGACCCAACGACCAGCCCCTCGGTGAAAACCAGGCTAGGCCCCACGGCCGGTTTCCCAATCGGGTAGCATCCCTTCCCACCAACACTGACTCTTACAACCACAGCAAACGCTCAGCCCAGGCATCATTCCCCATAATCACCGTCCAATCCATCCTTCTGCCCCTCCCCAATGGGCATAAGGCGGCCAATCAGCCACACAGATCATCGGATACTTTTTTTTTTTTTTTCCCTGTTCTGTTCCCCCTCCCTCCCCTACATCCCAGCCCCAAGTCTCAGTTCTCAGCCCCAGTTTACGCTCACGCCCTGTGTGTGCTCCCTCCCTGGAAGTCCTCGTGAGAGAAATATTAGACCAGAGGGAAAAAGAAAAAAAAAAAGTGATATTCTACCAATAGGCAGTCTAGATTGGATGATTGGCCTGTTTAGGATACCCAGAAAGAGGAAAACATGGCGCTCGTCGATGAGTTTTGGTACACGCCCCTCCACCTTCTCATCCTTTCCCCTGCCAATGCAGGCCAAACCACATGGCCTTCTTCCCTGACTCTTACATGGGGCTGTTTTCTTGTCTTCCTACCTGATCTCGGTAAATATCATCATTCTAATCCAACTAGCAAGGTTCATATCGATGCTGAACAAGTAAAAAAAAAAAAAAAAGTAGAAAAGCCTATAATGTTCAGCTGCTCATGTACATAGCCTCGATCAACCGTTCCCCGATGTGGGAACCCCCAACGATACTAGTCCTTCCCCCCCCCGTCCTCCCACAGAAGCTTTGATCAAGTGAACCCCATCCCTACCTACCCGTTTGCCCTGGCTATGACGCCCCAGGTGGGATGAACTTGTCATCGTGTTAGGCATCTTTCTTGTCGTTTTTTTGTTCGTGTCCGTGAGAAGTGATGGCCGAGGGAGGGGGCGCTGAATGTGGGAAAACGGAATCTTTGGGGGCCCAAAAATGCTCAGCTTTTGCGGCAGTGGGCAGGATCTGAGCCCATTGGGTGAGTCCGACGGTGGCCTCATTCATGGTTTATTACTTTTTGGGGAGCTTTATTGCGCTCCATAGCCTCACCCGGCATGGTGGCTGTTTGTGCTAGTTTGGCAATGGATGGGATTCAGCCTCCTTTGCTGGACCCGTTTGTCCGGTTCGCGTATGTTCGTCTGATGTAGATAAATATGCCGTTGCGTTGCTGTTTTCCTGGCATCTCATCATTCACCATCACAAACGGACAACAGCACAAACCAACAACACTCAACATATACCTACACACATACATATATACACACATATATATATCATCAACTTACATCAGATCTTTGAGAATAGACAACTCTGCTCCATCCTACATCAGACGTCTTCAATAAGCACTCTATTTCCACTTACACTTCCACTTACACAACCTTTTTTTTTTGAAGATCAGTTCTTCTTGGATAGACAGAATGAACGTCATCCCATCTTCAACATCTCACCTCGGTGCGGTTGGACCAGTCTACACTGACACCCACGTCTCATCTCCATTCCCATATCAGTTTCTCTTGCTTTTGGTTTTGATAGCCCCTCTGGTACACACATATCGTGGCCGCAAAGGCTACAGTGAGAAGCCTCTTTCTGCCAAAATCATAAAGATTCTCTCATGGCTGAGATACAAGCTCTACTCGTTTGTATACAATGCCATCCTCAACTGCGCCAGCCCGGTGCTCTCCATCAACATCTTCCCAAGAAAGATTGTCGTCACAGACCCTTCAATGGAAAGTGCCCTGTCCAGACATACTTCAGAGACGAGTCTTGCCAACGTCATTTTCTTGATTGGTCGCCGTGTATTCGGCTTGAGCGACTCTTCCATCCAGGCCATTGGAGGCTATGATCCTCGTCCTGTTCATGTTGGCGAGTTCTCATCTGCGAGCAATGCCAGGGCCCTTCTTGCAGCAATGGCTGAAACCACAGGCCAGAAACTTCAGAGCCAGCCTGATGTTCAGGAAACTGAGCTCGGTCCTTGGCTATTCAAGCTCACCAGTTCGGCTGTCGCCAGTGCCCTTTGGGGCCCCGAAAGCCCATGGGTTGTGGATGAAGAGTTTCAGAACCAGTTCATGGAACTCAGCGGCTCCCAGATGACTCTTCTGAGACCGTTTTCCAAGTACACTGCCAAAGCAGCCCACACAGCCAGAGCATTCATCATCAACAGACTGCAAGCCGCACACGCCAATAACCGAGCATCAAGGGTCAGGCAGATTGCTCACCGAATCAATGCCGTCGTCATGTCCGACCCCGAGTGGGAATCCAACAAGGACTATTTCAATGTTGAGCTGCTTACATCGCTCGGCCTGATGGTAACCCCCAGCACCATGGCAGTCTGGATGATCCGCCACCTGCTCCTGCGTCCGGATCTCCTTGACAGAGTCGTCAAAGAAGCACGAAACCCAGATGCTCTGGATGAACAAGGCAACATTGATCTGGTCCGTATCCGAGAGTCATTCCCCTTCTTGGCTGCATGCTTGTATGAGACTTTGCGACTGCACATGACGGCAATTCCGCGTGTGGCAAAGGCAGACTTCGACGTCGCAGTGCCCAACTCACAGCCCATCCACCTCAAGTCGGGAGATCTCATCTACCTTGCCATGTCGTCGTTCAACAGGAACACGGAGACTTGGGGTTCCGATGCCTCTACTTTCTCACCTGAAAGGCTCCTCAATAACGCTGGCGGCCTCTCCGCCTCCATGGTGCGAAAGCTGCGAGTCTTTGGCGTGGCGGGCAACTTGTGCCCCGGAAGAAAAGTCGGGCTCGAGACAATAATGTACGTGGTCGCCAGTGTCCTGCGGGAATTCGACATTGAGAATCCGCGTGGCGAGCGCGAACAATACCCCGAGCCGAGAACTGAAGACGGATTTGGCATTGGCTTTGAGCGCTGTGCCAATGATATCAACATTCGACTGAGAAGAGTCGCATAGTGAAATGAGCGTTTTCACCAAGACAAGGACGAATGTTGGAATTTATTATATTGAGTTGAAAAAGCCATGTTGTATGATTATGTTTTCTTTTCTTCTGTCTTTTTTTTTTTTTTTTTCGCATCATTTCATAGAAGTTTGACAGATTATTGGGCAACCACAGCGATGGAAATAAGTGAGCCTGGAGCTCACTGGATTGATGTATGATACATATGGCGAGCGTTGTTTAGATTGATACTATTGATAGCTGGAACTTGTCAAATAAAGCTACTACTCTTTTCCTTTGAGAATCCGTCATTACTATTGTTGTGTTTTGAACTTGTGTAGTATTAGCCTACGTTGGAAGCACTGAGCAGTGAGACTTTACAGTGGCCGCTATCAACTCTCCGCTTGCAAGTTGGTTTAATGCTTATTCGAGCATAGCACAGATGTACCACATCACTTTCAGAGCAACACTTGCCAAACATGTGCCAACACTTGGCAGATGGCCAAATCATGCAATCGCACGCAATCACACGCCATTCGGGCTGATCTTGTCCTATCGGTGTGCCCCGCCATCCCAGAGGCAGGCACGCCCGGCGAATGAAGCCTCTTTGACATCACTTGCACATAACAAGTAAAGCACGGATGGCAGGTAAGACGGGGCTGAGGGGTAATTGCCAACGACGTATTGCACCTGCTCTTTAAGATTCATTTTAAATCATCTTTTTCTCTAGCTTGCAAGTTCAATAAACTCAACGCCGTCAATGACCCCAACCTCTAATCAATCCATCAATCAATCAACGAGTGCACAATCAACGCAGCAACACAATGGCTGTCCCTCCCAAGTTTGCAGCCCACAAGCTCGAATTCGCCCCGCCGGCCGCTTCAAGCTCGTCGGTCCCGCACGCAAATCACACCTTTGAGCTCTACCTCGACTACTGCTGTCCCTTCTCTGCAAAGATTTTCAAAACTCTCACCACGCAGGTTTTCCCAGTCATTCGCGACAACTCCGTCTGGGCCAACAGCCTCGCCGTCGTCTTCCGCCAGCAGGTGCAGCCATGGCACCCCTCTTCGACGCTGATGCACGAGACTGGCCTCGCGGTGCTGCGTCTGGCCCCCGACAAGTTCTGGGCGTTTAGTACCGAGCTATTCGCAGTGCAGACCGAGTTCTACGACATCAGTGTCGTCAACGAGACTCGGAACCAGACTTACCGTCGCCTGGCCAAGGTCGCCGCCAAGGTTGGTGTCAGTGAGGATGAGGTCTACAAGCTGTTGGCCATTCCCGAGAAAGCCGGCGAGGACGGATCGCTGAACAGTGGCAATGCCGTGACCAACGACTTGAAGGTTGTCACCAAGATGAACCGCCTGATTGGCGTCCACGTTACTCCTACAGTGGTTTTTGATGGAGTGGTTCAGGATACGAGCTCTGGGTGGACGCTGGACCAGTGGAAGGAGTTTTTCACCAAGAACATTGGTTAAAAATGGAGGAAAGCAAGGCGAGATTCACATCAAGATAGTGTTTTATTTAAAATAAAATGAAAGGCTCTTTGATTTGATAAAAAAAAAAATATCAGAAAGAAAGTGACTTATGAATTATAAACATGAGATGGTAGCGATCGAGCTCTTTCTCTAGTGGCAGCTCTTTTATCGTTATCGCGGGGTGGACCAATCCGGTCCTCCAACTAGCCTGACAAAACCGCCGTTCAACTACATGTCAGCCACAGCTTAATCGAGCGCTTGATTCCAACAAGAGGCTCACAGCCCAGCATGTTTTCACTAAGATTATGTAGTAAAAAACCATTCGCCTCACTCACCAGCCTCTCGTCGCCATCTGGCCTCATCAATCGGCAAAATCTCATCCGAGCTCGCCACCTACAGCCCATTGAAAGCAAATGTCTCTTCCGGCGATGCTACGCCCAACTACCCAAAAAGCCCATCTCAAAACCGAATCTCTCAGCAGTTGAACAGGCCAAGCAGCAGGCAAAAGTCGCCGCTGCTAATGTTGGGTCTAAGCACTACGGTAACGGCCAAATCGAGTGTTTTGTATCATGAGATGCGTGCTAATGATGACGAGTGTAGATATTGCTGAGAGACTGCTCATCTATCATGCGGGTACGGGGAGGATAACGTTTCTGGCCATGGTCAAGGTGACGACGTTGTTTCTCGGAGCGTTTTTTACGTTTGTTGTTGTTCCAGGATATATCAAGGCCGAGAAGCCAGAGTGGGAGACTGTAGGAGGTGAGTTGCTGTGATTTTGAGCGTGTGTGGTCTGTCTCAAAAGCTGAGACTTTATATTCCACACACCAACCTTGCTTGCTTATGCGGAAGAGGTTCATTTGTGTATTCCACGCCTCATAATTCATCTTTCCATATGCTACTATTCTGAGCCAATCTGTAACACAGCTAACCCTTGCTCTAGTTGCTCTTTGCGGCCTCATCCCTCTCATCTTCGTCGCATACACCACATCTCCCTTTGTCACTCACATTTACATCCACCTCCCTCCAGCCGCACGCACCAGCCGCCCCGTCCTCGAGCGCTTCATCCACAGCGCTCTGCCCCCCTCGACGGAGCTTACCCTCACGACCATGAGCGCCATCGCAAAGCCTCGCTACAGCACCATGCAAGCGGGCCACCTGCGTCCATCGAACCGGCGGTTTGGCATTGTAAACTACGTGCGAGACGCCGAGGACGCAATGGCGGAGAATGAGACGAGGAAATGGTACAACTTGCGGGCCATGAGCAAGTTTGGCGTGCAGGAGGTGAGGCCGCAGAAGAAGAAGGTCAAGGGAAAGAAGAGCAAAGATTTGACCGAGGCGTGGATCTGGGATGCGTTGAAGGATAAGATTGAGAAGAGGGCGGTTGTGGACTCTGGCAAGGCGGCGTAAGAGTCATATGAGCGCCATTGTGAAACTATATTGTACATTAATGGGTAGATTCAAGCCATGAATGAAGTACCCTTTACGCAACGACAGATTCCAGATTCCATTTCATAATACCTTGTCTCAAATCCCGTCTTTCAAAGCCTACATGACTTCCTGTTTCCAGTCGTCGTCTATCAGATACCACTAAATGCCTACTATATCATATAGATTGATATCCCAACGCCATCTCAGCTATCCACCCAAAATCCATCAAAAGCCAAACGCTAGAAACAAACAAGTAACATGTCCGTGGTCCCCCATCAACGGGATGTCACCCGAGCCGCATAAAACGTCTACTCCATTCCACTGCGCGGCACGATCAATGCCTTTGGGGTTTATTCTTAGTTGGCAGTAGCAGTGCTAAGCTATTTAGTGTCTTCGTAGTAGAACCTGGGGAAATTCCGATTTCGATCTGCACTGATCTTGCATTGGGCGAGGCCTATCGCTCAAGTACGATTTGAATGGAGTTGTGAATGCTCTAGCTTGAAAAGACGAGGCTATATATAGCCTTGAACTATCTATAGTTGGAGAGATTTACCATAAAAGGACAGTCCCTATGACTTTGCTCAGAGACAAATTCTCCGTTCAATGTTTTCTCTGTCTCTCTCCTCTTTGTTGCTAGTTGCTATTCTTCTCTAATGCCCCGCCAAGACTCCCTCACCTCTTCACCTTATTCTGGAGCATTTCCCGTTTCCAGGACCGAGCCTCACCTGAGTCTGAGTCACCCGATGCAACCCTAAACCAACAACAGATGGGACAGCTATCCAACAGTACTTGGTAGTACCAGCAGTACGTAGACACTTTGTCGAGACGGATAAAAAAGCGAAGAAAATTAAAAACCATCGCAGCCCCGACCCCTTCATCACACCATCCCGGCCCAAGTATTTTCCCCTTGCCTTGCCCCCCCTGTCACTCTCCACGTCTTCTTTTTCTCTCTCACACATTCACATGTCAAAAAATCTTTTTTTGTTTTCTCTTTTCTATTTCTATTCCTGTCCCTAGTTCCTATAGCCCAAGCCACACACACCCAACAAGCCTCGGCATTTCGCGGCGTACACCCCCTCCTCTCTCGCTTCCCCCAAAATTATCGCCCTTTATTACCTGTACTTGTACTCTCACACACACACACTGTGGCGATGCAGCCCCCAATCCTCATCGTGCCTTTATTAATTGGCCCGCCCTAAATTCTTCGTTGGCGTTTTATCACGCATATGCATGCACATACCGTACATACATGAGCTCCTCCAAATGTATGCAAGCAGCCGCAGTAGTTTTGAAAGGAACAAGTACGGAGTAACATCTTGTTTGCCCAAAACAGAACCAACCGCGCCATCCATGGGAACATTTCAGTTCCCACACGTACATGGCATGAAAGGCGCAGTATATCACACCGCATACATACTTCATATACGCGGTAGTAGTAATTGCATTAGTATTATAATAAGCCGCAGATGAAAAAAAAAAAAAAAAAAAAAAAAAAAAAAAAAAAAAAAAAAACACAAATACTACGACAAATAAATTATAAACGATGGCACCAATGCCAGATCCGCCCACACCTCCTTTACTAGTGGTATCTGCTGTTTAGAATCCACATCGAATATCAAAAGTCCATGCAGGAGTAGAGACATGACAAAAAAGTCAGTTATTGTTTACATATAGCCTAATGTAGCCCAGTTGGCCCCGAACGTCAAAGCATCCGGTGCAAGTGACTTGCCTGAGCATTCATCTACATCAAAGAGGGTTCAACTAGAATGGTATTGGTACATGCTAAATACGTTGACAGTTCCAATGAGGTACAAGTCTTTCTTCAAGTATCTAAACAAGAAGAGACCCAAAAAGAGATCAAGAACACATGTATTCTTACGTACATGCGTTCACACATACACAATATAGGACGTAAGCTTATAGCAATATGGGAAAGCATTTTACCTTACCGCCCTTGTTTCCAAATATATCCACAAAACGAAAAAACCCAAGTCCCAACAAACAGCTCCTCAAAGGATTCGATACTACCCCATGTATGCATGTGTGCACGTACAATCACATTGGAACATTGTCTCTAAACCAAACACACACCATTTCGGAACCCGCCAGCGCAGCGCTCCGGAGATTGTGGGTTCATAAGTTCGGAGCTTGCAGCCTATCAACAAGGCAATGAGTTGGCAAAGACAAATATTTGTGGTGGAAAATTACATACAGACTTTGTTGCTAATAAAAACGGCGATTATTAGGAAGAATAGATGCCATCTTCATTTTAGGATTAAAGCCGAGGCTTCTGTTTATTAGTTTAAGACGGCTATTCTATAAATTCGATGCCTCTGGAAGAGACATTGAGCCTGATTATATAGCAGCCGCTTCATTTCTTTTAATCGCAGTGCTATTTCAACTGGACTTGTTATGGGAGGGCGCTCATGGACAGCCCGGCATTATAATCCCGTACAACTTACGAGTATTTGAACTCTTAGCCTTTGCATCTCTATATATTTAGCTTGAATGTACGGAATCGGCACAACACCAATTCCAGCGTTCTCATGGGAAGTCTACAACAAGCCTATATAAGCAGTTCATCTTCTACAAGCTTATTCAACAGCGCTTTTCAGCAGCAATCATAGGATTTATCTCTGATACGTATCTACTTCTTTTACTATAGTGCAAGTTCAGGCTAAACTCACTACTCAAAGCCAAGTAGCATAGCAGTAGGTATTTTACCCATTCAAACTCCATACGAAGCCCAACAGTCCCCCTTATCTTCGTACTTGAACTAAACAACTTCAGCACACTCAAAAACATTTATACCAGATTACATTGCTCCGTATCTCCCCAGCATGCCGTCCAAGCTAAAAAACACAGAAACACAGCCATCGTGGAGAAGATGAAAAAGTTCCCCAGACCGGGTTCCAAAAAAAGCGTTGTTTAGCGCTGCCCACTTTATGTACACGAGTACACCCAACTTATCAATCTCCGATGGGTCCCTTTCGTCTCGTTCCCCCTCTCAGAAAAGATGCGTCTCAGGGAGGATACGTATTGACCTGCACTAATCACGTTGTTTCTAGTCATTGATTTGCAGGTTTTTACGAGTAAAAACGTCTTGCATATATTACTACTCATCACATCTTTTTTCGTCTGAACCAACCGGATCTCAAGGCTGAGCTCTTTGCCCACACACCCCTTCCCCTGGCCATCTCGCTATATTACAAGCAGGCTAGTATTATTAGATATTCTTCATCTGCCTTCTAGACTTCATCCCGTCGCCTAGCTCCAATCACCAGTAACAGGTCACTATCCCATCTGTTTCAGCTCCCATCCCATCAACCAGGGGTATCTACAAAAGTGCAAAGCCACAACAAACAGCAATAAGCACACCTCCATCTTTACGAAACAGCTTCTCATCACCCACTATATCAGCGGCACATCGCGTGGCAATCCCAGCATCCGCATCTGTAGATAACACAGACGAGGGTCCTGTATTTTCGGGGGGTTCTACATCCGCCCGCCCGCCTGCCCGCCCGCTCGCTCGTTTCTTTTTTCGTCTTAATTAACCAACCAACCCCCTCTCAAGTTTTTCTCGGCATTATTTCGTTGCAAATTCCTCTTTCAGCCCAAGCGGAAAAAAAGGATCATCCCCACAACAAAACTTGGCCCTACGGTACATGTCCCTACAAGAGGTATGTTATAAGTCTGCTAGTAGTACTAAATCTGGGTCTGCGGATTTCTTGCCGTCTGCACGGGAACTGTCCCAGTATTAAGAGGCAACAGTACTGTAGCAGTTCTACTAGTAACACTCCTACATGTCTATTGACATGGATTCACCTCGTCACAATGTGCCATGCCGCACTACACTGGGCCCTGAAACTCCTTCATCCTGATATCATAACATAGTACCTAGGTATCCAAAGTCCAAACAAAAATTCAAGTCATTCAAAACTCATTCGTCCCAGGGTCCACTCCTTGTGTAAAGAGCACCCTCCATTATCTCATACATGATACTGTAACCAAACAGTTGCTTTGCCTTTTGCCTTGCCATCTGCTCGTAACCGAAAAAAGAGACTTGACTACCTTGAACATCGCCCATAACACCAGTGATATACGTACTACATGCAAAGCTAAGTGATATCCCGCATTTCTTTCCCATACCAGCCAGGACTCCGACATTTTGACGATGCATCGGGAAGCAAAAAGTTTGAGAAGAGGTATCGAATCGACCTGCAACGCCACCAATTCTGTCCATCATAGATTCATTAAGGCCCTCCGCCAGCGCAAGCCCGCAGGGCATAGCTGGTTATCAAATATCGCTTTTGTTTTGCCGGAGCGCCGCCACTCTGATTTTATATATCCACCCGTCCACACCTCGTTGCACCTCCCTAATCGTGATGAAAATCACATCCAAATTGTAAAAAACAATAAAAAAAAAAGAAGAACCATTCAACTGAGCAAAATAGTGAAAAAGGTAGTGAGAAGAGATAAATCAGTAACAAGGGTGAGAAAATTAGCCCAATAGCTCTCATTTTCCACCGGTATAGAGTAAACGTCTTTGAAAAAAAAAAACCAATAAATCATGGGGGAAACAAACTATACGCGGCCGTAAGAGGAAAGAGAGAAGAAGGAATTAATAGTAATTGTATCGTATGGAACTGTGTGTCGCCGGATTTCGATTAAAGCGAAAGCTGAGGAACGGACCCAGTAACCAATGAGCCCTCGGCTGCAGCGTCCGAGTCCAAAGTCATCGTGGCTGGAGTCGATTTCGGAATCAAGAGAGTAGGGAGTTAGGAAGCCAAAGACCAGCCAGGCTCCTTTCGACGAATAATTTCCGCTAGCGGCGCTTCATAGCTGGAGTGACTCCGTCGTAGTCCCATGAGCGCTTGAGGCCGCCTTCGTATACGTTGGCTACAGATTCCTGCCACATAGCGGGCGTGACGAAGTTCGGCACAGGCGCAGCCGCATATTGTTGTGGGGAGATGCTGTGTTGTGAGCCGGGCGGCAACGAGGAGTTTACAGCCTGAATATCATCAAGTGAAGGAATCTCGGGTGCACCTGAGGACGAAGCAATGTTCAGAGAGCTGGCCGGGGAAACAGGATTGGGCTCTGTATGAGCAGGCGTACCAAATGTGGTGTTCCATTGTCTGAATGCAGTGTTAGTCCATCGATCCGAGCATTTATAGATAAAAAAAAAAGCCAGGTATTCATCCCAAAAACAAGGAAAAGCAAGAGAGAAAAGTGTAATCCAGTTTTCCAAGCATAATATACCAAATAAAAGAGACAAGAAAAAACAGAACTCCGATTGACGCTGGGTAGCGAACTTACTCAAAAATCTTTGCAGGATTCCAAGCTGGCTGCTCCGGCATGGTCATGTTTGGTGGCATGCCGGGGCCAACCGTTTGTGGCATCATAACAAGTGACTGTGCAGATGGGGAGTCACTCTTACTGTCCAGACCGCCGGTAGATATTGGAGGTGATATGGGATGGCTTATATAACTGACTGTTTGGGTGCCGCTCGTATCCAGAACTTGTTCCATAGAACCGGCGCGCTCCATGCCGCGGAACGCTGGGGGGCTGGCACTATGAGACGGATGGGGGCTTCCGTATGGGAAAGATGGCTTGAGAACAAAAGGCTTCCTAATGTCAGCGGAAAAGGCCTCCCGGACGGCGTCGATCTGTCTTCGCAATTCCGGCATGGGCCACGCCTCCATCACCGTTTCCATAATCCGCATGTGGCGGGCAAAGAATTCTCGTGCGTCCGTGTGAAGATCGGGATCTGGAGAGACAATCGCTACCTATTTCAAACAGTCAACTTTCTGAAACAAAAAAAGATAATTGTTGTTTCCTGCGCATAGTATAAAAGTAAGGGGGATCAAGAAAACTAGCGCGGCTTACTAGATGAAGCACAATGCATGAAAGTCCAGCATAGACAGCCAAGCTAAAACCGCGCTGCATGCACTGTAACCCCATGACTCCGAATGAGTTGATGACGGCCTCTTGCAGGCGGCAGAGAGCTCGGGCGGAATTGTAGCAAATCATCATGTGGTGTTTCCATTGCGCCTCCTGGGTCGTTGGATCGAAAAACGATAACTGGGGCCGGTGGAACAAGATCAGAGTCAGATAGTAATATGAGTGAATGTTGCCGAGGAATGGCGATGGCAGCCAGGGCGCCGAGCCGTCCGGTGGAAATGTGACACTCAGATCAGCGGGAATCTCTGCTAAGAACTGGCTAAAAGCATGGTCCATTTGCTGGAATTCGGGATCGATTCCCCAGTCTTTTCTGTTCTTTAAGCGCACATAGATGCTAGTGATCTTTGCAATATTTCGCACATTGCGGGCAAAGTAGGTGAAGTTGCGCGAGATGAGATATTCGGCGTCGTCCCCGCCAGGAATGGGCTTCGGCACGTTGAAATCTACAGACTCAATGTCCACAGCCATGTTATATCGACCTGGAATGACATGGTGAGCGCCGCGTTCATGACATTGTATCAGGGTTGCTTACCTTGAGGACCTCCCACCATGACCTCGCAAATAAAGACTGTCTGCCAGATCCGCGTTCGCAGCTGACATTCAGTGGGATTGCTTGCATATTCGCAAGGCCGGCCGGCTTTGTGCTCCTCATAATGCTCCTCAAGCCCAAGATCCTTGGCCATCTGAACGCACTGCACAACGGTCATCCATGAGCGGTAGTAGTAGCCTCTCTTCGGCGCGGCCTCCCGAGCCTTGAGAATCATCAGTAGCGCTTGAAGGGTGCTAAGTCGGGGAACATCCATAAAAGCATCGGCATGTCCTGGGCTGGTGTTAGTACCGGTAGAAGTTCGATCAAGAAATGCAGCACGTACTTGATGCTAGCGCCAACCACTGTTGGCCCTGCGCTGGCTCATCTGCCAGTCGTCCTCCAATGGCAAACAGAGCCTCAAGGATTAGCGGGGAGATTGAATCCCTAGCAGTAGCCCATTGGCGGTAGAACATTGACCGGTTCAACACGGGAACATAGGGATGGACGTGGGTAAAGTAAAGGTCGAAATAGTGAATCGCATTTCCGTCATCCGGCATCAGTTCGGGCGGGATGCGAATCCTATGGCCGGCGCCGATTGAGATGGGAGGTAGATTGCCGTAGCCATCATCTTCCTCAACGGCCGGATCCTCATGTCTAAAGGACGACTTATTTCTCAGGTAGGGTGCTATCACGGTGTTAGTCAGCAATTTGAAAATTACAATCTGCAGGTTTGAGACATGATCATACCGGTTCCAATCTCACTCATCTTGAGGCCACCTAGGAGATCTGCTAGATCTTGCCCCTGATAGGAATCAGAATATGCCCCCGGTGAAGAACCCGGCTGCGACGACTGCTGTAATGTAGGCGGCGTTGGGAATGCATCCTGAGGCGCGACCTGTTGGTCCATCAGGGCCATTGGCGGGGCAACTGAGGTGTAGTGAATATCGTGCTGAGACTGCGAGGCGTTATAAGGCAGGGTTTGGAAGGAAGCCGAGGCTGCGTCAGGGTAGCCGGCCTGCGGCGCGTAGACGTCGGACTCTGGCTTCAGGGAAGCTTGACCCTGTGCATGCGGTGGCATCGCCATCTGCTGGAATTGGTTTCCGGAAGGGACAAAAGTCTCGTATGTCGTCGAATCAGCGGCGCCATCGTAGCCATTTGGGCGAACGCAGTGAAGTTTAAGTCGGATGCAGGCAGAACAAGGCCAGGTATTTGTGGTGGCCGCATCACATTTGATCTTTCGGCGTCGACAGCCTTCGCAAGCTCTCATCACTGCGAGGAGACGGTCAGTCAAGTCGATGCGACCACGGTGATGCTATACCGCAAGACATGATCGAATATTACCTTTGAGCCGCTTGTGGCGATTGTGCTCGTCAACAAAGACATAGTCTAATTGGCGTGTTAGTTTGCGCTTCCGACCAAATCATTCGCCATCTTGTGGTTGATTGTGACTGGGCCGGCTCATCTCACTCTTCTGGGTTTCCCTCTGGGGGTATTGCTGAGGCGCAAACGTATAGCTGTTCATGCCCATGGCCTGGGCGCTCTGGGACTCCTGCGGCAAGATGCGCCGCACAGAAGGGTCGGTGGAAGACATGGCAGAGAAATGTGCGCTCCAAAGAATCGTATGTCAAGGCGAGCGTTCGAATCGGTCGAATGTTCAGTCGACGGAGGTCTAGCAGTGTCGGGATCGTGACCTCATGGGACGTTGGCCCTCAAAGTGGCGACCCCCGGCGCCTCGGTATGTTGTCGCGGCAAGGTGCACTGCACAGCGCCCGCAAGATGCAACGTCGAAAGGCCGACAAGGACGCTCAGAATTCGGAAGCAACGGCGAAGTCGTGTCGGCGAGCAGACGGCGGACCAGACCAAACCAGATTACGATCAAATTCAGCTCTTGGGTCGCAGCTGGAGGCGGCAGTTTTGTAGGCTTTGGTGTATAGCAAAGTCGACTTTGTGATGGATCCAGGCTGGCAGCAGAAGTACAGCCAGAGGGGCAGGGCGTTTTAGCGGCAGGAAGCGGACTTTTTGGGGTTGGAGCCAGGAAACCCAGTTGGCTGCGCTGCGCTGGACAAGGGCAGGCGACGTGGGTGGTACTAAATGGGAGGAGGGGTTCGCCAAAGGAGGGGGCGTGCAGCAAGTGCAAGTTGAGAGAGCAAGGAGACAGGGGCAAGGGGCTTTGGTTTGGTTTGGTTTGGTTTGGCTTGACTGCGGTGGGCTTGACTCCTGGCGGCGGTTTGCTCGAAGCTGCGTGGACGAGGACTGGAGACTGGTTTCCAGGGAGGCACCGGGGCCCAGACTTTGGGTTCTGGCGGGCGAGGTACGGCCTGCTGCTAGAGAGCGCTGGCGCTGACTGGGTGGGCGGCACTGGGCGGCTTTGGGGCTAGCTGCGAGCCTTTAGTGCCCGCGCCTGCTGCAGTACAGTGTAGCTGTGCCGGCCCAGCGGTACCTGCTCTGGAGTGCCACAGGCCTCTGCGCCGCGCTACCAGGCCGTGTGCTGCTAGCGACAAGTACCGCAACCTTGGGCGCACGCGACAGGTGGGCTGGCGACGCCCCCGGCTCGTTGTACCGCTACCTGCGCGAGCTGCGTTAAGCTTGGGAAGGATTTTTTGCCTCCATGTCTGTTTGGTCTCATCCATGCCTGCCAGCTGAACCCGCATCAGCCACTGGGGGGAAACGCGGATTTGACGGATCCGAAGGTCGAGACGGAAACCCGAAATGGCGGACGAGTAAGTCGTGGCTAGACACACGCCTCGAGACGAATAATATCATTTGTGAGATCAGTTAATCAACCAACGCACACTGCCGGTGGGAGGATCTTTTTTTTTTTTTTTTTTTTTTTCTTGGTGTCCTGCAGGTTCCTTGACAAATTTATTCGACGTACGAGTATGCACAATCGTATTACCAACGACTTGCAGTCGAGTCAGGGGGGGCAAATGCTGCTCAGCCAGTAGGTGGTGATAATGGCCGTGCTCCCAGCTGCTGGTGTTGCGCCATCTAGGGGGCAGATGCCAGCCAAGCCAATTCACTGGCTACAAAATTGCAGGCAGGTGTTTGGGGCGACAACCCTTGGATGACCCGCGACCATGACATGATGAAGCTTTATACGCATCTTGGCGCTTTGCAAACGTTCAATGGCTCGCCGCAGCTCGATCTCACGGTTCGCGTGTTCTCCCCTCTGTTCGCCACCAGTGAGCCGATCAGCCGTGTCACTTTTCTGGAACCGTCGAGCATGACGCACAACTAACAGGAACAGAGGCTGACTGCCATGCCAAAGACAAAAAGCATATGTCCACCGCTAGTAAGCAACATCGGCGAAATGATTACCACTAAGTATCTCATACATTGAATTCTACCTGCTCCTAGTAGCAGGTCCCTCGCCAAACGGTAGCATTCGCATCAGAGTCCAGCTATCTAGGCCCGACTATGTATGTATGCTCGTGTTTTCGCATTGCAACGCACTTTGGATGCCAAGGACGATCGCTCGTAGAGTGGATCGATGGCCATTATAAGGTGAGCACTTATTTTCCAAGCTGAGTTCCTCAGGAGTAGCTTGCTTGCTTGCTGGCTTTCAACGTCCTCCGCATGCTCCGGATGGAACGCATGTCGCAATGTTCTGATTCTCCACAGCTGCGTAAGGCTGGTGCTAGGGGCACCCGTCAAAGGCGCATAAAGTGTCTGGGACTTGCATGGCAATCGGCCGTTGAACAGCTCGTGGTTCCTGGTGGCAGCCCCCAAGATTCAAACAAGTAGGTACATGTCCGTAGCGCGCGTCCGAACGCTTGGGGCAGGCGGCAGCTCGTGGCTATGTAGGTATCGATGTCAAGCGTCATGCACGTGGAGCTCTATCTACTTGTACGTTCATGTATGCCCTATCTCAGCCATCGAATACGAGTCTGCTGCTGCGCCTCTAGTGCATGTGTGAAGCCATGCAATCCTTGGAGTGAATATTCGTCTTGGTATACCGCAGAAGTTATTGGCATGTGAACTGCCAATCAACCCAACGGTCTCCAAAGCATGCCTCTCGCAAGTAGGGGTCTAAAGAAAAGGAGAGAGGAACCAAGGACGGGCAAGGAGCCCTGCTGCAATAGCCGAGCTGCGTATTGCTGCTTTATTCTACAGGCAGTATGTAGGAGAAGTGCCTAGTAGGAACAACAAACCCCTAGGCCTCGAGAATGCTGAAGATGCTCGACCACATGCCTCGAGAGCTTCTCACCCATGTTCCTGAAATGCATATCATGCCCCGTTTCAACATATAGATCTCGAAAAAGCCTAAACGTTGTTAGTTTAAACGGCACTGTTACAAGGGCATTCTTGCTGCAAACAGCTGCCAGTATTGTAGAGATGCACGTGCAAAACGAGATGCCATCTTGAAATGGCATTACAGAAGGCGCCCTAGTACAGACAGGGAAACATACAACAACCCAATGGACGTTGGCAGTAGCTTTTGCGGGCATCAGCTTCCTTTCCAGGCCCTGTGCGTCTCTATCAGGTTTATGCACGAGGTGCCTGTCTGCAGCATGACAAGGTGAAGCGATTGGCTGGGCATGTTGAACCACAGGGAATGCCCAAGGTTCCCTGCTTCAGCACATGCTCGTGGGCAAGCATCTGGCAGGTACGTACCGCCTGACTAAGCCAGCTTCTTCGCACTCGCACTCTACACCAGACAGACATTGACTTCCATTCCTTCAGCCCCTCAACTCCTCGTGGCAGGTCTGCTCTAACCGCACTTTGGGCTCAAGTAGCGTATTGGACGGAGTGCGACGAACCGCTAAGTGCACTAGCCAGCCCAGCCCAACTGGATTTCCCCGCCGCGCTTGGATCTGTAGAAGCTTCTACTGCCCAGCAGCGTGTCTGATGCGTCCTAGCACCGCCGCAAGAGGGAAGAGTGGCTGCTGCAGCATGTGCTCCTATTGCATCTGCCGAACGCTGCTTTGGTACTTGGTGTCTGGTGCGTGCAGTAGTGCTCGTGCAAGTACCACGCTGTGCTGCCATGCTGCGCGCGCACCAGCAGCCGTGTCAACGAGAGAGCTGTCACTCCCCCTAACCGAGAGGGCCAGTCTGATGCCGCTAGCACGAGCAATCAGCGCTCTAGGGCGCATCTGGACTAGCCGCGTCTGGGTTGCATGCCACTGGAGCTCGACTCTTGGAAACGCTGTCTTGACGCACAGGGCTAGCCCTGCCCTTAACCGCGCGCGCCATCGACAACGAGCAAAGGAACCTGTTGCGTGGTCGTAGGCGTACAAGTCGAGTCATCTGCAGTTGCAGTCAAGACGTTTGTGTGTCGATATTGTTGAATAGTTACAAAGCCAGTTGGACGCCGTCCAAAGATGGCATTGACAGAGATGCGAGGAATGCGAGCACTTAAACTGGGATAAAATAGGCTACCTGCTGAGTACCTAGCGATGCTACCGCTCAGCAGTGCTCACCGCATGTACCTGGTCCGTAACCCTCCGTGATCTTCGGCAGCGGCCGGCTCGGTCTAGATGACGGGGGTGCCAAGAGCGAGAGACGGAAAGTTCCGTCTCTCAGCTTTGACCACCTGCGCACAGCGAAACCGCCGCCAGCACTCGCTGATGGTACGTGACACCGACTGATACGCAGGATGCAACAGGCTCTGGGAGCTGAACAAGCGACGGACAAACAAACGGACAAAAGCCTATTAGCTGGCTTTCATTTTGCTTCTAGGCCTCCAAGGCCAAGCCATCTAGTGGCAAATATCTAATTCTTACTACTTGTACGACGAGCATTTGCAAATTGTTGCCTCTATATCGACAGCCTCGTCTGTTGGTTGGTTACCTGTTGGTTCATACTTTCAACCTACGCCACACTCCGGAGTCTCCCTCGCTGACTTGTGATTAGGCGGAGTTTAGATCTGACGATTTGTGGCGGATAAACGGTATCATTTCTCAAAAGTAATCATACCAGACCTGTAACACTTCCCCCATAGGTTGAATTATCTCCGCGGATATTTCTAGGCATTCGCTTCTTCCTGCAATCCCTTAACTCCGCATCTACGTCAGGGAGCAATAGCGAAATAGCGAGCAAAGAGAGACAGTAAAGGGCAGCAAGCAAAAGCGACTGTAACAATGCCAGAAAAGTGCAAGTCAATGCTCAAAATGGCACCGATCAGTATGCATGGATCTGCTATCAACAGCTCCAGGTGCTACTTTGAGACGCAGCATTGACCAACAGCGCAGGGAAGCAGTTCCAATTGGCTTGTTGGAAGTGAATGATGATTTCATGGGATCCTCCTCCAATCAAGGGACGCTGCCAATAGAGAAGAGATTCAAGCAATCATTGTCTGCATTTGGCACCCAATTAAGAACTTGGCAGGCAGCGAGTTGCGGGACTTGGGTCCCCATTAATATGGGTACTGCAAGATTCGTGCGTACGATATTCGGTCCTTTGATCCCGTATATAATGAGACAAGAGGCTTTAGTTGTAAATCACCAACGTGCTCATTTATTGCCAGGGATACATGCCGCTGAGGAGCATCTTGTGCAATGATATACGTATTTTTATTATGCTGAGCCAAGATGAAAGTGAAGAGAAGCAAAACTAGGTAGGTAGCTATTCCAGCTCACTAGAGGACCATCCGGCCTAGAAGCACCATGGAACTAAATAAACATGATCAAATGTATAAATAGAGTGAATGGACGGATAAAGACAAATTCCTGAGGCACACTGGGGGATATCTGAGATGAATTACGGAGTACGAGCCCCACCTATCCTTCCTTCCAACATCCCTTGCAGGCCGGCTTGCTCGTCGACTGGAGTTGGCGATCCTGCGACAACGACTAGCGCAGCGCCTTTTTGCAGAGCTGCAGATCAGCCTTTCGACTGCCATCCCCCATCCCGCAGCAACGAATGAAGACCATTGACCAATTCCGGCCATTGCAAAGAGGGCTTCGGCACTTGCGCAGCGGGTGGTGGGAGGAGGGAGGAGGGTGGCGGTTGCTAGCGAGTCGCTGCTGCACGGCATCGTCTTGTACATGCCTACCTACGAAATGCAATGCAACGGCTTATATCCCGTACTCCGCGATCCTACACTTACAGTACTTGAATATCTAGCTGCCTACGGCATCCTTTTCGATGCAATCCCATCAAATAGGTGCTGTACTGTTACCAATACTAATACATATTGCCAAAGCAGTAAGGAGGTGCCTATCCTCTTACATCCTTCCATGTCACTGCTTGAGTCGTGCTACAGTTGGTGCGCCCTTGAATATTGCTCAAGAGCCAATCATTCGCATATCACACTCTGCGTCCCACTGTTGGTAGATGGCACATCGAACTGCCGTGCCCGCTGCATTTAGATATTACTGATAGCGATGGCGCTCTACACGTTTGCAAGCAAATAATTCTTCCGTCTCACGGTACTAAATTAGCATGCCCAGGCACTGCAATTTACTGCAATTTATTCTGGGGATCCAAGGCCACCCTTCTAGCGTGCACAGAGCTTCTAGAATGATTTTGCTGGGGACGTGCCGAGGCTCGCAATGACGGACAGGGTTACATGTCTGCAACGGACGAGTCAAGAACCAAGACCCCTCAAGCTCGCAATTGATTCAATGGAACGTCAGCACCCAGTCGCAACCTCTGTGCTGTATAGCATGTACCTACAACACACATATATGCTGTAAGGCCTCGTTGTTCTCCGACTCGCCTAAATGATTCGGCGAATGCAACTCTGGTTTACAAAGATATTCTCCTCCTTTTCCTGTCTTTTTTTTTTTCAAGCTTTGGATGGCCAATCATGCTGGATTAGATTATCAGTCCATGCAAAGTCCGCCTTTTCGGCCGTACTTTTTAGCATCAACCTTAGCTGCCAGCCGATCGCGTCATCGCGGGCACAAAGTTCTGCTTGCCCATCAAAGTCTTGTCGCACCGCCACGACTAAGACATACCAAATGCCATGCGCAGCACTAAGCCGCCACAGCATTAAAAGGGTTCATCTCGCTTTTTATTGTTGCTGAAAGTACCTAATCTACGTATGGACATGGTAATATGGTGTTAAATACATCGTAGTGTACACCCAGACTTGCGCGTGGCGGCTAGGGACTGGGGGGGTTCAGCATTGTCCAAGTATCGTCGTATTTAGGAGCATTCCAAACCTCCCAGCCCTACTGATAGAGAGGGGGGCGAAAAAAAGGGGGGGTGTGGGAGTTCAAGGGTGTGCAGCAATTTTGCATGGCTTGCACGGTGTGCTGTAGGCACCAGACAAGGCAGAGGCAGAGAAAACAAGGCCAGAGATGCAAGGCTCGGTGACCAAAGCAGAGGCGAATAGCACCGAAAATGCGACGTTTGTGGTTATCACAGTCGCAGGCGAGGGTAGTGCGTGGCTCAAACCCGGATCGTTTTATCGCCTGAGCGTTCCGTGCCATGCCGCTCCAGCACCAGAGCCGCTTTTACGATTGCGGAATACGACGTCGATGCTACCGTTGCTCCTCTTGCTCTCGCTTTTTGTCGTTCTCGCCTCCATGGGCATATACAGAAGAGGAGCCCGGCCTTTTCTACTTCGCGACAGAGATACAAAGATCCCCTGCAGTAGTACCACCCAGATCCAGCGTCAAGCGCGCTTGTGCGTGCTTTGTATCCAAGCATGCGTGATGTGGTGTTCTGTATCGGTACATGGCACTAAGGCAGCCTCTTAGTGCACTGCAACGCGCGAGACAACCTCCAGCCAACATGCAATGCAGCCTGCAGCATGCAGCATGCACTTGCACTCTGCGAGCTTTAGCGTCGAGGAGGAGCGCGATGGAGCGTTTCCCCCTTGCTGGCTGAGAAGGATCACGTCGTACAAGTACGGATACAAAGCAGCAGACAATGCCTCCCATGCAGTCCAGCGGCTCTCGCAGGTCCAGAGAGAGCCAGCTCGTTGATCGCTTAGCTGGTGACGGCACCGACTTGCAGGGATCCCTTCGTCAGTGCCGCGTTCTGGACAATGAGCAAAAGGCCACGGCGAGTTCAGCCCGCGACAAGGTGCCACCGCAATCCCTGCCAACTGACTCTCCAAGTCGCATCTCACTTGACTAAAACTAAACATCAAACTGGTTCTGCGCCCAGAGTTGCAGCCCCAGATATTGCACCTCCTTGCAGGTGGCTTTTCGATGGAGTCGTTTGCGTTGCCGTGAACAGGTACAAGTGTAGGCTGTGCACATGAATTTTTCTCTTATATACATCACTCCATTTATCTTGAACAATGTTACACTCTTTCTTTCGACGTGCTCCACCTGGGTACAGTAGCATCAGCTTTTGCCATCTTATCCATAATCAATCACAAGTAAATGCCATTACTCAAGATATCAGTGCATTGATACTAGTAGTAGTACTAACTGGAAGCATCAGGCGGTACAAGTTCAAGGTTCCTACAGCAGCAGTTCTCCTTCCACGCTACGTACCCGCTAGCTCCGACTTTTTGGTGCAGCTTCTGACCGCCTGCCAGCCCGCAAAATCGTAAATCCTATTACTAATGCCCAGAACCTCCGACGAGTTTAGACGCCTCTCGACAATCTCCAACCTTGCCTCCACAAACACCCCCCTCACTCTCGCCAAAAGGCCCTGTCAGTCATCGTCTCTCTAAACTAAACAGTCGGTCGATCGCCCCCGCGTCAGACCCCGAGATTTTTCCTTCAGCACGTTTCTTCTTGTTTGATAGTGACAAACGCCGCTATAAACTATAAACGCAACGCTTCTACACGCCTGCCCTCTAGCCCTCGCAAATACCCAGGTGCTATCAAGCTTCATCCATCAGGCTCCAGACAAGATGGCTGCTGCGGCTCTGGACAATGCCAACCCCATCATTCTGAGCGCCTCGCAGCTCCCAACCCGGCACAGGCGGTCCGCTCCGCGCAAGGGCCCCGACTGCAGATACTCGGACCTGATCCTCTCCAAGCCGTCGTACATGTCTCGGCCCTTTTTGCAAGACGACGATGCCCAGTATCAGCATGATACAGCGGCGGCTGTGGCGTGGTCCCGCTTCGGTTCCGGCGCAGGAGGTGCAGATGACAATCTCTCGGCCGAGGCTATCGACGAGCAGGAGATCTACGGTATGATTGCGACCTCCAAACACATTACACCCTTTTCAAGCTTGGCTCTCCGCCATATCCTTCCTTCGTCCTTCCTCTTCTCCTTCCTAGCTACTTTCTCTTCATCCATGCGCCCAACAGTGGCTGTTCGGCGTTTCAAAGTGAGCCCCGGTGTGGCCTCCCCCTGGCATGCCAGACCCGTTTTGTACATGTCATGCCACTCTCAATGTCTGGGGGATTTGCACTACTGCAGTTGCTTATTTCGTCGAAAAGAGACGGTCACGAGCAAGAGGAATTCACAGAGACAAAATCGGCGGTTGTTTTTCGATTGTTGCGTCTTTGTATACCTAAACCGTTCCATATCGAATTCATTCGGCACCATATCACCCTGGTAACGTTTGACATCAATACTAACCTTCACTTACAGATCTTATTTCCAACATCACGGACCCTGAACACCCTGTTTCCTTGGGCCAGCTATCTGTCATCAATCTTCCCGATATTCACATTACTCCCTCTCCGGCTCTCGGCGTGCCAAGCCCAAACACCATCGTGCAGGTCACTGTTGAACTAACCCCTACCGTCACCCACTGCTCCCTCGCTACCGTGCTTGGACTTGGTGTTAGAGTCCGGCTGGAGCAGGTCCTGCCCCCGAATTACCGCGTTGAAGTTATCTGCAAGGAAAACAGCCATAGCCAGGATGATCAGGTGAACAAGCAGCTTAGCGACAAGGAGCGTGTTGCGGCGGCTCTGGAGAATGACTCGCTAAAGAGCGTCTTGGACAAGATGCTAGAGTCTTGCATAGATAATTAAGTCGCCCAATTTCGGAAAGCCCACCAGCCAAGATTTCTCTACGCCACGCATTGGCTAAAAACGTGGATGCTCGTGCTCGTCTGTACTTGTACCTCAGCTTATCCCCTGCGCTCTTGGCTCGTGACACTACGTCAACAGCCAACACATGGCTTTTAGTTGATATTACCAGGGTCTATAAGCTAAATCTTCACGGAGCCAAAACGTCAGCATCATCCAAGAGGGCAACCGGAAAGCTTTGACCACGTTGAGAGACCCTCCATGCAGCGCGGGTGCAGAGTGTGGTTGAAAATCGCTGCCTAGAAGTAGCAACTCGATATCGTTACGGCTACTGCTACTCTACGGCGCCCGATGGAGTAAGACATCACGCTCGCCAACATTAGCCGTCGCCAAAACGGGAGTTTAACGAATAAACTGCATGCGAGTAAACCTGGAGAGAGCGGAAATGCGCACCCCCACCCCAAAGGCGCTCCTACTTGGAAATGCGATTCTCAATGATTCCATACAATGAATCATGTCGGCTTTTTCTTGTTATTAGCGAGAGTTGATAGAGCTTGGCCAAACTTTTTGAAGCTACCTTGCGTGGTCATGGTGCACAAATTACGCCTCTTTGCTGTTGACTCATCAGGCAGTATAGTAACTGTACTTCTACAGGTACAAGTACACACTACATCAGCTGCTATGATAGAATACCCAGAACGTCACCTCTCTTCTCTTACAGGACGGTACTATGAGTACCAGGGATAGTAATATGGGGGGCCTGGCGCAACTGAGCCTCTTTCAGTAAATGTGGGTTTTTCACCTTGCTTCTGTCTATGGAATAGGGCTTGGACATGTACCGCACGAATTCGGATCCGAAGAATTCTCCGCCGCCGGCAAAGACGAGCAAGTTTTGTATATACCGCGGACGGCAGTTCAATCAGCCCAGATGGTAACCCATTGTAACCTTGGGACTAAAAGTGAGCGATAACGAAGGCGCGCAAGGATCTGGCTAAGATCTGAGGACGACGCCGAAAGCATCGGATCAGCCTGGTAATCTAGAAGCCAGGGCTGCCATTGGCTTACTGCGGCTTATGACTGTGCTTCCGGAGGATTGCTGCTGCTGGGCCTGCGTAAACGAGCGCTTCCTTGCTGGAAACCAGGATCGTGGGATATTTGCCGCAAATCGCCGATTGAATATGCAATCAGGCCGACAACGCGCGTACTTATGATTACTTGAATGTTATGGACTAGTATTGCCTCATCAAAGTTGTCCTCTCCTATACTATCTAAGCAACAGTGAGACGCAATCTTGTCAGTGTTGATCGTAAACTAAACCAGTCAAGCCACTAAGCAGACCCAGGGCTCTGACTTTAAAACCCGACGGGAAGTTCAAGTTGACTCGTCATTTCAAGTCAAGTCATGCCATGTCTTTCCAGCAGCCAGACAGGAAAAAGAAGAGAAACAAGCGTTCCATTTATTGGCGTCAGCATACGAGCCACTTTTGGCCTCGTGAAAATCCTACAAAAGGGGGTCCAACGTACTGCAGGCAATGCTGGAAATGTAAAAAGGAGCTGTTGTTGGCTCTTGTCCTCAGCCTATTGACCCTGCCATGCATTCCTATTCTTGGTCCAACGTTTGCTCTTCTAAATTCGTCCTTCCGGGATGTGCTTCCCTCCCACCTTTGTGCAAATACCATTACTGGAACTAGGTACCACCCCCCCCTTCTTCGAAAGGATTTTAGCGCTGCTGCAATTTGTTCCCTATTCTTGCGCTGCCTGTTCCTTCTTTGGTGTAGCTGCGTTTTATAGTAGCTTTTTTTTTTCTTTTGCGTCAAGGTTATGCGAGTTTATTACGTCGTGGGCTGCTGACTCGCAAATTAATCAGCCCATCTTTTTTTTTTCTTCTTCTTCTCTTCATTGTCTAGGTACAGTATCGAGGAGGTGATGTTACAGTAGGAATAGTAGATGCATATCAGTATCCGTTTTCCCGTCAAAGGAATGTGGGGGAAAAAGAAATGGATCAAGGCTAAGAGAGAAAACAAAGTTGCGTACATATACGAAGCACCTACTTCTTACGAGGGTTGCATACAAGCTTTTCTTTTCGTGGCAGATGGTTCCTCTTTTTTTTTTCTCAGTCTATCGAGAGCTGATCGTCGGCACTTGTCCTATATGCTCCGTAGTCTTTTTCTCTTCTTCTTTCCAAACTCTTTTTAAACCGAATTGAACATGGGGAGTCTTGTTAGTTCCTTAAGGGGGGGTGTATAGACAGGCAAAGACAGACTTGCGATAGTACTGCAGCATGGGCCATTCTTCCACCAATCATGAGCGGGTTAGATTCACAGCCTCACTACAGACGGGAGACATTTGTCTCCAATGGTGCCTTTTTGATGTCTTTATTAAATTGATATCTAGATTTTGCGCTTTGCCAACGTATGTACTACTTTAGGAGCGTTTGCCGCTCAATTCCGTATCTTTTTTGTTTCTTCCTTTGTATTTTTTGTCTCAGCCTTGTTGTTGGCTCCTAGCTCAGCCCCAATCTCCTTACTCAAAATATACAACGACATAGTAGCATAAACAGCGTACATGTATCAAAAAAAACACATGTGGTAGTATTAGTATAGATATGGCCAGCTTAGATGTCGCCGAGCATTCCACTCTCCATCAGGCTTTGATAGAATTCCGGTTCCAAGAATGTCTTGACGCTGACGTCTTCACTTAAACCCTTTCGCCGTCTGGTCTTGAGCACAAAGTCTCTGGCTGTAGCCTGCGCCGCGGCAGGTTGAAGCGGCCTCGTAACCTGGTCTCTATCAAGCGGATCACCGGGTATGATGCTCCAGCTATCGAATACCAAGCTGACCATGGAACCACCCTGAGTCTTGATTCGCAAATCTGTTTCAAAACCAAAACTGTCAATGACAGGAATGAGGCCATTGACACGATAGAGAGGTGTGCCAGCAACAGGGCCATCGGATAGGACGTGGCCTCGGCGCCGTGCAAGCACATTGTAAACCTCCATGTAAGAGTCCTCTGGGCCAGTGACAGAGACGCTGTAAACAGGCTCCATGAGACGCGGAGAGGCCATCAGGAAGGACGAATAGCATGCTCTTCGGGAAGTGGGAATGATTTGGCCACCACCGCGGAAGATGGCCTCGTTGGCTAATACCACATCCGTAACTTTGAATTTGGTATTGCGGATGGCTATAGAAAGATTGTCAGCAAATATTGATCGATTGATACAACTTGGGACTGATGCTGAAAGGGAGTGTTAAACACATACGTTCTTCACAGAGGGGGCCTTCACGAGTAGCCCAACTGAAGCCTTGCCTTATAGATTCTTTGACTGTAGTCAAAAGTTTCTTGTCGACCTGGTACGAGGAAAGCAATCATTAGCAAAACGTTTGAGAACCAAAAAAAAAAAAAAAAAAAAAAAAAAAAATGGTGGCTCTCTGCGGTGGAGATTCCACATCTACTTACTTCGGTAGGTAAAGTATCGTCCTGAAGAATGTTTGGCCCCATCTCATCAGGACCAAAAGCCCAAATACTTCTTGCCGCCAACTTATCCCAGCCATGGTTGTCTTCGAAAAACTTGGCCGTCTTCCGTATCGGATCACGTATTCTCACGGCACCGGTCTCGATGTCGTTAGAAATACCCTTCTCCAGCTGCTCTGCTACCATGGTAATTTTGTTCTTCTTGTTTGGCGTGATGGCGTAACACTTTGTTGCTGAAGTTTCTACTACCGTTTCGCAGAATCTTGTTACTGGATCTGATATTTTGATATCCATATCGGCATACAGCTTCCGTAAATCGTGCAGAACGCAGTCCATGTAAAGCTCTCCGGTTCCCAAGACGACGTGTTCACCAGATTCTTCCACTTTTGTGTTGATAAGGGGGTATGACTTTTGGATTTTGCGGAGGCCGTCAAGCATTTTTGGAAGTTCGGAAGGATTAATGGGCTCTACAGCCACTTTCAGGACAGATTCGGTAAAATGAGTAATGGGTCTGAAGATGAAGGCATCCTCGTCATCTTCCAGCTTGGATGGTACGACTGTCGCGGTCTTAACGATGGAGTTGTCAATGCCTCCCAATAATACCAAGTTACCCGCTGGGACACCGTCCGTAGGGATGTTGTACCTTGTCTCTGCGATGAATACTTCGCCGATGGAGGCTGTCGTCATGTCTTCTTCGTCATCAAGAGAATATCCTTCGCCAAGGACTCTCACAGTTGCGCCCGGTCGAGCAGTGCCGCTCAGAACACGACCGAAAGAGTAGAAGCTTTTCGCATCAGAGGTATTGAAGAGTTTTGAGACATGAACCACCAGGGGCCCATCCTGGTTGCATGTCTGCATCGAAGTTGCCACCTTTGTGTCCAAAGGTCCAGTGTAGTAGCGCTCGAGTAGTCGTTGTGCTCCATCAGCTGGGGAAGGAATGTGCTTGACAACCATGTCGACAAAACCGGTTGAAGGACCAAAGAATTGTTCGCATACCAACTTCAGGATGACATTGGCATCGGCTTTGTACTGTGAGGGCTTCAGTTCGATGCCAAGCGAAGACAGGACTAGTCTCAGCTGTTCCGGGCTGTCGCTAATGGCATGTGTAAAGATTTTGTAGATGGGTTCGAGAACGAAGTGAACAAATGACCTTGCTGATCTGTCTTCTGCCGGTTTGCGAGTGAAGTTTCGCTTCTTTGGGTTGTAATAAACGTCTCCCCACAATCGCCTAGCAAACTCTTCTGCGTTGATATCGCCAAAGGTGTCCGTGTACATCTTGGCAAAAGAGGGCAGTGTGAAGCACCATCCCATATCTGTGCAGGCGAACAGAACATTGCCTTTCTCAGGGCTCAGTCGCTTTGAAGCCGCCTTGGTCGGGACGGTGTTGGCAATGACGGTGTTGACTTCCTCTACAACGTGCTTGAGCTTGAAGTAAGCATCCTTTGGTGGGAGCTTCAACTCCAGAATCAGGCGATCCATCTTGTTGATGATGAGTGTCAAGGGAATATCTTCCAGCACGGCATGCTTGATGATTTGCTCTGTATTTATCTGGACGCCCTCAACCACGTCGACAACCAGACATACACCATCCACTAGCCTAAATGCTGCTGCCACTTCATCTACAAAGTTGACATGGCCAGGGGTATCAACGATGTGAAGCAGATGCGATTTTCCCTTTGTGCTCTGCAGGACGAGGCTCATCGGCGCAGCCTTGATGGAGATTCCTCGCTCTCTCTCCAACACGTGTACGTCGGTGTATCGCAGCGCCTCGTCACGCTTCTTGCCGACTCTTCGATCAAGCCTGTCAGTGATGTCATGAGTCTCCAAGACAAGCATGTCCATGAAGGCAGTTTTTCCGTGATGTAAGTGGCCGGCCAGCGCAATGTTCCTTGTTTGTTCGGGAAAGTTCATTAGATCGGCCATGAACTCGCGGTCGAAAAACACGGGCGGCAAGTCAACCTCTTCGATGTTGAACTTCTTCTGCTCGATCGGCGCAATGATGGGCTGTGTTAAAGGCTGTGCATCCACCTCTTCCACGCGCGTCTCGACTTCGGCACCGTACACCTGCTCAGCGGTGGGGTAGTATTGTTTGTCTTCGTGAAGGATGACGGCATTCGAAGGTCCATCTGCCCAAGGTTCAGTCAGCTTTTTGGTCTCTTCTACCGCTCTCTCTGTAAACCAAACCAAGCTTACCATCAAGCTCCATGAGCTCTTGCCCAGTCACACTGGGTGCCTCCTCTTGCTCGTCATCGTATGCATAGTCAGCCGCCTCATCTCCAGCCTCGGACGCTTCTTCGGACTCGACCTCTTCGCCGACGAAGTTTCCGAACCTAGGATGAGCTTGTTAGGAGCGAATTCATGTTGAGCTGCATGTGCGATGGGGGTAGAAGCTCACTCATCATAGAGGTCATCCATTATGCCGCCAAGATTATCCAAATTACAAGGTCAATGGCGGGCGACAAACTTGAATGCTCAAGACACGGGTATCGTCGCAAGTCGCGTGTACTTGCGATACCGACCGCCTGCCTCGCACTAAAACGGGTCCCCAGCAACTTTTTTGCTGCAAAAGCTTGAAGAGCTTATCACGTGACGATTGCAAGGCTGAGCGAATCTTATCTTATCGCGATCGCGGGTGGAGCCACTTGGGTCGTTTTCGGATTAAAATAATCCCACTTCCGGACCCATCAAGACCTCTGTCCGATATCGTGAGCATCTGGTTCCTGAAAGGCACCAAGGTTAATCGCTGTGGGTCTTGCTTTTAGAGGCAACATGTACTGGGTACCAGGACCAGCAGCCTCGCATTGCTCTGATTATAATACTACCTACTACTTGATGTGCCTCAAGTTGGCTTGGCTGAGTCAATCAGTAAGATTAATCTTACACATGTGCATGTACTAATAGTATTTGGTGATTACAATAATCAAAATTATCCCTGTGACGAGCGACGTTGTGCTATCGGAAGGATCTGAAGTTTACGGATACGGATACGGGAGGCTAGCGCAATCGCATCCATGTGTATTGCGATGAGATGAATGCGACAAGAACCTACCTAGTATATTTCCATTGTGATACCGAATTTACATGAATTGGGCATAGGAGGTGAGATTTATCAGCAGCTCTCATTATCCAGCAGGCAGCTGAGCTGAGCTACGTAGTCTATACTTGCATGTTCTAAAATCCATGCTTCAAGTCTACTGATAGAAGCTGCTGTAAATCTAATATGGCATGAACTGACTTACTGCCCAACATGGCAATTGCAGTGTGGAGCGGTGAAGCTACGTGAATACAGCTGCAGTCTGCCTAAAAGTTAGCACATGTGGCGCGTTCAACTCTTTTGCATGTACCTAGTACCTTGGCGGGGTCCCAAGAGCCGACCGTAGGCCAAAAAAATGTGCCCCTCTCCGCCGTCACTCGGCATCAGGAACCCAGAATCAGGGCCCTGAATGCTTCCATTGGTACCTAGCTCACGGCTCGCGTTTTTGCAAGATCCAACCACTCCAGGTCGCATTCGCAATCAAGTGTTCCAGCCTCAACCCTGCGACATTTTCAGACCCTCGTCCACACCCATTTCCGCATCAGGATCAACCAATTGCACCTCCATCGCGTCCAAATCCCCAATTACGCCACCTTGCTGCTGCTAATCTAATCTGTTGGGCAGCACCACTAGTGGTACATATATATACCCCTTGGACCTCTCCATCTTTCTTACTCTCTTACCTCTCCATACCTAATCCACCCCTTTTCTTCATTCCTCTTCTTTCCATCCTCTCAGTCTTCCAAACAACACCGTCAAGATGTCTGGCCTTCCTCCCGTTTACATCGTCTCTGCCGCCAGAACCCCCGTTGGTTCTTTCTTGGGGTAAGAAACTGCTGCTACTCTCTGACTCGTACGATCTTGGTGCTAAGAACCCGTTGCAGCTCTCTGTCCGGCCTGACTGCCACCCAGCTCGGTTCTGCCGCTATCAAGGGTTTGTCTATTCCCTCCTTGATGCCTGCTGCTTGTATCCGAATCTAACAGCCGCTTAGGAGCCGTTGAGCGCTCTGGCATCAAGCCCGAAGATGTCGAAGAGGTCTTCTTTGGCAATGTCCTCTCTGCCAAGTAAGCCGAATTTCAGGTCCTTCGAACCACGACTCGATCAAACATGGATGCTCATACATATTCTTCTTCTAGCTTGGGTCAGGCTCCTGCTCGTCAGGCCGCCCTCGGCGCTGGCCTCTCCAAGAACGTCATTACCACCACTGTCAACAAAGTCTGCGCTTCATCCCTAAAGGCGGTCATTATTGGTGCCCAAAACATCATGCTTGGCATCAACGACATTGTGGTTGCTGCCGGCTCTGAGTCCATGTCCAACACTCCCCACTACCTGCCCAACATGCGCACCGGCGCCAAGTACGGTGACCAGACTCTCGTCGAGGGTGTCCTGAAGGACGGTCTCATCGATTCCTTCAAGAAGGAGCACATGGGTCTTCAGGCCGAGCTCTGCGCTGATGAGCACAAGCTCAGCCGCGAGGCCCAGGACGAATATGCCATCAACACCTACAAGAAGGCTCAGGCTGCCACCGAGGCCGGCCTCTTCAAGGAGATTGTTCCTGTCGAGGTTCCTGGCGGCCGTGGCAAGCCTAATGTCACCATTGACCGAGACGACGAGGTCAAGAACCTCAACGAGGCCAAGCTCAAGGCTATACGCCCGGCTTTCAAGACTGACGGCACCGGTACCGTCACTGCCCCCAACGCCGCTCCCTTGAACGACGGTGCTGCCGCTGTCGTTCTGGTCTCCGAGCGTAAGCTCAAGGAGCTCGGCCTCAAGCCCATTGCCAAGATTCTCGGCTGGGGTGACGCAGAGCGCGAGTCTGAGCGATTCACCATTGCTCCCGCTGCTGCCATCCCCAAGGCCATCAAGCATGCTGGTCTGACCGCCGATGATATCGATTACTACGAGATCAACGAGGCCTTCTCCGTCGTTGCCCTCGCCAACATTCAGCTCCTCAACCTCAACCCTGAGAAAGTCAACGTCTATGGCGGCTCAGTTGCCATCGGCCACCCTCTGGGTGCCTCCGGTGCCCGTATCCTCTCTACCCTGACCTCAGTTCTGGCAGAGAAGAAGGGCAAGATTGGCGTTGCCGGTATCTGCAACGGCGGCGGTGGTGCCTCTGCCCTGGTCATCGAGAACCTGCAGTGACTGCCCACCTCTGAACCAGCCTCTCATCCAGAGGCATCAAAATTATAAGAAAACAAAATACCATTATGAATATATGAGCTGAATAATAAAAGCGAGATAGAAGAGCTTGGAGGAAGCATATACATTTAGGGACCAGCGATATATACTGCCATACATAAAAGAAGGCTGAGCCATAGTTGGATAATAGGCTAGGGATATAAAATATAATAAAAAGTAACATTTAATCTTAAACATGAGCAATTCTAAAGGCGTTCGAAGAAGCAGCCCCCTCTTAGATCACGATACGTTTCCATTTTTTGAATGAACCGGCTTAAAACAAGTTCAGCAGCCTTGGTCAGTCTCATAACACCTTTACTGAAACAACAAATCGCATCGTCTTAGTCTTAATCCTCGTCAATTCAAGCTATAGTACTGCATAGAGCTACTAGAGGGTAAAAGGAAATCCCCAATATCCGTACCTGGGGATTGGAAAAAACAATCAAAAGCAAAACGTAAAATACAGAAACTAGCACTCCCATATAGAAAAGAATGAGAGAAAGAGAGAGAAACAAAGTACGCTGCAAGATATACTACCAGCACGCAGCCTACCCTCCCTTTTACCACCTACTCCGCGTCGAATATCAATTCCATTAGAACTTCGTGCCAGTTAAGTTTTCTGTTCAAATAATTTTTTTTGTGCTCGCATCGTATGCTGTACTTTTTGTCCCCAAAGTTGGAAAGGTGTCCCTTTTTTTTTTTTTTCTCCCTTTTCGTTTACTGAAGTCGCAGCCAACTTGGGGGAGGGGGGATATAATGTATAAATCAAAAAGCGTAACCCAATTCCGCTCGAAGCATGCCAAATATGATTCTCTTTCTCTGGATGAAAAAGAGAATGGGAGGGGAAAAAAAAGACGTCAAAAACAGAAGATTGGAAAAAAGGGTTGGTTGTCCAAATCCCTGTCCACATCTTCATTAGAACCGGTCAGAAAGATTTCCAAATCCCTGTCCACGTCCTCATTAGAACCGGCCAGAGAGATTTCCTAATCCATGTCCACGTCCTCATTAGAACCAGCTGGAGGGATTCCCTCGTCCATCCACCTGCGGAAATTTCCATTGAGCTCTTGAACTTCCTCGGGGCTCATATCTTTGGCCCAGACTGGGTTATGCACCATCTTCTCAAGAAGCTTTCGTTCACGGAAACTGCTCGTAGCCTTGGTGAGCTTCTCGCGATGTTCGCGTTGCTCTTTGGTCCTTGGAGCCTGGTCGTAAACAAAGTACTCGGAGGTGCCGGGAGCCCAAATCATTTTGGAGCTCTTGAGACAGATACTGACTGTAAGGCTCTCTTTGTATGATACCGGCTTAGGGATGCCATCCTCATCGTTGTCAGACTCCCCAGATGGTAGGTTGCGAGTGAGAACCACCTTCTTCATCTTCGATCGAGCAACACCCTCGGTAGGTTCGACACGAATGAAAGAAGAGATATAATATTGCCACCTCTCACGGAGTTGCATCTCATCCATGTAGAAAGTGGTCTCGTCCCGCTGGAGCCATCGGACGGTGGCTTCTGACTTCTGAGGGAACTAGATTCAAGAGTTAGCCGCTGTAGAGGGGACAGAAAAAGTAACTAAAATCCGTAAACTTACCCAGCAGACAACAAACAGATCACCATCCTTAACACACTTCTCTGCAAATTTTCTGGCGCTAATCTCAGTCTGATAACTAGTCTCTTCTTTTTCTCGGCTCAGCAGATACTGCTGAATGAGATCTGGTGTCTTCTCTTTAGCGTCCAGACTCTTGCAGGTCAGAGCCAGACGACAAAGCGTCTTGAGCAGATCTTGAATAGTGTACAGCTTCCAGCCGTTTTTCAAATAATAGTGCCGCATGACATCTTGGTATCGGTTTTCATCAATTTCTCCTGTAATATAGTCCTCGATAAGCTCCAGAGTCTTGGGCCAAAATTTAGAAGGCTCTTCGTTGGGATCAAAGAATGTCATGTGGTTCTCTGTAAAACCTAGATCTCTAGCAGGCTTAGGCTTGTTGAGTCGATCAATCGCAAAAGCAACAGCGTCTTTGCTGTCCTTGATATCCAGGAGTCGAGAGTAGACTGTTTGGAAGATGCTGAAGAAAACAAACATGGTCTGGTTGCAGAAAAAGTTGTACCACGGGCGAGTGAAGAAGCCGTCGGCTTTGAGCTCTCCATCAGCATCAAGGAGAGCATTATCGCTGTCACCAACGACCACTGGCTTAGGAATAGTAGGCATCCATCGCTCATTCGATACCTCAGTGACAGCGGCGTCGTCATTAACATCGGCCATCTCTTCTTCGTTGGCAGATCCAACTTCAGGAGTGGTCTCTTTGCTGCCAGAGGCCGCGCTGTCCTCTTTCTGGTTTCGTGGTTTGCTGCCGTTTCGGCCAGGGTCGAGGACCCCTCTAAGGAGATCGCCCTTCTTTCCATTGCGGCGACTGCGGCCGTTGGTCAATTCAGCCGGCGTCTGGTCTTCAATCTCCTCTTCGCCAGATTCGGGTTGCATCTTTGGGACTCTCTCCTGGACGATGTCCTCTGAGAGATCAAAAAAGGCCGGGACGAACGTCTCAAAAAAGTCCAAGATGCGTTCCTTCTCTTGGCCGCTGTGCTGACCATTATGCATGCTATAGAGCATCATGAGGCGCAAAAGATCGAGAACAACGTCCTTGTCCTTGAAATCCCAAACAAATTGGTGACGAGGCGCCTTCCCCTTTAGAATGCGCTCGCGACGTTGCTCCTCGTGCTTGGTCTTGATGACATCTACCAGATGCTTCGCCGTCAGATTTCTCTTGTCCGTTGACTTGACGAGGATGCCCATGTGATCCAAACTCTTGAGGTGCATGTTATGCGTTTGAGCGTGCCACACTTTTTCCCATTCTCGCTGAGAGAACCGCCACTCTTCATCCTTTTGTTTCATGCGAGCCAAGAGTACGGGTATCACATCAAATGGATGCGTGTACATGTCATTGACAACGTCGATGCCGCGCTCTCCATAAATCTTCTTGCAAATGCGCTTGAATATGGAAGTGCTTTGGCCGGCAAGAGCAGAGGGCATGTGGAACGCCTCTCTTTCAGATGGCGACATTGCAAGCATCTGCTGAGCAATAGGCTCCAGGAGTTGAATGCATTTCAGATTGGCTTCAATGTTAAAATCGTAATCATGGCGCTCCTCTTCGATGCGGTGAAGGCCCTCTTCAAACTGATTTTTGCGATGAGCAACAAATCCGGAATCCTCGCTGGCCCAAGTCGGGTGCGAAGCCCACTCGTCGTTTAGAACCGAGTTGCAGAGCTCATCGCGGCCACTGCAAGGCTTGAGTCGTTCCTATGGTGAAGCACTTGTTAGCCAATGATGAAATGAGTAAAAATTTGGAATTTATGTTGATTACTTACCCTCTTTGGGAGGAGCCTGTAGCTAGGCCCGTAGCCACGACAATTGCTCAAAGAGACCTTCTCTAGCGGCGGCGCTGGTCTATTATCGATAACCACATCTTGAGAGTCGACGCCGACAAAGGCTTTCCAAAAAGTCATCAGCTCTGGGTTTGCGCTGATGAAAAGAGCACCTTTGTGGTATAAAGTGTTCTTGTCAATGATATTTTGGCTAAAAAGGTTGCAGAGTTTGAGAAACTCGTTCATCGCAGACCGATTGCTAAGGAACTTCTTAACCCTCTCAAAGAAGGCAATTTCCTCCTGGTTTGATGTAGCGGGAGAGCGAGGAGGATAAGGCTCAGGCATGACAGGCGTAAGGGTAGGCTCGATGGAACCAGCGTCTCCGCTGCCTCTGGCATGGCTTAGCTTCGGTCGCTTGCTACCGTTCAAAGTTTGAGGAGGAATTCGGGTCGCAACGGGAGGTTCTGGGAGAAGAGCACCAGGAGTAGGGGTCTGCTTGTCAGTGCGTGGCCGCTTCTTGGTATCTTTGCCTGCGCTGACTGGTGGCGCAAAGCTTCCCAAAGGAGGCATCTTCTGTCCATCTCTCAGTCCTGGCTGAGGGGTGTGTGCAGATCCAGCAGCGGTGCCATCTTCTGGGCGGCCTGGCGGTGCTCTGGCTTGGCCCGCAGACTCTGGCAAAAACTGCTTAAAGTCCTCTAAGAGATCAGGTGCCGAGTTGAAGAGAGTAGTCACTTGAGCATAGACATCTTGTATCGGCTTTTGTTCTCTTTGGTAAGTCTGTAGAATTTCGAGAAACTGTTTATAGATCTCAGGCTTATCCTGGAAGCGGTTCTTTCAGATGGATTATTAGTCAACAGCTCAGATAGACACCTCAACGGTGGGTGCTTACCTTGATTTTGTTTACATAGCTGATAGCGTGGTTAAACTCAACAGGGCCACGACGTTCCATATTTGCTGGGTTAGCCGCACCGCCATTGGCTGCACCAGGGCCAGATGTAGGCAATGGAGTGTGGGCATTCCTTGCATTTGGTCCGCTAGGCGGGCCTGCATTTCCCTGCATCTGGGAAGGATTGCGTTGCTGGTGACTTCCTGGACCTTCAAACGCGCCGCTTTGGGTTGCTGCCTGGACAAACAGATTTGCGCCATTCTGCACTGGAGTACTAAAGGTAGCCTCTGGGCTCTCAATATTGTGCTGAGGCCTTTGTTGCCATTGGTTTCCGCGCTCAGGAAATAATGGCTGGCCGCCTCCAACAGCAAGTCCATGTCCTTCAGGCTGTGGTCCCCGTCCAGCGATAGACTGGACTGTAGTTCCCATGGGGGTAGTGACTCGGATAGTATTCGGGTCATTGCCGGCTCCGCACTCAATTCTATATCCAGGAGGCAAAAACGTATTGAAGCCTTGGATCAGATTTGGGTGACCAGCGAACAGCTCAGAAACACGGTTAATAACACCGGGTGTATCAATACTAAGTGTATGTCAGCGTCTGAGAGTTACAGAAATGCCTATGATTTGCATACGCCTGGCTTTTGAAATCTTTCATAATGTCGAGGAATCTGTTGTAAACGTCAGGTTGGTCGTGAAATTGCACCTTGACTTGGTCGAGATAGGTGAGAGCATCCTAAACGATCAGAAATATCAGCGACTGAGCAACGGAAGCATCAAGATAAAATAGATTCAACGGCACATGAAAATGATGGTAGAAGCCCCAGAGCCTAGTGTCATCGCGACAGGCCAAGATTAAACGCTCGCCGCCAGCAACGAAAGCAGTGACTACTTCCCGTGTCCCAGCTGGAAAATCGAAGAAAGCCATGGTTTGAAGCCCCACGGGATCAACGACACTGGCCAGTGGACGGCCGGATGGCAGTGTGATGGCCATTGCGGGATACTGTTGTAGCTGATCCATCTTCGCGCTCGATTTGGGCTCGCGTTCAGGCTTGTGTAACAGCAGCGCCAGAAAGGAAGTGGTGTGTTTATGCAGCCGTTACAGCGCATCCATATGCGATTGCTAGGCGGGGGCGGGTAGGCAGCAGAGGCAAAGGAGGAAGAAAAAGAAAATGGGCGTTCCTCTATCCAGAAAAGACGGAGGGAGGCAAACGAGCTTGATACTGATAAAAAGAGGGGAAGAAATATGCGAGCACCCAAGAGTGAATCACATCTGAAAGCCGTTTGTTTATCTCCCAAGCGGCTGGCTGCCACTCCAAAGCCACCTGCAGGCTGCAAGGCCATTCACTTGACTTTGCGTTCACTCTACTCAAACAACGGGAGGGGGGGGGGGGGGGGAAAAGGTATAAACTCAAACATGTATGCAGAAGAAAAATGCAGCCACTCACATTCAGAATAGGCTGCTGACCCTGAGTGATGCCACCGGGAATCTGGTGCCCACCAGGAGCCACGCCAACCATCGACGCATTCTGTTGGCCTCCGCGTCCTCCCTCTGGTTGGTGTTGCGGCTGTAAAGGCCCACCAAAGATACCGCCGCCCGGCGCCGCCTGGGAGCCGTTGGGAGGTGGTTGTGTATGAGAAATCGATGCGAACATCTGGTGTTGCCCGTTGGCACCGCCCGGTCCGCCATGCTGCATCGGCCGTCCATGCTCGCCCTGCAAAGGCCCGCCAAAGTTACCCAGCGGTCCCGACGGAGCGCCGAGCGGAATGGGCGGCGCGTTGCCATTATGATTCGCGAGCAGCCCTCCGGGACTGTGTATAGCACCGGAGATCCGCGAGGCCACCGGCTGGTGAATGGGAATTGAGCCGGCGCTGCTCTGGTGCGGTGCCGGCGGGTAACGCTCGCTGTCTCGTTCTCGCTCGCGCTCTCTGTCTCGTTCTTGGTCGCGGCGAGCCATTTCTTCGTGCTGTTGGATGGCGCGATGTCGTTCATCCATATCGCGATCTCGGTCGTACGGCGCGCTGCCGCCGTGGCCGTGTAGATTCTGGCTGTTCATGCTGATCTGCCGACAAGGATTTTAATTAGCAAAATTCGAAACGAGAGAGAGCTGAAGGCGATGTCGAGCAGAAGAAGGCAGTATTTACGTGCTCTCTCTTGGAGAACCACGTCGGCGAACAGTAACAGCAATCTGTTAATGTCTGCCCGTCCACACCTCACAGCCGGCTCAGGAGATTGTTCGGCTAGATCTCTTTTGTCGCGCGAAAGCAGAAGAAAGAAACGACTTACAGCTTATGGGCACAGCTGAGCCGATGTGCTCTTACATGGAAGCTCAAGCCCCAAGACACGATTCGATCAAAAGATAGACACGGCGATAGCAAACAACAAACAAATCTCTGGAGGGCACACAATTTTGTACCGGTGCAAACCTGGGTAGCTCCGAATTCAAAGGGTGACGAGATCTGACAGCCATCGCCTGGGCGTGCCGCGGAGGCTTCTGCATCACGTGCTGATAAGCTCTTTGGAGCGGAATTCATTGCTAGCAGAAGGTTTTTAGCTCTGTTTGAAGGCGCGGATCATCGTTGTTCCCTTATCATCATCTGGCACAGCGGAATTCGGCGTCGCATGATATCATGGGGCGTGCAAATAAGCTGCCAGACCACTAGAGGACCCTGGAGGGACTTTCCAGTTGATTGTTTCCCAGTGTTTAGTTCGTGCATACGGCCAGTTTCGGATTATTAATATCGATCGAAATAGTTTCTTTAGGAAATCAGATCATGTTGCTGTACTCTAACTCAAGGTTTAGTGTAAATTGGACATGCTTCCTTTTATCTTGTCTCAAATACCACGCAATATCTGCCCGCTAATGTGCTCTAGGCGTGTTACTATTTCAGGTAGTAGTAGACCTTGGTACGTCAATACATAGAAGTGAAGAGAAAGGCTGTAGCAAGCTTAGTAGGCAGCACCCTGAAACAACTTGAAGTAAAATCTCTCGCGCAAACTCGGCATCTTGACTCGGTCCAGAACCACGGGGCGCCAAGCGCTATCATTTCGGATTAACAGTGGCCAGTTCCTAATTTATCAGCAGTAACTTTCAACTCTTGAGCGGCCCCGCCAGTGTAGCTGAATAGACTAAACTTAACCCAAAACACTTTTCCGGCAACTACCTAAAGGACCTTGATGAATCATTCCTCCTCCCCAATAACCATCATCGCGCCATAGCACTCTCTCTCGTTTTTCTTTCATCTCCAGCCATGGACTTCAACAGCTCTTCTCCCTTCCCGGAGGGAGTCATCTCCTTCCTGGACACCGACTTGTATAAGCTGACGATGCAATGTGCCGTCTTCAAGTTCTTCAAGGACGTTCCTGTGACCTATGCTTTCACCAACAGAACCCCCGACAAGAAGCTCTCCCGAGCTGCTTTCAAATGGCTAGAGGAGCAAATCCGCAGTATGTGCTTTTTTTGTTCTCCGAAGCAGTGTTGCGCAATGCCACTTGTCGAGCGTCTGTTGCGTGTATACTGACGTAACCTAACAGAGCTCGGCAACATTTCCCTGTCTGACGAGGAGTATCGATTCTTGCAGGAGCACTGCAAGTATCTAACTTCGGACTATCTCGAATTCCTCAAGGACTTTCGCCTGCGGCCCCGGGAGCAGGTTCTCACGACATTTACCCCCGTTGGAGACAACACAGGCTCTGACTCGGATGTTGGCGACGTCCACATGGAGATCAAGGGCACCTGGTCCGACACGATTCTCTATGAGATTCCTATATTAGCGCTTACTTCTGAGGCTTACTTTCGCTTCATCGACACAGACTGGAACTACGAAGGACAAGAAGAAAAGGCATTTGAGAAGGGTCTACGCCTTCTTGAAGCCGGATGCACCACTTCCGAATTCGGCACCCGAAGACGCCGTGACTACCATACCCAGGCACTAGTATTTCGCGGATTGGTCAAGGCATCAAAGGAGGCGGCTGCAAAGGGTTTCCCTGGAAAGCTGACTGGCACGAGCAATGTGCACTTGGCCATGCGCTTCGGCATCCCACCTGTTGGTACCGTAGCCCATGAGTGGTTTATGGGAATAGCTGCCATCACCAACGACTATACCAAGGCAACTGAAGAGGCTCTTCGTCACTGGGTCAGCTCTTTCGGCCCCAACTTGACCATTGCTCTGACAGACACCTTTGGCACACAAGAATTCCTCAGGGCCTTTAGCCTGCCCATCCGTCCGGTCGATGGCGGCTTCAGCCCCGAAGTCTTCCAGAAGGCTGATGGGAGCATGAAGACGTATGCTGAGATGTTTGCCGGAGTACGACAAGATTCCGGAGATCCCGCCGAATACGTCAAGCTACTGCGCGATTACTACGATGCTCAAGGCATCAAGGATAAGAAGACGCTTGTGTTTTCCGACTCGTTGAACATCGATAGCTGTTTGGAGTGTCTTCAAATTTCGCAAAAGTACGGCTTTCAACCATCTTTTGGTGTCGGCACCTTCTTAACAAACGATTTCACGCACCTTACGACTGGAACCAAGTCAGTGCCACTGAATATTGTCATTAAGCTCAGCTCAGCTGCTGGTCGGCCAGCTGTCAAAATCAGGTTAGTTTTTGTTCCTCAGCTATGCGAAATGACTCGGAGACTTACTTTCAACAGTGACAATTCTGGAAAGAATACTGGTGACAAGGAGACGGTTCAAAAAGTCAAGCAGCAGATTGGCTATGTTGAGCGGGAATGGAAGGATGGCGACGAGACTGCACGATGGGGCAGGGAGGAAGATGTCAAAGCATAAAACGGGGTTTTAAGGGCACACCATTCAACCAACTCTACATCTAGAGCGGCGGCAGGTTTGTTTTTTTTAGCTACAAGATAAGATTGAGCACGTCTTGTTAGTCTCCCGGAAACGCTTTTCAGCTACAGCCCATATTCGTTATATACCCTATAAAGATAGACAGACACATGGGCCACTGCCAATGATAATACACGCTATGCCCATGAGCTATAGGTATACCCGTGGACTTGAAATCGTACATGTAAAATTTCTGCGACGAGTCTGAACAAGAACCAGCATCCATGAACCATCTCAGCGACTGCACCAAGAGCATGCACCGATAAAGTTTTGTCCATATCAGTTTAGATTAAGTATGTTAGGGCTATCACTCTTCTATCAAAGACGTGTATTAAACCCCTCGTCCTAAGCCATGCCTCGCCCCTTCCTAAATTTAACTGTCGCCCTCATGACTACCCCGACTCCCATGGAGCACTGTGAAAAGTCGTTCATACGTTCCGTCCCCTTTCCCTTCCAAACGCCATGATAATGCTAGTAAATACAAATCGAGGTACTCTCCTCTCAGAAGAGAAAGAGAGAATACGAATAGAGAGGAAAAAGAAAAAAAAAGAAAGGTATCAATGCGTAAAAATTCATCACCTCCCACGCGTAGAAAAAAAAAAAAAAAACGAGAACCTTCTCGTAGAATTATTTCTTTCATTCCTTATTTTTCTTTACTTTTTTTTGTTATCCGAGGATGCCGGCTTCCAAATGCCCCCTTCTTTTCTTTCTGTTTTCTTTTCTATGCAACTTTCTTCCATGTTCCTCGTCCAGACAGGCAACTCTGCTTCATGGCGCAGGAGGAGCCTGAGTTGGCTGGGGCTTTCTGATAATCTTGATCTTGGGACGTGCGCTTGGAACAGGTGCCGGGGCTGCTGCCGCTGGTTGACTGGGCACCGGCGGAGTAGCCGACTTGCTCGGAGACTGAGACTTGCTGGGGGATTTGCTAGGCGCTTTAGGCCCAGGCATGGGGGGACGATGCTTCGCAAAAATCTTACTAGTCGTCGTCGGAGAACCTCCAAGGCTCGAGAGGCTCGAAGACGATCCACCCATTGGCAAGGGCTTCCTAACTATGTCTCCAGAAGGCAGCGGCTTGCGCGCAGGCTTCAAAGCATTGATATCCTTGGCCAAGCCGAGTGCCGGCTGTTCCTTGGGAGCCGCAGAAGGTAAAGCTGTCCTGCTAGGAATAGAAGAAAGAGTCTTTGTATGACCAAGAATGACAGCGAGTCGCTTTGGATTGGATGTTCTGAGAGTGACGATGCGCCGCTTCTTTGGAAGAGCAGTGATCCTTTCGAAGCTCGATGACGGTCCTTCCACTTTGGGTCTCTTTGGTGTTGACACTTGATCGCCCTTTTCTGGCCGAGGCCGTTTGGCCAGTACTCCTGATTGAGATTCGAGCTTGACGCCAGTTTTCAGAAGCGAGTTAGTGCCATTCAAAGGACGAGAGACCCCTGGAGCCGCAACTATGGTGTCTGCAGGAGGCGTTGGCTTGGGAACAGCTGCAGGTCGCGCAGGTTGAAATGGCTGTGAGAGTGGCTGCGGCTGCGGCGGCTGCGCGGCCTTTGTATTGATCTTGATAGATGATGATCTTGGCAAAGGAGGTGGCAGCTTAACCTCAGGCGCAGGAGTTCGTGGTGCTGGCACAGGCACTGCATTCTTCAACTTGGTCTTATAATAAGACTTGAAGTTCACCATAAGCTATTGAGAGTCAGATTATCCGTCTGTCATGGTAAAAAAAAAAAAAGGGGGGGGGGGGGGGGGGGGGGGGGGGGGGGGAAGTATGCAGTAACTTACTCGGTCCGAAAGCTGAACCACAGGGCGCTCCACCTTCCAGCCCTTGGGCAAGTTGAGCGTGAGCACCCAGCTTCTCGCCTCCTCAAACATCATAGCTGCCAAATCAAGCAGCGATGCAATTTCAGCCCGCCCAAGACTAGGGTGGTCCAGCGCCTTACGCATGGCGGTGCTGTAATGCCTCTCATCACCGTTATACGTCTCTTCCATTTCCTTCCTCAAAGCTTTCAGCGCAGCGTCTAGATTTTCTTTTCGAGCAAACTTTTCCTTTCTGGCAGCAACTTCCTCGGCACTGTCTTGGATAAGCAGCAATGCATCCGCCTCATCCTGGGCAGGCTCATTCTTAACAGCCTTTGAGTGTTCGCCGAATGCAATCGCAGCAAGACCCCGGGCCACCGCCTGAATAAGTTTGTCACGAACAAAGGGTGATCGATCCGTCATCAAAGAGTAGAACAGGAAAGTGAACACTGTCGGGTCCATCAGTGCCCCAAGATCGATTAGAGCCTCAAAACACTTGATGCGAATTAAATCGTTTGTTCCATCCAGCAGATACTGGCCAAATTCAGCGTAGTTGATGGGTATCACTTCTGCTTTCATGAGGCGCTGCTTCGCATCCAAACCTGCAATGGTCCAAATATTCTGGTACGAATGCGTCCAGTCATCACGTCTGAGAACTCGTTCAATTTGCTCCATTGCCTCCTCAAGAAACCGGCGTTCCTCTTCGGTGGGGATTTTGACTTGTCGCTTGAACCATTCGTCTGCCTGAGCAGGAATAAGCGACGTAGCCAGCGCTTCAACCAGCAAAGCTATGTAGTAATGGTCAGAATACGGGTTGTTCTCGTTGTTATTAAAGAGCAGTTGGTCTAAAATAAACTGTCGGGCCTCGAATGGACAGTAATTTGTGCCATCCCTAACCTCAGAGATGGCTCTGATAATTGAACACCGGACATTGTACTGTCTCTTGTCAGAGAAGTCGTTTTGAAGAGGCTGGTTTGTTTGGTCATAACAGAACATGTCGCGAAAAGCCCGCATCAACTGCCGGAGTCCCAGCATCGGAATGTCCTTGATGTTGGCCTGCCTGGTCAGGGCTTTCGCTGCCATGGTCCGGATGCCGTGGAAATAACGACGATCAACAAGTGTTCGCACAAGGAATCCAGAGGCAATCGGATGAAGGGGGCCGGTCGACAGATACAACATGGCATCTTGCTGGGCGACCACGTCCCGGTCTTGCTGCAGTTGAGACACATACATGTATGGCTCAAGAGTTCTGTTCATGCTACACGCCCATTCGAAGTCGGCATCAACGCGAATCCACTCGTATGACTCTTGGTCCATTTTCCGTTCGGTTTCTGGGTCCCATTCTATCAGCTCCCAGTCGCGGAGATCCTCTGGGCTCTGTAGGACGTCTCCGAGGCAGTAGAGTAGAGCATCATCAGTATTTTCAGGTATCTCCATACTTGCGCCTGCGTTGTGCTTCTCTTTCATGCGGCGCGTCCTCTTTAATCGCTTATATTTTGTATTGTAAGGGATTTCGAATTTTGTAGAACGCGCAGCATCCTCTCGAATCTCCAGAATATGCTCGTAAGGGGTGCCATCGGCTTCATGAATCCGGATAGTCATGGGTCCAGTGAACAATGGCTGTGCTTCACCAATCTTAAGATCCGCCCTTCGTTCTTTGATAGCTCGAAAGAATTCATCTTTACTGAGCTCGGTCTTTTTGATAGCTTGCTGCTGTGTCTGTATCAACATCAACTCCACGCAGAGTCTCTTTTTATTGAATTTAGCCTTGACGTCGAATCTCGGACAGCCTGAGCCATATACCCACTGATTCCAAAAGCTTTCGAGGCGGTATTTGGCAGCTTTCTCACATGTGGCTCTGAATTTTTCCGAGTCAAGAATGAGAAATTTATCACTGCTTTCAATCTGAGCCCTGGTCAGCTGTTTCTGGAGGATGCGAGTCAATCCGTGGCCACCAGATGCTTTGCTGAGCCGCTTGTCGAGAATAAAAAACACGATGGGTGCTTTCAAGGCCATGAACTCCATCTCAAATTCGCCAAGGTGGAGACTATGACCAAGATTCGATAGAGACGGTCGGCCAATATCAGTCTCTACAAGCTTATCCGCCAACATTTTCATCCGAAACCTATAGTCGTTGTTACCGCAAAGCTTTTTCATAAATAAATCCGTCATGTAATGGGCTAGTCCAATCACAAGCCACATATCGTTTCGCGTATTCGGGATCATGTTGATCCCTATCCATTGAGATGTTAGAGTGTAAACAATTTTCCTTGTCGTCTCAATTTCTGGATCGATGATGTCTTCGGGGTACAGGAGTCGGTTGCTGATAAAAGCCAGGGAATGCAGCACCGTTGTGTCCTCCACCATGTCGTCGAGGAAACATAGCTTGAAATTGCCAAAGGGGTACTTAGCAAATGTGTACGTAAAGAAATCAGCAGCCATGGTCAAAGCCGCAGCAGTATTGCGAACCCAGTCTGCCCGGTTAGGCAAACAGTATGCATGGATTTTCAGTGCGCTCATCCCGAGCTTCACTTCATCTTCTTCAGTTCGTGACTCCGAAGAGAGGTTGATATGCTCAAAGGGGCCTATGGCAAACCCAAGCTTTTGTACCGAGACTTGCTTCTCTGGCTCAAATATCATAATCTTCTTGTGGTCGTCGTCGGGGTCTGTGGTCTCTTCCATTAAGAAACCAGAGCAGACCACGGACATTTCCCGCAGCTTATCTTCTTCGGCCAGCTTGAAGTGAAGATCATGGCCATCGACTTGAGACTTCTCAACACCGTTGTGGGATGGACCATCCTGTTGCGTTGCAAGAGCCTGTTGAAGGGCATCGCCAAGAGTCCGGGGGTACTTGATGGAGATTCTCCAATCACACCGGGCCCCATGATCGTCGACGCAGGGGAAAATGCAGCACGCGGTTCCTGGCTGGATTGAATGGCGAGTATACATGTGCGTAAACCGGTTATCCAGCGGGTCGACGCCAACAAAATGCAGGCCATCCCTTGGGTTTTTGTTTGTAAACGGCACGGTAATCTTGAATTGCTTGTGAGTCTTTTCCAGACTATCCAAGTTCAGTGTCGATTTTCTGATGATCAACCTCGGGCGTTCTTGCTCTCCTTTGCTGCGAAGATTCACCTTCAACGAGCCGTAGACGGGCGTACAACCCTCGAATTCTCTATTTTCGGCGTGCACGTCGGTCCTGCGGCTATGGAAAACTGAACGAGCGCGGATACGGCGGAGATCATGATGGTCAGCCCGCCAGTTCCAGCCCTTGGGGTGCGCTAGCTTCTGGTACGGATCGCGGTATTCGGCCGTCACCTTGCGCTTCTGCCCTTCAACAGGCTCTCCTTGTACCTCTCGCATTTCGGTAAGCGTAATATTATCTGTATCGATTTCGCACTGCGCAGCATCGAGAAGGATTTCTTCAGAAGCCCTATCCGTAAAAGTCACTATGAAAATGTCTGTCGTGCCATCGATGCGTCGATCTCGAAAGTTGACCTCAAGGCTGACCTCCTGCTTGATAACGAAGTATCCGAGCACCGGCCGGTCCTCGATGGGAGGTAGTCCATCTCGCCCGTCTAGCAGGGGATGCTGCGATAACGCCTGGTCTTCCATGTCTGGTGTCGAGTTGGAGCCGCTGATAAACGCAGCCATGGCCGCGGTAGCGACTAGAGTCTGAGAGATTGAGGGGCGGGGAGAGTCGTGAGCAGCCTGGCTCGAGCGAGCTTCAGATTGTAGAGTCACTGCATCGAGCTCGATGGATTTGTCGCGAGCGCATCTGAAGTGAGAGTGAGAGCTACCAGATCACCACCAGCTTCATCGCACTTCGTCCGGGCGTCGCTCCAGGTGGTGATGAGTCGCAAAGGGGTGTGGCTTGAGGCGAGGAAGCGGTGGTGAATATGAAAGGGACGCAAGGAATTAGATCGCCAAACTCCAGTCCTACAAAGAAAAAGAGATGCGGAAGATGCTGGAAAGGCAGGATCGCAAAAAGCTGCTACGGCGGATACGTTGGCTGGACAAATTGCCAGAGTGGTGGCGGCGCGTCTCCCACGAAAGAAGCTTGAGGAGCACGGACCACGCACCTCTGTTTGCTTGCTCTTTGCTGCTTGCCGTTCTCAGCCCAAACTTCACTAGCCAAAATTCTAGGCCTGCAAACGCTACTGTGCCATTGCCGCTGAAGCTCAGGCTCTTGGAAAATCGCGTGTAGCAACTAATTGCGCAAATTGCTTGATCGTATACATATCAGGTTCTCTATTACTTCTCCAGAGGTTTGATTCAGTATTTTCCATACCATTTGCGATTATAGCACACTACACGTGACTTGCATGTGAATGTAGATACACACAATCAACCTCTTACATCATACCAACACCTGCTAAGTTTCTAAGCTCCGAGCGTCCGCAGCCTCTTTTCACTTCTCAATCCCATCGATATCATAATTGCATTAATTATCGGCATCTCTCATGACATGCTCGTCTTGCCCACTGATGTTCGTGTCAACTTTTTTTCCTTCTTCTCTATTACAGTAATTTAAGAATTGCCCTGAGAATGGATGGTACACTCTCAGGTCCACGGTGCATTGATGCTTTGGTATAATCTTACAAGAGCTGCTTAAAAAAAAAAAAAAAAAAACCTGCTGGGCCATCATCTCCAATATATGACCTAGAAACTACCAAACGCCCTTCAAATCAGACCCTTAGACGCCCACTGTACATGTACCTTGATCTCCCATTCCCCTGCCAATGACGCCCCATGACAATGATTTCGACGTTATTTCGGAGTCCGCAACTCTCGCCTGTCTCTGCGCTTCTTCCTTGCGCGTGCCTTTAGCGTCTCTTCATCCCGATATTCTTCTGGCAATACGAAGTCGGCCTCAGCAATTTCGGGTAGTGGAAGGCCCCAAGCAAGAACCTTTCTTCCTGCTCGCCTTTGCCGGTTAAGCGCGCTATCACGCTCGTACTTTTTGGAGAAGAATGATTTAAACTCTTTTGGTGGCTCTGGAGGTTTTATCGGTAGTATAGGCCTGTGAGGTATTCGCGGCTTTGTAGAATTTGCCGCCGCCAGTTTTGACCTTGCCCTCGCCTCTCGTCGAAGTTGCTTAGCCGGTGATGACGTCTCGCTAGTATCGTCTTGAGAAGCCTCGTCTTCTTCAATGTCGTCTTCGTCTTCGTCTTCGTCTTCCCCTTCGCCCTCCCTCTCAACCTCATCCTTGGAGTGGCCATCCCGGCTCTCCTGGGATTCATCCTCGCTCTCGTCAGTTTCACCCTCTTGCTCGGCCTTTTCTGCCAACGCCTTCTCCTTCTCCAGCTTTCGCCGCTTCTCTTCTAGATTCCAATTGCGAAATTTAGCCAGTATAACCTGACAGCCTTTGATGAAATGCATCCTAGCAGGTTCAAACTTCTTCTTCTTCGTCTCCGTAACACCGCTGACGCCCATTACTCTCAGCCAGTCATGGCCTTGAAGGCCTTCGAGCAGTCGAATGATTTGGTCCTTTTCATGTTGTGCTCGGCCTTTCTCTGTATTGCGGATCGATCGCTCAACCCTCTCGGCCTTTTTATGAATGGGCTCGAACAAGCTGTCGGGTAGAGGATCTTCTATATTTTTGTTCTTGTGCTGGGCTTCTAGGAAGCCAAAATCGATGCGCTGAGAGTCGAATACGTCGGTGAATAGCGCATCGCCGTATCCTCTGACTGGAAAGTCGATGCTACCTAGAGCTCGATGGTGGGGTCGAGGTGCATTGCGAGGAGGATCGGGAATCGCGTGCGACAGACTGGTATCGATAATGATAATCGGCGTTTCAGGGTTGAGTAAATCTAAATCGAAATCGACTCGTCAGAAGAAAAAAAAGTTGCACGTCGTAAAGCAGCAATAAAAACCTCGAGATTGTGGCGAGGGAATTGGCACGGCAGTTTCGGGGGCGGATAGACGGGGCTGCTCACGTTCTTCTTTGGGGTCGTTGCCTATTACTTCATCGTAGTCCGGGAAATAGGCTGAGAGCTCGCTCTTGAAGCGGGTCGCCTCCTGCGATCGCAGCTTGCGGCCCTGCTCCTTGGTGTCGTCCTGGCGAGGCTGCAGCCGGTCCAGCTCGTGCTTAATGCCATTTATTACTTTCGCCTGATGCTTCGTCAGGTTGGAGCTGGAGCCGGCGCTCTGCGGTTCGGCGGCTATGGGCGCCGCTGGGGGCTTGGTGGTGGGCTGCACAGGGGCAGGAGGCGGCCTACTTGCGCTGCTCGCCACAGCGGCTCGTCGCGGTATCGGGGGCGGTTGTACATTCACAGACTCGAGAGGCAGCTGGGGCTTTGCGAGAATCTCGACGGCGATCCTCGTCTTCTTGTGGCGGATGGCCTCGAACTCGCGCTCGGCCACGTCGAGGGCTCGCTTTGTGCGACCGCCTGCAGCGCCGCCGTGGTGGAAGCTGGACGAGTTTGGCCCTGGCGCCGAGCGCGTGAGGGGGCCGCTGGCGTTCACGTTACGGTCATAGAGGTGAAGGCCCTCAGCTCGCCGGTTGGAGCGGGTGATGGAGGCCATTGGCAAGCGGGATCACGCCTGTCATGTTTCTTCAGCGCGGCGGGAGAGGTCGCTGTCGCTGTCGGGACACGCGTTGCCTCGATGTTTTTGCTCGATGCACTGATGCCGATTGTTTCGTGCGACGTGACGTTTGACGCTCAACTGCAGCTTTTCCTTCCACGCCTTTTTTTTTTTTCTTGGGCAGCCGAAGGGGGCGTTCTAGCGCCTGTGCGTCATGGAGTTTGGTGGATTTTAGTGAGCGGTCCCAGGAGCTCTTGCCCCCGTACCGCCTATAAGCCAGCGACTTTATAGGGCATCAGCTCACCAAAGCTAGCAGAGCTCGGCCCCTTTTCAGGGCATTTGAAATCCGCTGCGCTGCGTTGTTCGCTGGAAAAAGAATCAACCACTGAGGACTAGTGCTCCATCTACAATAACTTGAAATTGCCCAGCAATCGGATATTCCGTATCACCTCGTAAGAGAGACTGTTACAGGTTGTAAGGAGATAAATCTTTAGCAACACACAACAGTCAACTTGGAACTGAACTCAGCAAATTAGAGGGTTATTTACCATTATTGACGTCAATTTTAACGAATGTTTTACGTGCTTATTTTTCTACCTCAATGAGGAAGCCATCCTTTGGTTGTTGATTGATATGGCTCACGATTAGGTACCCGGGAGAAACAAAGAAGCAATTTGAATCATAAAGCTAAACTTTAAATCTAGCCATCGAAATTAATCTAACGTTCAAGTGAAATATAAACAAATATAAACTCGCTCTATCTAGCCAGTCCAGTCCCGGGGTATTTATGCGTACAGACCAAAATGCAAGCCCATCAACAACCAGTTAACAGGCAATACCTTGCTTCCAAATGCTAAAGATATGTGACAGTCCTCTTCTGAGATTCTTCGCCAGCTGCTGAAGGCACAAGATGCAGCCTCTCCATCGCCTTCACAGCGGTCTCTTCCACACGCGCGTGTTTATGGGCCATCGCCTGCTGCTTCTCCTTTTCCATAACCTCCCTTTCCCTCTGCGCACTCCTGCTGGTATCTACCTCGTCCTCTTCCTTCTTCTTCGTCTCCTTTGGATGTGCTACTTTGTTTTTCCGATGGATCATCTTGTGCATGAGATCCTTGCCCATACGCCGTGACTTGGTGTATGTCTCCAAGCCTAGGAGGACAGCATACGCCTTTGATATCGTCACGTGTCCCACATCGACGCCCTCAGTCTTGAGGCTCCGCACAAAAGCACGGAAGTTGGAGGTTGGTGGGCGGTAATGCCCGCTCAGCGGAGAGAGGGAGCTGAGTTTGCCATCCTTGATACTGATGAGGCCTCCCGCAGATATTCGGGCGCCCTGAAGAAACGATGAATGTTGAAAGGCTCCCGCCTGTTTGATGCCGATATAAAGTCTGAACGAGGTGTCGGCAACGAAGATCCAAGTGCCGTCTCTGACCGTCTTACGGAGCAGTTTGTTCAAGGTTGTCGTCGCAGAGAACTGCTTCACCTTTTTGACATCTCGTTGGTCGGGCTCTGGGTTGACATGACTGTCGGCGCGATGCTGTTCATGGTTCGAATCAAGATACGAGGCAGACGCGGTGGAAGGCATTCCGCTGACTGAGTCGGCATAAGGGTTCGGATGCTCCATCATCGGTCGATACGGTGGTGTTGGGTCATCTACAGGGACGATGCCGTGTATGCTGTCCCTGTATTTTTCTGACGTGTCGATGGGCTCTCCGTTTTTGGCCCAGCATAATCGGCCTTGGTCATCGACCGTGGCCAAGTAATACTGGCGCTCTTCTCGCGACAGATAGCGTACTTGATCCTTTTCAAGTCGCTCTCGCGGGCAAGTGTCGAGTGATATATACCGGCCTTCCCCATAGTCGAGCCAGTAGAAGAAATTCTCATTGGTATCGGCTTTCCTCCATTCTTCGTGATACATGCGCAGGTTTGTACCATATCGATGCTTCTGGTCTACTATTTCCAACCAATACTGCAGCCCCAGCGTGAGGGCGGTTTTTCGTCGTTGGGCATTGGCTTGTTCGCGAAGCCGCCGCAGCTCTTCCTTTTCATGGGGCGGTAGGCTCGCCGCCTCAGATGAGCAGTCCGAGTCGGAATCTTCATCTTCATCATCGTGACCGGCCCGCAGCGCAACCATGCTCAGCTTCTTCCAGTTGGATCGCGCGATTGACGCATGAATATCGGCCACGTCTCCGACCGACAAGGTGTCTTGGCTTGCGCCGGTGAAGGACCGACCTCGAGGCCGCGTTGTTTCGCGGAACTGTGCCTCCCGGATCGCAGTTATCCATCTGGTACTCGGATCCAAGGTAAATCCGCTCATCTCCCTCCTTGCTCGGTAGCCCCGAAACGTTTTCTGAATAATGCGTGCAGCATCTCTCATCTCATCGCTCCGACTCGACCGCAAACTCTGCTTGCTTTCTTGAAGCGACTTTTGCCTCAGATGCTTGGTCCTTTGCCTAATTTCCTCCTCCTTCCCCTCCTGCACCCGAGCGATTCGCTCAAACTGATCTTTGGACGGCGGCACCAGTGAATCCATATATCGCTGTGATTTTGTCGACTTCGAGGAGAGGGTTGTGAAACTAGAGGCAAAGCTAGAAGTAGTCATGATGCCCGGCACCTCCCGTAGGAGACCACCTCCGCGGGGCTGCGGGGAAAAAGAGCAAACACTGGAATTCAATATCGACACTGCGTTATCCCTTGGACGGAGTTGTCTGTGCGAGGCGACGTCAACTTTATATAAAGAGGGGAGCCGCCTTTCGTCATTCGGGTTGCCCGGATGGGCCCTTGGCGCTGAAGAGGAAAAGCGACAGCTCGATGCTCGGCCAGGGTTCAGGCCTTTGTTGGTCAACAGGCCGAACTACGAAGCGGGAAGGCGGCCTTTAAGACAGTGATGAGAACTAAAAAAAAAAAAAAAAAAAGAGACGGTAGCCACGTCGACGGACCCAATAACCAGTTGCAGCTTTGCTGAACAAGGGAAAATGGGAGCAGATGCTGACCACTTATCACCGGCCCCTGGACTGGGTATACCTATCACTGTTGATGACGGAGTGACGCAAGGACCCGAAGGCTTCGGGATCCTCAATTAACAGCAGCTATGGGCAGCCATGGCAGATATAGGTGCCACAACCCAAGAGCACCGCCTCTCATGTGAGACGGGCGGCCATGTTGGTCTGAGACGTTTAGCAGTGCGGGCGCTACTTGTCCACAAGTATTGACGCACTAGGTGAAGGCAGAATATAACCTTGAATGCGGTACCCTGGCGGCGATTCCATTGCAGACAAGCAATATTACAGATAGAAACCCAGTTCGAGTCTCACTGTTTACATCTAGTGATGACGTGACGTGGGTCCCAGCCATCTTGCTAGTTCTGTTAGTAGACTACTAAAATAGGATTGACAGGCTCTTTAGAACAGAATACGTTATCTATGCATTTCAGGTAGTATAACGAACCCCGATCGATCACGGGTTCTCTGTGACCAGTATCTGAGCAAATACATGTGCCTGTGCTGTTACTGTTCACAAATGCGACATGTATTAATGCTCGGAAAGACCACGCACCTAAAGAGAAGTGAAGAGAAGGAGTGGCGATCATAATCGCTGTCCCAAAGGGGGCGCGGCAGCTGTCGTTCTAATAGGTGGCAGTACTAGGTACCTAGTCCGTGCATGCGCATTGAAATATCCCGAAATCGAAGCGATCTTGCGGTACGATAGATCGCCAAGGGAGAACTAAACGAGGCATGGTGCTACTATCCTTCTCCTAGTATTTTCTTGGCTGCTTTCTGTTTTGTCTTGTCATGGTGCTAGTATTGCTGTGGTCTCCTGTCTCAGAAGCAGGATATTCTGGGCCAACCAGAAGAGTGTTGGGTTCGGCCACGGCGAGCGACAAACATGAATGTTTGAGGCGCAGCGCAGCAGGCGGGTCGGAGAAGTGATTACTGACGCGAATTCCGGCAGCAGGGATGGGTCATCTGTGGCCTGTAGGGCTATGGAATATAATATTACTGTGCCTATTTTAGAGAACGGGTTTAATGGAAATACGGGCTCGACACATGAAAATCTGATGGGTGCTCCTGTCAGACAGCGCGTTTATTCCAGAAGCCTGAAACAAACAGGGTGTCCATCCCGCGCTTACAAGCACCTACTATTTGTAGTAGGAGTAATAAAGAACGAGCTGGCATTGTGATAGGCTTGATGGGATTAATGGACATGATGGAAGGGCGAATTGCTCTAAAGTATATACGATGAGTTGTTCAATGTGGGTGTCACCGAATCCTGCTACTGATGCTACTGATGCTGATGAGTGTACATGTATTTGGCAGGAGTGTTTTCATATGTGGGCTAACTGCCCCAATTTTGAACAACATGTACATATAAATGTCTGTCTTCTGGTGAGGGACTCTCATTGAACACTGTTTTCAGCGAACATGACCGTAAAAGGGCGTCGTTCAGGCCTTTCTTGTCCTCTGGATTCAGCGCAAGGATCTCTTGTACTGTTGTAGAAGCGACTTCGCGGCCGCGGAACTCCATGAGATCGTGAACAGTGACCGGCGTATTCAAAGACGTGATTTGCTTACACACGCGAGCAAATACTTGGTCCGGATCGTCCTACTGGAACTGTTCGCGAATCCGATCAAGCACGACCTTCTAAGTCGGTTGCGCAATTGGGCGAAACGTCATGTACAGTGATTTATTGTTATTAGGTCAAATGCATCGGTTGAGGATTTCTCTTGACGGGCGCTGGTACACTCCACGGAAAAACTATGTACCTCTAGCCATTTGTCGCAGTTATACGACTGGGTAGACTGCTTTCAGGGCGAGCCGGGAAGCTGTTGAGCTCTATACCTTGGCCTGAACGGGGGTTTTTTGATGGCGTTGGCAGCTGAACAACGTTTTCCAGCTCGAGAGTCGGAGCCTCCTTTGGAGCAGATACGGGATTCTCATTAAGCGGACTATTGCAAGCTCGACAGGGCCTTCTTTTCCAGCAGTCTCCTCTGGGATTTGGCGGTCAACATCAAAATATCTCTGTAATTTTGCCGCGAGGTTGGGGGGGACGATGAGTTTTTCAGATTATCAATTCCGCTGGCTCTGCGAGAACCGCACCGAGTCTTACAGGACGGCAAACCCTCGGTCACTGATAATTTTAATCTCCCACTAATCTTAACACCTGGCTATTTGATTGCCCTACCATCTACACTCGAGTTCATAGCAAAGGAGTTTCAAGAAATCGTTCAAGTGCCGTCTGTGTTGGCCAAAGTCGGCATGCATGGAACGCAGTTATGAACGCACCATTGCAGCACTTACATCACGCAACATGTAGTGGACAGTACCAAACTGCTCGAAAGTCTACACCGGAACAGCGCCACATGATTTCTGTTTGCTTTTGGGATTACGATATCCCATCCCATATCTAAGGCATGGCTGAGCAGACGGCAATACTTGTCTTCAACGCGTCGATCCTATTTCCCACACGACCACCAGGTAGTGTTCAGATTCCCAACACTTTTTACTCATGGGTTGTCCTGTTGATATTCAGCAAAAGATTGCCATGGACACCCTAAGCAGTTTACGCGGCTTGAATACTGCCACTCCATTAATTCAGGGAAAAGCTATCCGACACCCCAGGTTTCATTACCCAGCACTCCAGTTACACAGCATCAGTGAGAAACTCCTGCTACTCCTGCTATTATTTGACAGTAATTCATGCTTTTTTAAAGAGTGGTGTAGAATCCGAACTGATTATAAGATGATCAAGTGAAACAACCGCCAAAGATTGGATTTTAGATGGCGAGCAAGTACCTGAGATATCTTGCGGCTCACCACGGATGACTTTGCATTTGATGAGAACATCAAATCACCATTGTACATTGTCCATTCGTACACGTCATCACAGATTCCTTCACTACCATTAAACATATTATTGCAAACCTATATGACATAAAAGACCGGCCCCTCTAGGACGTATAAAAACTCAAGCTCGCATTTTAACAGCAGAATACATGCTCAAAATTAGATGCGAGGAATATTACCCAAAAAGGAAACCATGGAGCTCAATTTATCCAGCTCAGTCGTGCAGCAAAACACGTGGGTGCTACTTTTAGGCCTTTCGGCTAAAAGCGATGCGCAGTTTTCAAAAGCCCGGCTCCTTTCGGGGAAGAATTAAAAAGAGGTAAAAAAGAAGAAAAACGTCGCCGCGTGATTACGCAAAGAGAAAGTCCTTGAGAACAGGTGATCCCGAGAACTCTGGATTTAATAGTATACAGCTACAAAGATGGTGTTAGTTTATGTAGAAGCATTGAGCGTATAAATTAGGTTGTTGGATATTCCCATACTTTAGAAAATATTGCAGGCCAGCCCGGCGCTTTTCCAGGAACTTGGGTCGGAATTTGAATAACGCGCTTTTGGGTGGTAATTCCGGCACTGCCGCTCTGAAGTTGGGAAACGATTGTGTGAGTTTTCGTCGAAAATCGTCAAACTCGGAGTAGCGTTTCCGAATGTTCATGTAGCTTCCCTGTTTAGAACATGAAACAATTTGGTCAGTCCATTTGTATGACGTAGTCGAAGCTGGCGCAGACACACACACACGCAGACACATGCTGCACCAGGTTTGCGCCGCTCTCCGCAAAGGAAGCATCAACATTGAACTCACATTCATGGTTTCGACAGATATGTTCCACACAATAAAGGCGCCAATGTTCGTATTGCTGCCGTTCACAAAGATGAAGTCGGTAATCTCCACGCTCTTCGCCCAGCATGCGCTGTTCCTGTCGTCATCGTTGGTGTCGTTGTCGCGCAACCTGATTGCCTCGGCCGGTAGGAAAGACTCGGTTGACAGGTTGGAGATGTTTCGCTGGTGGCTGGCATGAGGCCAGTAAGGAGGAGGCGATGTGATGGAGCTCGTGTTAGAGATGGCGCTGTGCAGCGCCCCGTCGTTGTCGCCGCCACGATTGCTTTCGCTGGGGGTGCCGTGGCTGTCTCTGGAGGCGAGATCGGTGTTTATTCTGCTCAAGGTGCAACTCCGCGGCGGCGTTGCGCCGGACTCTGCAGGCGGCGATGGCGCTGCCCGGCTGGTCAGGTCGCCTTGCGCATTGTCCTGGTTTGTGTCTACAGCCGAAGCCATTCAGCCATGTGGAGTGAAGGAGTCGCAATGCTCGCGTGAGTATCGAGTCGATTGGCGTCGTTTTATTACAAATCGATGCGACGGCCGGGTCTGAATTCCTGAGTGTGTTGTAGCGCCTCGCTCGATAACACAATTGCCAGCGGGATTGCTCGAAAGTTTGAATGATAGAATGGCGATGCTGATGATGGTAAATCAAAAAGTGCCTGGTCGTCGTGATTGAGTGCCAAAGTGCTTAACAAAGCCGTAGATGTATGAGATAAGATCCTAAAAGGGACGCCTCTCAAATTTGTGGCCTATCAATAACCACCACGGCCTCCAAAATCACAGTATTAGTTCCGATAGTGGCGTAGCTATCCCCGGCAGCTAAGAGCTGCAGCGGCGTGGGTGGGGTCTATTCAGAAATGGGTCCCATTTTCCACGCTTGATGATTAGGTAATGCACTTAAGCTCTCTCGGAGAAAAGCTTCTATTCTTAGCTGCTGTTTTGTGAATGTTGAATCATGTCAATTCCTCCGTTAGTGTTAAAGCGGTTAACACGCATGCATTATGATAGCTGAAGAGCTCAGTGGAAGGCGGTTGGTTGGAATACATGAATGTTTCACGGCGTCAGACTTCAGCCGGATCCCATGCCGAGCTGGAAGAAAGAAGCATGCATCTAGCCGTGTGTACCATCAGCAGGTTGTGTGGTAGAAGTGAGCTCCTGACAGTATGAGATGACGTATGGAATAATGTGCAGCTACTAGTAATTATAGAAATCTATATTGATACATGTCAATACTTGAATGCGCTTTGTTCCTTCTAGGTACCTAGTGTTAGTTATATGGGCTCCAGTTCACAGCTATACAGCATGCTTATCTGCTTATTGCTGGTGAAGCTTAGATTAGCATCTGGGTTCCGTGACAAGAAAACGAAGCTTGTCATCATTCGCATAGGGGTCTCACTATTTCTCAGTGGCTGCTCCATGCGCAGTGTAGAAGGTACATATCCCTTGACCAAATTAGAGAAGAGAGCGATATGGCGATTGCAATACCATCAATCCTACAAACCAACACAAATCACATATGTAGATAGATATGGCCATTCCCGCCCGGAGCGGCCATTCATGGCGACCACCGCTTATGGCTACCCCTTTTCTCTGCCGACGCAGCGTCGTTCGGGGTTATCGGAGGGAGCAATGCTAACATGATCTCAATGCTCTCTCAGCAATGAATTGGGGGAATCGGAAGAAAGACAAGGCTCGGCATTCTGTAAACGGGCAAACATTGGACGGCAAGTAGCACAGGGTGGAAAGCCTCCCGTTCTGACGCCCTGAGTGTGCTGATCATGTCCGAGATGACGGCTGTGTTACTTGCACGCTGTCAATGGGCAAACGTTTGCGTCCTTACAGCTGGAGACTTTGACGTCTTGCCTGCATGCCTACTGCAAGTAAAGCACACGTTTCCGCCTGTCTCGCAAGCTGTCGTTTATTGCCATTGTCTCGCCATTTTGCGAGACATGCATGACACATGACGATCCCGATTTTCCCAGCTCGTGTTTACAAAGTACTTGGACAAAACGTCCGATTCATCACACGTACATGACAGTTTACGGCAAATGCTTGACCGTTTATTGGCCCTCAGAGTGAGCATTTTGATAATAAATCACCCCGTAATCCGTATTCATGCATCGGACCAAGCGTCTTGGCTCTGACCAGCGTGCGTTGGTCGGTATACGAACGAGTGCAGGACGTAACGGAAGAGTCATCGGTAGCATTGCGGGCATTTTGCCTAATGATATTAGCAAGATACCAAGCACTTTTGCTCTGGGCTGATCGCCGCCTGATGCTCATACTACGCTGCGTAGTCCGTAAAACTGTACATTAGCACCATCCCCACACCAAAACGGTTATAAACGGGGGGACGTTTCGGCGATATCGCACTCACAACCTCCCCTTGGCTCTCATTCGCGAATCGCTGCTCCTCCTCCACCCCAATATCGCTTTGCCCCAGATTTCGAGATCTACAGGCCAAGCTTTCTAGGTGCTCGACCTGGGAATCTCTGCTTTCCTATTTCTTCTCTCTGTACGGAGTACGGCACGATAGAATCGCATCCGATGCATCTAAGCATATTTGCCCTTCAGCCTTGATCTCGCGATGCTGGGGATGCTGGGCAAATTCTCCATAATGCCACTCGTATGGTGGTCCGAGGGTCAGACTCATGCTACGTATCCGTGGCATGTCTCCAGAATTTATGCCGAGCAACGTATAGCAACCTCCCCAAATAGGGACAGGGAATGGAGCCCGTACTGGGATGCATGTCTGACAGGTCATGAATTTGCCCTTGTCGTTCGTCGACTCCGAAGGAGACTCCGTTCAATGTGAGGACACGGGCCCCGTCAGGGCCAGAGCCAAGGGAAAATTTTCAGGATACCTACCAGGTAGCATGAATCGTATACGGGAGCCTGGTATGCATTCTTCTCCTCCCTCGCATCGCTAGCAAACTTTTGTATTTGTAGCGTGGCTGCACAAGTGAGATAATGGAAGCCCCGTCGCTCAAGTGGATCTCCCCACGAATGTGACTTTGAGTCCAGCCAGAAACCACGCATTCCTGCTGAATCTTGATATCAGCGTGCGGAGAGCACGGAGCTTTTTCACCTGTCGATGGAGGAACAATAGCCGTCTACTGGACGCAAGTGTCTGCATAAGTGCGATTGTAGCTCCCGGCTCCATTTGCATGCATATCAGAATACGAAGGCAGATGCGGCACAAAAAAGGATAATGCGAATGGAAGGGTGTATGAGTGGCCCTTGGGATTATCGTCAAGCGGAGAATCCTAGCTCAATGGAAGCTCGACTGCTTCCGGCGTCCTAGTGCCTTTTGGTAGGCTCGTAATTTCTGGATCCATGGGACTCTGCGGCTCGGCTTGGTGAATAGGCCCGCCTAGACGCAGCGCACCCGGAAGATGTTCGCTTGGGCATTGAAGATCAGCGGTAAGATATGGCAGCTATAGACAGCCGCTGCACTGCTTGGTGGAGGGAGAGGCTGCTGTGGTGTTTTGCTGCAAGTGTTGTTGGCAAATCTAAAGTCCCTTTGCCTCTGGAGAGAGAGACGCCTCATTTCCCGACTCGCCCAACATCTCACAGGGACACGTCTACTGTAAAAGGGGGGAAGCGCCACTGCAAGCTCGGATCTTTCCACTAGCTGGCGACGACGCGCTACCAGCAGTGCTACCGTGCGCTAGCGGACATCGGATTACCGCTTCCTGGGAGGTGCCTCGTACATGTACCGTCCAGCAGGCGCAAAGGAAGGGAGCCATTATCCAGCACCCCAGTTCTGTTATCCAACACCCCAAAAATAAAGAGAGAAGTTATCTAGTACCCCGATTATGTTATCTAGCACTCCAGCTGTAGCTTAGGCTGCTGCTACTGCTGCTACTGCTGCTGCTATTTTAATAAGTATTTGGCAGCTGTACATTTAATATATATACTGGCTGCCCTATTATGCTATGGTTGGGGTGTTGGATAATAAAATTAGGGTGCTGGATAACTTCTCCCCAAAGAAAGGCTCACGCAGTCAGCATCGAGGCCAGGTACCATATACGGAGTATATATTCGCTGTAGATGGTGGGGGCCTCAATATCGCCTGGTCACTAGGCCGACCGGGGTCAAATGTCCCCCAAAAACTAAGTGCGGATGTGCAGTAGCTGCGCGATAGTAGCTTTGGCGTCGAAGTATGTAACTGTAGCATCGTATATCGCAGCGTCCCGTGTTATTGATGCCAGTACAGTGGCTCACTCCGCGGCAGCCCTCGGCAGCGCAACTGGCCATTTCCACCGGAAGCCAATGTGTGAGACTCCAGCGGCCCCGGTTGCGTGTTTGCTGCGGCGGGGAACACGAAATGGAGCTAGGCCGCATACTGAAGCTGCGCAGTTGGTGCGTCCGTGTGCTTGATAGAGAAAGCTAGAGCTCGAGCTGGGGCCCTTGGACGAGCTCGCCTCCTGGTCTCGCCTCCCACCCTGGTCAATGGCCGAGTCTTGGCTTTTCTGGAGAGATTCCGTGCCGGGGCCCCGTTGCCGCCGCTGATAAAAGTGCTTTTCCTCCTCGGACGCCTCCTTCGATCCTCTCCTTTCTCTCGCCGCCGCTGCCATCTCTGTCGTTAACGAGTCCTTTGCTGAGCTCCTTCGCTGCTTGCCTTCGTTTGCTGTCTCTCGCTTTTGCAATTGCAATCCCTGGTGCAGCTGCCGTTTATATAATTGTGAGTTGCACAGAATCGCCCTTGTCGGGTGGCTCCTTGTCACCTTTGCATCTCGTCGACCTTGACTTTTGTCGTCTTACTCGCTTTACTCTTCTCTCTGCTATCCACCGACGCAATTCTTTCTTAAAATCGCATCACTAACATCGACTCGTTGCTAGAGCTTACAGTATCACTCATCTCTTCAACGCGAACGTCTCGATCCGTTATCGTCACTTGTATCATCAGCCACCATGGTATCCTTCAGATCAGTTTTTCTGGCAGCCACGACGGCCTTTGCCGCCGTGGCCCAGGCCCAGGAATCAATCGATCCCGACAGCGTGCCCATCGCCACGAGAAGTGAGATCATTGCCAGCAGATGAAATGCAGCCAGTTGATGCTAATAATGGAGCAGCATCGTGGTGTAGCTACGAAACCTCATCGTGCCCGCTTATCTGTTCACAAATTACGACCAAGAAGACTCTTGTGAACACGTGTGATCCCGTATGTGTATCCAGCTATGCTCCCATGGTATAACATGACTAACAGCCAAGTAGGACACTTTACAATATGGCTGTCTATGTGGAAATAACCAGCAGCCTAACATCACTGAATTCTCCTTGACACTGCCGTACTTCATTTGCCAGGAATTTGTTGTGCAGTGCAGAAATGCCTGTGGAACCGACAGCACATGCGCGACTAACTGCGCCGTCGACCACCCTTGCGGTGCCACTGATCCCAAGCGATACAATACGACTTCATCTGCCTCTTCCTCTATTCCTGACGCTACCCCTTCCGCTTCCACCACGGGCGCCGATACCATCTTTACCAACGTGCCTGGCACTACCAGTAGCGGCAAGGGAGGCAAGTCGATGGCAGCTCCCGCTGTTGAAATTCCAAGAGTGTATGGACTGGCGGCTCTGTTTGGAAGCATGTTTGTCGGCTTTGCCATGCTGTAATGTGTATATTCATGAGAAGGGAACAATGCGATCGAGCAAGTAATAGATTGCTCTTGTGGGATCGCGCATAATATCTGCTTGGTTTGCTTGTTTATTGGAGCGTGCGTCTGAACATTTGAATAGCGTTATGCGTACTGGGGGAAAGTTTGTCATGGGAATTACTTAATACTACTACCGAATGCACGTTTTGATACGACAAATTTGAGATTACTTCAACGTTCACCAAGCTTGCCAATCTTTTTTCTTTCTTTCTTTCTCTTTTTGTGCTTTTGTTCTTCTCTTGTTCTCTTGTTCTTTTCTTTTTGACCCACTTTGGATTATCTTCGTGGCAAGCTGGTCAGCCTTTCGCTTAGCGACAAAGAAGAAGAGAGCTTGAATTCTGGAGCCTTGGCTGGGAAGTCGCATTTAGCCTATCAAAATGGATCAGCGAAAAAAATGTCTCCTTATCCGGCGTTTATCACACATGACGCTTCAGAGCTCACGCGACCTTCTATAGGTGGCCGCCATCGGCGCCAGCAAAAGGTTTGATCCAGAGCTGGGTTCATATGTGTTTTGTCCCTTTGAGGCCAATCACAAACCTACTTTCCCAGCCCGTAATCATGCACATGATGATCGTGCATATGGCAGCTGCAAGGAGAAGGCCCTCTTAGTACTTAATCTACCAGCGCTGCGATTCAGTGTGCCAACGTCACGCTAATGCCGATACATGATGGAAAACGTGCAGTAACATTTGAACTCTCAATAACTCTGCTAGATGCGGTGCCCCAGCAGGTACCTATACTAAGCTAAGATGTAGACGTACAAGGAGATTTGCCAACAGGACCAGTAAACGGTCGTTTGCTGCTTGGCGCCTCAACGAATTCGGGCTTTCACGTGCTGGTGACGGTCGTTTTAGATTACCAGAGCGGGGACCGCGTCAATGATCCTCCACTAGACCGTGGGTGCTCGGGGCCATAGAAGCTCTTTGGCGCTCTTGGAGCCCTTTTGGGGGCTGTAGCGGTTCCAGCTCAGGGGATTTAGAGGCCCACGGGCAGATTTTCCGAGGCGCTTTTACCGGGGTCAGGACCACAAATCGCAGGTTTTCATGCACGCCTCCCAACGAAACCACACTCTTGGTCACTTGGCCGACCAAAAACTCTGTCTGAAGTTTGCGCAGCCTCCAGACGCACGGGAGCAAGGAGTAACCTACTAGTTCTGCCGCAGAAACAAACCTAGAGCAGCGGAAAGCTCCCCTGTGTGTCTTTTTTAAAAAGATCCTCCTGCCTCCCACCATCCGAGCCCCCGGCTCCCCCCCTCTACGATGTCTACAGTCAACACGCTGCCATTGCATCAAGGTGATATTACCTCAACGCGAGGTGGTAGCAGCATGGCCCCAAACACAAGTAAGTAAAGATTTTGATATGTCTTGCACTCGAGAGTACATATGACGACTTATTCTCTGAATGACGGCTGGTGGCTGGCCGTTTCCGGCGCTATCGACAATTGACGGCCGGGAGGAATCGTTCCTTTTTTTTGGTGGAGGTGGCAGCTAACCATGTTGGCGGAACAGAACAGGCCGTGGCAGAGTGCATCTCGGACGATGCCCTGATCCATTTGAAGTCGTACAAATACTCGAGCGTCGATAAATCACCAGTGTCGAAATACATACTTGGTCCTTGGGTACGGCTCACCGATTATTCTTCCCCCCATAACCGCATGACGTTGCCGTTCGCCCCCTACATGTCCATGCCCCTCCGCACGATCGACACCAGCCAAAAAAAAACGGAATAAGGAGTTTGATGCAAATGGTAGCTAACAATCAACGCTTTACAGTGGAATGCCTTTGTCGAAGTATTACCGCTATGGATTGCGCCGAATATGGTCACCCTTCTGGGATTCTTCTTTATTCTTTTCAACGTCGCCTTAGTGGTCATCTATATGCCTGATCTAGTGGGACCAGTACGTCACCAACATTCGACCGTGCCTGTGCGCAACTACAGGTTGCTTTGCTAACTGGGAGAAATCGTGCAGGGACCGTCATGGCTGTACTTTAGTTTTGCGTTTGGTCTTTTCATGTACCAGACGATGGATAACGTCGACGGAAAGCAGGCGAGAAGGACCGGCACTTCGAGCGGTTTGGGCGAGCTCTTCGACCATGGCATCGATTCGCTCAACTGCACTCTCGCGAGTTTACTCGAGACGGCCGCTATGGGACTGGGTACCTCGCCCTCTGGTGTCTTCACAGCTCTTATCCCGTGTCTTCCCATGTTCTTTTCAACGTGGGAGACTTACCACACGCATACGCTCTACCTTGGCGTCATCAACGGCCCAACGGAAGGCCTCCTCATTGCCTGCGGCATCATGATCATCTCCGGAATTTACGGACCCGACGTTTTCACGAAGCCACTCGCACATATCTGGGGCGATCACTTGGAGGGAGTGGCCCATCTCATCGGAGACGTCTCCTTCCGGGATATCTGGGTTGGCATGATCATCTTCCTGCTGGTCACCACTCACATCCCCTTTTGCGTCTTGAACGTAGCCCGTGCGCGCCAGGCGAAGAACCTCCCCGTTCTTCCCGTATTCTTCGAGTGGATTCCAATGGCCGTCTTCACCGTCTGCACTGGCGCCTGGGTCTTTTCTCCTTACAGCTCCCTCATGAACGACAACCACCTCGTTCTCTTTTGTTGCACAATGTCCCTCGTTTTTGGACGACTGACCACCAAAATCATCCTTGCACACTTGACTCGTCAACCATTCCCGTACTGGACTGTCATGTTGACCCCGCTGGTTGGAGGTGCCGTTCTCGGAAACCTTCCTCGAATTGGCTTCCCTCAGATTAGCCCTCAACTGGAGTTATTCTACATGTGGGGATACTTCGTCTTCGCAGTGGTGGTCTATTTCCGCTGGGCCTACCTGGTGATCACCAGCATCTGCGACTTCTTGGGCATCAACGCTCTCACCATTCCAAAGGAGAAGCAGCTGGCCAACAAGCTGGCCGCCAGAGCCGCCACCAAGCTGCACTGAAAGACGATTATCATTGACTTTTGCCTTTTGAAATTATAGGCTCTTTCTTCTTTTCTTTCCTCATTTTCTGTTTTCTATACTTTTCAATTCTTATTCCCTAAACACAGATGATGCCCTTATGAAACCAAGTTAGAGATGTTGATGCAGGATAGGATTTCAACACCCAGCAAGCAATATAAAAAACGGACGATTGGACGAGATTTCAACCACCTAGAAGATATGGTTTGGGGCAACTATAAAGAAACACAACGAAGAAGGGGAAGTGCAGCTTTTATATGAGCGACCTGATACTATGGCACGCATGGCAGACCGGCGTTGGATTGATGCTTTTGCGCTTCTATTATGAAACATGGTCCGGCCTTTGATGACTCTGGGCCACAAGGATGAATGATTTGTACTATTTTTCCCCCGTCATTTTTTCTCTTTCTATTCCTATTAATATCGGGACTCTATAGATTCAACCTCATGCTTAACAGTCAGTATTATGTCTAATAATATTTGAGAAATCTACGCAAGGCTCTCGAGAGGCATTGTTGGAGGTTCGCTTGGAATGCATTTGAATGACTTGAAACATAGAAACAGCAATATCACTGCCTGAATAGAAGAGAATTAAGACTCTCCAAGCCACTTGGGGACTAAATGGCGCCCAATGCAGTGTCTGCCAGGAACAGGAACAGGGTCCTAAGGGACTCCGCAAAATGCGGTTTAGCGGGGTTGGCTCCCGTAGCGCCGCAAGTGGCCACGACGCCCACTCTAGCTGATGCTAAGATAACGCCCAGAGCCTTGGTAGATAACAGATGAACTATAACGATGCTGCGGCGCTACGCAGTGACAACTTAATCTTAAACACAATCTTTGCCCGGCATTGCCTGTTCTTTTTTCCTTTCTCTTTTTGTTTTTAGTTTCTTTTCTACCGGGGGAGAGAGAGTGCCGTAGACCGCAACCTCGAACATGCCTTTCAACGTCTTGCGGGCATCTCTCGCGGTGCCGCTCGTTGGCCTCTTCGGCGCAGCGCTCGGCATCGGAACTCTGACGGACGACGACTTGCGAAACTTGCCATCTCCCGGTAACGATTTCGACATTCATAACGGGAAGCTTCTGGCTCCCATTCTCATACCGCGAGTGCCGGGCACCGAAGGGCAAATCAAGACACAGCGACACTTTGTCGACTTCTTCAAGAGCAGCCTGCCGGAATGGGAAATGCTCTGGCAGAACTCGACCTCCAAGACGCCGGCGACTGGCAAGAACGACATTCCCTTTTCGAATCTGATTTTTCGTCGCGACCCGCCTGGTTCTCGCGAGGGCGAGGTCGGAAGGCTGACGCTGGTGGCGCATTACGACAGCAAGATGGAACCCAAGGATTTCATTGGGGCGACGGACAGCGCGGCGCCGTGTGCGATGCTGCTGCATATTGCGAGGAGCATTGAGGGGGCGCTCAAGTCGAAATGGAGCAGTGCGGCGGGGGCGAATGATGGGCTGGACGACGATTTCGAGACGGACGTTGGGGTGCAGATTATTTTGCTGGATGGCGAGGAGGCCTTTGTGCGCTGGACGCAGACGGACTCTTTGTATGGCGCAAGGTACGGACTATCATATTTCTCTCTTTTTTTTTTTCAAATATCGCTTTATCTTCTATCGATACTGACACTTTGTTTTTCTCAGATCGTTGGCCCAAGCTTGGGAATCCGAGTTCCATCCTACAATGTCCACTTACAGGACCCCCCTACACTCCATCAGCCTCTTCGTCCTTTTGGATCTCCTTGGGTCGCCCAATCCCCGTGTGCCATCCTACTTTCCAACCACCCACTGGGCGTATAAGAACATGGCATCGCTAGAGAAGCGCATGCGCGATCTAGGTCTTCTCGAGTCCAAGCCCGCCCATCCCTTTCTCCCAGATGGAAATAAGAAATCCAGCGAATTCGGCTATGGGGGCATTGAGGATGATCACATCCCATTTCTGAGACGAGGCGTTGAGATTCTTCATCTGATTCCCACGCCGTTCCCCGACGTATGGCATACGATGCAGGATGATGGCGAGCATCTTGATATGCCGAGCGTCAATGACTGGACTAAGCTTGTCCTGGCATTCACGGCGGAGTGGATGGATTTATCTGGGCATTTCTCGAAAGAGCTGCCGAAGAGTAAGACGAGTGAGACGACGATTGAACCGAGTAAGAGGACTGAGTTATGACTGCATGGGGGGGGAAGATTATGATGATTTTTAGAAAACTGATCGTTGGTCACTGAGCGTTCATGTTATGTTGGCGGACCATGGCTAGATTGCAAGAATATTGCGGCCGGCATTGAATTGAATATTATTTTGCATATACTGATAAACTTGATCAAAAGATGCAATGACATTCATTCTCGCATGTATCTGTCTAGTTATACTTTCACCAGCTTTCTAGATGTCTCGTCTTGCGTCCCAGAGACATGACAGTGCATATTCATACAGTACATCATGTCGCATACACCGTGTGTTCAATGTGGCCACTAGCCAATCACAGCGCCCCACCTTGCGCCTCTACGGCACTACAACCACGTAACCTTTAGCACCAAAAGCTGTCTAAGCTGTCATCTTGGAGCAGCGTCTTTCCTCGTCCACCAACCGTCGTCTGCCACCATGCGTTTCTCTGTAGCCTCTGCAGTTTTGGCGCTCGCCTCCGTTGCTTCTGCTGCTTCCTCGTGGACGTTTACCGAAGGCACTGTCAAGGTGGCCTCAAAGAGCGGCAACGATGCGGTAGAGAAGTGAGCTTTCCCCCGGCTGCCAAGAAAGAGCTTCCCTTGGTCACTCGACCAAGTCTAATAACCTTTACCTTGTTCTTTAATGAGATATTTGAGCCGCCATTGCTAACAATTGGGATTGATTGCAGGTTTGACGGCGCTGCTCGTGTTCGAAACACGCTCACCTTGGGCCACCAAGACAAGCTCAAGGTTACCGTCGTCACGAAGGATGGCTCCAAATCGAAGCGACCGCACCAGGCTTTCCTCGTTGTCAAGGAGTCAATAACTGGCCTGGAGGCACCTTTCCCCTTGACCGTAAAGGACTCTGGAAAGGGATCTGTTGAGATTGTATGCTGGGACTCCGTACGAGAAACAATTGGCGAACAAGAACTAATACCAAACGCAGTCACAAAAAGATCTCCCCAGTCAACTGCTTCTCTCCGACAGCCCTCTCTCCGCTAGCCTCATCATTGCATCTTTTGGCTCCTCCCAGGGCTCGGTCACTCCTGTTTTCGACTTCAACGTCAAGCGGGACCCTGCTGCCACTGTCGAAGTCTCCGAGAAGCCGCTGCGATATGGCAAGCTTGCTGAGATTCACCACATCTTCCGAGCCGACCCCAAGAACCCTCCCGTAATCATCTCGCTTGTATTTTCACTTGCTGTTTTGGCTACCGTGCCAGCACTGTTCATTGGCGTACGTTGAAAGACATCACCTGGGTGAAAAAAAAAGAATATATATATGCTAACTTGCGATAGTGGTTTGCTCTTGGTGGAAACTTTACTCATGCGCAGAAGGCTTTGGGAAATGCCCCCATCTCGCACGCCGTGTTCTTTGGCTCAATCATTGCGATGGAGGGCGTCTTCTTTCTCTACTACACACAGTGGAACCTGTTCCAGGCTCTCCCCGCGATGGGCGTGGTTGGCGTCACTGCCTTCTTGAGTGGAAACAAGGCTTTGGGAGAGGTCCAGCGCCGACGCCTGGCTGGCGAGAGGTGAAGGTGATGAAGAATAAATTGGTTGGCTGACATTGGGATGGGAGGTTAGGTATTCTCTCGGTTCAGAAGCAACTGGGCTCTATCTACAAAGTAGTAGGATGGTGGGCTGAAAAGAGCCATTGGCATAGAGCGGAACGTGAATCGCTGCAATTGATGATATAAATGATGAGGAGATTAAGATGGCCTCGTCAAGATGATTAAAATTATATACATTTAAGCATAGATGACTTATTATCACGAGCGAACGAGGCAGATGAAGTCGTGCCTGTTCACCCAGTGAGGCTCAGCGCCAAGGACGCTACGTTGTCAACCATGTTATGATGATGTCAGCAGCTTTGACTGCCAACCTCAACCATCAATACGACCTCGGCGCGCGTTCACCATTAACACCCACTCTCTCTCTGAGACGGAAGATTTCAACATCTTTCAAGGCCTTTCTAAATTTCAGATCTTTTTTTGCATAGATTTGCCCTGAGAAGCAGATTATCTACAAAGCGCCATATTTGCCACGCAGTGCCGATCTGGAAGCTGCCGGCCAGCCTAAAACCAAAGAGCTAGCTGGCTTGTGATTCTTGATTCAAAGATTATTCTTCAGGTAACTTGAGCGCTTTGAATAAGTATCAAACATGTAAGTATTCCCTTATAGAAATGAATGATCCATCCCAGAGGGCTGCCAGAAGGACCAGTGTAACAGGTCGTTTCTTTCGCCGTGAAACTTCACCCGGCACATGTGTCTCGTTGCGTGCGCCTCATGTCTCGCATCGCTACTTTCTTCTTTTCTTTCTATCAGCCTTTGTTCATTTTTGCCGCGGTTGAAACTAAATGCTGAATCTATTGCTTCGCAGGGCGTTTACTCCACCATCTGCCGAGGAGACACTCAAGCACCCGGCCTATCCCTCGACGATATGGGCTCTGGAACCGCACCAGAAGGGCAAGTGTGAGGTCGGAAAGGGGCGGCCTGGAGGTCCTCTCAAGATTGCTTATGAGATTCATGGAGAGGGGCCGACTCGAGTTGCGGTATGATTTCACATGATTCATTACACGTCTTATTCTCAGGCTTCAACGTTACCGTACTGTTGCTTGTTTGTTTGTTTTGCTGATAACATTATGGATTTTCATAGCTCATCATGGGCTTGGCCGGTGTGAAAACCTCATGGCAGCGACAGACCAAATACTTTGGGCACGACCACGGAGACGAGTATTCCGTTCTCATCTTCGACAACCGCGGCATAGGCGACAGCGATAAGCCCCTATCCCGCTACACCACCGGCGCCATGGCCGTCGACTTCATCGAACTGCTCGACTTCATCGGCTGGAAGGAGGAGCGCTCGGTCCACCTCGTCGGCGTCTCCCTCGGCGGCATGATTGCCCAGGAGGTCGCCTACACCATCCCCGGGACGCTGCGTTCGCTGAGCCTGATTAGCACCACGGCCCAGTACGAGAGCGGGCCGGCCAAGTCCTGGACCGACGCATTATGGCAGCGCCTGGGGTTTGTCATTCCCAAGTCGGAGGAGCAGGGCCTGATTGATACGAGCCGGCAGCTCTTTAGCGAGGAATGGCTCGCTGCGCCGGACGATGCCGCGTCGCTGCCTTCGCCCAAGACGACGCCGCGGTGTGGCCCCGCGCCGGGCTCGCCCGACGGGGAGTATCGCGCCTTTGATAGCAATTTCCAGCGGTTCCAGGCGCAAGAGCTGTTCAAGAGGCGGCAGACCGGGTGGTTCACGCGGCAGGGCTTCTTGTGCCAGCTCATTGCCGCGGCAGGGCATAGGAAGTCGCCGGGCCAGCTCAAGGAGATTGCGGGTGATGTTGGCAGGGAGCGCATCTTCATCATGCACGGGACGGCTGATAAGATGATTACGGTGGCGAATGGCGAGAAGCTGATCAAGCATATGCAGCCTGGCGTGGGAATGATTGTCGACGACGTTGGCCATGCGGCTGGCATTGATAGGCCTGATTGGTTCAACGGCCTTTTGGAAGAGCGATTTATTGCGTGTAATAAGCTGATGGAGACGTACACATATACAACATGAAGAAGTAAAATCTATACAGAAGAGAGCTGGTATATGTTTATAGCAACGTTTTTATTTTGGATTCTTTGAATGCGTCAGAGCTGGCCACTAGGTATCTCTTTCTCTTTTCTAGAAACACAAATGCTTTCTTCCAGCGGACATTCCACATTAGAAAAGAAAAAAAAAGACAGAATAAGATGCTCCATCTATATACGTCAAACGTCAATTCTCTAAGGCAAGACCAGTCCGACACCACTCAGATTATTATCATCTAGCTGGTTTCTCTTGTCAACGCCTCCGGCTATGGGGTTAGCCCTATAGTTGAAGAGGTAATAGTGCAATTGGCCGTCGCCCGCGCCAAACTTTTGCTGCTCCAGGAAGAGGCCGTTGTCCATGAGAGACAGGGCGTTGAAGACGTCAAACTTGGCGAGCTTGGCGAGGATGAGGGCGTCGTGGACGAGGTCGTTGAGGCGGGCCTTGAGGGCGGACTTGTCAAAGGGCTCCTTGAAGGCCACGTCGGTGGCGTAGTAGAATAGGTAGGCGACACGGATGATGTCGTGCTTGGGGTTGTTGATGGCGGATGACTCGATGCAGTAGAAGGAGAAGAAGTCGGTAATGTTTTTGTTGTCATCCTGAGGAGCACATGTTAGTAGGGTTGATTACAAAGATTTGTAGAAGAAAGAAAAAAAGCAAAGGTAGATTCTTCATACCTCGACGACATAAGACCAAATGTACTGATCCTGGCCAGGCTGAGGAGTAGGGGTGAACCAGTGAGTTGCCTCCTCCTTTGACATCTCAGGGGCAATGTCGAATCGAGACATGTACCTGTCCATCAGCTTGAGAACGGCATCGATATCCGTGGTCTTCATCTCACGCAGGCCCTTGGTGTTGGTGCGATCCGGGACCGCATATTTGCGGATCTGGTACTGGGGCTTGCTTCCGTGCGGCAGGTGCACAAAGCTGCACTCGTACAGCTTCTGCCAGTCGAGCGAGCGGTGGTAGTAGCGGCATGTGCTGACGGGCTTGGGGAGGACGATGCCGGCGGTGTACAGGCCCTGCCAGATCTCGTGCAGGTTGCTGATGCGGGTGATCTCCTTGATGAGGACGGGGGCGAGGCGCTTGCCGCGGAGCTTCTTGTGGACGCAGAGGAAGTTGACTTCGGAGGCGGTGATGGTCTTGTTGCGGACTCGTACGCGCACAGGGATGGCGGAGATGAAGGCGACGAGCTTGCGGGACTGAGTGGCGCGGACACCGACGTGGTAGTGCTTGGCCCAGCCAGGAGGCATCATGGCCCTGATTTCCGTAAAATTCATGATTAGCAACGACATGGCTCTCGGTTTTGTGGGGAGAGAGTATGATGCTAGCTCACCATTTCAGAATGCCAGGTCCGTAGTTGAATCGGAACATGGCTTCATCATCCTCGACGTAGTGTCCGTTGAGCAGCTCATAGATCTCCTTGATCTCTTCGTCATTATCTAGATCCATTGTCACCCACTCAAACCCATCAACCAGTGCCGCAGGCTCCTTGGAGACGTCGTCGACCGTCTGAATCCTCAGGGGTCCCTCCTCAACCACCTTGTCGTCGTCGCCAAATCTGGGCACCGGCTGCGTCTGCCAGAACTTGTAAGAAGCCATGTCCTTGACGTTCTTGCCGGCCGCCGCAAGGCCCGTCATGATGTCCTGCAGGTTCATCTTCTTGAGCAAGTCCGAGATCTGGTCGGGCGAAGGGTTTGCGCTGCCGGAAGCCTGAGCCAGCTCCCCTGCGAGCGCAGGATTGAGCGCCAACAGCTCCTGCAGCTGCTGCGGCGTGAGGCCGCCGATGGCCTTTTTCAGATCGGCCTCTGCGTCGTCGGGCTTGCCTGTCAGGGCCTCCTTGAGCTTCTTCTTCTTGGACTTCTTCTTCTTCTTGCTGGCCGAGGCTGAGGCCCCGCCGGCGGCAGAGGCGTCACCAGCAGCTACTTCTTCATCGTCCTCCTCGCCCTCGGATTCGGCCGCGGCCTGCTTGGCCTTGATTTCGGCGTCGACCTCGTTGACGGCCTGGTCGACCGGCTTCGATTCCTCGGCGGGCATTTGTGCGGTGGTGGCCTTTGTTCTCTGTTCCTTGCGGCGTCGCGTGCGTTTGCAGGTTGCAATGCGCTGTGGTGGGGTTCAGGAACCAAATGGCCGTGTGTGGTTGCGACCTGTGGTGGGGTTGGCGATGGAGCTGGAAGGCCATGTGGTTGTTTTGGAATGCCGTTGCTGCCTGGGGCATACTTGGCTGTTTCACTTTTTGCTCGTTTTCTTGATATGGCATGAAACGCAGTCAATTGCTCATTTACGATATTTATTTCACTTTTACGTCCGTAAACATTGGCAGCCGATATCTGCCTATGATTCACCTGTGTATCTAGCTGTTCAGAGGAAGACCTACCTGGGTACTAATTCGTCTACGAGATGCAGCAAATCACAGACAGCGTGACAGACAGCCAATCACCAACAGGCACTTGAGCGTATTGAGCACTACCGCAATATTCACAGCCTCGAAAACAGCTTCGAAAACATTACCCTCAGCCTTTTCTTTACCTATTGGCTGAAAGGATTTCTGACATGTCTCAATCAATATAGTTTCCTACCCTAAAGCAAATGAAGATGCAACTGCTTGCTTTAATCCGCTAGGGCTGTTTAGTAAGAAATAGCGCTCATGATCTCAACATCCAATTAGGCGGAGTGCCAGAGTGGTTAATGGGTATGACTAGAAATCATATGGTTTCGGCCTCGCAGGTTCGAATCCTGTCTCCGTCGGAATGTTTCTTTTTGGCGCACATATTATGTGCGAAATTTTTTTCCTTGCCTCTCTTTGCGACTTTCGCGTATATTTCCATTGTGCTCCGCATCATCGCATCCAACATCCAATAGGCGGAGTGCCAGAGTGGTTAATGGGTATGACTAGAAATCATATGGTTTCGGCCTCGCAGGTTCGAATCCTGTCTCCGTCGGACGTTTCTTTTTTTGCGCTTGTTCATGCTAGAACCTTTTGCTTCTGGACTCAACTTGATCACGGAAGAAGACTGTTTTTTTTTTTCAACCTCTTCTACCTTGAATCAGGCCCTATTCTATTAATCGTACGCTGTGCCTTCGAGATCAAATGATCGTATAATTGCTAAGCTGACTGGCGCAAAGCTCAAAATTTCGTTATGGCCTTATGGTAGATAGTTAGAAGAAGAATGGTATGTTTTAGAAATGGAAAGACTTACCGCCCCAAGGGAACAATTCCTGACGAATGACTATATTTTCGCCAGTTGTCCATGTTGTGACGAATGATTTTTCACTGGTCCGAACCGTATTCGACTCTTTCCAAGCGTTGAATTCATCATCATCGAGAATGCCAATCGTCTCGTTCGCGGCGGCGTGGAACAGCTTATTGTCCTCAGTCCACGGAATATCGTTATCATTGTATGCATGCACCAAGCTAATCCTCAGCCTGCCTCTGGTGTGGCGTACAATGTTTGCAAGTCTGTTGGCTGAATGCCATTTGTCAACAATATACCTTTCGAGAAGCCGCTGGAAAGCCGGCCACATCGCGAATGGCCCGAGAGCAGGCACATAGCCTCCGAAGCGATAACCACTCAGCATAGTGGCCAAGTCACTGAATGCCGCGACTAGAACTATGCCTGCAAATTCAACTCCTTGGAGAGCATACCGCTCGGCGACGCCACTAGCAACTGCAGTTCCGAGACTATGGCCCAGCAAGACGATCCTGCTCGGGGGAATCTTTGCCACGTTGATGGCCCAGTCGACAACGGTGGCAGCATCTAGAATTAGGCCAGTTTCGTTGGGCATGCCCGTGGAATGGCCGAAACCGCGGTAATCAACGGCCAAAACGTGATATGACGAGGTATCAGTCAAGGCATGGTAGCTGTTTGGCCGCTCGTTTTGGGCAATGTGTCCAGCATTCTATAACTGTGAGCTGAGTTTCACAGTTTGGAAGAAGATGGGGCTTTAATGGTTAGCTTACCCCATGAACTGCGTAATTCCAGTTAGTTCAAGTGTTTACTGATTTATTTGGAGAGGAGATGTATTTACAGGATATGATGAGTCTCGCCTCTGGATCGTTCGCCAGCAGGCGGAACGACTCGGTTTGCGTAAAATTATCACAGAGGCCAATCTTTTGAGTTGCTACTGCGGCTTCGTGCTGCAGATAGAGAGGCAGCGGCATAATATGCCAAGCGTAGATTGTCTCTCCATCAGGAGTCTGCAGCTGAAACGGAGTTACCTGGTTTTCTGTTGGGATACACAGCGTGAATGTCAGAGGCGACAGCGGTCTCATAATGACGCATGGGGGGAATACGAACTGGCAAACCCCCAGCCCTCTGGGGCATTGATATCTGACCACCATAGCGAATTGATGGTATGAGCATACAGGAAGCTATGCGCATGTAAGACACGGCTGCAGCTCAAGGAAATGATGCTGCAATAGAACCTACTGTCTTTGGAAGAATGGTACCACGCCTAGCCCTATGAGAGCGACGTAGAAGGCCAGGGGCGCGGCGGCCACCCAAAGAGATGCTCGGAGAATCGGATGCAAGGGAATGCCCATGTTGATAGTACGCAATGGTGCATCCCTTGCGTTTGGGGTCTATGAATGAGACTGGAAGCCTGTAGACGCTTAGGCGAGTGGTTGAAGCAGTTTAGGCGGGTGGGGGATTTCGTAAGCAGAACATCGTCATTGCTCGATACCCCGTTGTCAAAGCACACATCTCCATGTTCTAATCTCAGTGAGAGGACGATGAAAATATACAGTCTATGCCACTGTAGGTCAGAAGTATTATTGAATGCTCTGCCGAAGATGAGCAGCGCCAATTCACGACCTGCTCTCCCAAAGCAGCGCGGCATCCTTCTTGGCGCATCCTCTCTTTGCTGCCATTTCTTGTGCCAACTTGACGCGGCCGTATACGTTTGATCAAGGTGTGGGCGCTATCGCTCTTACAGCCTGGTCATATGCAGGCTCGACACCCTTTCTTTCGTGGATGTATTCCCTACTCCCCGTCGGTATTTAGTATTTACAGAGGATGGGAGCATACTGTAGGATCCCATTGATCTGATTGATTCCTTATACATCAGTTTCCGTCCTGAGATGGTACTCTTAGGCTACTCATATTAGTTTGCACGGTAAATCGCTCTCCCATCTCCTTCACCCTTCTCTTTCCGCATTCCCTTGCTTTTTGTCTCGCACGTCCTGGTCCACGCCCGCAGTAGCGATGGAGGCTGGAAGCGATGTTACACGGCTGTAAGCATGATATATGTCCGCTATTTGCCGCTCTTTTGAGACATGTAGGCGGCGCACACACGCTAGATTGTATGTGCAAAGTATCTATGGATGTGGATGTGCGTGCAGAAGTTGGTGCATGCGGACAAGACGTTGGGCACTGGCGGCTGAAGATTTGAGGCTCAGCAGGATCAACCTTTTGGCTGCTCCTAGTGTATGCTGCATGTACTTGCACAGAGAGAGCATCTCATAGATACGGCTCAAAGGAAATGACAGGTTGATTGTTTTTCGTATATATGAATATCATCGAGGCCATGGAATCCGAGTGCCCGCTGTTCCTCAAACAGTCCTTCTGGCCGTTGGGAGAGAAACACTGCTCGTCCGTGTTCCTCGCATGCAGTCGAGCTTTGGAGGCGGCTCCCAAGCCCCGAAGAGCCCTAGCACTCGCGGCAGCGCTTTGTACCTGGTTGGGCTACGGCGTGCATCAAGCACTGTGAACCCGGACGGTGGAGAGGGGACGGTGCGTCAGCCTCCGCCAATCCCATGGCGCTGCCGGCCAGCCCCGTCCCTTTAGCGGACCAATCAGCAGGGGCTGCTGCTGTGCCATCGGGTTCTGCAGCACCGCAGTCCACCCCTAGCAGTGCCAATTAACGGCAGCTTCCAGGATTTGGACCAGCCAGCGCCGACTGCACATCGCCCAGTATTTTATCGCTGCTCGTCACTCTGCATCGTCACAGCCCTCTGCCCTCGCCTGCTATAGTCCTGCCGATAGCTGGGCCTTTGCTCGTCGCCCTTGCTGGACCCTCGCATGGCGCTCCTATGATGCTGACCCGCCGCCAAATCTTCGCCTGTCGCAGTCGTGTAAATCGCCTCGAGACGCGATGGAGAGGAAGCGGAAGCTCCCCGCGAGGACTTCGGCCCGCGTTGAAAACGCCAACAAACGTCGGAATTTGACGCCTCGTCAGGAACGATCCGTCACTCCAGCTCCTCCTCCTCCTCCTCCAGAGCCAGAGCCTGTCGTGGTCAAGGAACCAACGCCGCCGCCGCCGCTGCCGACCTCGATCCAGCCAGGAAAGCCGCTGCCAACCGTGGAGAGCGCGCAGCCCGGCGACCTGTCTGCCAAAGAGTATCAATCCGTTCTAGAAAGGTATGTCGACGGTGATTTGTCAAGTTGTCATTATGCTCGCTTCCTCTGACATTTTCCATCCAGCGGCGTCCTCGCAGAATCTCTCTCTCGGTCTCGATATCGCTGGATCAACGATGGGCTCTTTGAAAAGTTTTGGACCAAGCCTCACAAGCGCAAGGGTGTCGTCAACGAGGACCCGAAAAATCCTCCCAAGGACAGCATGACCAAGGTCGGCTCAGTTACCATTACTATTGAGCCTCATATAGTTGAAGCCACCATGTTCGTCGTCAAGGAAGCCAAGCGTGCTCCCCCGCCTCGACCACCGCAGCAGATTTCGAAACCGCCGCCAGTGACTCAAACGCAGGCTCAATCGCAACCACAGCCGTTGGCCCGACCAGTTCTCCAGTATGGCCCTCCAAATGGCTCTATGCCGCCTCCGCCTGGGCCTGGATCGTCAACACCAAGCCAAACCCCAGTTGCAGCTACTACACCAAAGCCTGCTGCCACCCCGAAGGCTGCTCCAAGTCCTTCTCAACGGCCACTGCCACCTTCGCCGAGCGTTTCAGCGCCTCAGCCTACACCATCACCGCTCACGACTATCAATGTAGCCACGTCGCCATCACCAGGCCCGGCGTTTTCTGCGCAACAGCCCGCTGCGCCCCCTCCTGCACCTCCACAGCCTCCTCCGGCAGCTGCACCGCTGCCCCTGGCTCGACCACCTCAGGCGCCTCAACCGCCCGCGAATCCCGTACCGGCACAGCAGCAGCAAGCTCGCACACCATTGGCAAGGCCGCCTCCGCCTCCGCCGCTAATTATACCGGCCAACAATCCCCGACCACCCAACGCAAAGCCTGTTCCCAACGACCCGGTCATTGCCCTGCTTGCGCAAAAGGCTTCGGGGGATCCTGAGCTGCGTGACCTGATGAAAAGAGTGGCTGTGGGCCAGGCCCGGCAAGGAGAACTCGATCGCTTCCAGAAGATCATTGATCAATTGAATGCCGAGTATCGTCGGAGTGGTGGACAGCAGGGTCCTTCGGCCGACAGGCTGCTTGTGGATGGAAGAACTGTCAAGTACTTTGCAGATGAAGTGCGGACCATTCTTGACATTGTTCTAGCGTCCAACCCTCGTCAGAGGTCAAGCGAGTTGAGACCGCCGCCAAGGAGTGACCCCCTCGTGGTAATGCTCGTAAAGACGGCATTGGAAGAGCCCAAAACTAACGACATGATTCGACGTATCGCAGGAGGTACCCCTGGTTTTACGGATGCGACAGACCTCAAGGAAATTCTTGACCGACTCCACAGAGAAGCAAAGCCTGCGCCGCAGACGCTGTCTACCCCTGTCTCGGCAAAGCAGCAGCCCGGCGATGCGCTCAATGGCCAGGCGAGGACTTCGAATCCCCCAACACCTCAGCAGGCAAATCCCCAAGCGCTACGTTCAAAAGGGCCTCCACCTGCACCGAAACCCGATATTTCTGCCGTGGTGTTTGATTTTGGAAACGGAGATCGCTACCTGTTTCCTAAATTCAGCATCCTGGAGTATCTTCCCACCCCATCCGGCCAGGAGGTGGTTGCGTCCTTCCTCATCGTGCGCAAGGGCAGCATGTCCGAGTATGGAGGAGACCCCGAGCTTGACTACTACCAGCCCGTCACAATCCGCATTTCCACAAGTACTGGCCGCTATCTAGAGAACTTGATGCGTGTAGTGGCGCCTCAAGATGAGGTACGGCGTTATATGGATGATGTGATGGACAACATGACGCGTGCCGAATATGTGCTCCTGGCAATGCAATTACCAAGGGTGTCAAAAGATGAAAAGGCAAACGGCGCGGCCGAAGAGCCCAAGACCAACGGAGCAACGCTCAAGGTTGAGACGGACTCTGATCAGCCTGTGGAGGCGAAACCCTCTGTCCTGTGGGCAAAGACAGCTAACCCTGCCAAACAGCTGGAGTTTTTCAAACCGCACGATCCAGAGGAGGAGAACGAAGCCAAATACAAGCGGCTTATTCAATCAGTGACGGCTAAAGACGCTTAGAGACAGCTTTCATTTTGATGACATAGAGTGTCGGAGACGCTTTGTACGGCTAAAACTTTTTTTGTTTTTTTGCTTAATTGTTACTTATATGCTTCAGAGAGATGTGCATTTCATGGAGCGGGACTAAGGGGTTTGGAGTAATGGTATTGGGCAACGGATGAAATGGAATAATTTTGTTAGGACGTCTCAACACACGGCAGCTGTAGGACTCTGTACAGCTGGGGTCTTTTTACTCTTGTTTTTTCTTTCTCCTTTCAGGTTCATGGGATATTTTTGAATAAATGAGGCGAATTGGGCTCCAAGGCTACGCTAGACGGTCTTTACCTACCATGAGTGATGCATGAAAATGAAATATACGAATAAAAAACAAGACCCATGAAGATCTAAAAAGACCCAAAAAGAGAAAAAGAATTGAAATGCAACAAAAATAGAACCACCTCTGCTGAGGTGTGGCGGATCTCTCCCGCCGGGAATTGAACCCGGGTCTCAAGCGTGACAAGCTTGCATACTGACCACTATACTACGGAAGATGTACCAGGCGTTGGCGCCTGTGTAGCGTGGTTGGTTCTAGTTGTAGAGGGCGGAAATTATTTTGCTTAAGTCAGTAGGCTCCGCGCAAGGTGGGAGATGCGAGAACGTAGGTATCCTATTCTCGAAAAACTGGGAGAGAATTAATAGGCACCAACCAGGTAAACGAAGCAGGCTGGTAAGCATACATGAGACTAATAATAGTGCTATTGAATTCATTCAATATATTGTACCCATGTTGTTCAAGCCTAGGTATGCTGCTGTTCAACCCTATGCTGTTGTTACATGTGCAGCGTGTGTAGACGGACATTCCTCGCTGACTCAGCAGTTTACGGTGACGTTTACGGTTGACTTCACTTACCGTCAAGGGGCTAGGCAGCCTTGGGTGGGCTGCAGAAACTCAAACCATCATTGATCCATCGTCTCAACAACTCTATTTGCCCAATAACCTTTCACTTAATGTAGCTCTAGCATACTTGTCCTCTCCCTTTTCCAATTGAATATTTGTTGCTGTATTTGTGATACCCTGCGCTGAAACTGAAATAAATGAGCATTTGTTACTTCCTATCACTACTTCGCCATGGGCCAAGCCCCCTCCCAGGATCGCAGGGCTCGAACCCATGAACAACTGACACACGAGCTCGTGAGCCTCACAACGCCCAGCATGACAGATGAGCAAGGGTCGCTAATCTTGCGTGATAGGCATACAGATTCAAGGAAAGGTGCTTTACGTCGATTGAGTATTACTCGCTGAAGGATGTGTTCAAGAACCTGGCGGACCAGCAGGGAGACATTCGGTACCTCAAGGAAGACACCATAGCTCGATTCTTGGAGATCCCAGACATTCTTGGAGCATCGCCTGTAATTTTCCACATGGTCTCGTATCTTGGTGCTTTTCCCTTCCTGCAAGAGGCGCCGGTGGTGTTGGAGCTTGCGCAGCTGATAATGGTCGTTGTCATCATGACGGAACGGTATAAACGCGTCCTCGCCAAGGGTTCGACAGACAGAACAAAGCTTCTCTTCAAAAGTCTAGCGGTATATGACCGAAAAGTGATGGAAAGCGAGACCAATGAGGAGGGTTCTTCTCCTTCTGACAGCGCCAGGAAGCAGCCCAGTACCCAATCTCAGCCCAAAGGGTTTGCAGTTGATCAGCCTGGCCTAGGCGATGAAGACGAGGACGAAGAGGATGACGATGATTTGGTTCTCACGGCGTTTGAGTTGCTCAATGTCAACGAGGCGATCAAGCGGGGCGACGTCTCTACTATTCACGAAGCGATTATTCCAACGGATAATTTCCGAAAACTGATAATGCTGTTACTACTAGCTGCCCCTTTGGATCCGCAGGAGAGCTTGTCGCAATATTCCACCCGGGTCGCGGATCAAGAGTTGGAGTTGCTCCGAGCCACGGCAGAGTGTGTCCTGGCTGCCTTTGTTAATGTTGAAACCTCCCCAGGTATTAGATATACTCGATTCAAGACAATTATCCCGGCCCTATTTCCCAACCTCTTTTCTGGATTCAATGGACTTTTCGAGCACTTCCTTTTCTCCAAGGACCTCGACTTTTCGAAGCGCAAGGACAATAAGCCCGGCGAGCCACAGCATATTGGCAAGATGGCACAGCCTTTATTACCGACCCCCGGCGACATCCTAAACGAACATACGCTGTCGCAGCTTTCACTATTTCTTCCTGGCTCCTCATTATTTCGAAGAGTAAGATTGCTGTATTCTGGCAATGAGGCTGGGTTTTCCATGGGAAGCCTCGAGTCCAAGATATTCAACTGGAGAGCGCCAACGATCCTTTTGGTGAGCGGAACAAGATTAGAAGATACCCCCGATGGTGGCCAGGAAGCTTCATTTGCTACCTCGCTTCCGCCAAAACGTGTGCCCCACGGCAGCAAATCTGAGCGAGTGACGTTTGGGGCTTATATCAGAGAGCCATGGAAGCACACCCATCGAGAGTGCTTTGGTGATTCTGAAACAGTTCTCTTCCAACTGGAACCTATCCACGATGTCTTTACCGCCAGCACCATCAACACGGACTATGTTACTTTTACAAAGCCTCCCGGAAACCGACCTTGTCTCTCATTTGGATGTCCACATCCCAAACCAACACAATCCCATCGCAAACAAGGTCTGCATGCCTTGGGAGCCGTATCTTTACTATTTGACGAATCCTTTGAGTTTGGAGTGTTCAACCATGACTACAAGTCAAGAGGAGGTGCTTTCCACACCAGCATTGTGAGAAAGTTTGACTTCCAAGATCGGTTCCGCATTGAGAGCTTGGAGGTCTGGGGGTGTGGTGGCGATGACGAGGCCAAGGCGCAAGCAGAGCGATGGGCTTGGGAAGAGCGAGAGGCCGAAGCCCGCCGAAAGATTAACCTAGGAACGGGCGATATCGCTGCGGATAGAGCTTTGCTGGAAATGGCTGGCCTGATAGGGGGAAATCGCAGCGGTGGCTCAATGGGTTAACAATGGCACGACGAAGGTTTCAATCCCATTTTCGTTGCTGAAGGCCTCCTTGAACCCCTCTTTGTTACAACACAGTTATTATTATCATTACCTAGGTATTATTTTGGGTACGTCATAGAAGCAATCGACATTGTATAGATGGCCGAGAATGATACCTGATGCAGCTCGTCATAGCTGTTTCCATAATAATTGGAAATATCCTTGGAGTAGGGGGCGGCTTATATCAATGCCCTTGATTCGAACTACCTATCGTACATGCTCATACAATTTTTTTTAACAACAGATTATGTACAGCGCTTTTCAGTCGTTTGGCCACCCATATGGCTGGGTCGGTTTCGTCTTTTTCTGTTTATTTCTTGGACTCATCGTCCTTCTTACCATAGATTTCACTCAGCGCGCCCAGAGAGCTCTTTGGGTTCTCTCTTCTCGACTTCTTTTCCGACGTAGGTTCTGCAACGGCTTCAGCCTTTGCGGCCTCCGCCGCAGCCTTCTCGCCCTTTGACCACAGTCCCATCTTGCCTAGGACTCCGCCGGTGCCTTGCGTCTCCTCTCCACCGGAGGCCGAATCTGACTGGCCCGTCGAGCGACTGGATTGTTTCTTTTGGATCAGGGCCCTCATGGTCTTGTCTTCCTCGTCACGAGCTTCGAGCTCTCGGATCCATTTCTGGCGCTTCTCTTCCGCGTCCCGCTCGTCCTTGAGCTTGCGCAGCTCCTTGGTCTTTTCACGGTCCTTGCTGTAGTACATGCTTCCGGCGACCATGGCGACGACGGTGAAGCCCTGGGCGGCGATACGGGCGCGGAACATTTTGTTTGCCTGTCTGGAATCGCCTTTTCGGAGCGCGCGGTAGGCATTGACGAAGGCGAGGACGGTCAGGCCGATTCCTGTTGTTTCGGTTGGTTAGCTGTTTCGGTTCTGGGCGCAGAAAAGGGAATTGAGTCTCACCAAGAGGCACAAGAGGCTCCTCCTTGAGCTTGCGCTTGACCTTTTGCATGGGCTTCTCATTGTAGGCCTCCCTGTAGCTATGCGTTAGAGCCGCATCATGGATCGCTGGAGCAAGCAATGGGGCAGGACATACTCGTCGTCAAAGGACGAGGGAAACTGCCCGGTGAATTCCGGAGGCCGGTCTGCCATGGTGGTAGATAATATTCGACTAATAATAATGCAAAGGTGAGGGGGATTCAAGTAAAGAGCTTCTGAAAACCTGCAGAAGCCGTGGATGAGGATTCAGATATAACGTCTTGGAAGCTGAAAGTAGACTTTTGGCCATGACCACACGACTCTAAAAACGCACGATTGGCGGCCCCTCCACTTTCCACTTACATCAGGCGGGATGCCGGAGCGGGCCCCGCCAACAGCTGTATGTAATCAGCTCTGCCGGCTAGAGGGTGCTAGCGGTACGCAAATATGGAGTACTGGCGCCGCGAGCAGCTGCTGGCAAAGATACCTCTGCTGCTTGTAAGCAAGCATGTGCTGCTGTAGCCAAGACGTCGAGACCACCGATTTCTAAGAGGGCGCTTCTTTCTGCTTCTTACACCAAAACTCTACCGAAAACAGCATCTATCTGCGAGGGCTCCAAGCCATAACACGCCAGTCATACGTCAGTAACACGGTGCAACAGTGATTTCAGCAGAGCAACATCGGTAGACCATCGACAGGCCATCGCGCCAACGCCCCAACAAGCTGCTCAGTCTCCAGCAGATCACCCGCCAACCAGCTCTTCGACCTTGGACATCTGCTGTAGCGAACCACGCACGATGCTACAACAATAGCCATGTGGCTTTCGACTCCATCGGCCGAGTCTCTCACTCGGCCGCGAATCGCCGTCGCTCTCGTTTCAGCCATTGCCACAGCATCGATTGGATACTACGCCTACCAGAGCCGCTTCAACTCCACGCACGTCGACATTCTGCCCGGCGCCGGCCTTCACAGGAGCAACGCCGTCCGTCGAAGCAGACGATGGTCGCGCGCCGGACACAGAGCTAGCTCGAGCACCTCTTCTTCGGACGCACCGGGCGACGAGAATGTGGAAAATGCCGAGAACGCTGAGGATAGCGGTGTCCAGCCCGCCCAGCCGGTGGGCGAAGGCGACCCGATAGAGGCAAACAACGACGAATGGTGGAACGATCCGAACAATTATCCTCCCCAGCAACGAGCTGGCCACAATATTGTTTCCCTCCTGTTTCGCGTCTCGGAAGATAATGCAAAGCGCAATGGCTGCGTTCATAGAGGATGCCAATGTAACTCATGCGGCATGGTTCCTATCCGTGGTGTTCGCTACCGATGTGCCAACTGTGCCGACTTTGATCTGTGCGAGACATGTGAATCTCAAGGAGTTCATATCAAGACGCACATCTTCTACAAAATTCGCATACCGGCACCCCCATTCGGCCCGCGGCAGATGCAGCCGGTCTGGTATACTGGAGACCCTGATAGCTGTCGACGCAACCTGCCTCGAAACCTGATTGCCAAGCTTTCGAGGGAAACTGGGTTTGAAAGGCCGGAACTGGAAGCTTTCTGGGAACAATGGACATTCATGGCAAATACCGAATGGAGAGACGACCCCAACGACCTCGGCATTGCCATGGACCGCAAGACGTTTGAGCGATGCCTCGTACCGACAGGCGGCTCACGACATGCTTCGCCAAACTTGATTCACGACCGGATGTTTGCCTTTTATGACGACAACAAAGATGACCTGATTGGATTTGCCGAGTTCCTACGGGGCTTATCCTACCGCAAGCGAAAAGATAAACTCAAGAAAGTCTTTGACGGTTACGATCTCGACAACGATGGTTACGTCGATAGGCGTGATTTCCTACGCATGTTCCGAGCCTATTATGTCCTTTATAAGCAGATGCACAAAGATATCCTGGATGGCCTTGAAGACCAATTGCTCGCCAGCTCCGAAGCTCAACAGCTCGTTGCTAGTCGCCAGCCGCTTAGTAGCCTTTTTGGACGAGAGGGCAGAGTTCCGACTGCGGATGGACCCTTGGCATTTGACGGCAAGAGAGTCTTCCCTGATGGACATGTTGAGATAGAAGTGGGAATGGAAGATGCTGTTGTGAGCGACGCGAGCGACACGGCTGCTCGAGATGAGATTCTGACCGACCTCTATGCCTATGACACCGACCCGTACTCGAGGCGTAGGATGCCCCCTACAGATGACGTTGACACCAACTGGCGCACTGTCCGCACCCTGACGACGAATGATGTTGACCGATCATATTTTTTGTCTTTGATGAACCCACCTGCTTCTCTGGATGAGCTGCCTGCCGCCATCGTGGGCAACAACGAGGCCGACGATAATGCAACAGACGAAACATCTGAGGATGGAGAAACGGATGACAAGGATGGAGACGAAGATCACGACCGTGACCACCCCGAGTACTCCGGATCACAGTGGCACGACTCTTTCTCTAGCATTTTCCGAACTGGTAGATTCCCGACGGAGAGCGAAATCAGGGCAAGTTACGTCGCCCATTATCGCCAACATGGCCCCAGAATGAATCGAAGACGCCAAGATCTGGCCCGACGACAGCTTCACGAAAGGTGGAAGAGAAGGCATTTCTACCTGGATGAAGAAGAAGGCGGAGAGGCGCCCTCGCAATGGGAAGAGGAAGAAGACATCCTTGGGACATCTGGCATCATGGGCGAAAGCTCCAAGGGCGCCAGCCCGCACCGCGCGTCAACACACTCCCGATCCAGTTCCAAGGCCGACTTTGCTGATGACATGAATGATTTGGAGACTCGGTCCAATAGCTCGACGTCATTCACAAGCCAGCCCGAACGTTGGGCGGGGCTGGGAATTCCTGTTGCTGAGAAAGATGCTGGCAAAGAGATTCTTTATCAAGTCACACAGCAAGCATTCAACGAACTTTTAGATATCATCTTCAAGCATGCCGAAGATCTTGCGGTTCAGGCAGCCGCAACCAAGGCACAGCGACTAAAGTACAAGGACGCAATCGACTCTGTCAGCATGGCAGATGAAAAGGCAGATGACGGTAATGGTCAGCAAGAAGAAGTCCCGGTTTACACAGAAGCGTCTCCTCGAAGCAAGACTCTTGAGGAACTCTTGGAGGAATCCGGATACATGCTTGACCAGCAAGATTCGCGGAATGCGGTGGAGATTAGCATTGTGGAAGAGATTTTGCGAGATGAACAGGCCGGTGGGCGCTTGTCGGATCAGGGGGAAAGTGAATCCGAATCCGAATCAGAGCCCGAAATTGACGGCGAAGACAAATATCGTGATCTTACTTGGCCACAGTTTCGTCCTAACAGTCATGCCTCTGTGTCTCCAAGCAGTCAGCCACCAGCCTCGTCCAAACGCAAGGCCAGGGTACTCTCTAAAGATGAGCCCCAGGCAGATACACATCGATTGGCGACTAAAAAGTCATCCTGTGAACCGTCGCTTAAAACTCTACGGAGATGGAAGAAGTTGAATGTGGCTGAGCAACAGGCAGCCGAGCGGGGAGGCTGGGGCAGGCTCAACTTTGCAGAGTTTGAGGATATTTACAAGAATCAAGAGCACCAGGGCAACAGACTGGACTACCTTGGCAGCTGGATAGACTTTTGCATTCCCTAGAGATACGGGATAGAAACATTGTCTGGGCTGCCCCGGTCTTGATATTTATTTTATGTAGGCGCCTTGGTTGGGATGGCTCTAAAATTGTATGTTATGACTTGACGCTAACAGCGAAATCGAGTGGAGGAACCAGCGTATGAAAGAAATAAACAAAAAATAAAATAACCGAGAACTAGATGGAAAAAAAATTAAAATTGAAATGGCATGTACAACCCGCTGCATGGTTACAAAGTGAGGAAAGCCCAGGGGGGGTCATATATAAATAAACACGGTTCCAACTCAAAACTTGAAGAAAACATTACCATCTTTAAACAACTCTTTACGCTCGCTTGAACCAGCTTCTCAGCCTGTATTCCATATTATACATGCTCTCATCTCCAACGTCATAGCACTACCACTACCAGCCTGAATCCCGTATCCTATAATCTGACAACCAACTACGACATAATCACAACGCAAAGATGTCTCACAAGTCGCAAAGAAAAGAACGTCAGAGGCAACAAAAGATGCAGTTGCAGGAGCATCAGCCACAGCAGCGAGCACAACGCAGGCAGCGAGAACAACGAGAACAACGACAATGGGCAGAACGGCGAGAACAAAAACGACAGCTGCGGCATGAACGTGAAAAACGAAGGATGCTCCAGAGAAGTTACAAGAACAAAGCAAGTCAAACTGACTGTGTACAACCGCTGGTCCGCACAGAGCCTCAAGTAGAGCACATCCAAGAGCCTCAAGTGCAGCGCTTGCCTCTCCTTGACCATGTCAAAATGTGGATGTTCTTTTTATCGCTGGGGCTCTGTCTTGGATACTGGATCTCGTGGGTATTCACACGGAGAGCGCCGAGGGCTTCTGGGGCGATGAATCTGGCCATGAGAGTCGCTGCGGCTGAGGTTGGGCGCGTTGTGTTTGGCCATGTCAACGAAGTGGCCATGTTCTGGGCGAGTGTTGTGAGCTCGTATGGGGGATTCTGGGAATACGTACTCCTGCTGGCGATGCTGGTCATGTTGGTTGGGCATTACGGTGAGATGTACATTGTGAGACAAGAGTATGTGCTTCTTCTTCTTTACTGTCTTGTCTGCTGGCAAGATTTTGACTAATCACTTTCTCTAGGCCAGCTGAAGATGATCCCCACGGAGACGGAGACGGAGACGGAGATGTTTCGGAAGACTCGAGCGAGGATGGTTTCTTTTCGCTAGATGATTTCTATGCCGTCGGGGGTGCTCTTGAGGAGGAAACATCGGGACCGGAATCAGAGTCAGATTCAGAGGATGTTGTTGCCAGGGCCGCGTGAAAGTGGTTGTTGTTTGTTGAAAGGCTTGCGAGTTCTTGGGAAAAGCTGTCGTGCTGGCGTTGTTACGGACAAGTCTTGCGCATGGCGTACTTTGGCCAAGTTGCGAGGCGGATATTCCTGCGTTCTTTTCTCTTTCGATCGGTTGGGCTTTTTTTTTTATTTAAGAAAAAAAAAAAAAGATGGAAGCTATATAGCGTGGGGGGTGTTGTCTTGTTTTTGTTTTACTAGCGACACTGTTTACGAATATTACACAGCGAGTATGAGTATTTTATCACTATATGATTCATGGTCTGGAAAGTAAATGTTTTAGATTACAAAAAAAGTAGAGTTATCGTAATTCATGCTAATGCTGTTGCATCGTCTCAATTGCTTGAGATACCCCAAAGTACTTTGTACTTGCTATGCCTAGAACGCCAGCGTGATAACTGCCTGTTATCTTCACACGCTCTCAAAAGTTCCCAACGCCATGATTTATGCATATTCCAAAACAATTTGACACGAAAAATAAATCTGTAGAGACAGTACTTATACGTCACCCCTGTCCAGCGCTTTTACAAGGACGTAGCTCGTTCCAGCGGCCAGCACGCCGATGATGAGCGTCTGAATGGCACCCCACAGACCAGCTCTGTGATTCCGAATCGCAACGTAGTTTTTGACGTATCCGAAACCCAGCAGGATGATGACGGTGACGGCAATGGAGACGAGAAGAGCGTCGGCGACCTTGTCCATGATGAAGTAGGGAATCATGGGTATCAAGCCGCCGACGAAGTAGCTGAGGCCCATGGTGACGCCGGAAATCCACGCGCGGTGGATGTTTGGCTTTTCGAGCCGTAGCGAAAAGTCCATGCGGAAGCGGATCCACTGCTCACGGTTCTTGCAGAGCTCGTCCACCAGGGGGGCCGCGGCGGCGCGAGAGACGTTGTACTTTTCCAGGATGCAAAAGATGTCGTCTCGCTGCTCTTGCGGGAGGCAGCAGTCGGCCTGCTTGGTCTCGCGCTGTTTCTCGGACTGGTAGTGATCGCGCTCGGTGACGGCGGCGAGGTAGGCGCCCAAGCCCATGCTGATCATGCCGGAGAAGAGCTCGGCCAGGCCGCCCATGATGACGAGCTTTGTGCTGCCGAGGCTGGAGAGGCCAGCTGTGAGGGCAAAGGGGACGGTGAGGCCGTCTGAGAAGCCGATGATGACGTCGCGGAGGACGTCTGTGAGGTCCATGCTGGAGGAGACGGAGGAGGAGGAAGATAGTGAGGACGAGTCGGCTTGGGGGAGGTATTTGGAGTTCCATGGGCGTTCTATGGCGGGCTCTGCGGGTAGGAGGGGAGTTGATTCGGATGGTGGTTGAGACATGTTTTGTTTTTTGTGAGCTGAAAGCGATGAATAAGAGAGAGGCTTGTTGATGGTGTGAATAGTTGTAATGGTGAGTGGAAGAGATCGAAAGCCTTGGAGGGTTTATAATAGTTGTAGATGAGAGATGTAAATCAGAAATTGGGTGTGTGTGCACGGAAGCAGGAGATATTTATTATTATCATGAGATGTAGTTTTTTTTCCGTGAGATCTAGCCGTGCGTGTAAGTGGCCCAACAGCTCCAGCAAGATCGGGAGTTGCGTATTTATGGAACCCCCTCCCCCTTCTCAAAACTCCGCCAGAACAAGCCGAGCCAATCGGCGATGTTGCAATTAGAAATAGCCACGTCGGAGCTCCAACAAAGGCGTGGGATTTGGCTTTTTCGGAGTGCAGTGAAGAGCTGCGAGAAGTGATCCAAGCACAGGCGTAGCGAGATGGGATTCCCAGCAAGGGTGGCGAGCCAATGGGAGACGCGGGTTTAGTCAGCACCGAGTAACCGATTGCCCGATGTGGAAGTGCGGGCTGCGTAGCGATGATGTAGCGCGAAAAGGCACCTGGAAGAGAGCCAGCAATAGTCCGAGAAGTCCTTGAAACCCGAAATTCTAGAGTCTCTTGTTCTTCCTCCTTTTTCAACCCCCCCTCTTCATATAGAGGATTTGGTAGAAGCAGGTTTGGGATAAATCCTTCGTAGACCGAGCGGCAAATTTGCCTTTGCAAGGCCGCAGCGTCGAAATTGTGGTTTGGGTTGAATGTCATCAGTTGCCACCCGGAAAAGTGAGGTGAGTTTTTGTATGGCTCGAATTCGCCGAACCCCGAGATATCGACTCTTATATGCGCTCGCCCCTGTTCCGGGAGTGTCAGCAGACTGTCGACGTTTCGCAGCTCCGAGGATTTGGCTGCAGGCCTTGTTTGTTTTGTTTTTACCTTGATGTAGAGAGGAGCGTGCTTATGACGTACATGTTTACTTGCATGACTGGTGCTCTCTGTAAGTGGTAGGTAATACCTCCAAGGCATTACTCGGCTGTGTTGCTCTCGGGCCAGACCAGGAGATCGTCAAAGGTGAAGGGCGAGCAGTCCTTCTGTGAGACTGTTGTTGATGTCGATGAGCTCTGTGTGCTTTGGTCGACGACAAGAAGAGGGTCGTTGAGGAAGCCAAAGTCAAAGTCGAAATCCATGTCCAGGCCGGTCAGGTCCAGCTGGTCGGTCCAGCTCAAGCCCCCGTCGCTCTCAGCCTCGGGGCTCCAGCCTGCAGGGCCGTCGCGCAGTCTCTTGAGGTACTCGACGGGCGTGACGCCCACGCACTTCTTGAAGACGCGGTGGAAGTGCCACTTGGACAGGCCCGTCTTCTTGGCCATCTGACTCAGGCTCTGCGTCTCGCCCGAGCCCCGGTCCGCGCCGGGCTGCTGGTGGTCGCGCACAAAGGCCCGGATCTTCTGCACGGCGGCCTCCTCGGGCATCAGGCCCAGCACCTCGGGCTTGCAGCGCTTGCAGGCCCGGAAGCCGTTCTGCTTGGCCTCGTCGCCGGTGGCGTAGAAGCGCACGTTGGCCCGGCGCGCCAGCCTGGCCTTGCACGTTGGGCGGCAGAAGACCTTTGTGGTGCGCACGCCGTAGACGAAGAAGCCGTCGGCGCCGGGGTCGCGCGACTGCACGGCCTGCCACTTGGTGTCGTCGTCGCTGAAGAGCGGCGTCTGCAGCGCCGGCATGGCGATGTTGGTGGCCGCGTACTTTTCCATTGGATGCGATGCGGCAGTAACAGGTCTGGAAATGCTGTTCAAAATGTCAAGTGTATAACTGCAACTGCTGCTTGAGAACCGAGTCGTGTAGCGTCACACTAGCAATTGCTGGGCGTGGCATTTTGGCAATGGCTGCATGAAGCTGTTATATATAGATCTAGAATACAGACCAGCAGCCGCTTCGCTCGACTGAGATCGAAGTTGCTTGCGATTTCGTCCGTGACTCGCTCGGAAAAGCGGGGTTGCTTTCAATATAACCAATCAGCGCGCGGGCCCAAGGCAATATTCCAAACATCCGCACCCAATCGCGCCAATCACCGACGTCGATCGAAGCCATCCGTCACTCGCTCAGGACGAAAACAAGAGCGAGAGCGCTTCAAAAGCAAAAAAAACTTTTTCCAAAGTGGTGGAATCTCGTTCACGGCCGGCCCTCTTTACAGTTGCTTCCAAACGGCCCCGTCGTTGAATCTCTGCGTCGGTGGTTGCTTCAACGCTCCATTCGGACAGCCATTCGGTGCGTCCGAGATTCCGAATTCATCGTTCGATCCGCTGTTGTCGCCCCTCAAGATCCTCAAGCTAGATCGTCCAAGGCCGCCTACATCAGAACGATGGCACATGTCCAAGTCAGCGTCGACCAACACTTGAAGCTATACAGGCCAACTACCTTCACTCGTCTTGTCCATCAGCTACTCCCCCAGTCTGATCAAAGCCGCCTAGGTTGATCATGGTCAGCCGGTTTGATCAAGCTCAACAGGATTGTCCGAGGCCACCTAGTTTGACCAAAAGCATGTTATTTTTACCCTCTGGGAACGCCTGCAACGCTTTATGTAGGTAGGTCATGTTGCATATGTGTAGATAGTCCGGGATCTTTGTTTCTAGATAACAGATGTGGCTATGTAGTGATTTTTCCTTACAAGGACGCAAACCCAGAAGCTACATGTGTATTTCTCTCGGGTTGTCACCTTCGCAGAGCCGCTTCGCAGCTTTGCTTGATAACTTATCCAGCACTCTACCTATACAAATGCTGCCACTTTTACGATCTCGAAGGGTAGATAATACTAATAAACAATTTATATATAGACTAACTACGTTGCTGAGCTACGGCGGGAATGCTAGATAACAAAACTAGCGTCTATGTAACTCTTCTCTTCGAAAATCATTAGCCAGTCATTCACAATCTACGCTCTTCACACGTGCAGTCACTCAGAAACAAGAGTCTTTGTATAGGCACTCAACTTGTATTGTCTATCGCTGAGTTCCCAACCATACCATAACATAAACCAAGAAACAGTCTGACAGCTCCATCTACTCAAAGGGAAAAATTGCTCCCAGAGAGCCAGGGGAGGAAAAAACCTCGAGCTTCTTTTGCATGCCGACGTAACTTGTAAAGCAGAAAAGAAAAGAAGCAAAGAAGCAAATTAGATATCCATCGACCATTGCAAATACCCAGAAACAAACTTCTTCCTGATCCCTGTTTTCGTTTCCCAATCTTTTTTTTTTTGGTTTTCCTTTTTTGATGAAATGAAAACAAATAAAAAACGCCATGACTCCATTAAATCGTATCCCATATCTCGTCGTAAGATGTTGAATCAAGTCTGTTTCTAATCCGTATCCCTGAAAAAGAAATAGTGTGGAATAATGATACAATGTGTAGGGAAAAAAATCAAGTTGCAGACACCCAAACAAACTTTTGTTGACCAACCCCCTTTTTTTTGTTTTGTTTTTGTGTGTGATGAAATCCAAACGAAACGATAACGCCATGACTCCCTAAAATCTTATCCCATACTCTGTAAGTTGTGACCCAAGTATGATTCCAATCTGTACCCCTGAAAAAAAGATAGTGTGGAATAGTGATACAACGTATAAAAAAAATCAAGCCCAGAAAAACGTATCAAAGGACAAAAGGCTCCTGAAAGGATCTTCGTTGGGAAACTGTATCCATTCGTCATTGAAGAGATCCTCAATTTCAGGGTTTCCAGCTGTCGGAAGGCCGGTATTCTCATACTAGCAAAGGTCCGGATTCCATTCCATTAACATCTCCATAAAGGTGTCTGCCGTGTCAAGAGACCCAGCTTCGGCACTGCTAGAGCTAGTAGAGCTGGGATATAGCTCCCAAGCTTGGTTGGATGCCTGGTAAGGGTCGGAGTCACCAAGTGGATGGGCGGCCTGCTCCTCCATCTCGTCAAATGATGCCCACTGCCACGGTTCACCAGAAAGACTGCCGAGGTTTGCTTCATGATGGGTTGTCGCCTGATCCATGTCCTGGCTGATGGCCTCGTCGAAAGAATTCCCAACCCACTCCGACGGGTATTCGCTCCAAAGGCCCGACGCAGTGGGAGCTTGGAGGACTTGCTCAAATGAAAGGATTGGAGGATAAAATGTAGCAAGAGGATCAGCTGGGTTAAATATATCAACAGGACCAGCAGGGTCAAATATATCAATAGGACCAGCTAGGTCAACAGAGTCAACAGGACCGACGGGGTCAATAGGACCAACGGGGTCGATAGGACCAACGGGGTCGATAGGACCAACGGGGTCGATAGGACCAACGGGGTCGATAGGACCAACGGGGTCGATAGGACCAACGGGGTCGATAGGACCAGCAGAGTCAACGGGACCAGCAGGATCAACGGGACCAGCAGGGTCAACAGGACCAGCAGGGTCAACAGGACCAGCAGAGTCAACCGTAGCAACAGGACCAACAGGACCAGCAGGATTGATTGTAGATGAAGCAGGGAAAAGAGCTGGAGACGGTTGATGTGCGACGGCATCGGGTTGAACGACGAATTCCAGCTCATATGGCTCATCTCTAGGCCCACTCATCAGAGGAGAAGGTCGTCGGAGTCTCTTTTCAATCTCTCTCTGAGCATTGATCCTCTGCTCTCGATCGATATCCTCAGCATTAACAAGCTTCGCCATCCACACATCTATATTTTGAACAATAGTGTCGCTGTTCTTCTCCAGATGCATCAAGTGCCCGTTGCCATAAATTTTATGATCTGGTAGATTCCACCAATCGACCATGTTGCCTGCTTGTCGTAAGAAGTTCGTCGTGGCCCAGTCGTAGATAGAGTGAGGGCTCGACTCGCTGGTATACACTGCATGGGGCACTGTCGCAAGGCGAACCAGTTGCGGGACTTTTTCTTGCCCATCAGCAACGCGCATGTTGTAGATGAGTATGTTGTCCTGTTTTTGCTGAAGCATATAGCATCCATTGTTGTTCTTACCCTGGCGCACTTGGATTTTCAGAGGGTGAGCACCAGGTGCAGGTTGCAACGCAGGTGAAAAGGTAAGCGGAGCGTCTGAAACACCATATTTTCTGATGTTTGGGTCATATTGCAAGAAGGGGGAGTATGTCATGCGTCCGTCCACAGGTCTTCCTGGCCAGGCGCAAGGGGGGCCGTCTGGCTCGATTGAGACGAGGCCTCGAACCAGTCTCGGGTTGGCATCGGCGGTAAGCATGCCAATGGTGGCTCCGGTGCCATGCCCGATCAAGAAAGAAGGGCCAATCTGCTTGAGCAGATCCGTCACTGCAATAGCGCCTAGCTCTTCATGCTGGAGCTTTGGAAGGACCATGTCGGTGGTGGAATCCATGAACAAATTGAACATTGAATTTCCTCGGCGACCAGTCTAGAGGAGCATGGTTAGCTTCCCGGTTCTCAAAGGGGTAAGGGGGGAGTAAAACGAAGATGTAAACTTACTCCTGGCCATTGATTATGCCGTCTGGCAGATGCCCATGCAAGCGAGCCGTCGGGAAGGGGAAATTGCTCAGAAGCAGTAAACTCTTGCTCGACAAAGTCGTCAGTCAGCCATCGGACTGTTCTGGGGACGCCGGGAACCTGGTAGTCGTTTTTGTTGAAAAACGACGATCTGCCAACGCCAGGCAAGTCAACCACGTAGACGTTGTATCCTTTTGTGAGAAAATATGCTGCCCAACTTTGGCTTCCATCCGGCTTCTCGAGCCATGTCTATCCAAACAAAGTCAGCACCTCATATCTCTCTTACACTAAACTAACAGAAATCATCCGAATAAAAGACTTACCTGGGCCGTAAAGAAATCTCCGTGGAGCAGTACAATGTTTCTTTGCATGTGCAGTGGGACTGCGTGAACGGGTTCGTAGAGCTCTACATACATTTGACCCGAATAAGTGCCTCCGATACTGTGTTCAGTTGCATATTGGCGGTTGACAAAGAACGTAGTACATCTGGCGGGTACGTATGAGAGCTGTGAAGGGCCCTGGCTCTGAGCGATGATGCGTCTTGTAGTTGGGTTCATCTTGAACGATGTTGATATAACAAATAGTTTGTATGAGTTACTTCAAGTGTTGTTGACTGATCACAGATTGCTTGTCAGACTGCACACGAGGTCGCGAGAGCTGTGAATTCCAAGACGCAGATATGAGAGTTGAAGTGTGTGCGAGGAAAAAAAAACCGCAGATGCGGTAAGCCTCTTCGTAATATATAGCAAACAACAAAGCCACGAAGATTAAGCTTCCCACTCGAGAGAAAAGCTTGAGAACCTTCTTAGCCAAAAGAAGCCTCTTGTCGAGCTGAGTCGAGAGTCTTAGACCACAAGAAGCACGTTTCCGGCTGTTTCCTAGGCAATCGTAGATTGAGAGGCTGAATATGCTTTGTTTCGAAGACCCTTGTGGCGAGATGGCGTATGCTATGTCCTACATATACGAGAAAATAACCAAAAGTGCCTAGAGCCCATACATGATATCGAAAAATGGGCGTTTGAAAGTTCAGAGCTCAAGGAGGTTGAGAGATACGAAGAGAAGAGAAAGGAAGAGAAGAGAAGCCCGAGAAATTTGAGTTCTCGCCGTGTTGAGCAGAGAGTTTAGAAAGTGCAGCCTTGGAACTGGAGCGAGAATCGAGGTGCGTGGGGGCTCTAGCGGTGAAAGGTGCCCGTAACGGGCGGGCAATGAGCAGATTTTTCATTCTGCAGGCAAGATAGGCCGGAGGAGAGAAGAATAGTTGATGTACTCTTGGGATATGCGTACAGAAAACCGCCGAGAAGGGAGCGAGGTGATGAGCCAAACGGTAAAATGTGCACGGTGGCCAGGAGGCAGCTGGCGGGCCAAGTACATTTACGGCGGGAAATCGGCGCCCGAGACCCGATTGCTACATTGTGTACTTGATGAACAGCAGCTTCCGAGAATCAGCGCAATGGAGAGCAGAAAATTACAGGATCAATCTTGGAGACGCAGCACAATGCGGATTTACAGCCAGGAGGCAGTTGTCTTGTATCAAGAGTTGGCACCTGAAATCTCAATTTTTTCGACTATCCCAGTAATCCAATCGCTTCTTCGCTCGATCTAATTACTCGATAATATGATATAAAAAAAACTAGACGACATCCCTAGCAATGTATACGCTCAGTACCGACCTCTCATCGACTTTCACTCCCGTTGTCGCTGACAACCACAGCCCACTCGTCGTCCCATTTAGCGCCGCCGCCACTGTTTGGACCCCCCTGAGAAATTGCCAGAAAAGGCATTGAAATCTTCATAGTGGGAACCGAAGCGCCACACGGTCCAATTTAGACTTCAACAATGGAACTTTCAGGGTTGTGGATCTTTCCCCGGATCGCCGGTACAGCACAACACCAGCCTTGTTCTCCAAAAATGCGTGTTCCCCGACACGGCGTATCAATGATGCAGATGCCATCCTCAGACGCATCTCGGTGGGAAGCGCCGCAGATATCGACTATTTGGGCCGCGTTGATGAGCTGCGAGTACCGCAAGAGTGGCTCTCCGCAGCTTTGGTCCTTGATGTCGTAAAAAGAGTACTTGGCACTATCTAAGAACCTGTCTTCTATTCCCGCACTCAGATCCCTTGCCGCTGCCATTCGTGTAGCCTTGAACGGCTCCACCAGCTGTTTAGCTTTTTCAACTGTTTAGCTTTTTCAGCCGCAATATCTCGCATCACGATAAGGACGGGGTCGAGTTCAGGGTCTTTTCCCCACATGGTAAGCTGGTCAAAGATATATTCCCGAAGAAAATGCCAGATCTGGCTCATGAGGCGCCATCGGAGCGCCTTGTTCGGCTAGCCCGGGAGCCATCAGATAATCTCACAGTGGAGATAGAATGGGCGTATACAGAGGCTCGAAACTCTTGTCCATGGAAGCAATTTTGTGTTTGGGCAGCTGGTTGACGATGCCTTTGCCGAAACATATATCTCATAGAAGAAGATTGATCTTCTCAATGTGCCATAGGCGGCGACTGTAGCATCCAAACTCTAATAGAAGCATGCTTTCCACATCAGCCTCATCGTAGGAGAAACAAATATCAGAAAGAGTGTCGCCATAGTCTCGATCCAAGCACGGAGACTCGGCGTTGGAGGAACAGATCGTTGGGGACTCGTCATCCCAAAAGACGGACCGCGGTCCAGGCTGGCGGTTTATGGCTGGAAATGTGGGCTTGACCTAGAAAAGCTTTGTAGGGGGGGTAGAATTCGGAAGAAAGTCAATAACCGATAGGAGCACCCCTGTGATAACTTATTCTCGGCTGTATTCTCAAAAGGATGGTGGACAAGCTGTGAATTATGGACTGTATTGCGATTAAATGGCGTTTGATTTGTTTTTATTATTGTTTGTTTGTCACTTTCAGTCAGCTACCCAGCACTTGCTCCGACAAATCTGCGCCTTTCAAGCAGTCTGTCAACAATGGTTCCCATGTAAAAACTAAAAAGTAAATAATACTTGACAAAAGTTACTCATAAAGAGTGGAAAAGCGCAGAATATCTGACAAAAACTTTCTCATAAATAGAGGGCAAGGTTATTGCCACAACATATTAGCAATGCAGAGTCGAGACCCACAGGCAATCTCCAGAAACAGCAAATAGTGCTCAAGCCTTCTCACACAGGAGAGACAGGCCGATGGTCATCGTCTTTCATGTCGGGTACCCACCCCTTCGGCCTCTCACTGCCCCTCACCACAAGGCCATAGCCCAGTTTCTCGACCTTGTTGATGCTCTGCCGCATGACCTCCATCTTGGAGCGAAAATCCTTTGTCGGCACCTGGGGCAGCATCTCAAATGCACAGCCAAGCTCCTGTATATCGCCCAGGATGTTTCTCTCATAGTCGCCAACCAGCTCGCCCGTCTGCGCGGTTGTGACCGTTGCAAACCGCATCATCTCTCCAAACAGATCGAATAGGCCGTACATGTAGTCGTGTGACGTCAGAACAATGTCTGCGGGGACTGCTGCTTGTGTTTCTTCTAGGGTGATGAGGGTCTGGTGCCTTAGGTAGTGGGAAAAGGAGAGTGCCTCGACAAGCTCCTCCAAACATCGCATAGAAAAGCCGTAGCGGTAACGGTTGATGGACTGCAAGTCTGCGGTGATGCCTGAGAGCAGCTTTGAGATTTCGCCGAGACGAGTGTCAATGTCTTGCTGTATTCCCTTTGGAAAGTCCTTGTTCGGTTGTTTGACTCTACAGTGCATGAGTGAATGAGTAAGTGGGCTGGTACAAATAGTGTGTGAAGTGACTTGGTCATCCTGAAGCTTAGCTAGGTACCTTTGCAATGTGAAAATACTGTATTGAGAATCATGATTAGCCCACCACTATCTGCAAGTCCGTCTTGACTAAGCAAAAGTCACAGCCTGAATACTGACATCTTCTTGCTCTGCGCCGTCACATCTCTCGACGCCTTGATGATGCGCTCCCTGCGGTCGTAATGCTCATCCAGTTCGTCCCGGAAATCCTCAAACATGGCATGGAACCTGCCCCGCGGCAAGTCTTGCGCACTCTTAGCGCGCGCATTGCCGTCGTAGTCTCGCTTGGTTCCTCCAGTCATTTCTTCTTCTTCGTTTATTTTCTCTTGGTCGGCAATACCTTGGCAAGTTATGCGTTCGATTTAACTTTTAAAGCCCAAGTGAATGGCTGAGGTCAAGCGTGGTCAAAAGTGGAGACGAAGGACCCCTGAAACTGCCAATGAAATGACGGCATTGTAAACCAGGGCCCCGCTAAAATTTCAGAGCTGTGAGGTCAGAGCTTAGAGCTTAGCCCAGCTTTGTCCAAAGCTATCGATGTCAAGATATTAAACACACATGAGGAAGGATTGATAACCATAAAATCCTCCTCTTACAATCTCGGATACGAATTGATCTTAATTTAACGTGTCGTTTCTTTTGTTGCTTCTCATATCATTCAAGCACCCAGATCTGGAATCATGAGCTTGAAGCTCATCTCATCCATCACAACACGCTGTCCTTAGAGCTCTCTGTCCTCGTCGCTCACCTCACTCAACGCCTTCGCAACCAACCGCCACCATGGCTCCCTCAGCCATCTCCTCTCTTTTCCGTCCAATCCCTCTTTTTTCACTCGCCGCCCTCCTCCGCCTCATCCTCCTCTTCTACGGCATCTGGCAAGACGCCCACTCCGCCGTCAAATACACCGACATCGACTACCTCGTCTTCACCGACGCCGCCCGCTATGTGTCTCAAGGCCTCAGTCCCTATCACAGAGAGACATACCGCTACACGCCTCTGCTCGCCTGGATGCTCGTCCCCACGGCCACGCCCCAGCTCTTCTCGTTTGGGAAAGTCGTCTTTGCGCTGGCGGACCTGCTCGCGGGATGGCTGATTATCAGGGTGCTGACGAAGCAACGGGGCATGAGCGTCGAGAGGGCCGGTGCGTTTGCTGCCATTTGGCTGTGGAATCCAATGGTGGCGACGATTAGCACCAGGGGTAGCTCGGAGGGACTCTTGGGCGTTTTGACAATGGCCCTGCTGTGGGCTGTTGAGGGGAAGAGAATCGGGTTGGCCGGGTTCATCTTGGGGTTGAGCGTGCACTTCAAGATATACCCCTTTATTTATGCGCCGGCGATTATATGGTGGATGGACAATGAGCATCTCGGCAAGGGGGCTTCTAAACCTTCAGCTTCATTCACAGACACCATCACTCGATTCCTCTCTCCCCAGAGGATCCAGCTTACTCTCATCAGCTTACTGACCTTTATGGGACTCAACGTTCTCATGTACTACATGTGCGTCTCCTTCCCCCCTTCGCATAGCAGAAACAATCACCCCCAGCTAACCTTGGCATCACAGCTATGGAACCCCTTTCCTTGTCCATTCCTACTTCCATCACGTCACCCGCATCGACCACCGCCACAACTTTTCGCCTTACAACATCTTCCTCTATCTCGCATCCGCCGACCCATCTTCCAGCTCGCTCCACGCATTTCTCCCTCAACTGCTCCTCTCCTGCTTCCTGATCCCCTTTGTCCTTGCCAAGAAGGACCTCGCCACCTCCATGATGGCTCAAACCTTTGCCTTTGTCACATTCAACAAGGTCTGCACCTCACAGGTAAGTGTAGTCAAACCATTCTATATGTTCTATCCTTTCCTACTCACATTTTTTTTACTTTTTGGTATAGTACTTCCTTTGGTATATGATCTTCTTGCCTCTCTATCTGCCTGGATCCTCCATGCTCCGCGTTCCCAGCCGGGGCATTGCGGCTCTGCTTCTTTGGGTCCTAGGCCAAGCCGCTTGGCTGCAGCAAGGTTACGAACTCGAATTTCTTGGCGTCAGCACCTTCTTTCCGGGGATGTGGCTTGCTTCATTGGGGTTTTTCCTCATCAACTGTTGGATACTGGGGATAATCATCAGCGACGGTGCGGAAGTCAGCCTCCAAAAAGTACACACTGCATAAATGGATCGGTAGTGTTCCTTATCAAAGAGAATATAGTTTACAAAATAAAAACATCATTTTCTCTCTAGAATAGCCATTCACAACCTATACCAGCTTCATTGGAGATTATATGGAACCAATTGTGACTGTGTGGCCTAAGTACCGAAATTTCACTGCGGGTATCAACATTATTTCACCCATTATATCAATTTCCTCGCATTGTCCTTCCCGCCTCCGCATTCATGTGCGTACTGTCCAGTCACTGAGAATTAACCCCCATCAAAGCCATACTAAGCAATACCATCCATCACACCCGACTTCTGCCGGATCCCATATATCCATGAGCAGTGAGAAAAAAGACCAACTCCAAGCTTTGTTCGCATTATTTGACTGTCCCAGGGTATGAAAATCGCAACGTTGGGACAAAAATCTCAGAACCCAGATCCCATAATTCCTCGCTTTGTGCTGTTATAAAGATTTATAAAACGCCTCAAGCGACCGCGAAAAAAGAAAAGAAAAAAAAAAGAAAAAGATAACATGTCCATTGCGGTTTTCGCTATTGTACTTTACTCCATAGATGAATGAGGCAGATTTTTATCTTCATTTTAAATTTTAGAAGTAAGAAATCCGAAAGTGCTCGTCGTAAACTGTCATTTTGTTGTAACTTGCTGCTGGCGAGCTTCCTGCGATCGAAAGTTGAACCCAAGATTTACTGAATGGTAATTCTGGTAGCGAGAGATCGATAATTGGACAATTTCAGAGACGTAATGCGCGACCTGGATGGCTCAGGCGCAATAATCATCCGGCCGTCTTTGCTATAGACAATGTTGCCAAAAGTGTCGCTCAATCCGGGGAACGAGGTCTCTGGTCGGACCCTGTTCATCTCGGCTATGATTTGCTCGCTCCAGACTCCAGTGCACTTGCCATTCTGCATCAAGAAGAATGGGTTGAGCGGCGGTAATACAGAATCTAGCCAGAAATGTTAGCAGTTTTCGTGAGAAAGGGAGGCCACAGTCATAAGCATACCTAGATCAACAAAGCGAACCCTCAAGTACTCGAGTCTCTTGAACTTTTCCATCGAGCGGACAGCAGAGAGAACCAGTTTCTCAAAGGCCTCGATAAATGCCATGTCCTGGATTCCAGAGCCAGAATCATGGAAGCTGAAAGCCCGACGGCAGCAGTTTTTGACCGTGATGTCGACAGATTTGAGCTTGGTCGTCAGCGGGTCAGCCAGGCGCGACGCCACATCAAAGGCATGGTGGCAGATGCGTCCTGTATAGGCAAAATGTTCCAATGATGGCAAGACAAACGCTAGGCTGGAGCAGAGATGAGCCTTTTGTGCCACTTTGTAGTAAAAAGCCGGCATCACTCCCTCTCGTCGATAGTCGCTTTCCATGCAGAGAGAAAGGTTGGTGACGTGATTCGGGAGGAGCGGTAGAAAATCTGAAGCAGTGATGTAGCTCTTAGACTTTGGCTTGCTGTAAGAGCCCTGCCATTCCTCCAGATTCGGTAGTGCCTTCATGATGACTCTAAAGTCGTCCCTGTCTCTCATCAAATTCCACTGGCCCTTGGTTACCAGGGTGCGCACCGAGGTGAGATGAAGAAATTGCTTGTCTTCCTCCTCCTCCGCTGCCAGGCCAGGATTTCTCATATTGAAATGGACGACTCTGGGCGCCTTGCGCCGCTCTCCACCTTCCAAGGTAAGTACCTTGGTCTCGGGAAGTGCTGCGGCGACGAATTGAAACACTTGCTCGAGGGTGCAGTTGTTCCCCGGCAAAGTGTAAGTAGCGTTGGTCAGTCCATCTGTCGTAACCGTAGGTAGTGTAAGAGTGTTCGTCAGCGCCAATGGCCCATATGTCGGCTGAAAAACAGGGAACCAAATCTCAATGTGTTTGATGTACGCCGAGAGATGCTGCTGTTGGACCAGAAATTCCATGGCATTGTTGATAGAGTCAAGCGTCGCCTTGAGCTTGATGTGCCGGAATAGTCTCTGCTGGACCAAAACTCTCCACACACGATTGACCAGAGCTAATGCAGTGAGTTCTCGCCTCCGCGAATGGCGAAGCGCAGTGCTCCACCCCCTAGTCAGACTCGAAATCCTCATGGTGCTTCTCGACGTCGCAGATACGCAGTACCCAAATATGTGATCGAGAATCGCCTCATGAACTTCGGTGGGGAGTTGTTCGAAATGCCGTGCGGGTGGGCTTCCGGGCGCACCGTCGATCGGCTCGGTCGATGCCCTGTCCCAACCACTAACATCTAAGCCAGACTCTTGCTCCTCCAAACAGCTTATTTGAGGGTTTCGAGTTTCGAAATGGGGAAAGGGCGTGCTACTGGGTCTCGCAGGCGGGACAAAAGACGTGCTCTTGGCCATCTGGAAAGATGGGCTTGACGGGCCGGGAGAGACAGGACTCGAGGTGGTGTTGAGAAAAGTCGTAACCAAAGATGTGGTCATGAGCGACGAGAAACTTGCGTCGTCGGAGTCATCCGGCTGCATCTCGCCCTTGTCCTGGCATTCAACGTCCCTCTCGTCCGGATCCATCCTCAGGCTGCGAACGCTCTTTGCGTCGATATCCATGGGTTCCCCCATTTCTGCGGACGCCTATTCAGGCTGGCAATCAGGCCTTTTTCAAACTGATGATTGACGGTTCTGCAGAGACAACAAGACACGCATTTCACGGCAAAGTGGTTGGGGGAGTGAGTAGAGCGTCGTCAGCGACTTGTAAACTTTGAGACGGGCGTCAGTTCCACAATTAATGCGCGGGCAGTTGTACGCCCCCAAGGCGGTCTTCACAGGCTCGCGGCGGCTTCCGGGCGACGATGTAGAGTAGAATAGTAGACGGGGAGAGGTTGCAGGTTGCACAAGAATGCACAGTATGAAGAAGGCGAGAGAAGTCAGTTCAGTTGGTATCGACGCAGATGGCAGTGGTGGGCAGTCCGGCCAGGCTGTTGGCACTTTACGCGACGCCCAGCCCGGTCTCGTGCTCGCGTGCCGATACGGAGATTGCAAGCGACAGAGGGGGGCAGTGCAGGATCAAGAAGAGCCACGCCGATCAGAGGCTGGAGATGGCAGAATCGTGTGTAGCCGTCGCCTTTTGTGTCTTGCCTGCGCAGGAATGCAGCGAGAGTGACGGGTCTGGCGGCAGCGGCCCAGCCAACAGACAATCAGGGCGCAAAGGGAGAAAAGGGCACTGTAGATGGCGGGACTGCACGGGAACGAGGGAAGAGGCTGGACGAGGCACTGGGCGAGAGGCGAAGGGAAAAGTTTAAGGTAAAATGAGGAGGCAGCTGAATGGGCATCAAAAGCTTGTCAGACGACGAATGGCGCTCAGCAGCCGACGTCAAACGTAATTGCGTGCAGCTCCCAGCGGTTGATGTTAGGCGGCAAAGCCGCTAAGCTAAAGCCCACCGAAAAAAAAAGTCACCAAGTGCATATGACTTTTTTCTGCCAATCTCTCGGATTGATTGGCTTGCATGCGTCAAAGCTGCTCATCAAAGACAAAACTCATTTGCAGTAAAATTACCCCACCTCAATATTATGCTGCTACCCAAGACAATTCGCCATCTCCAATGGCTGGCTGCAAGACAATTTGAGACCACTTGTCAATCGTTTCTATTACTTTTTTTTCCTTTTTGTTCCATTTCGTCAAGTCAATTATTGGCCCTCGTGGCACATTCAGCAAGGGACTGTGTATCACATGATTCTCATTGACCGATGGCCTTTGCCTGGTTGCAGCTTTACAAATTTCACATTGCTAATGCAGGCCATTTCAATTTTTTTCAGTTTCATCATGTCATACTACAAAACAAAACAAGACAAGGGATCATCGCCATAAGCACATTTATCTCGGCAGCACCGCTAGTGGCCAACGCTGCCGAGTCCGAGTTTGCTGCTGTTTAATTGCTGAATCTCCCGCCGTCCCAATAGTTTGGCGTCGAGGACACGGCAATTTCAGCGCTCCCTCCGGTGGATCCACCCCGTCGGTACGGCGGCAAACGTCAAAAACCAAAGAGCCGGATTCGTCTTGGAATTTACCGTATTGATAAATTGACAAATGCGATTCTAAGGTGGTACGACTGAATCTCTGGATCTCGCCGGCTTTGATGGCAATCTACATGGGAAATGCCTGTAGAATTCCTGTTTTCTCTGCCTACATGTAGCTAATGCGTGGTTTGCGCAGCAAAGTCCCCGAGGTCACTCGCCATAATTTGACTCGTTTGCTCCCAGCTATCCGAAGGGTTTTCTTGCAGACCTTGCAGTTATTACTAATTCGGTTGATTCAGCATGACTTTGTGATTGTATGACGCAGTAAGAACAGAGAAAAACAAGCTCAACTACAATTTTTGGGTAGTATTCCATTGAATTACTACTAGGTAGGTAGGTTTCACAGAGCAGAAGTTTTCCTGGCAGATGGCGTGGCATTCATACGCATCTTGCTTCGAATCATGATATGAAGTCACATATCAGAAGGTGGCATTTTTACACACGTCGATCCCGGGCAGAAAAAAATCACGCTATTCCAGTCTGAAGCTCCCGGGTAGATCGGGCTGATCAACCGAGTTCAAGACCAAAATACTTGCATGGATACAAATGGGAGTGGTGATGGCTAAGATGGGATTGCTCAATGAGTTCTTCTTCTTTCCTCTTTACAACAATGTCCAAAAGAAAAAGATATACATTTTTGCAGCTTTCAAATCGCGGCAAAATATATTGAGCGCTGCATCCTCTTCTGGCCCTACAAAGAGCTTTATGAGTTGCTCTTTAATGCTCACAGTTCTTCATTCTATAAATATACAAGACGCAAAACATACCAGGCACTACCTTGGAAAGAACTTGAGATGAAACCATTTGATGCATCGCCAAGCTCGGCGTGGGTAGAGTCATCATCAAGGATCCCACGGAGCCGCTGAAAGGCAAAAAGGGCATAGCTGATCTACAAAAGCGTCTCCATGTTTGATTTCGACGAGGTCAACAGGAATGAACCATTTTAATTGAATCACGCCATTATGCAGCTTCTTCTTATGCTTATTTCGATCCGGCTTAGGAGCCGTATCCGAGACGCGAAATGTAGGAGGCGAAGAAAGCCAAGATCAGCTCGCTGCGAATCAGACGCCCTTGGCTGCTTGTGAGGAGCAGATGAGATGCATCTAGCACGGTTGGATGCAGCACCAGCTGTTTCTAGTACCCAGGCAACTATCTTGTTAAAGTTGATAACCATGTCTTCGATCATACCGGTGCTACGCTACTCGCAGCGGAATCTGAACTGCCGGTGCTCCTAAACTAGTGAACCCTGGTAAAGAGAGCCCTTATGGATAATCAAGCTAGTAGTATAGCATATCATGGCACGTCTGTGATGCTTCAGTTGGAAATATCACTGCAAAATTCAAATAAAGAGACTCGCCTTGGTCACTGCTTCAAGAAGCTAAAAGAAAACATCGTATTTGCAAAGTCCATTCTTCGTATTGTTGGTCAGCTGGGTACACTTACATGTAAGCAAAATGATCGGGATCTGGCAGCCAGCCATCATCGAAACTCCTAAGCCTCCCGCATCTCCCAATGAGATGGGCGAGACGCTGTGGCCCACGTGGTGAGGCGAAGCAACTGCCCGGGGGCGCTGGAGGCATGCATATGCATATAGCACCTCCTGTGCGCTGCTTTTTAAGGAGCTCGTATATGCGTTGATGGACGGAAATTGGACACTCAACTTCAAACAACACGGAGTGCGTATAGATGACCTAGAGCTTGCCAGGATCGGGGTTGACAAGGGGCCGCTAAACGTGAGATGTGGGGGACAGCAGTCCGCATTTGTTGACGGCAGGGCTTCCACAATGCCAACTCTGGTAGGTGGACTGGGTGATTTATGGAGTATAGGCAGGGTTGGAGCACTAACATGTGGTTTATGCAGCCTGCTTGATATCAGGTTTGGGAATCACTTGCATGTGCTGCTCGTATGTATGATACCTTGATGGGAGTGATTTGCTCCGTAGAATTCGGACCAACCGCCCAAGATGGGTGACATCGGAGGGAGCACGGCTTTATTCTACATGCTAGCAAGGCATCTATTGCTACCAATACGAGCACGCAATGAGCTGCATTCTGCTCTGTGCTCTCTGTGCGTCGTGCAGGTGGCCGTGATACTGGGGATACTCCGCCGTAGTCTTTCGGATTGCCCGCTGTGATTGACGTATAAATGACCTAGCTGCTGAGTTTGGAATGGAGCAGAGCTACACGAGCAGCCCTTGGCCATGTGTTTGAACATTGAGTGATTCCCATCCACGGCTCGCGGCTCACGGCTCACAGCTGTCAAGTCAGATCTTGAAAACACAAACAAGCAAACATAGGGGGGGCCGGGCCAACCTTAATTTTTGTTCACCTTGGAATAGAAATACAAAATGGAACCGTATCAAGACTAGCAGTTGAGAGGGAGATCTACTCTCGTGCCTTGTACAGTAGCGCTGAGCCTCAATTCGCGAACGAGATACAAGACAACATGAAGACTTGGCTTCTGTAGCGCGCGTTTCAAATGCTTGTGAGCTAGGCCAGTGGGAGGAGCTCACCAGCTGGATGGAACAGGCGCCGAGCTTCGAGATTCGCTAGCGCTCCGCCGTGTTTCAGACGTTGGAGCAGCCCACTGGGACCCCTGACGCCACCCGAAGCTAATTTCCAGTGCACCCGAGCCGTTGCTGGTGCTGCGCGGACGAGGTATCAGGTACATGCGCCTGGAAGCTTGCAATATCCAAAGACGGAAATGAATGCCTATTCAAAGTGTTTCTCTATTGTACAGTAGAGATGAAGAAGCTGGCTGTGCCATTGTCCCTGAGCCGCATTGTAGCAGTTATAATTCCTCCAATCATTTTCAAGCATATACGCGTATTGGCCATTATGTAATCTCATAAGCCAGGGCACTCGTTGATCTGCATTCGCATGGAGGCTCTCAATCTGCGGATGATCTGCCTGGACGCTGCCATTTTGCATTTGATCGACAAACTTCATGGCTGCCATAGCATTCATTATGCGCACTAGCGTAACAAGCATCGAAGCATATTACCCATCACCTCATACACACATGTTGGATGGCGATATGCTAAGATCAATGGCGCTTGCATCTGCCGCAGGAGGAATCTCTGCAGATGCCGTGTTTACTTAACCGCCCAAAGGGAGCTAATCAAGTCAAAGATGACTGGCCTAGTGACTTGAACCAAGCCATATTGACATCAGATTGAAGCTACGGACATTCACCTCCTGTCGTGTGAATATGCTCTTGATAGTGATTGTGAGACGGAGTAAGCCAACGTTGTGTACATGTACCGTGTACCTCGCGACTTGATACACGCCCAATGGCAGAATCACCTCGGCCGAATAAAACAAGAAATCTTTCCCCGCCACTAACATACTCTTTCTCAGTCCGCGCTTCGCAGCCAAGCCCTCGGCGTGTCTGAAGCTAAGAGAAAAAAAAAGAATCTCACCATCATGGAGATGAAAAAGGAAAATGGAGCAAAAGAACAAACGTATGCAGCCCTGTCGTTGCGGCCTGGGCGGTTTTCAAAACGTCTTGCAGCTCGCTTGGCAGAGACACGCTGCCCCCCCTGCACGCCCAAACTCTGAGACACCCTCCAACGGCCTGCCACAGATTCCGGCGGTTAGGGGCCCTGGGAGCTTCTGCAAGGTACACGCCGCAGCAGCTTGTCCAGGCACTGCTACACTGAAGAGGCTCCAGGGCTCCCCGCCCGCGCCGCTAGCAGGGCCCATCCCCGGAGCTCCAGTCCCCAATTGACCGTTCCATCAATCCCATGCATGAGCGCCTTGGCTTTCTCTCTGTGAGCTGTGGAGGCCACTCTCTCTCTCTCTCTCACTAAATCTTGTTCTTCTCCTCGTTTTGCTCCAGTCCCCCATGTCATTTTGATCTTTTCTTTTCATTCTCTTCACCTACGCTTCACTCGTCAAAAATCTTTATTTCCCTTCGTCTCCCCACCCCCCTTCGTTTTTTTGGGATCTATTATACGTTCCTATTCACACGCTCTCTCTCTCTCTATTCTCTCGCAAAACAGTCGCTGGCCCGGTCCTCCGCACTTGGACTGCATATTCTATTTTTACCGTCATTCTTTATTTTTGAGTAGCTGGTTAATAGAGGATCCGTTGATCGCCGTATCCTTTGTTCCTCTCTTTGTCCATACCTTTTATTTCCTTTTTTGGGGGCGAAAGAAAAAAAAGTCTACATTCCTTCAGCCTTTGACGAGTGAACAGCCGGGTCTGATCCTCACAGCTAAACAGTACCTACTATTAATATTTCACATCCCCTTTTCCGTCAAATCAAAGAACCGTCTCGATGGCGCCTTTCAACACCATGCTTGGCTATCTCCTGCTAGCGGTGGCCCCCTTGGCGGCTGCTCTGCCGTTCCACGGCCACGGCCACAACACCAACAACCACAACCTCAACCTCAACTTCAACCTCACCGAAACCATCAACGAGATCAACGAAAATCTGGCTGGCCTGGTTGGATACATCACCAACCCTCACGCCAAGAACGTCATCGCCAACCGCTACATTGTCGTCTACAACAACACCTTTGGCTCCGAGGCCATCGCCGCCAAGCAGGCCGAGTTCGCCGCCACCATTCAGAAGCGCAATCTCGGAAAGCGAAGCCTCGGCGGCAACCTCCTCTCCACTGAGATCCACTCCTTCCAGATGCACAACTGGCGTGCCATGGCTCTCGATGCCGACGACGAGATGGTCAAGTCCATCTTTTCCGCCCAGGAGGTCGCCTACATCGAGGCCGATGCCGTTGTCCAGACCAAGGGCGCCCTCGTTGCTCAGACCAACGCCACCCCTGGCCTGATCCGTCTCTCTAACCGAAATGCTGGTGGCAAGAACTACATCTTCGACAACACTGCTGGCGCCGGCATCACTGCCTACGTCGTCGACACTGGTATTAGAATCACCCACTCCGAGTTTGAGGGCCGTGCTTCTTTCGGTGCCAACTTTGTCAACTCCAACGTATGTGATGAATACGTTCTTCCCCCCCTGACCGGTGATACAACTTTGATAAGAGAGCAAAAAGCTAATGATAATACCTAGAACACTGATGAGAACGGCCACGGCAGCCACGTTTCTGGTACCATTGGCGGTGCTACTTTCGGCGTTGCCAAGAACGTCAAGCTCGTTGCCGTCAAGGTCCTCGATGCCACCGGTGCCGGTAGCAACTCTGGCGTTCTCAACGGTATGCAGTTCGTCGTCAACGACGTCCAGGCCAAGGGTCTCTCTGGCAAGGCTGTTATGAACATGTCTCTCGGTGGCTCCCTGTCTGCTGCTGTCAACAACGCCATTGCCGCCATTGCCAACGCTGGTGTCGTCCCCGTTGTTGCCGCCGGTAACGAGAACGTACGTTTCTAAGCCCAGTCTCTTCTGAAAACGCAACGTCTCTAACCCTCATTATAGCAAGATACTGCCAACACCTCTCCCGGCTCTGCCCCTCAGGCCATCACCGTCGGTGCCATCGATGCCACCAACGATGTCCGTGCTAGCTTCTCCAACTTTGGACCTGATGTCGACATTTACGCTCAGGGTGTCAATGTTCTCTCTGTCGGCATCAAGTCTGATACCGATACCGCCGTTCTCAGCGGTACCAGCATGGGTAAGGACCAACGTTTTTGTACACGCAACTTTTTGGATCCTAAGCTAATTCGCCTTTTCCAATAGCCACTCCTCACGTTGCCGGTCTCGCCGCCTACTTGATGGCTCTCAAGGGCCTCACCAATGTTGACGACGTCACCACCCTCATCAAGAACCTCGCCACTGCCACTGGTGCCTCGGTCCAGCAGAACGTTGCCGGAACCACCAACCTCATCGCCAACAACGGTGAACTGTAAATCATTTGACTGTGTTCCCCTTATCCAGTCGTTGAAGTGACAGACTCAGAAGAAGAAGAAATAGAAAAAGCGCATTGAAATTTGAAATTTTATCTCTTGCGATTTCATAGACATAATTTTTTTCCACGAGATAGAGAAAGAGGAGCCTTGGAAACAATGGGATGGTATCTGCCCGAGAGGTATTAATTAGCTTGCGGTATTGTGAGCAGCGCAGCAAATCGAATACATGTAAATATAATAAAGAACGTTGCCTTGATTATTGGTCATATTCATGAGACTATTGAAGGCGTGAACATTTAGTAACGGAAATAGTCAAGACATATTGGCACTCATATATTGATAGATAAATACAGTTTTGAAGTGCTATATTCGAAATAAACATGGAAATGCTCAACGCGCACAGTTTTATTGTTATGATATTAATATCGCAAAGCGATGCTTGAAATATGGGCATGTTTGCTTGCCCGCGCAAATCCAACCTCGTCAAAACCCAAGGTTGGGGATTTACGCTGCGTCTAGCTAGTTAAAGCGACTAAAAGCAATGGAAAGGGTTGATATCAGCACTTCTTCGGCACAACCACAGTCATGGAAGGACTGAATTGCAATTTGACATCCGTGCTAGTTGTAGATAGAAGGGGAGAGCAAGAAAAGGACGAGGAAACACGCTGCTTTCAGTATACAGCACCTGTGGTTAACAATCAAGTAGGAAGCAAGATTCCTGCTTGATCTAGCATTAAAGATATTAATTAAGATAGTAAGTAGGTATACATTGTGTATGCTTGGCAGATATCATGGGCCAAGATCTGTAGTGCATGAAAGCATCAAGGCATCGCAGTCGGGTGGTATCATCAATAAGTAGGTTAGTAGTGTCGTTACAATTCATCACGGTCTAATACTGGAGGCGCGCCGCCAGCACCCGACCATAGTTTGGCAGTATCAGAAAATGTGCCGTCAAATCTCGCACCGAGAAACCAAGCGATGCCAAGCTGTACAATATTAGATTGAACAAATTTTGTAGTCATATCCGGGGGATTGAAGTATCTTACCATAACGCCCGTCATGGTCAGCAAAACACCGAGAACGACAGCAATCAAGATGGCAGTTTCGCCGGTGGACATGCCGGGTTCCTGTCTCTGCTTCTCCTGAGCCTCCTTGGTGAGCTTCTTGGAATCTTGCTTTGGGAACAATGTCTCAATGAATTGCTCAATCTAGAGGGTAAAGTTTGTTAGCAAAGGTTTAGATCCAAGAGAATAACTTCTTCGTACCTTGGCACACTGTACGCTAATTGCCAAAAAGTTGGGATCCCGAGGGTCATTCTTCTTTTGAATGCGCCTGGCATATCTTCGGAAAACCTCACAAAGCATCTGGAGGTTCTGTGTGCTCTCCAACATGATTTGGCAAGCATCTCCCTTGGTGATCTTGATGTGGCTTTGCAGCACGGCCGGGTTCCTGAAGCATAGTTCCAGAGTGGCAATGGCCATGCCCTGCGGAATGGCGACAAAGTTGAAAGCGCTTTGATCCCTCATGCCGGCCATATAAAACAGACAGTCTTCGACATGCTTCAGCGCATCAAGTACCATTTCTGATACGCAATTGATCGCCTGTGGTAGATACTTGGGATCAAACAGGTCTTCCCATTTGTCAACGTGTTTGCTCCAAATCTCCTTTGGATACCACCGTCGGCGGTCGCCCCAATCCTCATGGATATCACGGATGATGTTCGTTTTCTGCAGGAACTGACCCATGGACTCGGTCAGGGCGGGCCTCTCAGCCAGCTTGGGGTTGGCGAGCTCAGAAGCCACAAATAGCCGCGTCAGGCCTTCGCCGACCAGCCCCGCAACGTAGTGGCAGTACAGCTCATATTCTTCAATGGTCTGTACACCATTTTCAATCATTTCAGTGTTTTGAGCGTAATCAGCCATGCCGTTACCCATCTTAATGGTCATGTCCTTGATAATCTCGTAGTAAGGCTTCTTGAGCTTCTTGAGCTCGGTAATCACGACATCAAAGTGCTCTAGAAGCTCTGCGTCCTTCTCTTTGCTGTCGTGGTACTGCCAGCCATCCTGCTCCATTGTCACATGGAACTGTCGTAGCATAGGGACCTTGACGTCGAGGGGGATGGTCATATCATCCTCAATTGTGTCGAGGCCACGTAGCACCAAGTAGAAGAGGGTGATTGGGACCAAAAGCTCGTGGTTGAGTTCTTGAATGACGGCCGAGAAACTACGGCTCGTCAAGTTCAAATAGCGAAAGCATTCTGATAATGTCTCGCACTCGGTCGAGGGGTCGCGTCTGTGAACTGGGTCGTGCCATAGCTTCCTGCAGTTGTCCAAGTTAGCAGTGTGTTCAAGTAAAATTGTCTTGGATCATCGATTTCTTCCCCCAGCAATGACACTTACCATTGAATCATGGACCGCAATTGGGCCGGATGCAGTAAATAGTAGAGCGCGCCCATCTTGATTGTTTTCCGTGAGCACTTTGAAAGCTTGTCGGTTGTCGGTTGTGCGTTTGAGGGGGAGGACGAAGTAGTGAAAAATTAGTATGGAAAAGCCAGCACTAAAAAAATCTGGCTAACGTGTCCGCAGCTTGAGCAAACCGCGGGGCGGAAAAGTAGTACGGGGTATAGTGAAAAGAAATACTACAAAAAAGATACACAGCACATGAAGGAAGGGAAGAAAGAAAAGTTGGGAATGGGGGGGACGTGGGAACTAAGAGAGCGTCGTGGTTAAAATGAACGGGCGAAAAAGGAAGTGGGAGCTGATTAAAATACGAATACGCCGAGTAGGGCTAGTGTGCAGCTTGACGGCGGTTGTTTTAGCTGCTGCCACGGCTGCCGATGCCGCTAATGCGTCGAACATGCAGGAGACGCGCCCATCGAGCCCAACTATTGCGAATACGGAATGGAGGTTGGAGAGCTTTAGGGGTTAATGGTGGGAAGTTTCATTTCGAGGTCGTCATTGGATGGTATCTATTGGGGGGTTAAGCAGCGTCATTCAATGCCTCTGGTGTTCGGAATCTGATGCCTGTATCCGGAATTCGTTGCTTGGAGCATCTCCTCAGGCTACCGCGCTCTCTTGAAATCTGTGCTGACAGACCCCATCGCCATGATGACTCAGCGCAGTAGGTCAAACGTTCAATCCAAGTCCGATCGATGAGGGCTTCGGGATGTAACTGTTGCAGATCCCGTTGCGGTATCAGCGCGGATAGCTGGATTCAATAATTTGAGAACATCTCCAAAGTAAGCTCTTAGTAGAAGTAGTAGTCTGTAATCACGTTGCATGAGCGCGAATACGAGTTTGGAGAAAACAGTTTGCGAGATGTCGGTCTACAGTTGAGGTTGTGCACGGCTCTTCTGCGAGACTGGAGAGCCAGAGTGTTTGAGAAGCAAAGCAACAGATTGATGGATCAATAACGAGGCTTGATGATGGTTCAAACCTTTCACAGCTGCCTTAGTAATATGTGTCTATGAAGGCTGCCTATCATAGAGTCACGGATTGCTTTTGGCTGCCAGCAGAGTCATTGTCTTTCCATGAGATATCTCACAGCGAGAGGTAAAGAGCGTCCAGACATTAGCCTTGAGGGTTTCGTTTCCGCACCTGCCGCAGCTATTCATTTACAGCTCATATTGCAAAATGACTCTGATATCTTTGATCAAGATTTGCCACGTCCACAGATTTAGATGGCTGTATTCGACTCATCAGCTAACCTTGTTGAGCACCCACATGCCATAGAGGCTCTCTAGGAAAATGCCCAGGAGGCAAGTGGTGACCCAGTGCCTTCCGGGCAAGTGATCTCTATCCCGCTGGATTTGAAGGCAGGCACTGCCAAATCACACTAGAGAAGTGCAAGTGAAGCTCATCGTTGTACAACAGGTGGCACTTTCCAACAAACTACACAGGACTGTGCATAGAGCATCAGAGAGCACTTTCTTCTTTGCCATTCCGACATCTAGCCATGGTGTCTCCGGTCTTGTCCTCTACACCATGATCTGGAGAGATTCGTGTCACATCTAGGGAGCCTGAACTATCAAAAGTCCAGTAATTATTGCCATAAACCACACAATCAGCAGATTCGTTACAATGGCAAGCCGCCTATCAAATGGCCATGATCAACCGCGCTTTCTCATATGGGGAGGCAACGGATGGATTGCTGGGCATTTGAAGCGCCTCTTGGAGGAACAGGGCAAAGAAGTCCACACCACGACAATCCGCATGGAAAATCGAGAGGCTGTCTTTTCTGAGCTCTTCCTAACCAAGCCAACCCACGTCCTCAACGCTGCTGGATGCACTGGCAGACCCAACGTCGATTGGTGCGAAGACAACAAGACGCAGACGGTGCGATCCAACGCCATCGGTACGCTCAACTTGGCAGACGCCTGCTTCCAGGCGAATATCCATTGCACTGTCTTCGCCACAGGTTGCGTGTACCAGTACGATAAGACGCATCCCATCGGCGGGCGTGGCTACACGGAGGAAGATCGTCCAAATTTTGAGGGGAGCTTTTATTCCCTAACCAAGAGTCATGTTGAACCGGTGAGTTTATACAGCCAAGAGCAGATGTGATGGTACTAACCCCTTGTTCAGATCTTGAGTAGCTATCCAAACTGTCTCATTCTTCGCCTCCGCATGCCTGTTAGCGATGACCTCCACCATCGCAATTTCGTGACCAAGATCATTGGCTACGACAGGGTGGTTGACATTCCCAACAGCAACACTATCCTTCATGACCTTCTGCCAGCTTCCATTATCCTCGCAGAACATGGCGAAACCGGCGTGTATAACTTTACCAATCCAGGCGCGATTTCGCATAATGAGGTTCTTACGCTGTTCAAGGAGATTGTGAGGCCCGGACTCAGCTGGAAGAACTTTACGCTCGAGGAACAAGCCAAAGTCATCAAGGCAGCCCGAAGCAACTGCACTCTCGATGTGACCAAGCTGGTTACCAAGCTGAAGGAATACAGATACGAGATCCCCGAGATTCACGAAGCTTACGAACAATGTTTCAAGAGAATGAAGGCTGCGGGTATTGAATAGGAACAGTTCAGCTTTGCTACAATCCGTTGAATGGATCATCTGCATGCATGATCTACCTGTTAGTGACGGATCTAGATGGGATGCGCTGTAACTCTCTGGGGTTTATGTTTAGTGGCCGGCTCTCGGCAATGATAGATTGCTTTATTTGAGTGCACTCTGTAGACTCAAATATACTTGTAACTCGATGTGTTCTTTCTAAATGAATGTTCCCCAGATAACAGATGCATGATAATGTCTGCTTGGCAAATCAACTAGATCAACGCAGGCTACATATTTTCATGTGAAGATCCGCGCTGAAGCGGCTGCTTGTCCTGGATCTGCGGCTCATGTTGGTTAGTTTAAGCTGCCTGTCACCAATCTTATTTCGGCTGTCGAATAAGGCTAGCAGCACTGCCCCGCCATTACGTAGCGCCGACGAGGCAAACCACGCTCGGCCTTGGGCAAAATTTCGGCTGCGGCGACAAATATGCCATGTTTCTGCTAATGCCGCGATAAAGAACCGCGAAACCGCCATCTTACACCTCCCATAGCGCAGCCAGGCCTCTGAATTTCTCTCCTTTCCAGACACGCGTGGACGCGCCGCACCCGCATATCAAAGAAAACACATTCAAAATGGTCGTCGACACGGCCTACTACGACACCCTCGGCGTCTCGCCGCAGGCCACTGAGCTTGAGATCAAAAAGGCCTACCGCAAGATGGCCATTGTCCACCACCCAGGTATTTACCGAGCGCGCGTCTTTCTACCACTTTGGCCGGTTTCGCCGTTTGATATCCTGTCGCTATTTACCCGATTTTCTCTCCTGCCGCTCTTCTGACAAGACTTCTGCTGCCAGATAAGAACCCAAACGATCCGACAGCACACGAAAAGTTCCAGGCCATCGGCGAAGCCTACCAGGTTCTCTCCGACGCGGATCTGCGAAAAGCCTACGATAAGTATGGAAAGGACCACGCGAAGCCGCAAGAGGGCTTCGTCGATCCGGCCGAGTTCTTCTCCGCCATTTTTGGCGGCGAGGCGTTTGTCGACTGGATTGGTGAGATTAGCCTGATGAAGGATCTGGCGGCCACCATGGATATCGCCATGGAGGGAGAGGAAGAGGGAGAGGCTCCGCCAGCAGCAGAGGACGAAGAATTCCCCGGAACAGCCGAGGCGATGAAGGAGAGTATGAAGGAGAACCCTGCCGCATCTACAGCCTCTGCGTCTGCATCTGCGCCGCCGCCGCCTACAGTGGTTGTGGATGAGGAGAAGACGCCTGCGGGCTCTGCCACTGCGACGCCCCCACCAGCTCGATCCCACGCGACGTCTCCAGCCCCGTCTGTTGGCTCCCGGAGACAGATCCCTATTCGACCGGCTCTTATGGATAAGGCTTACGACGAATCGGCAGAGAAGGAGATGGAGCAGGCAGACGATGACCTCAAGGGCAAGGGGCGCAAGAAGGGCGGTATGAGCAAGGAGCAGCGCGATAAGCTGCTGGCTTACGAAAAGGAGCGTGCTCGCGTTCGTCAAGAGCGCGTGGAGCAGCTGTCGAAGAAGTTACTGGACCGGGTCAGCGTATGGGCTGAGACCGACAAGAGCGCCGATGTGACAAGGGCTTTCCAGGAGAAGATGCGACTCGAGGTGGAGAATCTCAAGATGGAGTCTTTTGGTATTGATATCCTCCACGCCATCGGCCAGACCTACGTGTCCAAGGCCTCTACCCTTTTGCGCAGCCAAAAGTTCCTTGGCATTGGCGGCTTCTTCAGCAAGCTCAAGGACAAGGGCACACTGGTCAAGGATACCTGGAACACCATCAGCAGCGCTATTGATGCGCAGCAGACGGTGGAAGACATGGCCAAGATGGAGGAGCGGGGCGGCGAGGACTGGACGGACGAGAAGCGCGTCGAGTACGAGCGCCGTGTTACGGGCAAGATCCTGACGGCCGCGTGGAGGGGCAGCAGGTTTGAGATTCAGGGCGTGTTGCGCGAGGTGTGTGACTCGGTTTTGAACGACAAGAAGGTTCCGCTGTCGAAGCGATTGGAGCGAGCGCAGGCGCTTATTCTGATTGGCGAGGTCTTCCTCAAGGTGTGTAATTTCCCGGTTCTTTTCTCCTGTTATTTATATGGCTTGATTTATATAACTAACCGTGGCCTGACTTGTTTAGGCCGAGCGATCCCCCGAAGAAGAGGGCGACTATCTGCTCTTCGAGCAGCTTGTTGCCGAGGCAGCCATCAAGAAGGACAAGCACGAAGACAAACACAAGCATAAGAAGGCCCACGATAAAACCGCAGAGGCGGTTGCCCAGGATGCGCCTAATGTGCTGAAACCGGCAGCGGCGTAAATTGTTTTTTTGAGTACGGGATAAAAGAAAAGACTTCAGGAGAGACAGCATTTAATTGGCGAAATACCAGAAGAAAGAAAAACGATTGGGGGGAGAAGTAGCGAGGATTGGAGAAGAAGAAAAAAGGGCATTGAGGGAGAAATTGTCCATTTGCTTGTTTAGAGAGATTAATGTCAAGATTGCCGGATAGAGAGCGATCGGCCTCATTTACCATAGAATACATTTCACCATTTTTTAGTTTAGTTAACTATTCTCTTCTCATTTCATGATGGGTACTTTGGTCCATTTATATATATCAGCATTTCTGCCCCAAGGGGGGGAGGGGAAACAGCAAACATATCACAAGGCATAGTCTAAGGAGGACACACAATTGTTGGAAGGCATAAACGCTTTTTTTCTTCTATTCCATTTCCATCATCACTGAAGAGACCCAGCGTATTCTATCTCGCATACATGAAAAAAATAATGCAGTTTCCTCTCCCTTTTTATATCCAGAGACATTGCGAACTCGTAAACTTTGTGTGTAGCCCCCCTTGTGTAGAAAGAGCTAAACGATGTATAAAGTGTTTCCTTCTTTATTTTTTTTTGTTCTTCTTCTTTGATTTCTTCCTTTCCCTTCTTCTTTTTTTCAAGGAGAGGGTGGAAAAATCAAGCGCTTCGTGTTGCTCTTCTTCCAATCTTCTCATCTCATCTCGTTCTCGGCGCAAATTTCATGCTGTGTCCGTGGCTTTATCTTTTTTTCCGTCTTTTTCTATAATCTCTCTGTTTCGTCCTTTGCTTTGCCTCTGCGGGTATCTGATCTTACACATGTGAAAAAAACAACAAAAAAACACAACAGCAACAGCAACAAATAATAATCGAGTAGTCAAGTAATGATGACCAGGATATCTCAGAAAGAAGGGACTTTGCGGGAGGAGGGGGCAAGCGCTGTGAAGTCGTAGATTTCCCCCTCCTCGAGCGCACCTAACAAAGGTTTGTTTCGATTCGTACTCGGATTGTAGAAGAAGGGTATTCAAGGGAGGGGTTTGGGATACGAGGAAGGTCTCAAGTAAAAGGAGAGAAGAAAAAAAAAAAAGAATGCAGATGGCTGGTTGTAAGAAGAATTGAGTGATCATGGCCTTCATAAATACAATGATAAGAAAAAGCTCATTGTCTCCCAGTAGTAGCAGCAGAGATATAAAAGAAATATGATGAGTGTAAACGCCATGTGAAAATTCCAAAGGAGCGCCGTGTATCCCCGATATCCCGAGATATAACTATAAGTGTATATGTAGAGAAAAGTATATGCTGTCGCAGATATAAAAGAGAAAAAAGGGTAGTAGAGAAGTGAAAAAGGAAATATTGCAGTAGTAGGTAGCAAAAAGGACGGAGAAAAGAAAGAAAAAAATGGATATGAATGAGTGGCGATGTGAAGAAGTAAGTAGCGACTGCGCCGCGGATATAGAAATTTCGAAGAGGCGATTGTATAGGATTATTCGCCCGGATATATGTGAAAGGTCGGATAGCTAATGACCCGCAGCGCGCAATTCTATGCCGCTGTCACGGTCTTGCGCCTCCTTGGCCCATGTTTCAGATTCGGCAATTGATATGGTATCGTCTCCAAAGTGCGATGCGGAAACAGTAGATATCGTATCGTCTCCAGCCTGAGATGTGTCTTCGCGGTAATCGTAGTATGAAGCCGCCAAGACACGTCCAGGCATAGCATCCACGTCGGCGATCTTGACTCGGTAAGCCAGTGCTTTCTGGCCCTCCTTTATCAGCAAGTCGGTCCAGTTCAGGCACTTCTTGAGACTCTGGTTCATCTTCTGGCTGTCAAGGAGGAGCTCTTGATGTCTAGTGAGATCAAGTTGGAGACGGCGCTCATCGCGTTTACGTCGTTTAGCGCTGGGTGAATCTGTCTTTGCTTGAGGGTCGGTAGATTTGGAGTCAGTGGCGGCATTCTCGTTGGATAACTCGGAGTCGACTAGCGAGTCTTCATCCTCATCCTCATCCTCATCCTCCTCCTCCTCCTCCTCTTCTTCTTCATCTTCGTCCTCATCGTCGTCGTCGTATTCCTGTTTCTCTGGGTTTGCGTCCTCTTCCTTCTCGTTAACATCAGCAAGGCCAGCCGACGCATCTGGTACAGACAGAGAGGCTCCCTGGTTGGTGGCCATTGGCAAGCGGCCGGCTCTAGATAAGCGGCGGAAGCGGCGCAATTCCGCAGACTGTTTGCGCATCTGCCTTTCGAGAGTCCGATTGATGGCCTCAAGGGAAGCATTGGTGATTTCGAGGTCCTGAACTTTACGTTCGCGCCGAGCACTTAGGACGAGGTGGTCAAGCGGCTCAGAATTCTGGGATAGCCTCTTATGGCTGCGGGAGTCAGAATCCGAATTGTCGCTGTGTCCATCCTCCCCGTCCTCGCCCTCGCTACCCTCGTCCTCCTCATCTTCGAGCTCATCAGCCATTTGCAAAATCGTTGCCATTGTCACTGGCTGTGACAGTTGCGCCAAGCCTGGGCTTAGGAGCGGCGGTGTCATGTCAGGCGCATGAATCATTGGTGGCGCGATGGTTGGAGTAGCGACCTTTGGTGTCACCACGCCATCTATGGAATGGACACTCCCTGCGCGGCCATGCCCCTGTTTTAGCCGCAGAGGCGCCTCGATGCTCACGCGCCGCTTGCCGACCTGGCTTGCGGAGCCCGCCAATGTCGGGGACGGGTGGACTGAAGATCGAACTGGAGACGTTGGCGACATGGCGCCGGTCCGTATTGATCGTGGAGATTGTTGATGGTGGTGTTGTTGTTGTGGTGGTAACGTAGGGTGTGTAAGGTTCTTGGAGGGCGATGCTGGCCTCGAATGCACTTGTACCGTGCTGGATCCCGCGACAGACGAGGCGCTGGTATTTGGGCGAGGCGCTCTAGAGCCACTGGAAACGGTCGAGCCTGATCCAGAGCTGCGCGCCGACAATCTCAAGTCGGCATCTGGTGCGCCATTGGCGTAGAAGAATTTGGTAGCAACGCCCTCTTGCGCCGAGCTCAGTGAGTTTGAGCTCGAGCTTGGGTATGCTGGAGGGCTCGTCACTCGCTTGCTGGCAGCATCGCTCGCATAGAAAAAGGTCGGCGTACTCTTAGTATGGACCACAGAAGCTGGCCGAGGCGGATGTGATGTTGGAGCCGCGGGCTTTATGCTGCTGGCGTAGAAGAACTTGGAGTCGTCCCCAGGCCCGTTGGACGAGTTCCCGATGCTCTTCCTAGAGCCCGTGTTGTCAGTCCGTGCCAGGGGCGACACGCCCAGCCCGCGGCTGCTCCTGTTGCTCTTGGTCTCCCATCCATCGCTCAGCTTGTCGAGATTCGGGGTGCTGTTCGGCGTCGTATGAGTGCTTTCGGCACGGGTCTGCCTGGTGCCCGGCCGCGGGGTGGTGCTGTGGCTTAAGTATGATGATGCAGCAACGGAGCTGACGTCGCTGCGAGGGGATTGCGCGCCGTTGATGGAGGATCCCGATCTTCTCGCCATGGGCGTCGTGGCCGTCGTCGTGGCCGCCTGACCTCGCACGGCGACTTTGGGCGTCAGGGGCGCTCGGGTCGAGCCTCTTGCGACTCCAGGCCCGGCGCCAGCGCTCAGCTGAGGCTGGCGAGGCTTGTCTCCGATGGGCATGGCGGAGGAGTTCCTCGTGGCAGAAGAACGCGGTGTCGGAGCAGCGGCAGCCCTCACAGAAAGCACATGTTGATGTTGATTCGGGGATCGAGCTTGCACCGCAGCGGGCTTTGGCGCGACGCTGGCACGGATGAGGGGCCGTCCTTGGGTGTTCGACGTCGATCGGGGCGCAGGCGCAGCGCGGGTGTGTTCGGCAGCCGGTCTCTTGGGGACTGCGGGCTTGCCGGCGGCGAGGCGTGAGAGGCGGGCGGATGATGGTGTTTGTGGTTTTGCCTTGTCGACGATGGTGTCTGAGTACGGGTTGACCTGCACGGAGCGCATCCTCCCAGGCGGCCACAGTCACTCGCTGGTGGCGGTCGGTAGCGTTCCCTGGCTCCCTTGGGCAGCGTCCCTAGCACTGTAATTAAGCCCGCTGTGGTGGCTAGCCGGGCCAGAAATTAGGGGGCGTGTGGAGGGATAAAAGGAGCCGGGAGAGCCTGCGGCGGTTCCACTGCGCCGGCGGGACGGGCAGCGCAACTGTAAATTAGAGGAGGGAATCACTGCCAGAGCTGCTACAGTAGAGAGACGGAGCTCAAGACATGATGCTGATGCTGCGGCTTTGGCGATGCGCGGCGCAGCGCAGCGTCTTTTTCTATTTTACGTTGCGCAACTCGCGGCGATGACATTCATTGCATCGATCGCCTGACTGACGGGGCTGCAGAGACGCACGCACACGCAACAATCATGGCCCAATCCATTCGCAGAGCAAGGGTTTCCGGCCCCCCGCAAGTTCTGTATCCAGAAAGGCGGTAAAGCGTGCAGCTGCAAGCCGGTCCTATGAGACGAAGCGGCATGCCAGGCAAAGCCCACAGTTGGAAGCGAGGATGCAAGTTAGACATGCATGCTAGCAGTAGCAGATGGCGGAGTGCCACGGCGCAGAATTGGTGTGAATGCTTGGGAGCACCGGTGTGAATACCCGTTTGTGCTGCTCGCAACATCTATAGATGGATCTTATACTGCCCGTGAGATGTAATATCATAGTGTATAATGTGGGCAGGTGGATTACATGTTATGTATGGAACGATGCCTGGAAAAGTTGCTACACCAGGGCCCTGGCCGTATGTACATCTTACAAGTGCTTTCTCAATGCGACAACGCATGCAATGCCAGCAATTCCCGCTCCCCCTTGCTCCGGCAGACGAAGTGAGATCTGAGCATTGCGCTGCATATTCGACAGTACGTGCCGTACATAAAAGCCGCGGCGAGAGATTAATTAAACCTAGCACGCAAAAGAATGCTCCGTATAGCATATTAGTGTTGCCGTTTTGCTCGATAGCGTCACACGGACAAAGTCGGGATCGACAGCCATTGTTTATTTACTCGAATCTGCGCAACCACTACAAAGAAGCTTCCTTGGCCCGAATGAGACAAGAAAGACAGAAATAGGGTTGAATAAACATAAAGTAAGAGAGCTGCCCTATCCTAGGTGCTGTAACCAGGAAACGTCTTCAACAAAACATGCAAAGCATCATCATCTCCTGATGAAACAAAACAAAGCCAGAAAAATAAAAGAAGCAGCTGATTCGATCCAGACGTCCCCCGTTATACCTAGCCGGGCATAGTCGCCAAACGCTAACGAACGTCCCGGCCTGGGGGATCCATTTCGACGGCGAAAAAATGACAGGGAACTCGCCCTTTTCCGGTCTAGGGCGCGAGCCTCCAAATTTAGACCACATGCTGCATGCCTCCAGCTTTTTCCAATTTTGCCGTCATCACTGACGTTTGATGCGTTGGGTGTGTCAGAACTGGAATTTCGTCATTTCAACTCTTTGGCTTCCTTTCTGCTGTCCCTCTTTTCTCTTCTTATTCTTTTGCTCGCCGGCATCTTTGCCGACTGTCCTTCCTTCTTTTCTCTTTTAAGCGAGCACCGTTTGTCTCAGAAACAGGCCCCACGATGGCCATGCTGGGCATCTCGCTCATTGTCGCATCGGTCGTCTTCGTCATTCTGCGGCCGCCGCAATGGCTGTTGCTGCGATGGCAGAGCTTTGGAGGGATCGCGGCCATCACGGACGGCAAGGACAAGGGAAAAGCGGCGGATAGAAACCAACGAAGCAGAGAGGGCGCAGATGCTGATGTAGAACTAAAGGGGCTCTCGAAGACGACTTCAATAGCAACCGCCTCTAGGACCCTGAAGCAGCGCCAGCCTCCTCCCACGATCGCGCCTCCCGTCATCGTCCCGCCATCCATCGAAGAACCAGAGTCTCCCTCCACGCCAAAAGCCCAGGCCGCAAAGCCATCTCAGAGCGCCGTTCCCAGCCTCTCCCTCTCCGCCGACTCAGCGACCTCGATGATGCCCCCGCCACCTCTCCCTTCACCTCGCCCGTCCAACGGCCGCATTCCTTCCCTCAACCAGTTCCCAGCCCCCAACTCCGCCCAGCGTGCCCGCGGCCCTGCACCCAATCGCGGCCTTGCTGCACCTTCGTCTTCATCATCCGGCCTCGCTCCTCCCCCCACGCTCGCCGCCAAGCCGCAGAAACCCAGCCGCCAGGTTGTCCTCACGCCGGGCCACTCTCCGCTAGACTGGGCGAGGATATCCGGGCCCAATGCCGATTTGCGCGGCGTGGCTGCGTCGACCCCTTACCTGCGTGTGACGCCTTCGATGCTCAAGACGCAGACTGGTCGCAAGGGCAAGGACGCTTGGATGGCTATCAATGGAAAGGTATACAATGTTACGCCATATGCGAGATTCCATCCTGGAGGTGTGCCGGAGCTCATGAGGGGCGCGGGACGAGATGGCACGAAGCTGTTTGGAGAGATCCACCCATGGGTCAACTATGAGACCATGCTGGCGGCGTGTCTTGTGGGGTTGCTGGTCGAAGAGTCGGATGGTAAGGAGAATGATATGGATCAAATGGATTAGACTATCTGGGCTGAAGAGATATGTGGAGTTGGAGGAGGAGGATATGTGCGTGTATACACCACAAAGGGCTAATAGATGTTATACATAAGCTAGAGAGATACCCCCCCCTGTACAAATAGTATTATACATAGACGGCATAGATACAATCCCGCAGGAGCACACCCTGCTACTCAGCAAACTACCGTCTCTTGCCAAATCTAAACTTGAGGTCGTCGTCACTATCGTCACTGTCTCCAACCTCCAGCAGGGTTGTCGCCAGTCTCGTCCGTTTCGGCGGCGGCGGGTCCTTAGCTGCCGCAGGTTCCGTGGCCGCTCTCTTCCCCTGGTTGCCTGAGCGTGTTTGCGCGCTTGAGAGCTGACTCTGTCTAGTGCTCTTCTGCGATGGAGCACCGGTCCCCTCTCTTCTCGATCCCGTAGCTCTAGAGGAGGGCTGCTCGGACTCTGGGGCTTCGATTTCCTCCATATCGCTGCTCTCTGAAGCAATGACTCGTGCGGAGGAAGCACCACGTCTTGTTGGCGGCGCATTCACAAAAGGAGAGGTTTTTGCCTCGTTAGCCACGACAGCGGATGCCTGGCTCGTGGTCTTCTTGCGATCATTGCTCTCATCTTCCAGCCAGTAGTTATCGCCAACTCCGAATTCTTTGGGCTTGACTTCAGTAAGGGCGATAATAACCCTCGCGGGCTGCCTGCCCACCACTTCCCCTCTCTTGCGAAATTTCTTGAAGTTCTTCATGCCATTCCATTTGGGATCCCATCTTCCGTCTGCGATTTCCTGCTCTTTATCCTTCCCAGAAGCTCTGTCCGGGATACGTATGTCCATCTCCTCGACGATATTGAGCCGGCGAATCTCAGCCAAATCAATACCCTCTGGTAGATTTGCCAAATCTTCAGCCTCGGCTCGAGCTCGAGCCTCCGCCTCTTCGCGATTCTTCGCGACCACTGCTAGAACGTCTAGTTCCTCCTTTGCCTTCTTTTTTGCACCCTTGGTCTCTGCCGGTTCGGCCACCTTTTCATCAGGCTTCGGCGATGGTGCAGCGAAATCGTCTCCCCTCTCAAGGCGTTGGCGCTTGAACTTTGCCACAGACGGTGCCATCCCTTCCATTAAGTCGCTATCAGGTATGGGCGAGGGTGGTCTCTTTCTGTGAGATCGAACGTCGACATCCTGGCCGTTAGGCATAAAAGGTTCATCTTGCTCTTGCGAGACAAATAATCCACCCTCATCTTCCTGTGGTTGAGTTTGACGCTTCGGTGGCTCATAAGGAGGCGGGGGTTCATCTGCTCCCTCGTCATCGTCGTCATCGAAGCCAGCGAATCGCCTCTTGACAGGTTTCCGCACTCTACCCCCTCGCCTTGGGATTGGCTGAGAATCTCCTTGTTGTGATGGTTCCGTGAGTATCGGTGATTCTGTGATATTGGCCCTGCTCTGTTGAGTCAGGGGTTCCTGTAACGAAGCCTCGGCAGGCCGCGAATTTTGAGTCCTGTTTGACGATTCTACTTCCAAAGGTCGTCGTAGCTTGCTTGCGTCGTTGATTAGAATTGCTTCCAAGAATTCGTTTTGCTCGATGGGTCTATGGTCCAGCAATAGTGATACCGCAGTGACGAACTCGGTATACCAGCCAACAAGCTCTCCTTTGGCCGGGAGAAATCTCACGAGAACAACCCCCTTGCCTTCACTACCATCATTAAATGACCCGGTTCCTTTCTCTCCGGCAACTCCCTTTACATATCGGACAAAGTCGTCAACCTGCGTCTCCTCTGGCTCGATGGGATGCAGCATGGCCTTACCACCACCATTAGTAATGGGGGCCATGAGGTTGTCGTACTGCAGCTGGCTGTAGAATATAAAAGTGTATCCTTCAAATACGTCTTTTCGACGGTCATCGGGAGTGTACAATTCGTCTGGATGCTGTATCGGTTCATTCCCTCGGGGAGGCAGATGGTCCATGGCCTTGGGCCAATACTCGTCAAAGTCCCTTTCTAAGTAGCTCGATTCTTGGCCATCTTCAGCGTCTGGCGGCTCGGTGACAGAAGAGACTGCATCGAGAAAGGTTTCCGTGACAATGTATTTGCCATTTATGAGAGCCTGTAGACCTTTGGCTGTATTCCGCTTCTTCGAGATGACGTGGGTCGTGTGTTTTACGCTGTAGTCGGTCAGCAGCTTAATATCTAGCTGCTCAAATCGTTCTTTAAGGGAGGTCAAGGGCTGGGTCTGTAGCTCTTTGGTTGTGAAGGAGAAAGTAAAGACCGCCGGATGCCATTTCAGCCTAACCTGTCTGTCAGTAAAGATAGAACGCAGAACGCAGCTTCACCTCTATCAGTCGTCTAGGCATCATTACCTGAATTTGCTGGGGCTCTTGCCCAGCATGATGTCGTATTCTTCAACTTGGGTATCATAGACGCTTCCTTTGATTTTTTGTCCGTTGACAACTGTCCCTATCTTTGTCGCCAGATCTTCAATCTTAATGTGCGACCGGCTCGATAGATTATGTGCCTGCCCCTCTGCGACGCTTTGGACGGTGATTGTGAGGTGTTTGCGCGAAATGGTATTATGTGAGATTGCAAGCTGCCCAGCTAAAGTCGCCTCAATCAATACATATTTCAAGCCTCAATGCCGGTAAAATGGCAAACTTACGCTCTGCTGCGGTCCTCCCAAAGAGATACGTTTTGCCTGGGCGCAGCCATAGTCGACGGCCTGCAGGAAAATCGTCAGCACAGATAACGGCGTCACAGCGACTCCAGGGCCGGCACAGGCCTCTCGCTCACCTTCAAAGGCCTCCTCGTTTTCTAGCAGCCACATCGCCTCAGGCTGCTATTCATTCTAGGCCAGGGCCCATCGCTTGACGCGCATATGCCGTGATGACGTTGGTTGATGCGTCGTGAACTTTTTGTGGGGCGGCGCGCGTCAGCACAGGCGTTGTCTTCAACGCCAGTTCACGTGCTTCTTTAGGCTGGATGCCTGCATTCAACGTCATTTTCATCATAAAAGCAGCAAAGTAAACATGTCTAAAGAGAGCAGGTCATTTATTGATTAAATGTATTTCAAAATTACCATGGATATTATGCCTGTGTATATTAGCCTACAATAGTTATGCAGGTAAGCAGTGACTACCTTGTCCATCGCCGAACAGAAACTTTGATAGCCTCATATCCATTGTAAAATAAGAATATGGAAGATCGCACTCCGATTTATTCAAGCTCGTTTTCTGCATCTTGATTATCGCCGATCCTTAGATTCAAGCTTTTAGATAGAGATGGGCATGATTCTGTTGACTTGGTGAATATTTCTTGGATGGCTTGCCGCTTACACTTGGGCCATTTGGAGCAGAGTTGGCAGATATTTTCGAGAGTTTGTACCCATTTGCGAACCTGATGCTGGAATAGAGCTCAAGCAACAAAACCTTGCCGATACTGCTTCATGTCTAACCAACAGCGTGCCCACCTTGATTTTGATATCGTCGAGTTCGGTCGTTTTGCCGAGCAGCTTCTTTTGGGGAAAAGTTGTCCAGCATCCCAGTTTGTTCTCAGGCTTATATCTTGTCAACCATCAGGGAGAAACAACATGCAAGCGCAGAGCTTGTACTGTGCCATAGCTTGTCTCATCAAGTCATCCCAGTCATCTGATGCTCTCTTCCATTTCTTGTCCATGGAGATGGCTACAAGCTCCTAAACGACACCTTGATTCTTGGAAAATGCAAGTTCTACTACCGATCGTACAAAGATCGTACAAAAATGGTCAAAGTAGAAGGAGTAGGCAAACTCAACGCCGATAACCCGTCTTCTGGAGCCAAACAAAGCCGAGACTCTCGTCGTAGAAGAACCAGTGCCAGGCCCATGGGTACTTTTTACAATTGAGAAACCCCGCAATCAACTCCTTGAACTCACCTGAACTCAGTAGACAGGTATTGGTAACTCGTAAATCCCATCTCTCAGCGACACAACAACCAGAGACTGGTTGGCGGCGTTGAAGGCCAACCAGCCGAGCACTCAGATCTCTACGTCTGGAGCACGAGAATCATCCACGGCATCGCTACAATAGGAAGTCGAGCTGGCAAAGCATGGCATCAAGGAACTCAACCGCACACAAGCATTGGAAGAAACCGTCACCAAGCCGCGCAATCAGAGAGAACGCCTGCTGAGCAACAACGCCGCACTTAAAGCGACACTCGCAACCACTAACACCCGTCTTGACGAGCACTAAAGAATTATAGGAGCCCTTGCAGGCCGCATTATGGCACTCAAAAGAGCATGATAAGCCAAACCATTAATAACAAACATAAATCAGGAGTGGGAGCCTGCTGGAGACACGGGATATCACATGGACAAATGTAGATCAACAGACTTCAACATTTAATCTCCAAGTCGCCTTTCAGACCACCCTCGGCTTATAAAATTCAACCAGCATCCGCTGACGTCCAGCTTTTCTGCCTCGCTCAACAGATTCGTCTTCGTTATTCGTCGAATACGGGTCAAAATCCTCTGCCTTTTCATGATTGATGTTGGACAGCTCGTCGATTTCGCCAATCTTCCACCCACGAAGTATGACCATGCATATGGCAGCAGCAATATACGTCAGCCCAGTCCATAGCTGGGTTCCCAGATAACTTCCCGTCCCAGTGACAATCTGTAAAGCAATTGGCTCGCTGAATGTGCAGGGGAGTACAATTCCCAGCCACATAATGTTGAGGGCAGACGGCACATCCGCCAACCCAACGATTTCGGCTGCCACTGGTCCAACAACGGTCCAGAATGTGCCACCGACCATGCCGCAGATGATGGAGTAGAAAATGAGCACGCCGTATACTTTGGTGTTGATCCAGATCGCCAACGCAAAGATTCCGCCTAGCAAACTAGTAAAAGCAGCCATGTTCATTCGTCCGGTTCGATCGCTAAAGTACCCCATCAAAGGCCGACCAATGCTTTGACCCAGGTTGAAGAAGGCGCTGATGAGCGCTGCTTGAGAAGACTGAAGGCCAATTACGTTTGCGTAGTTGGAGAGACTGTAGATGACGACAGAGTAACCAAAGATGCTGAACCAGCCGAATGCGACGAATAGCAGGAACTCGGGCCTCAACAGAAGCGACCCCTTGAAAGCTAAATGGGTCGACCCAACTATCTTGTTGCGGTCTTTGACTAAGAGAGTACAGATGATGTTGACGACAAAAGCGAGGATGCCCAGAATTCTAAAAGTCCAAGCAAGCCCCAAGTTTTGAATCATGGCGCCAGCAGCAAACGAGTAGATGAGACCACCCAGGCCTGAGCCAGCGGCTGCTATGCCATTCGCCAAGGAACGATGCGTCGTGAACCATTGGGGAATGATGCCGACTGTGGCTGTAAACAAGACGCCTATGCCGAGGCCGAAGAGGACACCCTGAGTGAGGAAGATGTGCCACACCTTGGAGGCAAAGCTCGCTGCAATCCAACTACCCGTTTCGATGACGACGCCAAACAGCATTACTTGTTTTGTACCAAACTTTTTGACGGCTATGGTTACGAATGGAGAGATGCCCATGGCGCAGCCCATGCTAAGAGATCCGATAAAGGCATACTGGAGGGTGGTGGCTCCGTTGAAAGTGTTGTTTTCTATATAATAAGCCAGGAACACGCCGTAGCTAGAACTTATTCCCCATGTGTGAGCGTTGATGATGCAAACAGCAATGGTAACAATCCATCCATATCCTCCATTCGGCGGCGGTGGGGGCGATGCGACATCGGCCGGTTGCTGGTCTTGGCTCTCGATCCTAGATTCATCGTTTCCTTTCTCTGTCTCGCTTGTCATGGCACTTTGGCCATTGTCGTTTGATTCTGGCTCGGAAGCCAAGAAAAGATGCTCCTTGTCATGATGTTTGTCGGTATGTGTAGGTGCTTGACTGTGGGTCATCTTGTCCACGCGCAGACTTGTTCCCAGCAAACGTGGAAGTGAACCCGGAGACGAAAGAGTCAAACTGACCTGGCGAGGAAGAACAGCAGGTAGACAGTTATGCAAAGGAAAGGAAATATAAATAAAGGAAAGTATATATCTATATGTACAAGAAAGAGGGGGGCTGAATATGGCTCTCAGCTCGACATCCAACGTGAGACTACCGTCGTATTCCCATAGCTATGTAGTATTCAACTCTTCTGACAAGCCACCACCAGGGCTGAACCGGGCTGAACCGGCATCGTCCCGTATAAAACGGCCCACGGCGACCCGATTCGCCCCCTCTATTTCCTATTTTGTCAATTTGGGAAACGATGAAGTGAGATGATGTCTTTATCTTTACGTATGTGATTAATAAACTGCTCCTTGAAGTGAGAATGCTTTCCGGGGATATCGGTGCTCGCCATTAGAACTTCAATGAGAGAAGGTATAGTTTTTCTTTAGCTGCCATTTAGATACGAGGTTCAAGACACTGTCGGCCAGTTTTCCACGTTACAATGAAGAGCGAGGCAGAAAAGAGCGGCTGGATTAGCGGCCGAGGTTGGAAATCACCCCGTGCATGTATACCTGCACGGTCTGAGATGGAAATTGTCCGATCTAATGCCTAAAAGCAGCTTTCTACTGTACATGTAATGATGAGTGATTTTCATTCCCCTTCGAATGCAACCAAGAAAAAACTTTTCGATGGCACTAGTTCAACTAACTACTCCGAAAAAGAGTTATTTCGTGAATTGTATGACTCGATTGGACGAGTTATAGGAACCGGATTGGAGATTTCTTTGCAATAGAGTTTTTTAGTATTCGGGAGCTAGTCAAACCCCGCAATTTATGTATTTTATCACGACATATGTGCAGTGCCTGATTGCGGCAAATGTATATGTAAGGTACATGTAAGCAGATATATACCCAGTGCCTCCAAAATAATTCTGACGAATTCAGGGCAGACATACATTATAGTGCGTGATGAACTGGAATGGCTGCACAGCAAATTCAAAAGATGCAAGAAATAAGAAAGTAATATAGTTTGTATTTTGGTCATTTCTGGTTCACAAGATTGATTCTTACCGCAGATTGCCCAATTGAGGTAGAGAGAATTGAAGTTATTATTACCGCTTTCTTTTCACCTCCTCAATGACTTCCTACTGGCTTTTACAGTGCCTCGAAAACAATTCCGACAAATGCAGGATATATTCACATATTATTATATGATACATTCTATTAGCTGCGAAATATAATGATGTGAAAATAAGACATTTTGTAGTTTAGTCGATTCTAAGATAATAGCGTCATTTTACTGTAAGTAGAAGATTGTAGGCCTATGTGTTTTAACTAGAAGCTTGCCGGAATTAATTTCTCTCCACTACAGGAAGAAAGAAAATCGTTTCGTTTCGAGAATGCTGCTTGACTCGGAAAAGCTGGTGTAGCGGGCCGCTCTGTTTACAATATGTAAAAACACTATACTCGTAGACCTGGCAAAAAGAGTCAAAGCGAAGCAGATGGAGGGCTTTTGCCATAGGGCTGCCAAGCTTACCCAAAAACTAGGGCCATCGGATGGGAATAGATAGATCCCATCTCTACGCTAAAGATCGAAACGTTTGAAGCTTGGCTCGGAGCCTCATAACATCTGCCGACGTCGAGCCGCAAATGCTCCAGGGAGTCTAGTTCTCAGGAGACATTCACAACTCTGTCGCAACTCTGTCACAAAGTAGTCCTCGGTAAAGCAAATAGCAAGCGCTTGGACCAGGCGTCTCAACAATTCAACTTTTTCACTTCAATAGGAGACAAAATGTCACGTCGTCTGCAAGCATTACCCAATTTGGACACGAGCCGTAGATCCAAAGGCAATATAAAACGCAAATCCACGGACGGGTGATGTGCATTGCCAGGCTGCCTTAATGCTCCGCCCATGGTGAAACACCTTCCGGAGCAAAAAAAAAAACACTGCCTAGCGATGTTTGATGAGGATGTTCTGGATAGCGCCTGCTAAAGAAGAACTAAGTCGGCAATCTGAGACAAGGCCGTTGGAGTTATTAATAGACAAAGGGCACTAGATGGCCACGACTGGAGCCGGTGCATGGGGAACGCAATTTCGACAGTTTAGATGCCGGTAGATCACACGAGAAACGTTGCATGCCTATTGGCGAGATGGAATTAGGAAGGTATGTAGATAGATGTCCGGAGGAAATAGTCAAGATACTGCTAGTAGTAGTTCTTGAGGCGAGCCGAAAAGTTGGTTTACTGAAAGCCATATCAGCGGGTATATCTCGAAAATAGAGGAAACAGACAAGCTGGGCAAAGGACGTTGGAACGTCAAGTTTCATTAATAGGTATATAGATCAGTAGCTGCGCGATGGAGCCTCCTGCATTACATTTCAATACGTTTGGATGAACCAGAACAAAAAAAAAAATCAAGATATAATAGAAAAACAGGCCCAGTAATCATTTTCTAATGCACAGCCCAGCCTGCTAGGAACCGCGCGCTGTTTGCTTCTCTTTCCGCCAGGTATCATTCCTTTAATAAAAACAAGCCCCCACCTATATCGCTCATAATCGACTAAGAACCGCGTTAATTTTCTTTCCTTGTTAAATAGGAAAAAAAAGCACTTTATGCCTGAGCGCGCTCAGACTTGGAGGCGCGGCGCTCACGAGCAGCCTCAGACCAGGGGAAGTGGATGACGGGAACCTGGAAGAAGGAGTTGCTGCCAAGTTTGTTAGCAATTGCGGAAATAATAGTAAAATAGAATATTGGAATAAAACTAACCTGCTGTCCTGAATACCAGCCAGGGCGTTGTACCAGGCAAGGAAAGCGGCCAGGAAGCCGAAAAGACCACCAGTCTTCTGGAGAGCAAGAGAAGCAGTCATGTTGCCCAGGTCGGCGGCGTACTGCTCGCAGGCAAGGAACAGGAAAGCCAAGTCCAGGGTGAAGAAGAGGAGGAAGAAGGCCAGGGTGGATCGCAGAGTGCAGAGCAGGATGATGGTGGTGAAGATGAACCAGCCAGTCAGGAAGAAGCCGAGCACGCTGGCGACGTTGCCGGCGTAAGGGCCGTCAGGAGCGGTGATGCCCCATTCGGGAGTCAAGAGAATGCCGTATGAGATCCAGAAGCCACCGTATGAACCAAGAGCGGTGGCACCAAAGGTGTTACCAGCAGCAATCTCCCTGTAAGAGCAAAAAGTCAGCAATGGTTGCCCTCTACGTCAGATGGGTGGCACAGCAGCTCGGAACATACCACATGCCAGCAAGCAGCTGGACAAGGCCACCATAGCCAAAGGCGAGGGAAACGACCACGTTGGGGGCCTCGACGCCGCGGGCGTGCATGTTGATACAGGACAGGACGAAGGTGGTCAGGGCGAAGGCAGAGAGACCCAGAGGCGCCGGGTTGGCGAGCTTGCGGTGCTCGTAGGGCCTCCACGCACCGGGCTGGAGGGCACCGCCAAAGGCCTGGGCGTACTGGCCGACGGTCATGTCGGCGAAGTCTCCATGGTGGGTGTGGGCGAAGCCGTGGCGAGGAGTCTGGGGGTTGATGCTCTGCTGGACACCGTTGGTCTCCTTCTCGTTGGGAGCGACGTTGAGCTCGTCCGCCATTGTGATTGATTGATTGTTGTCGGATTAGAAAAGATGGATCGAAATAGCAACTGGATGTGATGGGTATTGGGCCGTCCAAATGACAAATAGATGTATATAAACAAGCAAGGCTACTATTTTAATAAATCAAGAATGGCCAGAGGAAAAGAAGAGAGAGGGGAGCAAGCTATGCTTCTGGGTGGGGAGCGACGAGAACGACTCTTATATATCGAAGAGCGAGGAGGGCAGAGCTGCTGCTCGAGGCAAGGTACCGGTACCAGCACGAGGATACTAAACAGGGTCGGGCAAAATGAGGCCGATGGCTGAGACTTTCTTTTGGGGCGCACACCCGAACGGCCGCGTCCCCAAAAGGCTGGCTGGGTGCCACAGCAGCCGACCTACTTTTTTTCTCTTGGCTCCGTAGCAGTAGTGGCCTTCGTACCGCAACTGGGGGAAGGAAAAAAAAGGGACAAGGGGGGAGAGGATCCGGTGGTCGCGAGTCAATCAACAACGTGCGACAGATCTAGCAAGTGGAGCAGGAGGGAAAAAGGGTTGCAATGGGTGACACGCTGGCGACGGACGTGTCCCGTAGGCCGCGGGAGCTGCGAGAGTTGCTGGTTAGTCGAGTTGATTGTCCGTGATGCTGCCTGGAGATGGTTTAGTTGGACGACAATGCGACTGCATATGATGTGCCCAATTGTAATCATATGCCTGCTACCACTTGTATGCCTACATACAAACAAAGGATTTTAGTCTGGGCTCGAGTCTGCAACGAGGCTCTGTCCCTCGTCCTACTTCCCAGATAGCAGGTCCATGTATCTCGAAAGTCTGCTGCTCCATCTGATGTGCAAATCCGTCAATCACATTCGTCATGTCGACTGGCACTATCTCGCCCCCTCCCCCCGGACCGTACAGTAGAGGAGACGAATTGGCTCCAGCCGAGGGACAGGCAGAGGTTCCCGCAATCACGTCCAGGCATGTCCATATCCAGCTCCAGCTCCAGCTCAACAGCTAGCCGAACGAGACACACAAGACGAGGCGAGGCGTGCTTTACCGCCCATCACAGCCGGATCTTCCACCACCTGGCACCGTACAAGCATGTACACTACTGCAAAAGCCACGGGTGACCCCGTAACGAACTTGTCGCGGAACGGTTTCCCTGCTAAAAATGGACGAAGGGAACCTCTGACAATCTGGTCTGGCGGCAGCCACACGCAGATTGATGAAAGGAAGAAGCTATGGCCAAGCTATCATGGCGATTGGGGTAAAGGCGAGTGGGGGAGGCCTTGGAGTTCCAGATCCTTACCCTGGCGGGACAAGCCCAGCAAAATTAAACCATGGATTGGGGTAGTATTGGCCCACCCGCTCCCTGAGCTGACGATGGGCCTTATTGCCGAAGAGGCGCTTGATCTCATGCATGGGCGACGGGTCTTGGACCGCGTTTGTCGTGTCTGTAAAATGAGGCACACGGCACGCTGAGAGCCCAGAGAAACTCGCTGCACCTGGAAAGGAAAAGAGAGAGAAGGCAAAAACCTCCTTAGCCCCGGCTTAGCCGCCACAGGGCAAATCAGGTCAAGCTCGGCCAGCCACTCTTGGCCAGACGTTTCTGGAAAATTTTCAGTTTAGGCTAATAGGGCCTTGCATCCCAGGAAGGGCATAATAACCATTCATCTACGGATCAATTGGGCCTGGGAGGGATCACGGAAATGGACGTGTCAGGGATGGGCGAAGAAGAAGAGGAAAGGAAGAATGAAGACACTTGTTGATAAAAGAGGTCCATGCACAAACGAGCAAGGTATTAACCATTGGGTTAATTGAGATTGACCGTCGCGCGAAGAGAAAACAGGAAACAAGATGGAAGCGACATCCATATTATTCCGTATAGTCCGCCCGTAAGGCTACAGGCACCTGCTCACCGACGGGCCAGTGCCGTTCCAATATACCGGCAAGTACAGCAGTAGTCGCCTCTTGCTGGATCCGCGATGGATGAGAGCGACTGAAAATAGTCTGGCTTCTACCACTTGTGCCAGTTAGTTGAGTGGGTGAGATATGACAGCCCCTTCTCGTTTCTACGGGTCTGGCCGTGAGCCTAGGCAAACACGCCTCCATTGTCAATGACTGTTGAGGCCATTGGTGGCTGGTAGTTCAGCCACCACCACGGCAACCTAAACGGCCTCAAACTTTGACAGTGGGATATCCCGCCGAAGCAGTATGTATGTACATGTGAATGTACTGCTACCGCGCAGAGCAAAAGGCCCTGGTCGTCAAATATCCTGATGAGGGCATATACTAGTGGCATTGGGCTCGTTGCGACACGGCCCGGAGATGGAGATGCGTAACCAACAGCATAAGAATGTGCCTGAGCGCATATTAACAAGACCCCAAGGTACAGTATACGAAGTGCCTCCGCGTTGCAGATTTCAGAACCGTGCTTGCGGTTGCTGCGTCCAACATACATGAAAGGCACGGATATACCTACTCGTCACGATAACGGCCATCGCTAAACAAATACCACCGAGCCATCCCAAGAGCCCATGGCCCGGGGTCCACTCCCGGCCCAGAGTCTGACCAACCCGTCTGATGCGCCCATCCAACTCGTAACTGGTCAGCGGGAAGGGAACACAGGCTCTAGCGCCATTGCGGTGACGGACCCCGGCCTGCCTGGCGCCTCTTTGCAGCAGGCATTTTGGGGGATCGCCAGAGAACCGACCTGCTACCTTGTCTCAATGCGGACAAGACGTCCGCGCGCGAGTCAAGGCTGGTCAAGGCCCGTTGTCTGGGTCGCTAATCAAATGCAACAGCAGGCGTTCTGCGGCGTTTGAGCCAGGGTTTGCTGCAGTGGGAGAGCACAGAGTTTTTTTTTTTTTTTTTTTTTTTTTTTTTTTCTCTAACTGCTACTCTGTGTTGGTCGCGATCCCGCTGCAGATATCCCGTAATAGACTACTCATGTATCAAAATGAGCCGTTATGCTTGGTACTAGCCCCAGTAGCTTTTTGGGAGTGACTTGCGAGGTGTTATTACTCCGGCCGAAACAATTCAAGCGTAGCTCCAAACAGAGATGCTGCAGGTTTGATTAGGCTTTGATGCCTCTGGATCATGTAATCCTTTTGGCAGCCTACTTTTTTTTTTTAATTTTTCAGCATTTTTTAATTTGTATATATGTTGCTTTCTTTCTTTTCTGACCAGTCTCAATTTGTCGAGGGGGCCACTGGAAAGGGGGCTGCAGAGATCTGTCCCCAGTTGGGCCACGAACGCTGTGGAGCTGGGAAACGCACATGAAATTTGCTCCATATTACCTGCAACATGGCAGATTTCGAAAGGCTGCTGCTTTTGTTGCCTCCCAGCATATCGTCATTTTGGACTGGGCAGGGAGTCTGATTGCAGGACGAACAGTAGGATAATCAGGAAAGGAGTTTTTGCCTCTGCTGTAAAAAATCTGCTAGGATCCAGACTCGTGCAGCAGGATTCCGTCACACGCCCCCCTCCGTCCAGCAAATCAGCGGATCTTCGGGAGACAGCAGTTGCACATCTTGCCTCGAGGCCTCGACGGAGAAAAAAAACAGAGCGAGGTCCGGATGGGCGGCTCTCCAGCCGTGGAAAATAGTGTGTAGGTACAGGTACATGCAAGTAGGCTGGACTCGTAGCGCATCAGTAGGTATCTGGAGAGGGCCTGAATCAAGCAAGACAGTTCCCTCAATGTCTTGGAGCCCCCTCACCTTCTCCTCACGCAAGCTTCATCTGGGCTACGACTTACTACTGCATTCGTGCAGCGCATTGTCTATCTTTGCCACCGCCAATCTTCTTTGTCTCAACTCCATCTCTTTTTTTTTTTTCGCCTGCAATTCTTTTTTCGACTCAATATGCGTCCGATCGACTACCAAAGCCCCCGTCTCTCCCTTCCGCCGGCCTAGAACAAGCCAAGAAAGTCAAGACCCCAAGTCCAAGTCAGAGGCGGCTTCTCACTCGAGTCCGCTGGAAGCCTTAGCATCTTGGCACATCATACCATGCTCCGCTCAGGCGCCGCCTACAAAGTTCAACGAAAGCCGCAATGCGAGTGGTAAGAAATTGGAGAAATCTACATGTGCACAGGTGCATGCTACACCTGGCCACTCCGCGCAGTCTTGGGTAGGGCTGGCGGTGGCTATGTCAGCTTTCCCCTGGTGCGAAGCCCGGTCCGTCCAGGCTCATCGATCACACGATGTCATCAATCCAGTTTGGACACAGTCGAACAATCGAACCATGTGGCTCAAGCGGCTGGGCTGGCTCAAAAACACGAGTAGTCTTTGGCTCAAAGAGGTGCCTTACTCGTTGAATTGTGCGCTGACAAAAACAGCCACCCGTCAACGACCGACGATTGCGAATACGGAAACAAAGACGCTCATCAAGTCCCGCTTACGGCAGCCAGCTGTCATTTGTGTTCGTGACTTGTTTAGTTTTTGCGGCCAACCTCTCCATCAGGGTAAAACTTGACGTTTGGGGTGGCACCATCGCAGATCCGCCAACCTGCCAGATCCAGATCAACGAGGCTACTGTGAAAGAGCAGCCTCTTGTGTTCTTTAACATGAAAGGGCCAGCAGTTACTTGATCAGAAATACCATGTCATGGATCCCCAGATTCCCCCGCAGATGGCAGTCGGCTATCACGTCTAGCGTATTGCGACCTAAGCATCTTATTCCCCCAGAAAGCTCGGCGTTCGGGATCTCTGTCAATCTCAAAGATTTCATCTCCAAACCCGCTTCCCCAGCATTTCATGTCCCCCGCACGAAACAATTAGCTACTGAAGCTCCATACGGGGTAGTTTAGATTTGCTACTTTTGCTACCCGCAATAAGACCCAGGCAGATGGTTTTGCCGATGGAGTTGGGGTCGGCTGAGCGGGAAATGGGCTGTTCATCGAACTACCTCTACTAGCCAAAACGTGGGGTTTTGGGCACCGTCATACGACTACTACGATCAAAGATTGCTTTTCCCCAGCTAGATTCAAAGCCAAGACTGCTCTAGAGGTGCTCCAAAAAGCCACCACCAGTGCCACTCGGAGGTCCAAATAATTTCCGGCGCTCAGGCTATTCCAGCCACCTTTTCGATATCGGTACATGCCGCGTTGGAGAACAGATCTGGAAGCATCGCCGCTGTCTACACTGAAGATGACGATTTTTGGCGAGTATTTGTGCCTTGAATCTTCAAACTTGCTTCCAACCTGCATGCTGAGCGCAGTCGAGAGATGCCGTTATCCGGTCGGGAGCCAAAATATGTTTCCGAGGCGCATGTGAAGTCGCGGGGTCTGATGACACTGCCTTTGCGCGGACAGGGCTCCATGTCTCTCGCTCGCTCGCTCGCTGGCGCATCCGGGTACCTCGCTCCATCAAAGACGGACCATCACCGCCGAGCGGAGTAGTGGCGGCGGTGTTTTGTTTAGTTCTTTCAAGCCGGCGATGTTCTACGTCCGCAGCTACCCCAAAAATGATGACGACGATGATGCAAAAGAGTTAGTGTTCCTGGATGGCAGACTTGGCTTATATATGGGCGTACTAAATGTCGCTGCTCCCTTAGGCCGAGCGGCGTGGACCTCGGTTATGACTCGACTCACTGGTTTCAGTAGCTGCGCCCAGTGTCTTACCCTGTAGCGCGTCGCTCGGGTGCGCCGGTTGTAAGCATCGTGAACTATTTGCTCCAAGGCCTTGGCTCGTGTTTGAGAATGCGCGTTTGCATTTACCGTAGCTTTTTTTCCGGGCCAAAAAATCTTGTTGGGAGCGCCGGTATCAAGCATGTCGTGTAAGCTGTGACCGGACCTACGGACCTGTTAGCGCCCGCTACAGGGTAGGTCTAAATCACTTGGCAAAAAGCAAGGCAGTTCTTTCTCCCGCTGGCATTTCAGATTGAAATGCAATAAAGACTATGGCTTTGGGTAACATTGAAGGCAACTTGCAGACCGTACTATGCGGGACTTTATTTATAAAATTAAACTATGTTGACAGAGTTTTGTTGCATTCGGGAGCTCGCAGCAGCCACTGCGACTGTGACACCAGCCCGATAGTACGGGTCGTGATACCATTCAGTCCCACCCAAAAAAGAAAAAAACACTACCCCCCAATATCAAAAAGCTCGGATAGACCACATTCCCCGAAAAATGTTACCCATAATGTGAATGGACTAGCAGTAGTGATAAAAGGTACTCATCACATTCGGTACATTCATCCCGCCAGTGCATTATCTCCAGAGTTTTTGGGGGGCCGATCTCCCCCTCACTTCTTAGTCTGGACACTGCCACACCCGCGATAAATATAGATGGAAAGTGTCATTGTATCATGTACTAGACCCCTCACGTATTGGATAGGATCAGAACGCAGTGCTTACGAACATGACTTGTACTTGCTCCATAGTACGGAGGGAGCAAGAACCCCGGATTTGTGAGTTATGACTTACTATTCTAAATCTGAGAGTACATTGCCTTTGCCTGGACAAAAGACGGCACTTCCCGTGTCTCACAAAAAGCAAATCACTGAAACACGTCCCTTTTTTCTTCCTCCTTTCTATGATGTCTTCAAAACGAGACTCCATGTGTACCAGTCTCCCTTGTCTCTGAAGGATAGAGAAAATGAACAGACAGACAGACAATCGGATGTTTGAGTAGACATCTCCTTTCAATTTTCAACTTTACCACCGCTTCTGAAATGTACCATTGTTTTTACGAATATCCCCAACAACAGCAATCGTGGAATTTGGTAATAAATGACTTGCCTCGACTCAAGTGTGTTGTTTACAAAATAGCTGGCACCCCAAAGACATAAAACAACGTGACAAACACCACCCAAAGTTTTTATCTCATCAATTTTGTCTCTTTATTAAAGCACAACATACTAGTGAAGTCTATATCAGACAGTGAGTCCTTTCAGATATTCTACGTATTATACTCACTCGTAATAAAAGACTGGAGGAACGGCAAGAGGAGATTTATCACCAAGCACTGCAATTTCACTAATAATATATCAATGTGATTAGATAAAGTAAGCCTACTATATGCCATCATCTATTATACTATATGAGTTATATTCTCCTTTAAATTTATAATTAGCTAAAAAGCAACACTAGAAAATAATAAAGCATAAAAGGTCTCCCATTTTAAATTTCTAACTATCTTTGTAAAACTAGAGATATTAATTGTTAATTTGCATAATTCGCATCCATGTTATAATATTAATGAGTTACGCAAAAGCGTTAAGACGTTGGTGACCTGTCTTTCCTCTGCCACCCCTTAGGTTTAACAAGGGCCGAAATATAAAACTCCCAGTAGGCTTTTTAAACAGCTCTAGATAAGATTCAGCTTTGTCTAAGCATAGAAAAACGTTAATGGCCCAGCTGCTGCTATAAAGCTTAGTTAGCTAGCCCTAGTAAGGCTTTCCATATTAAGCTTCAGGAAGTCGCACTGCATTATCTCGAATAGAGGACCCGCACCAACACTCTCTCCCATTCTCTATTCCAGCAAGCTTGTATCCACCAGAGACACAGTGATTAATGCATTCTTCAGATAACACATCTCCTTGTAGATAGTTAACGGGCTTGGCGCTAAGCAGGATTTAAGATATTGCATCTTGAAAACATCCCAGATGGCTCCAACCTACCGGAAGGTCATCATCTTTGGGCGTCTTTGTTGGAGTTGCACCGCTACTTTGGCTTGGGCTTCCTGTTTCTTTGGATGAATGCTTCGACGTTGGACTGGATGTTTCTGTCAGTTCGCAGAACCAGCCTTCTGAACAATGGTAGCACGGCCATCCAAGCCCACACGGTACAACTTGGGCTAGTGTCTCCTGTGGAGGGCAGAACCATCCATCAAGGCATTTGTCACCGGAAGGAGCCATCTGGGATGTTTTCAAGATGCAATATCTTGAATCCTGCTTAGCGCTAAGCCCGTTGACTATCTACAAGGAGATATGTTATCTGAAGAATGCATTAATCACTATGTCTCTGGTGGATATAAGCTTGCTGGAACAGAGAATAGGAGAGAGTGTTGGTGCGGGTCCTCTATTTAAGATGATGCAGTGCGACTTCCTGAAGCTTAATGTGGAAAGCCTTGCTAGGGCTAGCTAACTAAGCTTTATAGCGGCAGCTGGGCTATTAATGTTTTTCTATGCTTAGATAAAGTTAAATCTTATCTAGAGCTGTTTAAAAAGCCTACTGGGAGTTTTATGTTTTAGCCCTTGTTAAACCTAAGGGGTGGCAGAGGAAAGACAGGTTACTAACGTCTTGACGCTTTTGCGTAACTTATTGATATTATAATATGGATGTGAACTATGCAAATTAACAATTAATATCTCTAGTTTTACGAAGATGGTTGGAAATTTGAGATGGGAGATCTTTTGTGCTTTATTATTTTCCAGTGTTGCTTTTTGGCTGATTATGAATTTGGAGGAGAACATGACTTGTATAGTATAATAGATGATGGCATATAGTAGGCTTACTTTATCTAATCACACAGAAGTTTTGGTTGGTGATTCAGGTAAACCAGAGGTAGCTAGTGTTGTGATTTGACTGGCTGAAGTAAGAGACCCGGTTTCAACCTCATCACAAGGTATTACTTCCTCAAAAGAAGTTCCATCCATGACCTGATCAACAGCGCAAAGAGGCTTGTCCAAGTAGTCAGCGACAGCGCTCACAATCAAAGCTAGTTGATTGACAACTGCTAGAAGAGCCGGATCAGTGATATCTTCCAAAGCTCTGCTGAGGTCATTGATGACCGTTGTTCCTTGTTCAAGGACCTTGTTCAAGGTTTCTACCATATCTAGCGTGCTCATAGGAGGCTCCGGAGGTAGAGGTTGGTTCATGGCCTTGGCAACAGCAGGTATGACAAGTGGGAGTAAATCGGAAGCTGAAACAGAAGCTTCGGTTGCTACCTTTGGTATGGCTGCAGCAACAGCGGACGAATCCACATGAAGAGCATCCAGAACAGTATCTGTGAGCTTGGCAGCTGCTGCGGGGTCGATGCCTGATATTTCCGCAACGATTCGTGACAATTCTCCCAGAAAGGAAGGATTAGTGGAAGAGTCGGTTGGAAGCTTCTCTGTGGCTGCTCTTGCGTTGTGGATCCGTAGTGTCAAGCTGTCTCCCAAGAAGCCGCCGAGAGACCCAACCGCAGGCGTTGGCAGATTGTGTGTAGAGCTTGAACGAGATGTCTGCAGAAAGGAAGGAAGCGAAGAAACTTCCGAGAGATCCAATGCGTTTGACTGACCCCCAATCATATCGGACAAACCGTTTTTCTGACGATGTTTCGCCGCGGAGGCTGAGGGTTGACCCGATTCCATGAAAGCCTCTTTTACCGCATCTGCCAATGTTTCCAGCAGTGAATCGGCATTGCTAAGAGAAGCTTTTGATTCGCTCATTCCTGTCGGTTCAGGCATACTGCTTAAAGCTGTGGCAGCCTCTGTCACACGGATTGATATAGATAACGAGGCAGCGGAGTCTTGATTTGTAGTGTGCGCTGCAGGTGAAGTTCTGGTGGCTGAAGTATCGACTGCCTTTTGGCTAGGTATTTAGCACACGAGTGCCCCAAAGTCACTATCAAATAGATAGTTGGTGCGAAGTAGGACTGGGAACACCCTTACCTCTCGAAACATGCCTCCCAGATATCCGCCCAGCTGAAATTGACGCCCAGCGAGAGCCCGTCGTTCAAACTTCGCCGTTTCGATTGTAGCAACTCTGATAAAGCAGATTAAAGAAAGGGTGAAGAACAGCAAGCTTGCAATTATCAGGCCTCGTCGGTGGATAAGTAGCAGCCTTCGCGGCGGCCACTTGAGACCGCTGCCTTGGAGTTGTTGATTCGCCATTTCTTGAGACGCCGTTGTGATGAATCGGTTCAAAGAGTAGTAGAATGCTTCCAAAAGAGCAACCAAGAAAGAGGACTCCAAAAAGAAGCTCTAAAATTGTCGTCGTAGTGGAACGCAGATCAAGTGAACTGTAGAGGGTAGGGCTAGAGGTAGAGGAGAGAAGTGCCATGAAAGAGAAAGGACACGAGGAATAGATGAGGATCGCTAGCATCTGGTAGCTCTTTCTTATTCGGGGCAGAAGATTCCATTTGAGACGAATTTGTCTGGTGAAAACACACGCCAAATGAGAAAATAGAGGCTCTAGAGAAGGAACAATGAAGACTGGGAGCTCGTAGCGCACCTCGTTGTTGCGTTTCTTGTCCATGTAAACCCAGTGCATCTTTGTTCGGTCAAGACTGGTCGGAAAAATGCCTGCTGACTATCTATTCTAGTAGTCCAAGGCAGAATTTAACCTCTAATCAGGAGATTCCCATATAACGTTGCTCTGGTTGGCGCACGTATCTGATTCAAGGACTATAGGTAGACATCATTGCCTCTACTACTCGACGCCTTGGCGTTTTCTAGAATACGATACTCTTTCCCGTTGAAGGAGACTGAGATGCGAGGAGGCGGCAGTATTGTGATATATTTCATGTTGATATGAGGCTATCCAGATAGCATCAGCAGGTAAGAATTACTACTAGTAGTACCTCTGTAGATATGAAAACCAGACCAAGATGTGAATGTCTTCAGCTGGATCGACAGACACAAGCACCTGCTTAGCGGCGTCGACCCTGCGCCACATTGCTCTTATAGGCGGCTGAAAGTGCCCTGACCGCTGACAAGGCGCCGCTGGGGTCGAGTTTTCGGTGGGGTGGAGGGGCAGCCGTGCATGGGCCGCTGCTTAATTCGCCAGTTCAAAAAAATTTCTGGACGAGGCTGGCACTTTTTTTTTTCTGCAGCATCATTTTTGTCTTGCGCAGCTTGGGCGGATTTCGGTGTCGGAAAACGCGTCAGAAGCTGCAAGTTGATTCAATCGCCCTGGAAAGACGACGGCGAATTGGACCTGTCGCTACCATGGATATCCACCGCTGCCGGTTTGTGCCCTACAAGCCCTCGGCCGTCAATGCGGTAGCCTTCTCGCACCCCAAGACCAAGTCCGCAAAGCAAGGCTCTGTGGCGCGGCTGGCCGTTGGGCGAGCAAACGGCGATATTGAGATATGGAACCCTTCAAGCGGTGCATGGCACCAAGAGCTTGTCATTCGTGGCGGCCGGGATCGCAGCATTGATGGCCTTGTCTGGGTCAACGAGCCGGATCAGGACCTTGGCGATGGCAAGATTGCCGTGGGCAAGTCGCGCCTCTTCAGCATTGGATACACGTCCACGGTGACCGAGTGGGATCTCGAAAAAGGAAAACCCAAGCGACATGCGAGCGGGCAGCACGGCGACATTTGGTGCCTCGCCGTCCAGCCTCCAGCCCTGAGCGGTGCCTCGGATGATCTTCACTCCAACAAGCTGATTGCTGGAACGATTGATGGCGAGCTGGCCATGTACTCGATCGAGGATGATGACCTCCGCTTCCAACGAGTTGTTGTTCGATCCCCCGCGAAGAAGGCGCAGATGGTCAGCATCACGTTCCAGTCACGCAAGATTGCTGTTGTGGGCTGCTCGGATAGCACCATTCGAATCTACGATGTTACAAAGGGACACATGCTCCGCCATATGACGCTGGGCGCGGATCTGGCTGGAGGCGCGAAAGATATCATTGTGTGGTCGGTCAAGTGCCTGCCCAACGGTAATATTGTGTCGGCCGACTCAACAGGCCAAGTCTGCATCTGGGATGGCAGGACCTACACTCAATCTCAGAGACTGCAGAGCCACAAACAGGATGTCCTCAGTCTCGCGATTAGCGCTGATGGATCGGCAATTATCAGCGGTGGAATGGACCGCCGTACCGTTCTCTACAAGCAGAATGCTGGACCAGGCAACCGCTGGTCCAAGGTTTGGGGACGAAGATATCACGACCACGATGTCAAGACCATAGCATCATTTGAGAATGGCCGCACAAGCGTCGTGGTAACTGGAGGTGAGATGACTTTATCCAAAAAAAACTCATCTTGGTAGATGGGGACTTGCTAACATTTGATTAAGGACCCGATTCAAACCTCATGTTGGTTCCTCTGAGAGAAATGGGCCGCGAAAACCACCGAACGATTAGCAATCTTCCACAGCAGCCGCCCATCTTGAGCGCACAAAAGGCCAGATTTATTACTAGCTGGTGGGATAGAGAAGTTCACATCTGGGCTCTGCGGAAACCCGCTACAGAAATATTCAACCAGACTGGAGAGGAAGAAGAAGACGACGTTGACATCAACAAGAATCGCAAACTCCTCAAGACAATTGTAGTCAAGGGCGATTCCAATATCAGCTCTGCTACAATAAACCCAGAGGGAACCCTACTCATTGTATCTACATCAATAGACATCAAAGCCTTCCGGCTGGAGCACCAGGACCCTGTCAAACCCTCCGACGTCAAGCTATCCGCCATTGAGCTCCCAGAGAAGCTGAAAATCGCTGGAGCCACACAGGTGCAGCTATCACCTGATGGCAAATGGCTGTGCGCTCTCAAAGAGGGCTCTCGTGTTATCATGGCTAGTCTCGAAGAGACTGACGGGCCTCTGCAATTTACCACCGCCTTGCAGCGACTTCCCCGCCTCCGGCGCCATATTCCACGATACGTCAAGAATGGAGGATTGGGAAGCTACGAAAGGAATATTACTCACATCTCATTCACCGCTGACTCAAAGATGGTTGCGGTAGCCGATATTGCTGGTTACATCGACACCTGGGTATTACGTGGCCCGGACGAGAATCTGCAGGACAAGATCGAAGCGGATGGGGAAAATGACGCGGCACCATCATCTGAGAGCGAAAGCGACAGCGATAGTGACCAGTCGGATGACGAAGAGAGCCCAGCTAGCAGCGTCAAAGCCCGTTGGATTCGCAATCCAAGCGCAAACCAGCTGCCCAAGCTCCCATCGGCCCCCGTCGTTCTGTCATTCTCGGGATTTGTACCCAGTGACGAGACGAGCGGAGTGGATGCTGTCAAAGACTACACCCTCGCGGTGGTTACAGCCTCGTGGAACGTGTTGACTTTCCATCCTCTGCAAGGCCTGCTCACACCATGGTCACGCAGACACCCCCGGAAAGCCCTTCCAGCGGCCGTCCAAGACCTCCTCGACTTGGCTAAAGGTGCCATGTGGCAGGGATCCCGCCTTTGGATCTACGGTATTTCGTTTCTGCTGATGCTTGACATTGCTCAGGACTTGCCGAAACCTGTCTCGGAGAGTGATGCTGTCGTCAGCCAAGGAGCTCAGCCCGGCATGAAGCGCAAGCGAACCGGCCACGCCAGCGGTGCTGGAGGCAAGATGACCCATGAAAACCTCGCACCACACCGTATCGGCAAATATGTAGACGGACAGTGGGTGAATATCGACGTGGATACTGCTTCTCCCCACGAAGATGGCAGTGACAGTGACGACGACATGCCTGACGCTCCCGAGGGCGACTTGGCGCAACTTCGCAATCCCAGCGGTAACAGCAACAGCGCAGGGGATATTGAAACCGAGACTGACCGCAAGAGCTGGTGGATAACCTACAAGTACCGCCCCGTCCTTGGTATCGTATCCCTCAACGCGGCGGACCAGCCTTTGGAGGTCGCACTAGTGGAGAGACCAACATGGGATGTGGAGAAGCCCGAGAGATATTATGCTGGAGAGGAATGGGAGAGGTGAAAAAATTTCTCATCTTTTCTTGTATTGGTAGGAGGATGTTGCGGATAAAAAAAAATGGAAGATGGCCGAGCAATGTGGCTGGCGGAAGGATTTCTTTTTGGGTACTGCGTACATATAAGAGTGGTTTTAGAGCTGAGTATTATCTATCTGGCTGATATTTACAAAAGTGCCAGCTGCGGCCTGTAGCATATAGGAAGGAGTTGAAATGATAATTTACTGTTGTCACAAAGACTTGCCTCTCTCTTCCAGAAATGAGTTGTTACGTACTTGGAGAGTAATAAGCATGTGAACTCGGTCTGGTGGAGCTGTTTTAGAGTGTTGGGTATTAATGGATAAACGCTTCCTTTTGCACAAACGAGCATTTTGAAACATAAAAACTTACGAATATGTCTATAGACATGTTATTGAAACATGACTAGCAACATGGGATGAGATTATCATTAATATTGGCGGAGTAGCTGCGGAGTGTTTCCACGCGCAAAAACCTCTTTTTGCATGGCATACAGGAGCAAGAAAAGCACTAGCCACATGAACACGTCACAACGAGAGATTTTGACAAATACGCGGGCTTAAACGAAATGGGGAAACATTATAGAGACGCTACATGCCCTTGGGGGTTTAATTTGATCCTAGACAAAATACGTACGTTTCTGCGAGTGAGACGACGACGACTACGACATCTGGGTAAGGCAGGGGGGGGGGGCCGAGAGATCCAGTTTAACGCGCGTCCCTTTTATTATTTTTCTCTTGTCCCACGCCCATGGCCAAGGCTGTTCTAGCCCTTTGGTAGCCTTGTCATGTGTAATGTAATGGGTACGACTGCATGTGCTCTAATTTATGCTAGTTGAGCGGGCTGGTGGTGCCTTGAAAGGGCCGTCGAGGTAGGGCGTCATACGAGCGAAAGAGTGTGGAGCGTTGGGTATTAAACGACGTCTCGTGGACTGGGCAAACGCGGAACATTTATTTATTGTAATGGGGTTTCGGGCTTCCTGAGTTAGTTTGTGATATGGTGGAGTTTGATTAAACGTCGTGTCGATATCATGGGCATGTCTGAGATGCGGTATATGTGATGGTCGTTGAGGACAGCTGGAGTAGGCGTATTCGAGTCGTACTGCACAGTACTAATCCCAGTAGCACATCCATCTGGATGTCTTAAATCAGCAGGTCGCAAAATCCCGTTTGCAAAGAGGGTGCAGGAGCTTAGGTTGTGAGCCATCGTAGCCGGGCATGTCAGCGTTTGTATGTACGAATACATCTGTGTGCCATATTAGTAACCTTCCCCCCATCCAAGGACCTTATTAAAGTCCGGTATGTAGGCTTTGAAAGAAAGAAGAGGGTGGTTCTAGTTTGGTTTTGGGTCGTCAAGCTTTTCGACGGAGTGGCTTCAATAGGAAGAAAGGGCCTCTTCACGTGCGTTGACGGCATCGAGACGGGATCTAAGCCGCACAGCTACAAGGCAGCTTTGGAAGAATGACTCCCAGCTATTCTGTGAAAGCCTTCTGCCTTGCATGTAGTTTTCGGCCTGGTACCGAACACAGACCTCTACCAAATCGTATAGAGATCCCGCCAGTTTGGGGCATATACTCGCCCAGCACTCCGCGACTTTATGTCTCTGCAAATCGAGCCTTGGCGGTACTCCCCACCACTTATAAAGGGGGTCCATTCAAGCATTTCTTTGAGAATTACCAGCAGCAAAGACTATTAACAGACTGCCTGTGTAGCTGGTTTCTGTTTGCCAATTTGTTTCTGAAAGCGTGCAGTGGCGATTGGACGTTGTAGTACGCAAGCCCCCATAGAGAGCAAAAAGCGGATGACGCGGCCTCGCACCCGCACCCCCTAATACCACGCCCCGGGATGTGGGCGTAGAGACAAAATTGGTTCTATCGAGCATCTGATTGGGTGAAAGAGAGGAAGATGGTTTTTTTCCGGGGACTTGTTCTCTTTTTTGGGAGGGCCCTTGCTCTATTAGTGTTGAAGCTTTGGGTGGCTGGATCCGAAGTTGATTGAGTTGGAAATGGAGATGAGATTTTGGGCTCACAGATCGCAAAGTGTGATGGTGGAAACGTTTTGTTTGATTTCCGGGTTAAAACTTGTTTCTGCATTTTGTTTTGAAGTCGCCAGACAACACTGGGTGGAATGAAGTGGGCAGAGAGAAGAAGGCTTCTTGAAGCATTGAGCGCTAATTGTGTAAGTGCTGGATGACGAGAGGAGTCAGAGTCTCACATGTCTCTGCTGGCGTGGGCAGCCGGTACTTCGTATTGCTAGCATAATAGCAGTGCTTGCGATGTACACGGGTATCCTATCCATGTATCCTCAGCCTGCAGTTCCTGATCGATGGCCCATGCGACATTGATCTTGCAGCCAGGCACTGCCGGCGTATAAGTCACAACCACTGCCACGGCTATGTGCGAGGTACGGTACCGCCACGATGCGTTTATCTACGATGTTTATCTGCGATGGAGAAGAGGGGCCGAGCTTGGACAGCTGAAAGGGCCAGGAACCGAAAAGACGCAAGGCTGATTCGAGATGCTTCTTGGAGAGCGAGAGACGCCTATAGCCGCGGTGCGCCATCAGAGTGTCGTTTCGACTTGGTACGGAGCACATCCTCGTAATGGGCCGTACAGTGTCGATATCTGGCCATGGACACTGGCCCTGACGATTTATTACCGTGCAAGCAGAACTGACGCTGCCGCGCTTTCCCGCTGCACGCCAGGCCAACAGGCCTATTACCGGCACCATGCACGGGACGTTTGTGTTTTATTTTAGAATTCCGTACGGAGCAGATGAGGCCTCGAACTAGGCGGGTGGAAGCCCGTTGTCTGTGGCTTTCCGTCTCGCGGGCAGTGTGGCTTGTGCTCGGCGGTGCTGTCGATCAGGCATCCGATTCCTGAGCCGCAAAAAAAAAGAAGAGGAGCGCAGAGCAAACAGCGTGTGAAACGGGGCGTTTCCGTATGCTAGGATTCGTAATACCTGCAGATCGCAATCGTACATTTTCTTTACAGTATACGGAGAACGGAGAGAGCCCTACTCGTACTCGTACGGGGGCGCCAGGAATATCCAATTCGGCGCGGAGATTCTGAATAACGGGGGAAGATGTTGGCGGTTTAGCGGCTGCAGAAGTGACAAGGATGGCACAGGCTGGCGTTTCGCAGCCGCGGAGCGTAGAAGAGAAGATGAACTGAAGAGAAGATGAATAACACGCGAATACCATCATGGAGAATCAAGACAAAGAAGCAACAAAACGGAGAGGCCACCGTTTTTGCGTTGCTACACGCCGTAGCGCATCGAGAAGCTTAGACTTGGCCCTCGGTGCTGTAAGCTGATACTGCATGTAATTGCGTGCAGCAAATGTTTCCGTCCATGGCTGTACAGTGCGCGCCGCCGTGGGCGCTAGCGTCTTGGCATCGGCTGTGCCACAGCAGAAACGGGAAAGGCGCACCATGCGCTGCGTGCCTCGTCATCGCCTCTCGATGGCGCTGCGCAGGTTCCGGTACCTGCGGGCTGCTGAGGAGGGACTCGCGGTACCTCTGCCCGTTGCTTGGCGGTGCTTGAGTCTGATTTCGGCGGCCGGCTGCAGTACCCACAGCCAGAAACAGCTCCAGGCACTTGCGCCGTTGACGATGTTATCGCTGCTATACTGACGCTTATTTGCTTGCTCGTTTTTCTGCTGTCTTTGAGCATCATTTTTCTGCTCGTGGTCCCTTTTGGCGCACGCGCAGAGCCGCAGGGCATGGAGACGGGGCATCCTCGTAAAGACTCCCAGGCGCGGACATGCTCAAGCAGCCTGGCTGAAACCGGGAAACACTCACCCCGGTTCTCAGCTTGTTGATAAGAGCTGAAGTGTAGAAGGACAAGGGAAAAAAGATGACACAAATCTGAAATTGTTAGGAGGGACATGGGAAAAATTGAGGCAGAGATAAAATTGAATAGCAACACAACACCTTGAGTAATTGAGTCTGGTACTCAGAGGTACAGCTTTGTCCACTCCAACTTGTCAACTTGAGTTGTCAAAACGGCCACATGCTCAAAAGCCACCGCTGCGGGGAAATCAAGCAAAGCGAGGATTTAAAATTGCAAAACAATGCTACCAACATTTGATAGCTTCGATAGCCTATCAGAGCCATGCCGGTCTCCGGCTCTCTTCTGCCCTCTCCTGCTCTTCGGCCTGCTCTGCCGTCTACCAAGGTAGACTGCTAGGCGCCATGGACCAAGTACCCGGACATGTACCCAGCTGGCTGCCTTGTAGCGGTACCCGGGCCGGGCCCTCTCACCGAGCACAGCAAATCCTGGTGCTGGGGCGGGCAGCGCCCATGATTGGCTGCGTCTGCCAGCTGACGCGTATACCGGCCTCAACTGCTCTTTGCAGCGCCAGCGGCACGCCCCCCTCTACCAGCTAGCAGTGCTACCACTGCCACTGCGCGGCCTAGTCCCTTTTATTTCCCCCCTGTACGGATTACTCTGCCAGCGCTGCGTGGCCGGCCTCTCAGCACTCGGGCCCCCAAAGAGGCCCATTCCCATTACATACATCCTCCACAACCCCCCCGTCCGCTGCCTTTTTGCTTCAACCCTCATTTTTTCTCTCCCGGCGACGGCTCGAGGCATGACAAGAGCCTCTTGAACTCGCAGCGTCGACCAGCCAGCAAGCGTCCCAGGCGAAGCCCCAACTGCCGATGCACGTTTTCTAGACGGGCGACGATCCGGCGCAGCGACACAACCGCCGCGAAAAATCGACTCCACGCGCGTTGACGCAACGCTGAGGGGTGGCCTCCAAAGTCACTGTGGCAATTTCAGGCCTACGCATCCCCCAGCTGACGACGCTGTGGCCTACGACCAGACTCCAGCCTAGCCGCGACATCGACGACGACGCAATCGCCTCTTCAACGCTGGCACCTGCAACCATCTCGACCTTTATTTCACATCGCTGCTTCTTTTCTCTTCTCTTCACTTTTACCGGATAATTAATTGAAGAGAAAGGAAAGAGTAGATTCTCCAATCCCGACCACAGCCAGCAACTCCACTGACATCAATCGACCCGCTTCACTCGTTCAGCACCTCCAAGCACACCTTCCTCTACATACAGCTCACCCACGATGGAGGACCGAGGCTCCCCTTTCGGCGCAGGGTCCTCGTCGCAGGACGACTACGGGGAGGAATGGGCTCACGACCTTCGCATCCGCTTCGAGGGCCTGCTGCGCGATAAGCGCATGAACGACCTCCGGGCCCAGCACATGTCAAGCTCTCGAGAGCGGTCGCCGAGCGCTTATCACGACGCCCCTTCACCTGCTGGCAGCGGCCAGTACAGCCCATCGCCCGCTGCGACGACACCGCCCTCCTACTCAGCCCTACGACATCTCCCCAAGATCCCAACACCACCCGCTGCCGCAGATCGCGACTCACAGAAATTCCGAAACCTCCTCCTCAGCCTATCACTTACACCTACCAAGTACGAGAACCCTGGCCTATTAGATGAGGCTCTCCAGACCATTCCCCTGGATCGCATATATAGCGAGGCGGAGGAGGAGAGCCAGGTTCTGCAGGCACAAGCAGAGAGTATGGGCGACGGTCGGAAACCGGAATGGGGCTATCAAGACTGTGTCATCCGAGCTCTTCTTCGGTAGGTTATAATGCTGATGAAGCCCATCGTCTTCCTCTCTATATCAGCATGGTTCTAACCTTTTTTTTTTCCCGCACAGATGGTACCGACGGTCATTCTTCACCTGGGTAAATAACCCCCCATGCCCAGTCTGCCTATCTCCCACAATCGCCCAGGGCATGACTGCACCTACACCCGAGGAGAGTGCCTGTGGCGCACTTCGAGTTGAGCTCTATCGTTGCTCTGCCGAAAGCTGCGGCACGTACGAGCGCTTCCCGCGCTACGGCGATGTGTGGCGACTGCTGCAAACCCGCAGAGGCCGCGTCGGAGAGTGGGCCAACTGCTTTAGCATGCTCTGCCGCGCATTGGGCGGCCGTGTCCGATGGGTTTGGAATGCCGAGGACCATGTGTGGACCGAAATCTACTCGGACCAGCAGAAGCGATGGATCCATGTGGATGCCTGCGAAGAGGCCTGGGACAACCCGCGACTCTACACCGAGGGCTGGGGGAAGAAGATGTCGTACTGCGTGGCCTTTTCTACCGATGGTGCCACCGACGTGACTCGGCGATATGTGCGTAAGAGCGAAGCCGCCAACGAGCGCAACCGGTGCCCCGAGGAGGTCATGCTCTACATCATGCAAGAAGTCAAAAATCTCCGCAGGGCCAACATGTCCAAGGAGGAGCGCTTCCGACTGGAAAAGGAAGACCAGGCAGAGGACCACGAACTTCGGACATATGTTGTCGAGTCCATTGCCCAAGCCGTCACAGATCTTGTGCCTGGGTCATCCGCTTCTGCAAGTGGCAGCAATGGCAGCAGTGGCGCTGCCGGCCAAGATGCCAAGCTGCCCGCCGAAAACCCAGCTCGCCAGCCCGGATCTGCCCAATGGTTAGCTGCTCAGCAGCGCCAGCATGACAGACAATGCCAACCCCGCGATCCTACCCATAGGCGTGGTCTGCCTTGAATATCTTAACTCGTCATCATCCTCCCCTACCGGATGATGTATCCATCACACTTTCTTTATATCATGCCCTCTACAGGTATGAATCCAATCGATCACCTATAAAAGAGGTTCAAACAACCTTGTTATATACCTCACGAGACATCATGTCACGTCGATACCCAACGACTATCAATGACACCTGACTACGTTCCGCTTTGCCAACGACAACCAATATGAGATAAACTTACTTATATTCGTACAACTATTACCGCAGGCGACTACTACTTGTCCTCTCTTTACCAAACCCTTTCACTCATATAATTTTCCTATTTAAGCATAGACGGCGTTTACTCGTTGGCCGAAGAAAAAAAACATTCTGTCGCCTTTCTCATCCTCCTATATTGGAGGGGGCTATGGCCCCTGTATCTATCACTTACAAATTCTTCTTCTCTATTCTTACTCTATTGCCTTTTTCGAATTTCCTTTGTCGTTGGGTACAGGAAGAGACGGGCGTATCTGGAAGGAGGACTGGGACGAGATTATTTCACACCAGCGTGATCCCACCGTTATTTTTTTTTATCATATTTTCTGATTTTATTCTTTTCCCGTGGATTGGGAAAGGGGGTAATACCCGAAGTTCCCCTGGGGCGTACGGTTAATTTTTTTTTTTTGGGATAGCATATTTTGCTAAGGAGGTGATGGGAATACGGCATGAAGAGATGAGATGTGGAAAAAAGCACATGGACTCTTTTTTTGGAGGTAGAACTGAAGCTATAGGAATAGTAGATGTAGCGAATAGCATGTCTGATATACAGAGCAAAGATGGCGACTTGTGTGATTTGATATGATTGGCGTAAAAGAGTGCTTGATACTTTGATTTTTCTTTGCCTTGACATTCTTGGAACCATGATGAGTTCATGTACACTGCTGGTGGCTATCAACGAAGCCATCTGGAGTTTTTCCCGCTCGCCTACTCATACGGCGGATTGTCCCAAGATGTTGACTCAACTCATGACATCTCAGCAGACTGGGATCACCTTGCTCTTTATTAGTGTCTAATAATTACGCGGCCTTTCATCATCTAAAACTCCGCTCATTGCGGAGATTTCCGAGCAACGCAATCCGCTCGATAGGCCCGCAGCGCAGCAGCAAGTTCGAAAGAAGGGGACCGGGAAGGGCTTCCCGCTTCGGCGGTCCACTGCTCGGGGGGGACCCACCGAACGCCGAGTCCGCCGCCGAACCCTCGGTGCGTTTCACTGTACCTGCATGATAGATTACCTGGAGGCACGTAGGCCTCTTTTATAAATAGACCGAATGCGTGCTGCTCTTGTTCTTCTTTCCTCTTTTATTATCTCTCTTTAAAGACTTGTATAATAAAGCAGCAGTTTCACTTGCCGTCCCTTGTTTTACCCAATTCTTCCTTACATTCGGTCTCATCCTCCTTCTGCTGTCTTGTCTCGCCATGGCCATCCCGACGACGATGCGCGCGCTCGTGGCACCGCGAAAGTGCGGAGCGGACGCCTATGAGGTGATTGAGCTGCCGGTGCCGAGCGTCACACTGCCGACGCATGTGTTGCTCAAGGTGCATGCGGCGGCGATGAACACGGGAGAGCTGCAGGCGCTTGACGGGCGGTTTGGGTTGATTTACACGCCCCAGTAAGTTTTTTTTTTTTTTTTTTTTTTTTGCTTCTTTTCGCTGCTTCTACCTCTCCCCTTCTTTTTTCTCATGCTAAATTCTTTGTATTGTCAAAAGATATCCGGCTCCCATTGGCCTCGAAGGGTCCGGCGTCGTAGTCGCCGTCGGGTCGGCAGTCAAGAGGTTCAAAGTCGGCGATCACGTCTACGGCGCATACATTGAAAAGCCCCTCTTCCGCAAGCCCCCCGCGGGCTTTGCCGCCGAGTACTCCCTCGTGGAGGAGGATTACCTGCTGCCCAAGCCGGCGCATCTATCCTGGGAAGAGGCCGCCTCGCTGACCACGGTGGTGGTGACGTCGTACCAGACCTGGCGCCGGGGCATGCAGCTCATGGGCGTGCAGAGCCTGGAGGGCAAGACGGTGTACATCCCCGCTGGGTTGAGCAGCACCGGTTCGATGGCGGCGCAGGTGGCCAAGAAGGTGCTCGGCGCGGACAAGATTATCACAACGGTGTCGACGGGCAAGATGGACTTGGTGGAGCGGTACTTGCCGGGGGTGTTTGCCCAGGTGATTGACTATAAGACGCAGAGGCCGCGCGAGCAGGTTCCGCGCGGGAGCGTGGACATTATGTACAACACGCAGTGGGATAGCATGGACGAGGGTATTCCAATGATCAACCCCAAGACGGGCGTGCTAGTGTCCATTGCGAGCGCGCCGGGCAAGGAGACGGTGAGGACGATGATGGGCGCGGACAGGTATCACTGGTGGATTGGCGTGCTGCTGGACCTGGCGGGGCTGATTTACAAGTGGAAGCTGAGGGGAACAAACATTCCGCACGAGTTTGTGTCGGGCGGCGTGGAGATCCGGGAGGACCTGGAGGCGGCGGGGGAGATTGTGGCGCTGGGGAAGGTGAGTGCGGTGATGAGGGTGGTGGAGTTGGGGGATCTGGAGGCCGTTCGGAAGGGTTGCGGGGAGGTGGTTTCTGGGAAGGGGGGGATAGGGAAGCTGGTGGTGAAGATATTGTGATGGGAGCAGCTTTGGCTTTTTGGTTCTGCATAGTTGGGGTTGAGAACTGGCTTAATATGTGAGCGAGGGTCCTTGAGCGGATGTGGTTGATTCATGCACGGTGTTGTATTTGAATTGTCTTATACTTTGCATTTATACTTTTATTATTCCGTCTTGATATTCTTAATATATCATCTTGTATACCATTTGATGTGCCTACTGCTTTATATGTCAAATGCTTTCATCAATAGCTGTGAAATTGTTGCTGTCATACGCAGCTGCCAAGATGTAAGCCATGTGTAATTCGTCAAGTGAGGCGACATCCCATAGATGACACACTGAGAAGCTTTCACTAATTAGGTGTGTATTTCTCCAGCTTGTCTTTACAACATTATCTACTTGGAATTGCACAATGAGCAAGGTTTTATTCGAGATGTGAGGCGATTTGTGGTTTAGGTTGTACTCGGGAGGCTGAAGCTTTGTGACTGTCCAACCTAATATACGAATAGATGCAATTCAAAGACCACACCGAAATCAATGTATCCTTTTTTGGTAATTGAAGGCTTGACTTTTTTCACTGCCCCAAGATAAATCCCAGGATAGATTGTACGGCCTGCTCTTATCCAGCGAGCCAATTGTTTCAACGATACAGCCAACTATGAGGATCAAACATCCGCCTCAAGATGAACTTGCAGCAGCCATCAAGATTTGGCAACTGATAAGCGGCACATCTGCACCGGCTAAAGCCCGTCGTGCAAATCAATAGCGCGAGCACGGCACTGCTTGCCGCAATCTAAAGCTGCTAGTGCAGACACCATTTTGTCGCGCGACCAAGCTCGAAAAAGAAAAGAAAAAGCGAAAAAAAGCCACTCTACGCGGTTGCGCGCATCGCACCAAAAAACCGCGACACCGCGCCATGGCCTTGTTCCTGTTGCAGGGCCCTTTTTCTCAGCTCCAGGGCAAAATACCAGCCCAGAACAGGGATCTTGTTCCCCAGCCCGTTCCTGTTGGTTACCTGAACGACCGGCGCCAGTCCGTCTCACTCAGCATCTCCCATAAACTCAATTCGCCCGCCTTTTGTTCTTTTCTTCCCTCTTCCCTCTTTTTCAACTTTGCCTCGAGTCATTTGGTTGAGATTGTCCATCTTTCTTGTCTATCTATTTCTTCTTCGAGGCGCGCAGCGGTGCGTGCTAATTCTTTGGATCAATCGTTTCGACTTTGTTCTTCTTCTTTTTTCAGTCCTCATTTTGCTGCTTCCTAGACGAACCGATACTGTTCCAATCCCACCACCACTTATAGAAATCCCATCCCCTTCACTCCATCCGCCATGGCCACGCTCCTCAAGCGCAAGCGCTCCGCCGCAGAGCTCTGCCCGCCCAACTCTATGATGGACGCTTCCGTGCCGGCGACCCTGCACAGCCGCACCCTCAAGCGCTACCGCGACAACAGGCCGTCGGACGACGAGGTCCATCGTAAGTTCTACGAATGGCGCGCCCACCACCATCTGAGCATCCCCAACTCATCATCTTGCGCGCCCGCAGAGCACACCCTGGGCCTGCTGTACTCGGCTCAGCAGCGGCCCCAGCAGTTCCCTCCACAGGAAGCCCCGATTGCTGCCGCGCCGGAGCAGCCCGTCGTTGCGTCGTCGTCGTCGTCGTTGTTGAACAGCCAGCAGTCGCTGCATCGCTTCTGGAGCATCGGCTCCGAGCCCAGCTCGGCCAGCTCGTCGCCCGGCATCGAGACGCCCCCCGTGCTGCTGCCGACCGAGTGCGACGACTGCGGCAGTGCCCTCCTCGCCGGCGGGAGCGACGCCGACGAGATGGACGTGGATTGCGGCAATGCCGCCGAGGACACGGCCTGTGGCGCCTGCGGCAAGCACGTCTGCTTCAGCTGCTCGGTGAGCAATCTCGGCGAGCAGAAGCGCTGCCTGCAGTGCGCGGGACGGAGAGTCTGGATTGGCGGCATTGGCTGGACCGATGCTGGCGGCGTTTCGGTCTGCTGAAGCACGCTGAGCTCCCCAATTAGCATCATGATTTATTTACATGTTTCTTCGTTACGCTTCTATAAACGAGCCTTGGAGCCGCGTATTGCTTGGTTATGATTTGGGTTTGGCTGGCGTTATGGAGGAAAATGTGTTGCCAGCGTTTGGCTGTATTGCTGGTATGCTTAGCGAGCATCAATGTAAACGTGTACAATGAGCTTTTTGAATAACACATGTGCATCGGTTTGGCTTTTATTGGACAAATGTCACTCGTGCTCTGCGCTCACAACTCCTTTGGAGACTTGAGAATAATGGTAATAGATAGTAGCTGTAGCTGCAATTAAATACATGATAGGTCAAGCATACTAGATGACGAGCATACCACGGGCAAATTAGGCGTTTCCATCTCCCTTTATAATTAGCATATTCCTCCGCTAGTAACCTGATCCCAGCCTGTGCACCAGCATCCCAATAAAAGACTAATACATGACAGAACAAGAAACTCTATAAAACTGCGTCTAACCACGGCGGCGAGTGGTGGGACCCTTCTTGGGCACGGCCGTTGAGCTTCCGCGGGCCTCGACGGGCACAACCTCCTTCCGCTTGCCTCTAGCCTTTGCAGAGGGGGCGTTCCAGTAGTACACCATCTGCAGAGCGAGGATGGCATTGAGGGCAAAGCCGGAGATGAAGCCGTACAGTATCAGTTTGTCGTCGACTTCCTGGAGCGTGGTGAAGATGCGAGACAGCGAGCCGGCCAAGTAGTTGAAGACCTAGATTTCATTGCGTTAGCTACCTGGGTATCATGTTGATTTCCAAAAAAAGCACATGGACAAGTACGAACCGCAAAAGCACTGAGCTGGCCGGTACCTCCCTCCTGCCAGATGGCCAGAATCTGAGGAACCTTGCTGGCAACACCGAGAACACCGGCGCCAGCTTGCAGGTAGCTCAGCGCCTGCATGTCAACGACATTTTCTGCAAACAGCGCCGCCGCACCAATGGCCAGTGCGGCCACGAACAGAGCCGCCATGGCAGGCCGGCCGCTGTAGTTCAGAACAAGCATCGAAATGACGACGTTCTGGCCCATGATAAAGGCCGTCTCGCCAAAGGTGCTAAAGGGAAACCCATTGCGCACGTTGTACGCCAACGAGATGAGGTACGCGCTCGTCTCGAGCAGGTACGACAGGAACGACACGCCCTCGGCGGACTTGGACTTGAGCAGCTTGAGGATCTGCGGCACCTTGACGACGGCCGAGGCGCCGACGATGCCAATGCCCAGGCCCTTGCTGACGGCGAGCTTGACGCACTCGGTGTTTTCGATGTCGACGTCGAGCAGCAGCGCCTTGTAGCACGTCTCGCCGACGATGGACACGCCGAGGTCCCGGATGGGCGCCGGCAGGTTGTGCGTGATGGGCTGGACGAGAGACCGGACGGTGTCCATGGCTGCGGTTGTCGATGAGGCTGAGAAGGGGGTTGATGAAGGAAATGTGGTCTGATTGCACTATATAATTTCGTTTTTTTTTTGGGTTAGGAATCGCGCGCCTCGTTCAGCCTCGTCCCGGAGTGGAGCTCAAAAGCCGTGTTGCTACTTGCTTGCAGCTCTTCTTTTCTCAAAAGGCTGCGTCGCGTTGCGTCGCGTCGCAAAGAAATATCAGGCTATTCTATCCAGTACTTTTTCCGATGCGGAATGCGACGCTTCTTTTTTTTTTTCCCGTCCGTGATGCCCTTGTCTGGATTCAGGCCAGATTGCGCTTGTGCCTGGGGTATGACATCAGGAACAAGGCGGGGGGTTCTTTTCGTCTGCTGTGGCTCAGCAGGCAGCTGGAGCACAGGGCATTTTTAGCTTAGAGGCCTGAATCAACAGCGGGGAATTTGGGATTCGGAGGGCAGAGCTGGAGAGGCGATCAGCGGGCTTAGCGCCCGGGGCTGTAGCTGCCAAGATCAGTACTGACGATTGATTACAGCACTATCTGCCTTGTAGGCTGTAGCACGATGGTTGTGTTGATCGATGCCAGTCGTCTTTGTTGCAGTTTGATGCCTGAGGAGCTACTGGTTCTATTTCCATCAGGTGCTCGTGCCAACAATCTTGAAGCCGTCTCGAGTCTTTGATCCTTCTTCCGTCTTTATGCCCTGCCTTTGTTCATGACATCATCCACCGCCTCCGTCTTCTCTTCTTTCTCTTCTTTCTCTTCTCTTCGAAACAAGCACCAGCATATCATATGCATGCAGAGGCACGACAAACGCAAGCACTAGCTCCAGCCCGTTGCACCAACACAAAGAAATCAACGGCAACTTGGGCGGGGACCCAGCGGCCAAGGCAAAAAAGACGCCAGCCAGGCTCCATCCATCCATCCTCTCCATTGCCCGGTCTCCAGCCACGCTTCAAGGCTGCAGCCAGGACGCACGTGTCAGCCCGTGAGGGGCCGTTTGCGCCATCGCCTGTGCCGTGGTCACCTCAGCAGGCTGGAGCCCTGACCTTGCAGCATGATCCATGATTTCCATGATTGACCGCAGCATCGCATCGAATCGAACCTCAGTCCGCTGCAATCCAGATGGCCAGCCTGCGCCGGGCCTCTCTGCTCTCCTCCGGCGCCGATCAGACGCCAGCCGAGCCGTCTTTGTCGACGCTCTTTCGACCTTGTCACGTCCCTTTGTGTGGCGCACAGCTCTCGCCCGCCGTGCCATTTTAAACGCTTGACCCAACGCCCACCCCGTTCCGACTCCAGCCTCCAGGCCCGGGCCCTGCCGCAGCTAGTGACATCAATTACCTTGGCCGCCCGCGCAGCCTCCATTTACCTCCAACGCCTTGGTTTTTTTCTGCTTCCTTTATTACTGCAAAAACGCCCACAAACCGTCTTGAATGCCAGGCCTATTCGCTCCCCGTCGCCGTCCAGAATGGCCGTCCCTCAATCTAATGGCTCTCCGCCACCCGAGGCCATCACGTACGCCTACATGTTCGAATCGGACAAGAGCCCGACGAAGCAGTTTGATGCGCTGCTAAGAGCAATCGCGCGCTTTATCGTATGCCTCCAGATGTGGCCTGATAGCAGCAACGACGCAGGATGGCTGGCGGCTAACAGACGTGACAACAGGTAACTGAGCTTGGCGACCAAAATGATCAACACCTCACCCCCAAGAAACTCGCTGCGTTTTACAAAGCCGTCGGCGGTGACTATGACTGTAAGTTGGAGGCATGCGAGCCACAAGGACCTGTACCCATTGTGTTAACCTCGAAACCGCAGCCTTGTTCCTTGAGACGCCTCACTCGACCATCTCTTACATGTGGCATGTGACTGGCTGCCAGCATAGCTTGCAACCCACCGAGAATGACTACGATCCGCCCTCTATTCCCGCTCTGACGCCTCGGGGCTTCTCTCGATGGGAAGCGGTCGAGGTCCTTCTCGGGCCCGAAGAGCATGTCCCGTTTCTTCAGTTTGCTGTCAAGCACTGGGAACTAAGACATCCTGAGACGGGTCAAGTCTTCCCGCCCAATCTGCCCGCCACCGTCTTCCCCTCACAACCTGATCAAGAAGTCGACCGCTGGCACAAGACTTGCGCCGATCAGATGCGTGACACCGCTTCCAAGGAAGAAGAGAATGCAAGTATGCCTAGCTCCAGCTCTGCGCCGAAACCCGAACCGTCTCCAGAACCTGCTGCGCCCAGGTTTGCCTACTTTCATTCACCGGACCCTTTCCATCCAGCAAACCGCTTCTATCCATCGGATCCATTCCGCGCGACCTCTCCCCCTCGGCCGAGAGCTGCTGATCCGAATCAGTCCGAAAGGTTCTACTACGTCCATGTTGGCGAAAGATATGGGGCTAATTTTGGCCAAAGGCCTCCTGTGCGTTCGCCGGAAAGGCCTCGCCGCCAGAGACCTACCGATGACGCCGGAAGGCGTCGAAGCTTTTCCGACTATGCTTCGAGCCGCCAGCCAAACCCCGACGGCATTCGCCACAGCTATTCCGGGACCTATCTCAACCCGGACTCTACTCGAACGACGCCCAGCCGACCTTCGCAGGGTCGCCGGCATAGCCACCTGCATCGTACATCTGACTCGTCGGGCGATGAATCTGAAGACGCCGCTATGCATATGAGGGCTAGACGGCGACAACGAACCGGCTCTCCTCACGCAGGCGTTCGTAGGGTCGTCCCGCCGTCATCTGGTCCTCCGCCGCCGTCGGCAGGGTCTAGCGTCCCTTCTTTCCGGACACATCGAAGCGATAGTCGGGCTGAGGAAGCAAGAAGAAGAGGTAGTCCCCTCGGCTCCCTCAAAGAAAAATTGACCGAAACCGTTTCCAACTTTTTCCCAGGTAACCAAAGCCGAACCAGCTCCAGACAGAGCTCCGTCAACAACCCCATCCGTGTGCGTAGAAGCCGCGAGAGCATACCTCCGTCACGCCTAAACCAGAACCATTCAGATCTTTCCGATGGCGTATCAGACGGGTCCAGCGAAGAGGAAATCCGCCATCGCCACAGACTACGCCAGCAGCGAGAGCGCTCGTACCGCGCGGATGACCAAGATAGAGAGCGATCGCATATGCACCGGCCGGATCCACAACGCCGGGCCAGCAGTCACACCGATCCGGAAAGGCGGCGGGACGCAGCATGGGATGCGCGAGAGAGGGATCACATTAGAGAAAGGAAATGGGATAGACGATCCATGGATGAGGACGCACCGAATCCGGGCATACCAAGCAGGCGATACCAGGAGTCTGCCTACACTTGAGAGGGAGAGAAGAGACTTGTACTCATGATTTATGATGACGTGATGAAGACATTTGATGGAGTTTTAGCGATTGGAAATATTTCTGTCATTTTGTTCAAAGAAGTTATTATTGCTCATATACTCATATACACGCAGCGATCAACGCTCAGATATGCATCCTTCTATGCAGGCTCTATATAAGGGGGCGTGCCGGGCATTGATTTTCGCTATCCAAAATCAATATGCCGGGTTTTATTCTGCCTTTTTTGTTGTTTTCATTAATCCTGCTCTTTCTTTTCCTTGCTTTCCCCATTTATTTCTTTTGGTATCCAAGATATCTCTACATCCTTACTTATACAGACATGTTCATAGGAATTGATTTATGGGGGTCATATCCCTTGACCACAAAGTCTTCTACTTTCCAGCCGTCGATGCTACCGCCCTTTTCCCGTGTGATTTCCAGCTCGGGGAAAGGTCGCGGCTCGCGCTCCAGCTGTGTTCGAAGAGCATCGATGTGGTCAATGTAGACATGTGCGTCTCCCATGACATGGGTAAATGTTCCCGGTACAAGATTGCAAACGTGGGCGAGCATATGTGTCAGCAATGCGTAGCTCGCAATGTTGAACGGGATGCCGAGGCCCATGTCGCAGGATCGCTGATATAGCTGGCAGTGGAGGTGGCCCTTGGGTTTGTTCTCCTCTGTCGGTTCCTCGGCGTTTTGTCCTCGTCCCCGTCCGGGGTAGGAAACGTAGAACTGGGCAAACATGTGACAGGGCGGCAGAGCCATGCTCTTAAAGTCCTTTGGGTTCCATGCGCTGAGGATCATTCTGCGGTCGTAGGGGCTGTTTCGCAGCTTGTGGATGATCTCGGCCAGCTGGTCGACGCCCTTGCCGGCGTAGTCTGTTTGAGCATCGACATAGTCTGCGCCAAAGTGCCGCCACTGGAAGCCGTAGACGGGGCCCAGGTCGCCGACGTCGCGGTGGGTGAGCCCGACGCTGTCGAGGAACTCGCGGGAGCCGTTGCCGTCCCAGATCTTGACGCCCACGTCGCTGAGGGCGGTGGACGAGGTGTTGCCCTCGATGAACCAGAGGAGCTCGGCGATGACGGCGCGGAGGAAGACTCGCTTGGTGGTGAGCAGGGGGAGGATGGGGCGGCCGTTGTCGTTGAGCTGGAATTTGAAGCTGGGGGGAGCGAAGATGGACAGGGTGCCGGTGCCGGTGCTGTCAAGTACGGAGCCTTGATCAGTATGTTTTGCATGGTGTGTGGTGTTTTTTTTTTCTCTCGCTAATGCTGTGCTGGGGTTTGGTTCTTACCGATCGGGTCTTCGCTCACCCTGGTCCAAGATCTCGCGGACCAGGTTGAGGTACTGGTGCTCTTCGTGTACTGGTGTGAACCCCATTGTGGCTTTTCTGAGGTTTTGGTGTGAGTGAGCAATGAAAAGAAGGGAGGCGGTTGTTACAGGGAGTGAATAAAGGAAAATGAAACAGATGAAGAAAGACAATGGAGGGGTGTTGACGTCTTGTAAGTGACGCGCTGGACGCGTTCGAACTATTACTAAAGAGCCTGGGTGGGCGTGAAAATATATGGGGCACGTGATTTCGCGCAACCACTTTAAGTGCTTCTGCATAGAGTGCTTCAAGGTTCTTGTGCATTTTGCAAAGGCCCATTGGAGGGTTTCACTGCATATAGTTTCTACAGGTAGGAGGTCATGATTGTATTAACATATCTTGAGAGGCAATGTGATTATCCTCCTTTCCGGTCTGCGCACAACATACTATACTACCTTGTCAAGTTGAATGTGCCTTTGGGCTCTATCCCCAGTTCTTAGGTAGTGTCCGTTGTCACTCCTCATGCCCACCAAAATGCCTGAGCTCAATCCGATGTGATGTATATATCTTTCATACGGTTTTCATAACCAACTCTTGGAGTTGATCAACTTTTTTTTTTCCCTCCTCCCCTCTTTAACTGGCTTTTATATGACAGCCAAACTCCAAGTCCCATTGCGATGAGAAGCAAATATTAATGTAGCAAGAATTCAGCTGCTGTCCTTCAACGGGGCTGCCATCGAGAATCCAGCCAGGGTAATCTCCTGGCCCATGGAAGCTGCACGGTTATCAATCCCCGTCCATTCCGAGAACTTGCTAAACCTGGTCTTCTCCAACACCTTGACGCTCCCTACATTCTTCACGTCTGCCAGGGCCGTGAGACGCTCGCCAATGGTCGGGCTGCTGCTGCCGGCCTCGAAATCTACACTCCTCGGATCAACCTCAAGCTCAGTCTCTTTGCGAGGCAAACTCCACCAGTTGTCGATGAAGCCGCTCAAGAACTCGGTCGCGTATCCCTTCCCCCACGCCGCCTGCTTGAAGGAGTAGCCGACTTCTGGCCACCCAAAGTGCTTGCTGGAGAGGCTGTGCATGCCGCCTTTGCCGACCAGCTCGCCCGTGTCCCGCTCGAAGATGAGGAAGTGGTACATTTTGGTGTCGTTGGGGGGCAGCGCGTCGTCCAGGCTCCGGACGGTGTCTTCTAGGGTCTTGTCGACGCCTTTCAGGGAGTGCTTCATGACTTCGTGCTCGGTGCGGAGCACGTGCAGGACAGGGACGTCGGAGAGGCGTGGTGCGCGGATTAGGAGGCGGGGAGTGAGGATTTCGTCTCAAGAGGCGATGGGTGGGATGAGTGGCAGCGTTGTGCGGACTTTGATCGTCTCCTTGTATTCCATCATTTTATTGGAAGCAGTTGTATTTAGCTTGTCTAAATTGATAGTTGGAATCTCAGTTTCTGTTTAGATGTCTTGTAAAACACCAGTCGCTTATAGAACCGTAGGTTGTCGGTTTTGACAATGGTAACTCAGTGCCGCTATGTTGAGATCAGCGTTTGTTCTTTGCTCTGTATACAAAATATTTATCAAATTCGTTGACCATTTCAAATCTTAATCACAAGCGCTTTAAGGCGACGTAAAGAGTCTGATATATATATATATGCCTACATATAGAGACGCCTACATATACGATGCTTACGAGACTACTCTAGTGAGTCACTACTAAGGGAAGGTGCTCCGTTCGGCATATGCGCGCCCGCACATTTGGACGAACGTGTTTCTTATCGGACTGTGGGACTTTCTTTAGGTGTAAACCGATCTCCAAACTATGGCAAAGTGGAGAGATTTTCATAAGAATCTGTAGTCCAAGATGTCGAGCAAACATGTACACCTTCATAAGCGCCAAATGGCGCAATGCCTTAGTACGCAACAGGAATATGTACCTCTCCAGGGCTGCTTGTCATTGGAGTTGGAATACTCAGCGACCTGCGTGTAAGATGCAAAGCACCACAATTATACCGGACATTCTTCACATCGAAATTAGAACAGCATGTATTTCGCAAAGGCTCATGTCATTAGCAATATTGGCTTTGCTTATTGACCCTCCCTAATTAGTAGTCTGCGGTTCTAGGCAGCTGGATATCAAACGCGATGCTTTCATTGCTGTGACGAAACCCCCATCAGGCACCAATCTCTCTCTACATGTACCTTACTAGTAGGATGCATTATGTGTAAAGTACATGCAGGAATACTCCATCGCGATACCCGTGTCTTTGGGGGCAGTATCTGCAAGACTGATCGAGGACATGCTGCCTGCAAATGCTACTGGCGCTGCTGCACCCCGGAAAACCCGCCGATGACAAAGAGCTGGAGCTGAAATCGGCAAGTGGTGGTCGCTGGTCTCTTCTCCACGCAGCGAGCTACAGAGGCCGCATCGCTGAAGATTCCTCCCTGCAGCTCTTTGCGGCGGCCATGCCTCCACTCCATCTTTGCAGCCATCCATCGGCCCATTTCACGTCCGTCAACGATCAACAGCCACTGCTTTGAGCCAAGCGCCGAGCCGGGTTCCATCTCACCTTGCCAGGCTTACGATACTGACCTGGCATCAAGCTGTGCTTCCCCGGCCTTCCACTGCGTTCCCCTGCACGAGGTGACACTGGGAGGGTCGCACTCCTTCGTTCTTTGCATTCGCCATACTGGGACTTTCTTCGTATTTGTTTGTTCGGCCGTGAGGCGGCGCTGACGGACGACAACCACAACATCTTCAGCCATCTGTGCAACATCATTGCGTCTTCTTCACGTGAGCCGAGTCCAAGCTTCGTCCTCTTCTTTGTGCGTGCACGGCCTCTCTCTCGGACGCTCCCCGGCAAAAGGGACAAAAAATAATTTGGGGAGGCATTGTCTTCATTCCTAGCACAACTTTTAGCCAGGATAGCCCGAATCCACCCGCCGGGTTTCCGAGACAGCTTGCCTCTTTGAACCCTGGGCTTTCGCTACCGAAGCTTTTGTGATTTCCCTCGTACAAAGCACGACGACATCGAGAGGCCTCGTTTTCTCATCCCCTTTAGCAGCCCTCCCGACGTCCTCCTTCAACCAACAACTTCTGTCCGCTCTCCAACGACCGCTCTCCACTAGCAGGACCAGCCGATTTGTCACTGCCGCCAGTAGACGACCTAGTGACGCTACCGTCGTTTTTGCGCAGCTCCATCTCGGCCTCGTCATCTCGATCCTGTCTGCTTGAGCATATCATCTACCAATCGCCGAAGCCATGAGAGGCCGACCCGTTGAGGTGCTCGTATACGAGTACATGTTTCCCAAGCCCAAGACGTTCGATCCCCAAGACTTCCAAGCTCTGCTTCAGCGCAGCCTGATTCCCGAAGTTCGTCAGGAGACCCATGCCTTCTATGGCCATCTCGAGACGGCAGAAGCCAAGTATCCCGGCCTGGACTATACTCATCCGACTCACCGCATCCGACTCAGCCGCTGGTCATGGCATCGCCGACTTTTCAGAGCTTTCGACGGACTGGGCCTTACGCACGCCGAGATTTCTGCCCTCACAAAGTGGGAGGGAACCAAGTGGGCTAAAGAAAAGTTTGAGAAGGAACAGGGTGTCTTTATTAGAGACACCGCGGCCGATGGACTCCCAGACTGGACAGAGCCTGCCAGTCGGGCATCTGCTCAGCAAGGCCGATCTGTCAGAATACACACGATTGACATTTCGAGTTTGGACGACGACGAAAATATGGAGACGGAAGAGAGCGACGAAGAACTTGCCAGCGTCGGCGTTTCGCTGAACCAGCAACTGCGCGCGCAGGCAGCCAGGCGCGAGGCTGGCGACACGTCTGCCGTCTTGGATGAAGAATGGGAGCAGTGGCTTAAGAATGCGATTGAGAGCGGCGAGCTGGCAATTCTCACGGAGAGGATGACTGAGGAGATGTTGGGCCAGTCTCAATCGTCCAACCCCATGGTCGCCAGCCTTTTGCCTGATGGCATGCTCCATATGGCTCGCACTGGCCAGTGGTCAGAGATTCCCGAGTTCCTCCAGCCTTTGCTTCGCCGCACAGTCGCCAATGAGAATTCTGCCCGCAATGAGCCCATTCTGACTTCGGCAACGCGATCCACGCTGCAGTCGACGACCCCTGGCCCTTTGCCACCACCCTGGATTCGACGCACCTATTCAGATCTCCGACTGCCAACGGGAGATTCTACCACTAGCCAGTCCGGCACTCAAACCTAACGAAATTAAAATACATCAAAGACGACCTCGGTGGATCATTTCGATTGAGAATTTTTACGAGTCTTTTCTTATCAGTATAAATCTGCCGCTACCTGGCTCTTATTTCTCCCATTTTCCTCACCTCCAGATTCTTAGAACTCTCGAAATCACTATAGATGGATATTCCTGCTATTTTCTCTTTCCTTTATTTTCTCACGGTGGACTTTGCGCAAATGGTTCGCAGATTGTCAAACATGCGAGGAATTTCTGCTCGCAATTTCAATTTTTTATTACATCCACCGGTTATATGGATTGGAGTTTAGGCGGGCAAGCGCGGTTTAATGGATTTTTCCCCTTCACTTTGTTACTCTTTTGTGTTCTTTGTCCTTTTTTTCTTTCTTTGAAAGAAATTTGTTCTTTGTTTCTTCCCATTGGACCTTCCCCCCCCCCCCCCCCCCCCCCCCCCCCCCTTGTACTTTGTGTGCAATCGAGTCAAAAAATGTGTGCTCGGGAGATTTTGTTTTGTTCGAATCTTTTTGTTCCATTCTTGTAGGTTCGAAGGAAAACAAAAATGTTGTTAGTCTCTAGTTCCAAATTAGGGAAACTGGGTGATGGGAGGAAGATTATTAGCTCTGAGAGTTGATTTGAAATTGAAATTGGCAGAAAAAGATCTGATGAGAGGTGAAGAGGTGCCTATAGATAGACGATTCAATAACAACGAAGATGAGACGTATGAACACATCAGGAATGTGTCGGTCTCTTCCCTTTTTATACAACTCTTAAAATATTTTTTCACATACCTACTTATACAAGGCAGTAACAGTTCCTAATTATCATTCTAAAAGTAACTAACTGTCTCATTGAGTCTTACAAACTATAGACCCGGGCACTGAATTTTGTATTCTAGGTACAATTGAGTCAAAGCTGGTATTCGTCTCCTCTGCTACACCAAAACGCCATTGCTCTTGAAGACTGAAAAGAAAGAAAAAGAAAAGAACATGAATCAAAGCCAACCCTCAAGACTGGTTATTTAATCAGTATTTTGAAAACGCCAATTGTTCCAACAACTCCTCTCCAAATGCGTATACATCGTAAAGTACGATATTAAAAAAAGGTAACCGAGGGCTAGAATGCATGTATGCCCTGGTCAAGTCGTAAACGTAGACCGTGTAGCCTTTTTCGTACTCTTGGAAAAATTCTATTTGTCCGGCTCGAGATGCGACCATTCAGGCACGGCTTTGATCTGCTGCCACATGAAACGTTCGAGCTTGTTGGCCGACTTGGCGTAAGGCGTGCTTTCGTTGTTGTATTTGCGACAGTTGTCGAAGATGAGCCTGGCGTCTTTGATAAAGTCCTCGGGAGTGGCATATTGGTCTGCCTCGAGCTTGCTCTCCATGGTGCTAAGATCCATGGGCTCCTTAATCACGTCGTAGTAGTCCGCAACATCGTCTCTATTAACCGGGACGAGGAACGGCCATGCAGAGTTGTGATTTTGGAGGTCATTGAGCAGGTGGAGGAGCTGGTTGTAGTTTGGTCCGTGACGAGGCTGGCGAGCAAGCTCGTCCATATCAGGAGACCATCCAGATGCCCGAATGGCGGGGATATCGAGGGGGTTGATCTCCCGGATGCCATTCTTCCACTCCTTTGGGGGCGGATGGATGTTGTGAGACTTGGAGTAGGCTCGAATCTTGGCCTGGACGCATTCCTTCTGCTTAAGGAGCATGCGGCCCATTTCCAGATATCGAATGCGCGGCAGCATGGAGCACTGCATAATCGTCCCGCCCTCGTAATCTTTAATGTATCCCATCCAAACGTGCTTGGGGAGGGTGATTTCTTTAGTAAAACCCTGTTTCTTGAAATAACCAATCGCATAGTTGTCGGCATACGTCAAGAAGTGCATGACGTCGCTGGTAGCCTTTACGTAGTCTTTCAAGTGGGACATGAGATGCGCACCGTATCCCTTGACTTGTTGGTCGGAACTGATGGCGCAAAAGACGATTTCGGCAAACTGGCGGCCTTTGAAGGGTCGGTAGGTGATGCCGCCCACGACTTCGAGGGGCTTCTTGACGATGGCGATGGACAGATGGGTTCGATCGTAGACGAGTCGCGCAATGTAGTCCTTGGGCATTTTGGGGAGTTGCTTCTGGAAGATGCACTTGAGGCCGGTGAGGATGATGAGGGACTCGCGCTCGTTGTCGTTGTTGACGACGCGAAATTCGATTTCGCCATTGCGCTCCTCAAGGACGGCGGGCTAGACAAGAAGATGAGCATTTTGAAAGCTAGATGGAAGGATGGTAACTCGAAGAGTATCGCATACCTTTTCGGGAAACGGAATCAGCTTCAGCTCGGCGGACTTCTCCTCTGCTTCTTCCTCGACGCTGTCTTCGTCTTGCTTAACTCGCTTAGATGCGGCGGGCGACGAGGGTTCGTCCTCGGCTTTGCGCTTGCCACCTGGACAGATGCGTTAGTACTGCGGCAAGTGCGCGGATACGCAGCACTTGGATCGCCTCACCTTCTTCTTTGATGTCGGCCATGATGACGATGTGCGCAGCGCGGCTCAGCCCCGGGAGGCTGCTTAACGGGAGACGCTGGTTGGAGATATGGGGAAGTTGAAGATGGTATGCAGATAGAGGTACGGAGCATGTGTGACACTTGAAAGGCCTGGTCCAAGCGTCTTGCAGCTGGCTTAGTAAGGTGGAGCCGCAGTGTCTGGTTGTATACTTTGCTTGAAGATGAGACGCTACTACGACATCGTTGTTTTTATATAAATTAACTATAATAGTGTTATTAGTATTGACTTTTCCGTCATTGAATATGATGTTGTTTTTACTGAATTATCCGTCGTTAGAAACCTTTTGTTTATACCTCTTCTTACCTACCTGGGTACTTGTACCCCATACCCTGCTTACGTCAGCTCAGCCCAGACTGTGCCGCGAATTGCGCTAAGCCCCTTTGGCATTCGGCCAGATATCAAACATGAACGACGTGCATTGGACCAGCTCTCTCAAGCTCCATCAGTTCTCGCAACCACCGCGATTAGCTGACAGCAATTCCCCAACGAGGCCCGATTGCATCCAGTTCCTCTCTGCCATCATTCGTGAGAAGCAGCCCGGAACCTCCTCTCGTTCCTCCCCGCTCAGCACATGGATTCCTCATTGCATCAAGTCTGGCAAGCTGCTGCTGGCAGTCCATTCCTCCCTGTTGTTGGCAAGGAAAGCCAATTCACCATCGCCTTTGTTCTTCTCACGCTGAGCCTGGCAATTACCGGTGTCTTTGCACTAAGTAAGTTCTTGGAGGTCCCAAAACTGGATACATGTCTAATTGACCATCGTGATAGACCGTTCATTAGTCAGCGTCATTGCACTTGGCGTGCCAGCTTCTCTAGCAATTGCGTATGATGCCCGCCTGATATTCCCTGGTTTTCATTTGGATACTAATAGGCAACAGCTTTGGAACCGTTTATATGTTCTGTGCAGTCGGGGTTTACGTTTGAGGCGGCCATTGTATTCTAGTTGGTAAAGGCACTCAAAAAGGGTGCTTTAGAGCGAGTTATTGTGTCTTGTGCTGTTTTCTCATTTTCTTTTCTTACCGATTATAAGAGTTGTTGTCATCTGTTCCATTTTACTTTTTCCCCCCAGCATCTGATTTCTACTTTTCGACATGGCCACCGAAGTGAAGCCTCTTTTTCGAGCCGTCTCGACGTCTCCGCGGCCGCTCTATCAGCTCCTTCGATGTATAGACTTTGCGCAAAGGGTCCACGTCCAAATTACTGAAGATGGGATCCGATTTGCGGCTGACAACTCACGGGTCATGCAAGGTGCGACGGCTACCGTCTCTGAGAGCGTAGCTGGCAAATGCTAACAGGAAGTACAGGGGTTGCATTTTTAGACAAGGCTCTGTTTTCTGCATACACTGTGAATCTCCCGCCCTCGGAAGATGGCGAAACTCCTGATTATCCCAATTTCCAAATACCACTGTCGACATTTCTTGAAGTATTGCAAATCTTTGGATCAGTGGATGTGGCCGCTCGGGCTCAAAAGGCCGACCAAGATCCATACCGAAGCAACATTCGCAACTACAGGCCAAATGCGTTTAGCAACCACACCCTTGGCATAGCTGGGACTTGCACTTTGTTATATGCGGAAGAGGGTGACCCTTTCAAAATCATTCTTGAAGAGTCTGGCACCAAGACTACCGCAGGCTTGACGACCTATCTGCCTGAAATGCCAGAAGACATACCGTTTGATCGCAACGACCTGACGTTCAAAATCATCATGTCGTCTCGCACCTTGTTTGACTGCATCGCCGAAATCATACCCGCGGGACCGGTCAAGTTGACCATAACGGCCACTAAGACTTCACCGTTCTTGACCCTCTCCTGCGCAGGAGATATAGGCAGCTCTAGCGTGGATTTTGCACGAGGAAAGGATCTCCTCGAAACGTTTAGCATCAACGACCGCTGGTCACAAGCGTACAAGTTTGACTTTATCAGACATGCCAGCGAGGCTATGCGTATTGCAAGTAAAGTCAGTCTCCGAGGAGATAGCCAGGGCGTCCTGAGCCTACAGTTTATGGTTGATGTGGAAGGAGGGAAAAGGAGCTTTTTGGACTTTCGCTTTGTTCCGTTTGCCACGCATGATGACGGCGAGGAGGACGATGTTGAGATAGAAGAGTATGATTGAGATTGTTGTTTCTAGGACAGAGTAATTGACTATGCGATGCGCAACTACGGGCTTCTACTGCTACTACTAACAGTGGTTATATATTGTGAAACCAGAAATCAAGTCTCCACAGAAGCGCCTGTGCTTGGAGAACTTGTGAATGATGGTAGGTTCATCATATACCTCCCTTTAGAACTCAACCGCGCGGTAGTACGTCACTACACTTCGCCATATCCCACGGTATGGAAGCTTTATCACATGTGTGAGACATCCATTAACCAAAGACCAAAGGTCTGTTCTTTCTCACATGCTTTGAGTGCCTCCCTTGCGCTCAGGTACGAACGAGGCCCACTCGTGTGAGACTTTTTCAACGCGAAATGAGGTGGTCGTCTAGGAAATTTATGGATTGCATTCCAGCTGATGTACGGCGCGATTGAGCAGGTAGGCAAATAGGGGGCTGGCCAACAATACTGCAGTTCCTTTAAATATAGCCTCATGCCCATTGTATAAAGGTCTTTTGTTTTGTATCTTCTCTTAGTAAAGGAAATAGTACATCCAGCTGTATCCCCATGGTCATTATTACTTACTCCTTAAAGTCACTCACCATTATCATCCATTTCTAGAAAGACTCTTTTTTTTTTATACCGATTCCACCCAACTACAGATATAATGCTCCATTCAAAAGGCATCCGAGTCACTTCAGAACCCGAGAAGTTCCCCCCTGCCCCCTTTTACACCCACAGGCCTCCCACAACATGGCGCTCAGACATGATGCAGTCCATCAAAAGGTGGCTTACCATGTGCTGTGGCAGCCGCGCAGCCCACAAGACGAGCGACGCCGCGATTTGGAAACTAGAAGAAGGGACAAACAACATGGAGGAGGACTGTGAGCCGCTGATTGAAGGAGGAGGCAGCACGTCTGATGGGAAGGGGTGGGAGACGGCAAAGGTAACGTTTCCGAAGCATGCGGCTGCGTCGTTTTTGATGACGGGGACGTCGAGGGCGATGAGAGAGGCGAATTACGTGTTGTGAGGGAAGAATGGGATAGAGGATATATCTACTGAGATGGAACACGGTAGATTACTGTTTTTTTTTTTTTTAAACGCAATGGTGGAGTATTTGGCATTTATATCGGTTATACTTTAGGGTAATCATCATATGACGAACGAGAATAGAAGGTCGTTTTTTTCTGCTTTTGCTTCTTTCTTTTGCTTTAACTATTTCTCTTTCTAAAGAAAAAGAAAGAAAGACACTACGGGAAACGAAAAATAGAATGTTGTTGAGGGGAGAAGCATGAAACATCCGTAAAGCATGGCTTAGATGGACATCACAACAGCTTTTCAATGCAGCTTGGTTAGCAATTTGTTTCAATCAAGAAGTCTTGGATATATCAAAAAACCACCCCGCATATCCATTGGCTTGTAGCATAGCTTGGGATGTACGGGCATGGGCATGGGATGGGATGTTAATTGCTTGCATTTAGGATGATTCCACGGTACAAGGCTAAAAGGTTAAGATGGGTAGAATTTGCGACGTTTCACCAGAAGAAGCAGATCCAACCCCCCCCAAATCCATATATCAGTCAATGCAGCTAAATTTAGCAAAGAAAGTGGTTTCATCGGCGAAACAAACGGAGCTTTGCCAAAGCGGGGGAAGAAGTAGAAAGGAAAGTAAAAAGTCAGAGGTTGGAAAGAAGCAAGAGAGAGAAAAACTTGGTATTCGAGTAGCTGCCTCTCTTTGACAAGGCCAGTTTGCAAAAAAGATGATAAAGAGGGTCTAGGCCATGCAACCAATATAGCCGCCCCGATTTAGACCCCCGGCTAGGTATGACAAACGTATACAAGACTAAGATGGCAGGCGGGCATATAATGTTTGGAACGAGTTTATCCTTGGATGCAACCTGGCATCGGCGGAAGAGAGGACCTGTCATTCCGGCGATGATTTTGTAAGAAAGGATGGAATAAAAAAAAAAAAAAAAAGCACAGACGTTACAAAACGCGTGGCAATGGACAAGGTCATGATACCTGATCCTGGGCGAAAAAAGGCGACGATGCCTGCGTCTAACGCAATCTATGTCTAGGCAAATGCCATCGGACCACCCTGCGACTGTCACCTACTGTAGAGGGAATAATGACGGGGTTTGGGTGATGTCAGAGTAATGGGACAATGTTGGGCACTTGACCTCGAAAGCTGTGCGTTGACAAGCAAGCTCGGCGGTTCTTGATTTGGTTGCTTACTCGCAATGAAGGCTCAACTGTTTCATCGTGTCAGCAGCAGGGCGAGGCCTTTTGCGCTGGCTGGGCTGCCTATAACGATATAGAACGGTTGATGCCATCTTTTTTGCTCTGTTGAGACGGATACTAACACGGGCTTACTCTCTGTATATGCGCAGGGCCATGCATGGGTGTCCGAGTAGGGCAATCCGGGCACTGTTCCGGCCAGTCGATGGATGTCAGTTATCTGCGTGGATACATGTATCGAAATCACAGGCATGGGATGCGATGCCACATGCAGCTATCACTGACTGGGTGATGTGCTCCGAACCTTTTGTAGCGAAGCCGTTCAGGCCCCGCCAATGCAGCTGCCGATCGGCATAGCTGCCCACTAAGAAGAAGAAAGAAAAATAAAGCCCATGCAAAGCGTCTTGTCTGCTTTTCTCTCTTGCGTCTTTTTGCCTCGGGATCTAGAACTGGGTACAGTCTGTTGGGTGCTGGTTCTCGAACTGCGGCTTTGGGGACGTGCATGTGGGAATCGGACGGTAGTGCGGTATTGACGTGAGGGGTAACAATAGGAATGACACCTACTGTGTCTGGCATCTGCTAACAGGACTAACTGTAGGGACGGGATGCTAAATATCTAGGCAGCGAGTAATTCAGATGCTAAGCTGCAAGAAGGGTTTGCAGAAGCGAGTGTGGTGGCACGGGCTGTGAGTGCATCTGACAGGCGATGCATTCGCTGGAGGCATTGGAGTCGTTCAAAGTGGATGAAGGCTTGGGATATAGATGGCAGCTATTGTTGCTTTTCTATTGCGTGTACAGCAACCGACAGCATGATTGGGTACATCAATAGTTTGAAAGATGGATGGCGATTCGTTATCTGTTGAATCGCCACCGCTGCCATTATTCGCAGCTCTGGTGGTGTGGCATTTGGCGGTTGGACTGACTTGTGCGACAAGGATTGGCTGCTGTTGACTGCACTCGCCATACGTGCATGAGCTTCATCCGATGGCGCCGCCATCATTTGCTGTTGCTGTTGGCCGCTGGATTCCCGAAGGATGCAATGCATGTGCGGTGCAACAGCCTGGACAGCCTTGTTTGCCTTTCTGCCTGTGGTACAATGCGCACATGTAGTGGCATGTCCTCCGGCAGTGGCGGGCTGCGTTGATGGAGATGAAATGCCGAGAGTCCGGATATTTTCCATGCAGCGATCCATGTGTTGCTTTTTATTTTTTATATTTATTTTTTCATCTTTTTTTCCATTTCTTTTTCCCTTCTTTTGCTTCCATCTCCCTTCATCCTCTTGCATGGCGCAGATGAGGCAAATACCGCCTGGACTCCCAAGAACCGTGCCACCCCATCAGATACCCCGTAGGTCCTTGCGTGCTTCATGCATGTCAGGACAGCATGCACCCATTGATGACGGCGTCTCGCCTCGTCTCGCCTCGTTCCAAATCCCTCAGCGCATCTTCTTTCGTGACTCGCACTTCTTCGTCGGCCAGCTGTCGGGCATCGACAGAAATGGCCCGATGCAGCTAGGCGGCGGGTGTTGGAGCAATTGGAGCAAGTGCTGGCGGACTCACCGAGAGCGGATGAGGATAGCACAAGAACAGAATGGCCGCTGCGATGGATTCGATATCGCGGGGACCGCGCGCCATCTTCGGAGCGTGGTCGCTAGCGCTCTTGGCTGGACGCCACCACCAGGTCAGCCGGGATGGACCGTTGGGATGGATGGATGGCCAGATCGGGGCGTGAACCTTGCGGCACTCGGTGTTTGCTGCCATCGAGGCATATCTGCTCTGCGACGCTGATACAGACTTTCCGTGGTGAAGCTTCAAAAGCGTACCTACATGTGGCGTAAACTCTCCTGGCCCCGAGTTTCCTTCTAGAAGCAGAAACCCACGATGGAAGTGGCCCAGTCATTTCGTTCAACACCTTGGCACAGTTACAGACGTGCTCCCTGCCTGTGGATACGTACCCCGCGATGAGGCAGCTCGGGGCAATTGTAGCGGGCACAGCGTCCAGTGGCATCGGCCCGTCACCCTCTCAGCGTCCTGCGCAAACCGGCCAAGTGATGCGCATCTTGGGTGTTGTACCGAGTATAGCACCGCTGGACAATACATCGCTGCAGACCGGTGTGAGAAGAAGGGGGGGAAACCCGGACGTGGGCAAGGTAGGGAGGAGACGCAAGTACAGTAGTACCTGTGCAGAGACGGAGGCAAGACTTACGGTGAAGAAAAGGTCTGGGGCACCTTTGTCTTTGATACGGACTGGACCCAATCGACGGATTAGATTAGATCAGTTTTTTTCTGCCATCAGCGTGACCACTGTAAAGTCTTTGTCTCTGCGGTGTGCGAAAAGAGGCTCGGTCCCATAATTCATGCTCCTGGACGAAGCGTTTTTTACTTGTTACGCTTTCGTGTTATTTCATTCCAGAACATGATTATGTTCCCGAAAACTGCACACCAAAAGCTTGTCTCTATGGATAGCGCCATCAAAGTAACCCTGCCGTATGTTGTCACCGATACGGAACGCTGTATTCGAGTTGAATCGAGTCGAATCAAGTTACGGAGTGCCTCTACGCCAGATCCACCGCATGCATGGCATGGCAAGGTCCTCCCTTGCTGCTCATTACTCGCTGCCTAAGAGCTCCCTGGCAAACGTTGAGCTAATTCAACGTCTACTAACAGTGAAACTCTGCATCGATATCCATGCAATTACGTACTTGTACTGACTGATACTCGGCGGCTCTCTCACGATGCAACTTTCATTCTTCGTCTCTCCGTCCCGCAACGCAAATGCGGGGAGGGATCCTGTTCTGGGATGGACGGTAGCATCAACCAAGTCGGCGAGATGGCGATAGCCAGAGACTCAACGTAGCAGCAGCTGACAAGTGTCGGGGGCGCTTTGGGGGTCTGTGTGGGGAGGATGCGGCATCTGAAATGCCTCCAGCAGCTTGAATGCTAGTGGCGGTTTGCGCACATTGCCGTATGCCCGTCCAGGCCTAGGCCGGTGTCTTTAGGGGCGCCGCTGCAATGGCCGCCGTCGCCAGCGAATCACCAGCGCCATTACCGCCTATTACTCCGTTACTCGCGTGTTATGGCATTTGAGTTTCGACCAGCATGAGGCCAGGCGGTCCGCGCGGTCAAGCTTTTGCGACTACGAGAGTCAGTCCAGCGGTGCTTTGAGGTCTTTTTGTTCTACATGGACCTATTTTGACTACAGTGCATCCCGTTGGAGCCGTGTGCAATGCAGCGAGTGAGTAGGTGAGCTCCCGGCAATGACTCGAAGAGCTGAGCGCACATGATGCGACGCTATTGGATTCCTCCGCGCGGTACCACCACAATATATTGCCCGACTATTGCATCGATTATCTGGCCTCGACTCTATCAAGACGATGCCGGAGAATTGGGCCTCTGCTAGCGGTGGATCGTCAAGTCGAGCTGAAGATGCACCGTAAATGATGTCCCCGATTAGCCAAATTGCAGTTGAGAAAAGAACAAAAGAGCGCCAGAAACTACTTCCTCGCTAGGACTGGTCTGGCGGGCCGGAGCACTCGGTTAGGCTTGGCCTTGCGTGCTAGAGGCAGCTCCGAAGTGGCTCCAGCGTGCCCTGTGCCTGCCCTTTCCCCCAAAGCCGCCGCTGCGACGCGGGCCTCCATTGGCTCTGCAGGGAGCGTTAGTGCCCTTTAGCCCCCGTAATAGGCCCCGTCCTGCCCACACCTCGCTGCGCTACAGGCTCTACACGCGCTACAGCACAGGTACCGGCTGCAAAGTACCTCCGCCTGGCTGCTGGCCTGTACGAGTACGATTTTAGCACAAGGGACCATTGTTGCAGAGCAGGCAAGGAACGTAAAGGCACTTGCCGGGTTCAAAGGATGATGGACATGGCACGATATGGTTGGACTTGCCTTTTAAGTCGACGATGATCCCCACGCCGCACGCGAAGCCTCACTCCTGCCAGCTCTTTTCTTTCTTTCTTGTATACAATTGCGCCCATTCCCGCCCCGTTCCGCGCGGCTTTTTCTTTCTCTTCTTTTTGCTTTTTCTGCTTCGACGGTTGGCTTTCGCCACCAGAGCGCCATAACGCCATAACGCCAAAGGGTACTTTTAGCTTCTCTTAGTTTGCTCTTTATTACCGCCAACAGCCCCGGCGAGTCGAAGCAGGACCGAAAGCGCAGGCGATGCCGAGCAAATAAAGCAAACTGAAAGCCGCTTTCACCGTCTGCCAACTCGCCCAACACAACACGCAGCAGTACCTACAAAAAAACGACGACGGCAACAACGACAACCTGTGATACTACAATGCATACCGACAAAACTACATTTCCTATCGCCCGCGCCTGGTAGGACACCAGGCTCTTCTGCGCAATCAAGGCTCCGCCCTCAGCACTGCAGTCGCACGTCTTGGTGCTCGTCGATTCTTCTTCTCTTTGATACCCAGCGCAGTTGGCTTTTGCGCTACGCCTACTTTCTTTCTTTCAACATACTATCCCTTACTTCAAACTCGTCTCCAGTCGCCTGCTTTCGGAGATGACTAGATTAACAAAGCGGCTTGAGCTCCAGATGGAGTCGAGCAGACTAGGACTGCTGCGGTCTCACTCCAAGGCCAGGTCTGCCAAGGCAGCCGGCCCTCATAACAAGGCGGATGTGCCTCCTGCTGCTGAACCTGAAGACGCAGCCAAGGAGGCAGCCAAGGAGGCAGCCAAGGAAGAAAAGCACGAAAAGTCACGATCATGGTTTTCTCCCCGAAGAAAGGACTCTGTGGCTTCTACGATTCTTCGAAGTAGCAAGAGCTTCCGCCGCCTATCCGCAGTCTCATCGGCGGCTTCATCACAAGCCGCCATCTCGACGCCTACTACCCCATCCTTTTCGCGAGGAAGCTATGAGAGCGATGCCGCCTTCCATCACAGGAAACTCTCTCCTCTAGAAAACGGTGAGGCACCCGTCTCAGAACCTGCGCCGACAGATCCTCCTTCGATTCCCTATCCTCCACACCGACCCGAGCGTCCCCAAGGAGACTTATTCGAGGGAACACCTCTGGAGAAGGCAAATCAGCTTGACAAGGCGAATCCCCTTGAGAAAGCGAATCAACAAAGTCACCGCCCCAGCCGGAGCCGCAGCATCCTGCGACCCTTTTCCCCTTTCCCTGGCCCGTCTATAAGAGACATGCGACGCCTTAGCCAACAATCTGAACACAAACTGCAGGCAAACAGTGCAGCCGACGCTGCTACCACCACCACCACCACCACCACCACCGCCAGCAAGGCCAATCGGCTTTCAACAGAAACCGAACAGGCGCACGAGCCTGCAGACGTAGCAATGACTCCTGCTTCGCCAAAGCCATCTACGTACTCAGTCCTGTCCGCACCAGCACCCATTGTCCCCAATCGCCGTACCAGCCTCAGGCCCAGCAGCAAGGGATCTGAAACTGGTATTACGCGCAAAACCTCCATTGCCAGCTCGTTTCATTTCTCCATCCATAGACGGCCCAGCCATGTCACTGCCGATATAGAGTCGCGGAAACATGTACGGTCCTCTAGGTGGACGTTGACAGAAAACATGGCCGAAATGTTCAAAGGACAGCACATAAAGACGGACAAACAGTCCATGACACCGGCCCAAATCGAGGCCATTTGGAATGGTCAAGACAATGGCAGTGGTGCAGCAGCAGCGGCTAAACAAAAACAAAAGAAGGGCAAAGAAAGGAGAATGAAAGCGGCGTCGGACACTTCGGCAAGCATATCACGGTCATTTGGAGGCCCGCTTACAGAACAACAAAATAACTTGTTTAGCGATCCCTTCCAATGGCCTAGTAAAATGTCTTCACCCGTCCCCATGAGCAGAGCTGATATCAAAATGAGAGCTCTCCCTTTCGAGATTACTGTCCCGCCGCCGCCGTCAACAATTCTTGTTTCCCCAGAAATTATTCATGGCGACGTTTCACCAAAGTCACCGACAAAGGTTGACAGAAGACACATGGGGGAGACTCATTCAGTACCGCGACTGGTGTTACCGGATACTGAAGATGTCGCCATTGAAGATGACGACGACGCAGTGTCAGCTAGCTCAATCCCCATACCCCCCAAGAATCCAGCCAGATTTGTTGCAAGAGCGCCGACAATGCCTCTTTTGCCTCCCATTTTGGAAGGCTTCCGATCTCCTTCGGGCAGCAATAGGAGCTCAAATATCTCATCCCATCGCCGAAGCCGAAGCTGCAACCATGCTTCTGAAGTAAACCATGACATGGTTACTTTCACCAGCACCCCTTATACCATGGCTAACCCGTCTTTCCGGCACGGACCCATTGTCCTAAGCGATGCTAGCAGCCGTGACTCGGTGGCGTCAGCAGAGGTAGCAGAAGAGGAACGGGCGGGCGTTGACTTGTCGACCCTCTCGGGCGATTCCACAGGAAATCTGGACGATGTGATTCCAAAAGAGCAGGCCTCCTCAGACGAAGAGGAAGTCAGAATGGCCAATAACGTGGCTGAATGGTACGACGAACTCAATCTCGGGTCTCCTGGCGGGCTCATCTCAGGCTCTGAATCAGAGAAGAAGTCGGATCGGTCAACACAGCGAGACTCGGCGGGCAGCATGACCTCGGCTGCATCAACGCCATCGACGGTGCAAACCGAGGCTGAAGCAGAACTGCAGACCCCCGTGGCCATCCCGCAAAGCCCCTCTCTCTTTGATACTATTGTACAATTTCGCGAGGTCTGTGACAGCACTTACAGCGCCAGCGAATACGACGAGGACAGCGACGGCGAGATGAGCTGCAACCCAATTGGCGAACTAGCACCCACCTCTGTAGCCTCGAAACAGGCTATGGAACACGGATACGAAGCTTTCCTTGCGTTCAGTCTTGATGATTCTTATTGAACTATTTCATGAGAAATATGTATTGCAAGAGTGTTTTTTTTTTATTATGTATAAAGGTTTTTTTGTTTTGCATGATGTGATGGCTTGGGATACCATTGGACTACGTGCCAGACGCCGCATTTCATTTCATTTGTCAAATTGAGGATATATACCATGGCAGGGGATATTGAAGTTGGGGATGCTGAGTCGATCTTTATAGATACAGACAGATACCAGGTTGAATGATACCACAGCGCGAGCCGCGTTTATTTTGTCCAAGATTTTGTGTCTTAGTTTCACGCCCTTAATTTGTGTAAAATGGACTGTGATGAAAATTGTGACATCAATTGAGTTGGTTGATAAGTATGTGAAGTTTGCTGCGCTGGGTGAGTGAAAATTGCGCCACTGCAGTTGTGGCTGCCGCTGTGGCGGGTTTACAGGGGATCTTTCCCTAGCTCGTGCATCTCACTTACTTTATTCCATCTCACGTTCATATCTCACACCAAAAGGTATGTGAACGACTCTCTCTTCTCCACGACAACTTTTGAGAATCTCTTTGCCATAAGAAGTGGCATCTCACTCATTCTACTCAAAACTTGATTTCGCACGAGATAAAACGAAGCAACGGCGACATAGCGGAACAGCGCCTGTGCAAGAAAAGAACAAAGAGATTGTAGAAAAAGGGAAGACCGCAAAGACTACGACCAACAAGAACATATTGAAAAAGAGCGATACTTACGCTTTTGAATCATTTCAGCGACCGCTGAAGGGGGCTTTCTCATTTGAGTTCAACGAGGAAAAAAAAAAAAAAAAAACCAGGGGAGAATATAAAAAGAGGGAAAGATTTAAAAAGATGCTCCGCCGCCCACCGACAACCATCCAAATCACAGCCGAGGACATTGCCGCCTACGAGGACCGGCGCGCCAGCGAAGCGCTTCACGCGGCTCAACAGGCGCGCGCTGCGGAAGTTGCTGCGAGGGCTGCTTCTGCTTCTGCTTCTGCGGGTGCTGGTTCCGAGGCCACGGGGTCGAACGCCGGAGAGGCGGCGACGCGGCAGACGACGGCGGCGATGGGGGGGCTTGGACTGGGCGCGCAGGCGATGGAGGGGGTGCTGGATGATGGGGAGGGGAGGGCGAGGAGGACGAGGGAGGAGAGGAATGAGAGGATTGGGGTTGGGAGGAGGGCGAGGTGATGATGTGGATGTGATTTGGGGGGAAACTGTTTGTGGTTTGCAATATTCATTCTTATGGGCTTTTAATCTTGGCGAAACGGATGAGATGAAGGAATTCTGGTATTATATTTTGTTGTGGTATCAACCTGTTCTAGCCAGCCGTGATCCTGATTCAATGCGTATGTCTCCAGTTGCAAACACGCTCTCCCCCCCCATACATGTCAATGGGTAATTACGAGTAATAGTAGTAGTAATAGTAGGTAAAAAGTAACAGTAGCACCGGCAAGCCTTCCATATACAGAAAAGAAGAAAGAAAAAACAAAAAAAAAACAGCTACTAAATTCACTCCCAGTCTTTTTTTTTTCGCCGGCGGCCATTCGTGGGTGGCCTAGATATATGTAGGTAGCTATTTTTTCTGAATCAACCGTTCCGTATCAAGTAGATCCAAAACAGCACCGCGATCCAAGTCACTCGCCATGCTGTAGTCCACATCTCCGCGACCATTACTTTGACGGAAAATCTCTCCCCCCTGCCCGTTGTCGTCTTCCACGCCTTGCCGCCGTCGTAGTAGTCTTGGTTGATCTTGATGCGCGGCCCATCGGCCATGCTCCAGCGATGCCTGTGCTTGCCCTTCTTGCCGGCCCAGCGCATGCTGCTGCCACCGCCGTTGCTCGAGCTAGACGACGGCGTGATTGGCGGCTCGACTTTTTCTTTGTAGACGGGGAGGAATGCGTTTCTTCGCTCGGGCGGTAGTGCGAATGGGGTGAGGTTGAGGACGGGGACGAAGAATGCCCTGACGGCTAGGATGATGAGGGAGAAGAGGGTAAAGGCGATGTAATTCATGTATTTGACGAGTTGGTTAGGTAGTAGGCAAAGATGGGTCTGCACAGTCTGCTCGGGTGCGCCTGGCAGGGGCTTGCCGTCTTTGTCGATTGGGTTGTAGAGACTGACCATGAGGAAGCCCGGAGTTGGCACACCCTGAGACATGCTCATCGTCTTGACGGTGATTTCTCGCACGCTGTCCTTGGCCTCGGAGTGAACGAGCTCACAGTAATCGTGATCATCGCCTGAAAACACATTGACGACGTTGCCGACGCTCTTGACTAGCTTCACTGAATCTTCTTCTGAAAGCACGTTCTGGTATTGGTAGCCAGCCACCACCGATATAGAATTGCTAGTGTCCAAGCTGCCATCGGGGTTGGGCTTATTCTTTGGCGGCCAGTGCTCCCGCTGCGGCCCACAGGGAGTCCCAGGAGGACGATAGAGAGGAACATGCGTGAGGAGCAGCGTGGGGAAGTCGGCAGCTCCTGGTCCGGGATCTCTCGACCATCGGGTCAAGTCTGCGTGGTCCAGGTCCTCGACGTGGTGCTTGAACTTGGGCCCCATGTCCACGCCGTACCAAAAGTTGAGTTCCTTCTTGGCCATTTTTCGCTTTGTAGATTGGACGCCGTCGAGGAATTCGTGGACGGGTTTGTAGATGGCGCTTAGATCGTGTTTGCCTTTCTGCTCGGACGTCCCCGCGCTGAGGGAGACGGCATCGACCGAGACAATGGTGTGGTTTCCTACGACGTCGACTCGGTTTCCTTCTCCGAAATAGGCCTGGTAGCGATCCCTCACGGACTCCTGGACCATGGCGCCAAAGCCGAGATCATGGTTTCCAGGCAAGCTCGCCACAAACTTGCGGCCTCTCTGCCACGGGCCTGGCTTGCTCCCCGCCACATTCCAATCGAAGAAGATGTTCCCAAAGCGCTGGTATTCTTCCAGCCAGAATTCGTCGCCATAATTGCGATGCCATGTCTTGACCCATCGCTGTTCCTTGGCTGTACGTGAACGGGACCCCCATTTAGGATCGACAAAGTTGCCTTGCCTCGTCTTCCATTCTCGCCCGCCCTCGAGCATATCGCCGAGGAAGAAAAGGCTGTCCGGGTGTAGCTTGTGCAGCAGCGCATCGTAGCTTTGCTTGAGATATCGATCGGTAACGGCGACGACGACAGCGAGTTCCGCCCACGGCCAGTCGGGGTTGGTATGAGGATCGAGGATTTGCGGGTCGGCAATGAGGACGAGATGATGGGGAGTTGCGCCTTTGGGCTGTTTGTCGTCAAGATTAGCGATTGTCCTCTTCTCCTTATACTAGAAGACTCCAAAAGGGCAATGGCAAGCAGCATAAACTCACCCACTTCTCCCAGCTCCTCCAGTCACAGACGTTGACGTGGTTGGCGTAGATCCAGCGCTCGCCCCAGAGCAGCAGGATCATCCAGAGAAAGGCCAGCAGGTGCGGGAAGCTCAGCAGCCGCCTGGCCGTCAGGTTCCTCTTGATCTGGTGCAGCACTTTGGCGACTAAGACGGCAACCTTGTGCATGGCCGGGCCTCTGATCCATTTCAACAGCAGACGCAGCAGCGCCGCGACGCCCCTGTATATTTCCTCGGCCACCGAGAGGTCTGAGGGGGGCATTTTCGAGCCCAATTGCTGCTCTCCCTCACGCAGAGGAAGGCGTAGGTTGCTGTGTTGTGGTAGCAGGCTGGGCTAAAACAACTGGAAGCCAAGGGAGGATGGCCATGCGGACATGTGAGGTGGTGGGATATAATGGCAGCGGTAGATGATGACAGCAGTTACCACGCCGAGCGGCCGTAGTGGGCCTAGTAGGGTGGTGGTGGTGAGTATTATAAGGAGGTCGGCACCTATAATCTGCGCCTAATTAGTCTGGGGAGCAGCGATTTAAAGCCAGGGCTCCAGGGCTAGAAAATTAAAAAGCCACCCGCAAGCCTTGCCACCAAAGTTTGTGCTTGGTGATGTCAAGATGCCGGTTTCAATCAGAGATTTGCGTAGTAAGCACAGTAGAAGCACCCGCGTCTGATCAACGATGAGGTTTGCCATGTACGAGAGGCGCAAACCGATTCCGTCCAGATGGGGGCGACAATTCCCCCGAAATAACGTTGTTCCATGCAACGGGGCATTGCTGCAGCGATCGACCGCCTGAGCGGATCGCGCTAATACGCCTCAGCCTGCTCCCTAATAGCGCGCTGAAGCCGCAATCGATAGCGAGTACAGCTCCGGATGGAGCTTTTGAGACAGCGATCAGCGTAAACGGCAGGGCATCTCATTAGCACCTATGCAACTCTATACTATTGTATTCCAGGTCTGCCACAGCTGTTGATGACGTGTGTAATTCTTCTGCTATAAATTGACATCACAATGGCCCAGGATCTATGACTAACATGTTCGAATTTCCCCTCATTCTCAATAATTTTTCACCTGTCTAGGCAGGTCGTTCAAATCGCTACCGAGGCTCAGGAATTCGATGAAGCGCCCCGCCTAAAACCTCTAAATTGCACAGTGTTGTCAACAGTTCCTCGTGTCACTTTCATATAACATTATGATTGTATCCGAGACATATAAGGCCCGCTTGGCTAAGCGGTATAGCGTGTCACTAGTACTTCTCTGACATGACAAGGTGATCAGTTCGACTCTGATAGTGGGCATTTATTTTTGCTTTTTTTAGCATTCGTTATGTCACTAGTATTTCTAACCAAGGTGATCAGTTCGACTCTAATAGGGGTACCTACCTATTCATTTCTTTGCTTTTTTTTAGCATTCGCTACGTATCTTTATTTCATTTGTTTCTTCGTGCCTATATCTTTGTCTCATTTGATATTTCAATGCTTCCCCGTTCAAATAATATGTTCCCATTATAGCTCTATATTCGCGTGAAGAAAAGGCAACTGGCAAAGTTTATATAACGAAGAAAACCTTTTTTTCGCCCCCCAATGTAGTTACACCCTATATAGACAGTCCTGTACTTCTCAATCTATATATTCTAATATCAACAAGAGCTGGCATCCAGTCTGTATTCTCGATAACCAGTAATCGCAAGCTAGACATAAACACGCCGAAGAAGAAAGTGAAGAAAAGAAAAAGCATTACAAAATCGCATGGCCGCTCAAGGCCATTTTAAAACCCAAAAACAAGAAAAGTCGCAAATCAAAGCTTCTTCCACCCCCATGTATATAAGTCTCCAGTATATACTTGCTCTAATATCTCTCGTCGTCAACTTCGTCGTCATACCCCATCTCATCAGTCGGTTCTGGCTCCAGCTCTTGCTCTGCAGCGGGGCCCTTGGGCTTCTTCCTAAAGCTGAGGAACTTTTTGATCCCCGTTGGTTCTGCGGTCTGGAACAGATCGTCTTTGGATGAGTATTCGTAGAATAACTTGGGGACCAAGATTCGATACGGCACTGTAATGCCGGTAGGGTCCTTGCAGTTTACTTCCATGTTCAAAGCAATGTCTAATGCTCCTTCTAGATTCACTTCGAGCCTGTCGGTCTGCTTCATGTCTTTGGGTGATAGTCCCGTAGGTGTTCGGTGGAATGGCCGGACTGCTGCTGGGTCTTCGACTTCGTGGCCAGAGGGGCCGCCGGCATGATAATTTACAGTCTGCGCCCGTTGAGGCGCTTGTGATGTAAAGTAAGCCTCGTCGCCAGCTGAGAACTCATCATAATCGCTGCCACCGCCGCCACGGAGACCTGAGGGACGAGGCTGCCCCTGAGCCCGGTGATCTGCGTATCCGCCGTCAAACTCGCCGCTCCATTGGCCACTCATGTTGGCTTCATCGAATCGGCTCTGGCTACCGTGCTGCTGTCCGTAGTACGCCGCATCAGTGCTCTGTTGTGCCGACTCTCCGCGTCCAAGGGACATTGTTCGGGTTACTCCCCCTCCTACAGGGCGTTGCTGGTCGACCGAGTTCCGCCGGCCAAAGTTCTTGAAAAGATTGCCCCCTCCTGAAATTGGGGGCCGAGGACCTCTCACGGATTCACGTGAGACATCAAAAGGCTGCTGCGAGGTAGACCTACGCCGTCTAGACGAAAGCCTGCGAAGCAAACTCCCGCCTCCTGGGCTTCGACTCCGTCCGCGGTCGGACATGGGAGGCGATGGAGGTGGCGTGCTACCCGGTGTCCACAAGCGAATAGAGCACCAGTTGCGATGAGGAAGGAGGTTATTGTTGTTCCTGGGCTTGCCATCAACGCCATTCTGGAAGATGGGGATCATGGCTTCGTCTGTCTGCTTGTCAAAGTGGTGGACCTTGTTGCGCTTATTGAGCAGATCCGCGACGATGTCTGCAGGTGGGCGATTGACAATGCCGGAAGATATAATGTTTGGCATGTACCTGGGATCGTTGTGTTTGGCCAAGCCGAGCTTGGGGTTGGAATAGAACTGGCCAACGGCGCCGAGGTGGACGTCGCCGCTCAAGATTGTGATTCGCACAGACCGGTCGATAGCCAAGTCTTGCAAATCTTCAATTATGACGGTGCGCTCCCGTTTGTGGTTCTTGGCGGTCCAATGATCGTTGAGATCATCCAAAATCTCATAATTGTCATTGATATTGTTCAACGTTTTGCCGAACACGCCTGTTTTGCCGATTGCTTTGACTGGGCTCATCAGTTTTGAGGTCAAGCTGCGAGTTGTCAGTAAGAAAAATATATATAGGGGATCAAGGGCGAATTTATCAGCGACTTACATGTTTTCCAGCCACACAAGACGGGGATAGGCAATTGGAACTCCAACAAGGACGAGCAGATGCTCTACCTGTCCCTTCCTGATCTCGGCATACATCCTGCTTGTAATCTTGTCCCACGTCTTCTCGCTCAACACGACGTCTTCAGTTCTCTCTGTGCGAGTATCCACAGCGAGCAGAGCGACTTTCCCACCCATAGACATGTAGAGACTACGGCTGACTTCTTGGATGTATGGACCCGGCGACTCCCCCAAGATCCAGCTTGGCTCAGAATTCTCCGTTTCGGTCACAATACTTTGATGCTGGAAGAGCATGTAGTATTTAAAGGCCACCCACCCCAAGCCTGAAAAGACTGGTGAGCTCATATCATGATGAGAGTAAGAGCCATATCCATCGAAAACATCATGATCATCGTACATATTGACCATGGGAATTTGTGAAGTGGCCAGCCCGAACAAGCCCTGCGAGAACCAGGAGCAGTATCGTTCCAGGTAAAAGTGCTCTAATTCAGTCTGCAACTCATATGTAAAAGGAGCGTTGAGCTTCTTTTCAGGGACAGTGATCTGAAGCCATTGGTCAAAAAGTGGGCTATCGTAGGCCACACAGTCGTTGTAAATCTGATCACCGCCGCCAATCATGGCATGGAATGGCTGTGTCTGGTGCGAGTTCAGCACGTCGCGCCACATGGGATCAGGACCGCTCATCTCATTAGGATTGACGCTGATACTGAAACCATTGCACGAGTAGAACATCATGTTCATCGCTTGTCCACGCCCGGGAACCCAGAAAGCCATAGCTGGACCACGGTTAATGCGATATGCGATCCGTTGTTGCTGCTCGCGAAGCTCAACCTCGATGTTGAAACGCCAAAACGTGCATCCTTGTTCAGCATGAAGACGGAAGCCTCTTACTTCCTTGTACTTTTGCATCTTCTCCCCATCAATGCTTGCTCGCGCTCGCCGACTAGCAAACGATCCCGGATAGTCTTGGAGTCCCTGCGCCAGTGGTTCGTCTGGTGGGCTTCTTGTTTTTTCAAACAGGCCTTCTTCAGACTCATCGTGCGATAGATCTCTACCTTCTTCGAGATGGTCCACGGGTCGAACATACAGGGTCTCGCCACTGCGGCCCAGCTTGGGATGTCCGGCGATTGGGTCCACATATTCGGGAGAAAGCTCACCGTTCACCTGGTGGGGAGGCGGAGGCAACAGCTCGATATCCTGCACGAATAGTCGAAGCGTCGGCGCAATGTCATAGGATGATTCAGCATCGCTGGTGACAATCATGACGCTTCCTCTCCAAATTTCACGATCTTGCACAGCCGCTGGCCCTCGAGGCCTAGCTGGGGCTTGTTCGTGACGCAGACCACAGTATCTCAGAAGCGGGCCGCATTTCAAGTACAACGGGGGTTTGAATCGAGTGGGCACGCTGGTATCATCGTACTCTCCATCAAATGCTTCGGCTTTACGTGGCCTTGAATTCATGCTGCTAATTCTCCGATGATGGCCTCCCTGCTCCCGGTCCAGGCGAGCGTTGTTCTTCTCCGTCGATCCAGCAGGCTGGTTACCAACAAGGTCAAGAAGGGTCCCAGATAAGGTGCCGACGGTACCCTTTCTCCATTCATTTAGCCACTGGGGCGGGTTATTCAAACCATCGCCAGAACGTGGTCCCTCCGGGTTCTGGGGTACAAATCGTGGTTCGAGGCGCTCTTGTGATGGCTGCAGCTCCGGCGGCTCAAATGATTGACGTGGCTGTTGTGGCTGTTGTGGTTCCTGTGTCTCCGGTATTAGACCATGGTTCGTCTGATCTTCCAAACTCTTTACTGCAGAGTTTTGCTGTGGAAAGAGTCCTCGCTTCTTTTGACTCGCCTCGTAAATGATCCTGCCAATGGCAGCCGCGGGGGCATATTCAGCATTCAGCCCTCGCTCCTCTCGGGCATAGACGGGTTCAGTGGCTCGCCGCTGCATAGCCTGGATTTCAGCATCGTCAGCAGATGTAGAGGTCTTTTTTGCATCTGGCCGGACATTGGTCTGATCATTCACAGCCAGGGGCAACGGAGGCAGCTCCTTATCGTGTGCCTGTTGCTGTGCTCCTACTGGGTATCCTTGCGGGGATCCTTGCGGAGACCCCGGATCATCAAACTGAGCCTGGGCAGGCTGTGAGTCCGGCGGCAACCGACGTTCTGCTTCGACGCGTATGCGACGCCAGACGTCTGCAGGGGGCTCCTTTTTCAACTTGTTGCTTCCACTGCGTGTGAGCGAAAAGCCGCTGGATCCTTTCGGAGGCTGGTTCCTATCTGCGTCGAGCGGTTTCGTCTCACGCCAGGCATCGCGCTCGCGGAAGCTGAGATTGCGCTTGGGTATATCTCCTCCTGTGGCAGGCGACGACTGATCAGGGCCACCCTGAGAATACTGAAGAGCAGCTTGGCTAGAATGCCGGCGCTGATCATCAGGGCGAGAGGCTTCCTGAGGATGGAATCTGCGTTGCTCATCACGTATGGGCGGTTGAGGCAACTGCCTAGGTTGCTGGTCTTCACGCACAGGTGGTTGAGGTAGCTGCCTCGGCCGCTGGTCTTCGCGGACGGGAGGTTGAGGAAGCTGCCTTGGCTGGTGCTCAGCCGTCGTCTTTGATCGACGAAGGCCATCCTGGCTCTGGCGATAGTATGGGTCTTCGGACACTCGTTGTCCGGGTTGCACCGATTGCGTAGATGTGGCTTTGGTTGAGGTGACGTCTCGCGTTGTGGCTGATCTTGATAATGTTGCGGCAGTGGGCGACTCGACTGCCGTAGGGCGGTGGTTTTGTCGTTGGGTGGGAGTTGAAAGCGGAGATTGGTTGTCAGCAGCTTCGGCGGCAGCTCTCTTGGCAGCCCTCGCTCTGGCCCGCTGTTCTGCTGCTTCGACTCGCGCTCTCTTTTCCTCCTTGGTCATGCTGTCGAGCGTCAGCTCAAGCCTCTGGAGGGGTGATCGGTTGTCTGCCAACTTTTTCCGCCGCTCATTCTGCCCAATGGTTGGGGTTCGCTGAAGTTGGGCGGATGCAATGCTATCTGTTCGAGCGAGCCCACCATCGACAAAAGGTTGCGGTGCACCACATTGACTACCTCGTGGGGGTGCGGCACGTCCGCCGTAGCTCATGTTTTCAGGCTGGGCTGCAGGTTGACGCGCAGGCTGTGTAGATGTCGACTGGGAGGAGTAGTTGTATGAATCATCTGCGTAAGGGTCGCGGTAGTTTGTTGGCGGGCCGCGAACTATGGTATCTGTGACAGATGGCGGAGCTGGGGACATGCTTTCGAACTCGTCGGGGATTCGGTTTGATCGTCGATCTTGCCTGTCATATCTTTCAAATGCTTGCTCTTGAGGGAACCCACGATATGAGGCTGGTCTGGGGGCCAGGCCTTGATAGTCAGCTGCTGATGTCGGCGAGTTGGGACTGAATGTCGTGTCGGTGGGAGCCTCGGTGTAAGTTGTGTGGACGGAGGCGCGATTGGCTTTGCGCGTCCGCTCGACGTCCAATGAGCCCCTCTGATCACTTTGCGCGAATTCATTTGTGTAATCTGCTGAAACTCGCCGGCTGCGGACGCCTTTTGGCTGAGGCAGCGCGCCCCAATACGGAGCAGACATGGCTGCGCCTTTGCGGCTATGAAGTGAGGGCAGCTTCTACAGTAGCAGATGGTGGCTGGCAAAAAGTGCCCGGTGCGACTCCGAATGCTCACGTCACCCCCAAACGGCCACGACAAGAGGATGGATGTGACTTTTTGCCGCAACGACAACGAAACAGATGCCAAGCCAGGACTCGAGTCGCCCAAAGGTAGCCAGTAGCGTAAGGGGGAGCTTGTGACGAGCTGCCTCGGCGCTATCAAGGCGGCTGCGGCTGCGGCTGTCCACGATGTCACCGGAGGATGAGCTGCGCAGTGCAGAAATGCGCGCGACCAAGAGATGCGGCGGATTGACGTCGCCGGCTGTTTTCGCTTGGGCCGAATCTCTGCTCAAGGAGAAAAAAAGACTTGCGTCGTGTTGTTGGCAAACAAGCTAGCACTAGCAGCAGGTACGGCAGTAGCAATATCCAGAGACCCGTTCGCGGACCGGGGTGCCAGGCGGCTGGTGTCTTGGGTGTGATTATACCTAGTAAAGATGATGTTGTGGCCAAGGGTCTGCGCTGGCGATTGCAGCCCAATTGATCGAGCGCTGCGGCGAATGAGCGCAGCGCCTGCGATCGAGCAAAGAGGCGGTCGGGAGCTGCAGGTCGGTGGAGGAGCGGGTGGAGGCGACGAGCAGCTCGCCAGAATCTGGGTGGCTGGCGATGAAGCTTGAGCAGCGGTAAGATCAGGTCAAATGCAAGGCACCAAGGCGGACGGGCCACGCATTTGCGCTGCGGCTGAAGGACCAGGGGATGAGATGATGGGGCAGGCTAGCTGAATAAACGATGTGTTCAATTTATGAGCTGCCACAGCACCCTTTCACTCTTCTCATGATCATACTTGTAGATGGCGATGGAAAGCAGTTATGCTCGGAAATGGGGCCATCAAAGCGTGTTGAGTGGCGAGACTACAGCTGCTCTCTGCTCTCTGCCACCTGCTCTCTATTTCTCTTCTTCACGACGCATCTCGCCACAGCCTGGCCACCCATAAGCCAAGCCCAGCTTCCGATGCAGGCACTCGCTCACTGACTTGCTCAATTGCTAGCATCGGGCTGGACCGAACAGGAAGCGCTCCACAGTGGCCTCAAGTGGCTTGGGGCCGTCTTGATGCAAGCACCAGACGCGAATTCGACTGCACTGGCTTCCATTCCCATCCTCCAGTGACCTGAAATAAAGACGGTGTTCACCAGTCTGGCATATACTAATGGAAGCAGAGAGAAGAGAGAAAAGGACTATGACATTTATTCCTCCAGCAAACAATGTACATCCGCTGTGGTAAAGACATCAAAAATACGAGATCTGATAAAAAAAAGAGGGAGCCGTTATCCAGCACCCCAGTTCTGTTATCCAACACCCCAAAAATAAAGAGAGAAGTTATCTAGCACCCCGATTATGTTATTTAGCACTCTAGCTGTAGCTTAGGCTGCTGCTGCTGCTACTGCTGCTACTGCTGCTACTGCTGCTACTGTTGCTATTTTAACAAGTATTTGGCAGCTGTATATTTAACATATAAACTGGCTGCCCTATTCTACTACAGTTGGGGTGTTGGATAGTGAAATTAGTGTGCTGGATAACTTCTCCCAAAAAAAAGTAACAGTAATAGCATGCCAGCTCGTGCCCAACAATGTCGACACAGCTACAAAACTTGTGAACAAAGGTGTGGCCATCCCTACAAACCATTTGTCGCTGTACTGGATCCCAAACTGTCTCACCGTCAGCCAGATAGTATACCCAGGGGAAGGGGAACGGGGGACTGCACTCTTTTCTAAGATTCTCCACCCTTCTTTAAAGTGCTTCCAGCTGAGCTAGAGGAAGGAGGGAAATGCATACGGTAAGCAGTCAAAGCAGCGCATATCGTCGAGGGGATTATGCCTACACCCATGACAATGTCAGTTACGGGCATTTTTACCTTACAGTCGTTACGGCGATGGTGGTGGTGGTGGCGGCGCCGATGAAGAAATAAAAAATAAAACAAAATATATAAGCCTAACCGCACATCGCTGGTTGCGTGTTGAAATTCCTTTGCTTTCCAGTCCAGAAACAGTGGCAAGTACGTCTCTGGAAGAAACAATACCACAACAGACTTGAGACGCATTATTTCATCGATGATGGTCCTGATAGTCGAGATATTTCGATGGGCATATTCGGGGTCAATCTGTCCCACAGAGTCTGTATAAGCTTGAGTGGCAAAGGTGCTATCCTTGAGTTTCTTTTAGTTCTTTACCTATAGCGTGCCTTGATCCCTGGCCTCCGCACCCTATCGTTTGTTGTGCCGATATCCACCCCCCGGTCTTATTTGGTAAGCCCGGCCGGGAAAGACACCATGTCTGGTGTATTTTACATCTATTGCGTACCGTTAGCAGTATTAGAACTGGGAGCGGGGATGGGGGCCACCACGGGTGCTTGAACTTGAGGAACTTCCCCAGACTCAAGTCGAGTTACCCGGGCGACAAGCTCGTGTAGACCTCCTCCAAGTTCTTCCAAATCATCTTGAAGGGCTTGCAGCCCAGCTGGAGGGGGAGGGGGAAGGACATACGTACGGTAAGCTGTTAAAATAGCACAAATCGCCATGTCGATCAGGCATACACTCATGATAATGTCAGTAGTGGAGATGGGCATTTTTACGTACCTTGAATCGTTGCGGCGGCGGTGGCGGCTATCTGTTAAAGCAGTAGCATCAACAGTGGTTTGGGTTGTATCGGCCGAAGTTGTGGTGGTAGTCGGGGTCAATGTTGGAGGTTTATCCTCAATAGTTTCCCACAGTTCAGCCCATTCATATGCTATCTGCCATGCGGGCCTCCATTCGCTATAATTGTCTCCCTTGCTTGTCAGTTGGGGGAGGCAAGCTGGGTCCAGCTTGAAGTTGAAGTTTGACATGGTGCGCTGTCAGGCAAACACTGACGCGAGTTGGTGACGCGATGTTTTTTGATCAGTCAGGTGGCAGATGTGCAGATGAGATGGTGATCTTTGTCGTGATCTTGGAGCACGAGGGCTTATAACCTATTGAACGAGGCACAAGAGAGTGAACGTAGTGATTGTATTGTGATGATGATAAGGCTAGGTTACTACCAGCTAAGAGGCGTGGGGTCCGGCACTATATATGATAGGCCGAGGGGTCCTTCGGGCATCGAGCCAGAGGAGTTGCTTCCAATAGCGGCGGCGTCGATGAAGAGACAAGAAACAAAATAAAATACACAAGCTCGTGTCCATATTTGACTTGTCTCCCAGACTCATTAGCAGTTGCTCTTTCTTTACATTACTTGGGTAGGAGGCAGGTGTTGTGTTGGCAGTAACTAACGATATATGGCAGATCCACTATGACCAGTGTTAAAGTATTTTAAAAAAAAGAACGAAAGAGGAGCTCCATGAGTAGCAACAATAGCAGCAGTAGCAGCAGTAGCAGCAGTAGCAGCAGTAGCAGCAGTAGCAGCAGTAGCAGCAGTAGCAGCAGTAGCAGCAGTAGCAGCAGTAGCAGCAGTAGCAGCAGTAGCAGCAGTAGCAGCAGTAGCAGCAGTAGCAGCAGTATATACGTATGTAAGGGGTAATATGAGTGACTTCTCAGTACAAGTTCCCATTCTTTTTGAGCCTCTTTACAGAAGCCTAGGCGCCCGATAACACTTCCCTGAGATTATAGATTTACATCATCTTCAAGCCATGTTATCCAAATTACAGTGGCTTCTAACCCCATGGTGTGATTAAGACCCGTAGTGGCAGATCATGCCATGTACAGATTCGGCTGAACACTACTTGTTTGTCAGATTCTTAGTAGTAACCTCACACTTTTACATATTCAAGGCCATAGTGGACAGACAACAGGGATTTGCATCAAATCTTCTTAATTGAGGTATTTTGTCATTCAAAAAAAAAAAAAAAAAAAAAAAAAAAGCAGGAAGCTATACTTTACTCCAGCCATCTATCAGCTTCGTGAAGACGCTTCGCACTTTTGCGTGACTAGTCCCGGTCCCATGAGAGACATCCTCTGACCATAACTCCCGGATACTACCATGAGTATAATCCAAATGAAGACCTACTACATCAAACCAATATTGCTCATCTTTAGCTTTCACATGAGCCTTCCAACTAGCATCCAGTGGTGACCCTTCTATTCCAAAGTCGTGCCACGCCCGGATTATTGCCTTTCGCTTATCTGTAGAAATAATGACTGCGAAATCTGTAAGGCAATGCAGACAAGAATTAAATACCCACTGGCCTGGTGAGTCATAAGCTAATTCAACGCCATCCTCAAGTAAGGTAGCTTCTTTAAGCAGGATGGACCCTTCGCGCGGGCTCATAATCTTGCACCAATGTACTATAACATTGATAGATGATTTTTTTGAGCTGCGAGATCCCATAAGTCCGCCTATTATACGCATATGCGGGCAGACTGGGATATAGCAATGTAATTAGTCTAGGAAGAGTGGTAAAGCAGTATTTGTATTATTGCTAATATTCCACTCTTCACGTAGGATAAACCGTTTATTAATAATCCTGGGCTCTGCGATATAGGACTATGTAAATTGCTGTTTAAGTAAATACTTTGTACGTGTACGCGTAAAAGTCTGCATTAGTGCCCCAAGGTATTGTTGATATATATTGCCCAGGCGCGAGAGCTTAAGTGCAAGCTGTATGTGGTAGTGCTGGATAGAATAATGGCTGGTTTCAATTCCTCGGGATATTTCAAGGAGGCAAGGGACAGTCCTATTATACCTGACAAGCGTGAAGGCCGCTGGCACATCCGAGGTGTTAATAGGATGTAGTTTACAGCATTTTAGGCAGACCCAGCGATTTGGTAAAGTGTAAGCCAGCCCTACCCAAAACGCGATCTGATGTTCAAAGGACAGCTGTGGGAGCTTAATATCCCAGTCTTGAAGTAGGACTTGCCGAAGTGCTTTGCAGGTATGTGAAAGGAGAAATTTATCGTGCAAGGCCAGGTTATCAGTAATAAGAAGGAGAATGTCTAGCGGAAGCTGGAGAATAGCGGACTTTTGATCGTGGCGCCAATAATGCCAGCGGCCTTTGCCTAGCAGTTGATGTAGAAGCCGTGAATAACGCATTTTAGAATACCTGGATTTGTCTGAGAAGTGATAAATAGAAATAAGGGAGGTTTCTAAGAAGGGAGCGGCCCTTTCTATACTTTGATATGCTCCATGGAAGCTACGTAATCCTGCGCCAATGGCGTTTTCTACTGATCCGATGAGTTGTTTTCCCCCCTGTTTTCATCAGAACACTAGCCAGATGGCTAGAAAACGCCGTGGCGTACAATCATACTTTGGTCATAAAGAACATCTACCATCAATTTCCTTTTATCTAAGTTCTTAACTTAAAGATGTCAATTAAAACACTAATACCGACGTTAATGTTTCCTATATACTGATTAGACGTGACGTGGCGCTTCTGCGCAGCTACCACACTATGGCACTCGTCACGAGAATACATGTAGCTAGACAATGATGTAGCCATGATAATACGGTACCAGCTTATGACTGTGAAACTAAAAAAGAACAGAAATCAACATACAACAGCCGGTGTTCGCTGATGGTCAGCCACTCAACTACTAATCTGCCTCTCATTGGCTGGACTCTGGGAGAGCAGACCGGATCCTGTATTTTCCAATGGATATGGTCGTATGTGATGGGCCAACCCTCTTGATCCGTTTATATCTCTACATTGCAGCAGGTACATGCAGCTTATAGCTTTGCATTTTACTGCAGTAGACAAACCTTCTGCTCTCCCTGCGAGGCTCAAGGACAAGACTGGTACTATGGTTCCTCGAAAACGCAAACCAAAGCAGCTCTTATAGCCCAGACCAGAGACCCTACAAGTAAATAATACAGCGCCTGAAATAAAGACGGTGTTCACAAGTCTGGCATATACTACTAGAAGCAAAGAGAAGATAGAAAAGGACTATAACATTTATCCCTCTAGTAAATAATGTACATCCGCTATGGCACAGATATTAAAAAATACAGGATCTGGCAAAAAGAGAAACCACTTATTCAGCGTCTAGGACTGCTCCCGGCAGGGCTTGAACCTGCGACCTCCGCATTACTAACACTAGCTTGAAGCTGGAGTATTAGTACGAAGCTCTAACCAACTGAGCTACGGAAGCTGAGTAAGCGATGCTTTTCAGCTGTTGTAGACTACTGTGTAAAGGTATATTATAATAATAAGAGTAATAGTATGTTTAAGATAAGACTATAAATATAAGTAAATATTATTAAGTAAGTATAATTATATATACTTATATTAAATTAAAAGTATTTTTTAATATATTTAAGTAAATAATTTATAATATTACTTAAGTATTTATTAAAATTTATTTCTAATATAATTATATAAGTTTAAAAAACTTATAATAATTAATATAATAAAAAATTATACCTAGCTTTTAGTTTAATAATTAAATAAATAAAAATATTTAAAAAAAATATTATATTTAGTTTTATTTGGTTTAATAATATTAATAATATTAAATTATTAAAATTACTTATAAGATTTAAAATAAGGTTTTTATATTAAAAATAAAGTTTTTTACTAATAACTTTATATAATTCCTCCTGGGTATAAAAAAATAAATTACTTATTATTATAATTTATTTTTAAATCTTTTTTTTAGTATTTTATTATTATTATTATTATTATTTCCTTTTATTATATATTTAATATAATTATACTACTTATTATAGCTATTTTTTTTACTAACTTATTAAAGTAATTAAATCTAGTTACCTTTATTCCCTCTTAGGGAAGCAAGGGCTTTTATTATTATTATTTTTTCTTTTTTACTTATTATATTTATTTATAAGTATTCTAGCTTTTTTTATTTTAGCTTAGTTATTAAGCTAAGCTCTAGCTGTTTATTATAATAATTTAAGTTAGTAGTTATTACTGTTTCTTCCTAGTCTCCTTTAGCTATTATCTAAAGATTATAATTAGCTGTAAGGTTATCCTGCTATTATAAGGTTGCCTTACTATATTTAGCTTTTCTTATAGTGTTAATATTAGAGTCTTATGTATTATAATAGCGCTTGGTAATTGATTTCTTTTATTTTCCAAGGAACTATTAAGGCCTTTTATACTTACTAGCTTTTATATAAGTAGCTTTTTTGTTATATTATGTATTTCTTTTTAAAGCTTAATTTAAGCTATTTGTGTATTCCTTTTTAAAGTTTAATTTAAGTTATTTATATATTATAATTAGGTTTTAAATTATAATATACTTTAAATTATAATATACTTTAAATTAACCTTTTTAAAGCTTAATTTAGGTAATTTACATATTGTATTTAACTAAGTATATATATATATAAGTATTGCCTGCTTATGTAATTTATATAGGATCCTGCTTAAGTAATTTATATAGGATCCCGTATACCTATTAGGTACCCTTATTTTCTTATAGCTTATCTAATTATTATAACCTAATAACTTATAGTTATAATAAATAAACCTATAGGGTATATATAATAAAGAAACCTTTAGCTAATATAGCTAATTAAGATTATATTTACTTTAAGAAAGTAAATATTAGTAAATAAATTCCTAATATAAAAAATATTTACTTTAGGAAAGTAAATATTTATAAATAATAAAATATATATATACTTTTTATATTTACTTAAAGATAATTTTAAATAGCTAATTAATAATATAAAATTAAGATTATAATATACTTTATATTACTTATACTTTAGTAATTTTATTTACTATTACTTATATTACCTATTAGATTTCTTAACTACTTTACTAATATAAACCTAGAATTATTTACTAGGTTTATCCCTTAGGAATTTATTTTATATTAACTATTTAGTATATAATTTATTATATATTAATAACTTTTATTTAAATAATTACTAGATCTTATAGGTAATATATAATTAAAAATATAAATATTAATCTTTAATATTTTAAAATATAATACTAATTATAAAAGCTAAGCTTTAAGTAATTACTAGTTAAATAGTATTATTAAATTTAAAAATATATTAGTAAAAATAGCTTATAACTAGTAAAATACTTTAATAAAAGGTTTTAAATAAGAATATAAATAATATAAGTAATAAAAATAAAGCGCTAGAACTTATATAAAAAATATAAAATATATAATTTAAGACTTATATATATAATATCTTATAAACTAGTAAATTATTACTTAGTATATATAAATTATTAATAACTTATAATAATAACTTAATAATTTACTAGGGGTAAACCCTTAGGTAGCACTTATTATAGCACTTATAATAGTATTAATAAACCTTATAAATAAAAAACTAAAACTAAAAAAGGTTTTAAAAATTAAATAACTAGAAAAGTTTAATAAAAATATTATTAAACTCTACTAGTTTCTTAATAAATTATAAACCTACTTTAAGTATTACTATTTAAAGATATTCTTAGAAAATAACTTAAAAAAAAGAATTTAATATATAAGAATATATATTAAAAATATAATAGTTAATTAATTTAAAATACTTTTTAAGAATAAAAGAAATAACCTAGTTAACTAAAGTAAATTAATAAAAGAAGTTTTTAAGAGATATAAAAATCTTAAAGAATAACTAAAAAGATTTTTTAAAATTACTAATAAAGCCTAAAAAGTAAAAAAAAAACTTAAAACCCTTAAATAAAAGGGATTATATTATAAATATACTTTAACTTTTATTTAACTACTTAATAAAGTTAATTAAATTAAAGACTTAAAAAAGAAAATATATTACTATAGTTTAAAGTTAAAAATTAAAAATAAAATTTATAAAATAAACTAATAAAAAGTTACTTTTATTATACTTACTTAAAAAATTATTATAATTAATAACTAATAATAAAAAAAAAATTAAAAAAAATAAAAAATAAGAAAAGTAACTAAATTATTAAATATTAGTCTTAAGCTAATTAAGAAAAGAAATAAAAA